CTCAAGAAAGAACTTGAGGACTTCAGCACTAGAAACGGAATCTGTAATGCGGATTTGCCTCAGAGAGTCTTCTAGACATAAATCCCTCAAGAAGTCTTCTTGAGACAAATCCGCATTACAGATTCGCTTTGCAATGCTGAGGAATTCCATTTGCGGACTTGCCTCCAAAAAAAGCTTTAGAGCTTCAGCATTAGGAATGGAATCTGTAATGCGGATTTGCCTCAAGAACTTCTTGAGGAAAATCCGCATCACAGATTCCATTTCCAATGCTTGTAGAAATGTAATCTGTAATGCGGATTTGCCTCAGGAACAGGAACTTCTTGAGGAAAATCCGCATCACAGATTCCATTTCCAATGCTTGCAGAGATTGAATCTGTAATGCGGATTTGCCTCAAGAACTAGCATCACAAATTCGCAAGCTCATGATAAAAAGTTTACTTGAATCGACTCCAGTTCTTGAAAAATAACCAGCTGTCAACTTCAAAATAGCAGTACGTGGAAAATAGAACAACCGGTAAGCGCTTTACAGTTTTGACTTTTTACAATTTCAATTGCAACAGAGGTCCGCCACAAATTAGAATTTCAGATTTTACAATACTAGACTGCTTACTTCTGGATTTAACACAAACAACTTCAGAATTTACAACTTTCGACTCACCTACTTGGATAGGATGTGTACAGAAATTTTACTTCCCCGATCCACAGATACGCAGCGACTGTATCCATTTGTGAAAGTGGAAAAGATGCTGCTGTTCTGTTTTTGGGGTCGTAGCTACGTCAGCTCCATCTCGTAGAAAAACTTTTTTGGATTTCTCGTATGTAGCAGCTCGCTAGCGTCAGAAAGAGCAAAGTTCTCGCTCATTGGGATAAAAACAATTCGTAGTCAGACCAATATTTCTATTCGTCGCACTACGTACAAAATGCATTACAAATTACCACAGAAAAGCACACGAAAACTTCACACCGAGAAGAACCCTGAACCGAAGCCAATTGCTGCCTCGACGAGAAAACAGGAATTTTGTTTTTTGTTACCTCTATAGTGTGAAAGCAATAAGAGGACGCCAAGAAGGGCGGGAGCAGAAGTATTAACTTGCGGGAAGCAAGTGTTTTCTACGATTGTTCGGAGATATCGGCTAAAAGAGATTTGTATGGAATTTTCAAAAATAAGTCTCAAGTTCCGGTATAGTGTCGCCTACCTCAGTTCGGTGCAGCTCTTTTCTGTTTTTTTGAAGTCGTAAAAGACCACAGTGACTCTAGCAAAGAAGATACTCTGTCGCTTTCGTCTTTCATCATTTTGGTTTATTCTTTAACGATTTTCGACACCGCCAGCGCTGGATGGTATCTTGTTTGTTAAAGAGTAACTCCTTTTTTTTCTTCAAGTCGTGTAGTCGTTCTTCGTGTCGAGCCAAGCTCTTCAAGAAAGACTATTGCCGCGCTCGTATGTCTTCATCGTCGGGGATTTTTTTTGGGAAATAGAAAGCATTTTTTCACAAAAGTAAAATGCTCTATGCCTGTTGCTTCGGTGTTGATCCTTGCTCTCTGATCGTTGCCTCCAGGCGCCCTATGGTCGTTGCGAGCGGTGTATTCTTCTACCCCTCAATACTCTCCCCGCGCCGAAGTTTCTAATGCACAGCTTTCACCGAGTTCAGTTTGTTGCTTTACTACTACTACTACTAACTCCTACGTAGATCCCCCTGTTGTTAATTACTACTAGTACTACTTTAGATTCATTTCCCGCGTTATATTTATTTACTAGAATTAGAACCCTCAGCGCTAATACTGTATGTAAGTAGAGCAGCCCTCCCGCCACTCCCGCTTTTATATATAAAAACAGTATGAGAAATGGAATAGTAACACTGTACAATCAGCATTCATGAATTCAAGTACAACACACAACACACACAAAATCGCATTTACATAAGTAACCCGGGCCATAGCATAGAAAATTTAATGTGCAAGAATCTGGATCAAAAAGAGAAAAACAAAGCTCACCAAATTCGAATAGAAAGACTGACTTTCGTTTTCCAGTGCGACAGTCCAAGCAGTAGCTTCATTTTCCAATGCCGCAGTTATTCCAAGTCGAAGTCTCATGGCCATTTCGTGGACAATAAAAATTTGATAACACAAAGATGAAAGTCGGCATGTTTTTAGAAAAAGCGACAAAGTAGCATTACAAACTGATGACTGAAAAATGAGATCAACTGTTACGCAAGGCCACAAGTTTACACTTGCAAGCGCTGCCATCTAGTCACTTTATAGTTTTTTGGTTTTACACCGAGCGCACCACTGTGAGAGCCAGCACAGACCACCAAAAGTCTCTCGTCAGCTATCAGCCGTCCGTAGCAACTTTTTGCACAGTTTTACTCTTCGAAACAGCATGACAAGATCACACTTTCGTATTTGTGTCAAGGAAAAAGTGTTAGAGTAAGATCATGATCCTGTACAAAAAGTATAAGTGAAAAATCGAAGTAAGTACACAGCAACTTTTTCACATTGGTGTTTTTTCTGGATCCAGGCGCGCGTGTGTTCAGAGGACTATAGCAGCCCTCGCCGCCTCCCCGGGCGGGGTAAAAGTACGGGCGGGCCGGGTTGACGCTTCGCTGTGCTGCGTTTTCATGTCTAGCATCGTGGCACTTCAGGCGGCGCTCCGGCGTTTTGCATGGTTTAGCAATTTCAATTCGCAATAGTCGTGCCAGCAGTGACGTCGTCATACCATCGGGTCTGCGTTCAATCCGCATGCTGCTATGAGCTAAAAACTGACAGAATCAAGAATACCGTCGTGATTGGCTGCAAGTTCTGCAAAAAAGTTCTCGAATGCAAAACGCGAATCAAAAAGGACCCCCGCAGACCCCCGCGCTGCGGAAACTGCCCCCCTTATAAAAAAGGCTGGCGTTGGATCGTGGAGCGCCTCAACTACAGGGACTACGAAGAAGCTAGTATTTTTTTCGCGGATGTAACTGGTAGTGGCGAGTCCTTTGGTCTGACCGTGGGGCTAATGGAGGTTGAGCGAGGGATGGACACGTTGCACCATGTGCGTGATGGAGTTGTAGGACAGGACCTTGGCACTTCTGCCAACGCAGGTTACGTCCTTCCTCTGTTTGGCACCTCTCCGCACCTGGTATGGTATAGTGACCCAAATATTACGGATATCGGCTGGCGGGTTGAGTATAAGATGAGAACTGCTCCGACAACTTCGCCTCCACTTTCGCCTACAACTTCGCCTCCACCTTCGCCTGCCCCGATCGTGACTAGCACTGACGAGGGGGACAGCTCCGACGACGGGACGACGATTCTGATCATCGTTGCCGCCTGCATCGGGGGGTTCTGTGTCCTCGCCGGTGTCGCTTTCGGGGTGCGCACCGTGATGATGTACCACCGGCCAGAAACCTACATCGGCGCGGCGGCAAGGCCGAGCCAGGTGGTCACCATCGACCTCTCGAGACCTCCATCGGCAGCCAACGTCGTGCCGGTGCCCGGTTTGGCGGAAAGCTGGAAGTCGTCCCCTGGTGGCGCCGCATCTTCAAAAAAGTTCGTGATTAGCCGCAGGGCACTCGAAGAAGAGATGCGGGGTATGCGAGAGCCGGCTCTGCCTTTGCCGGAGGAGGCGGAGCTTTCTGGGCGAAGAAGCGGACAAAGAAGTAGTGGGGCTTTCTACAACGTCTCCGTGAGTGGACCTGCTCTGCAAGGAGAGGCGGACCACGAAGAAGCGGCTGTTTCGCGCGCGGAGGGGGAGGCCTTCTGGGAGGAAGAGGCGGGAGAAGACGATTGGCCGGGCGAGATGGTCGGGCCGGCTGCGCTGGGCCAGGGAACAAGTGGGCGGAAGAAAAAAAGCAAGAAGTCGAGCAAGTTCTCGAGCTTTCCTCGGGAAGATCATGCAATGGCAAAACCACAGTCGGAACGCCACGCACGGGGGGACCACTACGATAGGTTCGCAGAGCACGCGGCCACAATTTGCAAACACGACGACTGGGGCGACGAAGATTCCTTCTGGCCCGAGCAGGACAACTGGGACGAGAATTACTACGCCCACACAAAAGCCTCTCGCGGCTCTCGGCTTGCTTCCGGGCGGTCGTCGGGGGGCCAAAAGATGGCGGCGCGCGGCGGAGACAAGCATCTTCGCGAAGGACGGGCAAATCGGTTGTGAGGAGCAGTGAAGGAGGAAGCAAAGCACGGGCGCAGGAAGATGCTTGATGCACGGCATTTTTGACGCGATTGCCTAGGATGAAACTGGTGCTAAGAAGATTATAAATGCTAGGCCTGGTTGTAATGGTTTTGGCACTCGTTTTTTTTTCTTGTTGGCATGTTTGTTTGCTTGATTGTACGCGTGGAAACGTGAATTTCCGGGTGAAGGTTTTGCCTTCTACTCACGTTCTAGCGCTACTCGGGAAGAACAGCCGCCGTACATAAATCTACTATTACTTACTTAATATTTTCAGTTCTTACATACATCTACATTACTACTTACTCCGATGTTCACATGGTTATTGTTGTTCTTTTTTTATCAATCTTAAGCTGATGCGGATGCCATCCAGCAGCGATCGTGGCACTCGCCTCAGAAGAATTTGTTTTCATATAATAAGTTTACGCATACCTACATTCATCTGAAAAGTGCAAATCTGAATATCGCACCGAGCTGTAAAAATTTTTTTCCTTCGGTTTGATAGCACTTCTACCTCTGTTCAGTTGCATATGGCGGACGAGCGGCATAAAAGTAAAAACAGCGGAAAACGAGTCTTCTTTTGTTCATTTGGACCACGAAAATCTGCGCAAATGTGAATCAATTGTATCGAGGTGGAGCCGGAGTGGTGTGTTTTCAAAAAATACTGCGCAAACTAGGTGAATTTCGCTTCAAAAATTTGGTCAGCCACTTGCTTGCTTGTTCAAAAACTGCAGCTCTTCACTACCGCTAGAGGGGCGAGGGAGAGACTACAGTTCCGGGCGACGAGCTCAAACTCCATGTCGTGGAGGAAGGGAAAAGGCTCCATGTTGTGGACGAAGAGGAACGAAAATTAAGTATACGAGGCTGAAACTGACACTACACTTCTTCTTCTAGGTGCTTTGATTTCATCGACGTAATGAAGCACAAAAAAAGAGAACTCATGTCGATTGTTGAAGAAGTTCTTGTTGAACAAATACATACTAATATGTCGGCCCGAGACCTCCGCTGGCGTCGCGGCGCGGTCGAGGTCCTGCTTGTCGAGGTCCTGCTTGTCGAGGTCCTCCTCGACTGGTGCTGACGCCTTCGAGTCGTCGTGAAAGCGAGTTCATCCACTTTTTCACCTCCTGCGTTTCGTGACAGGAGCTCGCAAGCATAATATAAATCGCAGCAGCTTTATTTTGCTGGGCGATGAATCCCTACAACAATCCGCCACCCGGCGGTGGACCTCCTCCGAACAACCCGTACGGCAATCCGGGCGGGTTCGGAATGGGACCCGCCGGCGCCGCGCAGCCCGGCATGCAGCAACCGCTGGGAGGACCGCAGCCCGGCGGAATGGGGGGAGTTTCCGGCGGGGGGCTGGGCGGGCCCCAGGACCCGAACCAGCTGCAGCAGATGATGCAACAGAAGGAGATGCAGTTGCAGCAACTGAGCCAGCAATTTCAGATGCTGCAGCAACAGAAGAACCAACAGGACGTGCAGTTGTTGGAGACGCAGTCGCAGTTGAGGTATAAGTACTTACTTTCTCCATGCCAGTAGATTTGTTTTCTACTCGAAGCGTCTCTCATCTACTGCTTTGCTACCGAGACAATTTCGCAAAGTGCTTCGATTTTGTGTAAGATGAAAACGCAATTGTGCAAAAATTTCGGCGTTAGTAAAAAAATACGAAAAAAATCAATTTAGAAACTTCGGCGCTGCCTCCCAGGAACTGGATATGGCTCGCCAGGCCATGCGGGACCGGGATCTGCAAGACCAGGAGCAGGGGCAGAAAATGCGTGAACTGCAGATGCTGCTGGACCGGGAGAGACATTCGCGGCAGATGCTAGACGAAGAGCTGATGAAGACCCGCCAGGAGCGAAATATGCTGCAGGAGCAGAATCAGCTATCAGAAGAATGCACAACTCTGCGAGAGCTTCTTCCCCTTTGTTCCCCGTGCAATTTTTCCGTGTGGCATATTTATTAAGCAGCACTGGAAATAACTACAACAGCACGCACGATGTAGCTTCTGCATGGCGAGAACTCGTCGTCCACAGACGGACTGTAGTAAGTGGTTCTAGTTGAGCTAATATTTCGAGGACGCAACTATCCATTGGCCAAGAACAGTGCCACCAGGCTGCACGAAGACATCAAATCGATTTATTCTTCGTGTTTAATATAATTTGTTGATGAATGCACATTATTTTTACACAAAGAAAATATCTGTAAGGGACGAGGGCCGCGAGAAGAGGTTCTTGCCCCGTGTCATAGCAGAACATGAACAGCCAAAACCAGCAGCAGGACTCGACGTTCCAAAAGTCGATCAAATCGCAAACGGAACTGCTGTATCAAATGCAAAATTGTCTGGGTCTGGAAGATTGCTATGTTTGTCATGCACATTTTGCATGACCCGTGATGTCTGTGATGTATGCCCCAGCATCACAAATTTTTTGCGGGCATCTTGATGCCTATCCCGCATGAGAAATCCTCTCTCCGCGGAGCAAAAACCGGACGCCTCTTGCTGCTCATGCAATACAGGATTCCAAAAGTAGCATCACAAGTTGCATTCTTCCAGACCCACACATTTTTGCAATCCATATGCTGAAGCACCTATCGGATCTCGAAGACATGAACGCCAAGTTGGATAAAGACAACTCCGATTTGAAGCGGCAGATCGATCTTCTGAAGTCTTCCGACAGCAAGCAGTATCCATGGCATAAAAGTACAGTTTTAGTTTTATCGCGCTCGTAGTCGTACCGATCCCGATCACATAGATATTGATTTTGCATGAAAATAGGCCCGTTTTTCATCTTGCAGAAATGTGCTGTCATGTTGCGATGCGTGTTTTAATACACTAGTGCGATACAAATCATACATTTTGCAATCCATAAGCAGAAGGAAATCGACGAGTTGCATGACCACCTTGACGAATTGGAGGCGAAGTTATCCTGCTGAAAAAACGTCCGCACCCAGGACTTGTCATGCAAACAAGTCGCATAGTACTACCCACGCATTTGTATAAAGTAACGCGCGTCCCCTCCTCGGGATGAAGTTGGAGATTGGGAAGCATTCGTATTTCAGGTATAAAACTTGTTCTATCATTTGTAGTGCTTAGTAAACGGGAGGATAAGGGAAAGTAAATGGCTTCGTGAAGATGCATGCGGCTGTCCTCCTTGCTAAACTGCACTACACTTCTACTGGCTGTACAGAGAGAAACAACTTTTGTCACTTGTCCACCCGAAGCTTCTCCATCTGGAAAATTTTCCATTTTGTTCATCTTTACTGCCCGGCGTGGGGACGTTTTTTCTCAGGACAGACATTGCACCAGAGCGAAAAGGTATCCAAGAAAAAAACTGTGTTAGTGTAACCTTCTTTGGTTGACACCATCACAAATTTGCTCTACATGACAGAGAAAACCTGTCATGCGTGGATTGTAAGGGAAAACACACTTGAAAAGAGGACTTCATGGCTGTCTGGCATGACAGGCGTAACTCTGTTGCATGTTCTACATTACAGAGTTACACTTACACAGTTTTTTTCTTGCATAAAAGGACGTGGAAGAGTTCGAGCGCGAGAACCACTACCTGTATTGTGAGGAAAAATCCCCCCTCCCCATACCAAAAAGGGGCACCACTGAAAATTTCTGATGCTGATTTGTGGCCACAAATCGTCCCTGTATTGCAAGAGGGCAAAGCCAGAAACTCAGCCGCGTTTCGCAGGCGCCTTGTAATGCTGTATCGCCTACAGAGGACGTGCCTGCCTTGCTAGGCGCGTCTACAGCAAATCGCCCCTACTCAGGCACTGCATTTGCCTGCAGTCCCCTACTGCTAGACAGATTGGATTTGTGTACACAGATCCCGCATCACAGATTTCCGTGTTGCTATGGGGAGGGGAAGTTTTTCACTCTGATAACCTGAAAGCGACACTGGAGGAAAAAACGGTGCAATTAGAGGCGGCGCACCGTTTCGAGGCGGAGTATGATCACCACGTGCACGATGTAATGACGAAGAAGGAGGAGGAACTGACCGCGAAAGAGAAGGAGGCGCAGTATCAAATACAAATGCATCAAATATGTAGTCATCTGGGTCTGGATGCGTGTAGATGCTTGTCATGCTGCTCTTGCGTGACCCAGGAGGTCAGTCTGGCATGCAAGTCCTAGCATCAAACGTCTTGAGAAAGTTTCTCAATGCCTAATCCGCATGACACCCCCCTAACCGTTTGGTGCCAAGTTTTGAGCCGCATTTGCTGTTCATGCGTGACAGATTTGTCTTGTGTTGCCTGAAATTTGAATAAACAGTTTTTCAGACCCAGACTGACATATTTGCAATGCATACGCAGGTCCTTGCTGCGAAAGTCTCCTCCCTGGAGCACGAGATCAACGAGGTGCGAAAAATCGCGGGTTTGAGCAGCAACTCGGGTTCACTAGAGGACTTGATGATATGAAATGCAAAAATGTCTGGGTCTGGAAACTTGTGATGCAAGTCAGTCAATAACAAATGCACTGTATGTAATGCGCCGCCAAGCATGACAAGTTGCTTCGTGCTTCTGTGCTGCGTATTCCGCATGAGAAACTGCGTTTTTGCATGACAGGCGAGAGAGGCTGTTTGTGGCCACGCAATACAGATTTAAGGGCCATGCCAGATCAGCATGACAAATCTCGCATTCTTCCAGACCCAGACATTTTTACATTTGATAGATGACGATGGTGCACGACCGGGATATGGAGATCGAGCACTTGTACGATCGCATCGAGTATGAAATGCAAAAATGTCTGGGGGTGGAAACTTGTGATGCTACAATGTGCATGATGAAAACACTTCCTAATGCAGTCCGGCATGACAAGTTCTCAAAACGCTTTCTCATAGGCAATCCGCATGAGAAACTGTGTTTTTGCATGACAAAAGAGGCTGCGACTTTTGTTGGTTATGCAATACAGATTTTCTAGGTGTGGAAAGCTAGCATTACAAGTTCCAACCTTCCAGACCCAGACATTTTTACAATCCATATCGACAAGCTGGAGACTTCGCTGGGCGAAAAAATCGAACAGTTTAAGCACTACGAAAAGAACCACCCATTTCAGCAGGATACGCAAAGGAAATATGTCGTGGTCTGGAAACGCGCAAAGTTCTTTGTCATGCACTTTATGCATAGTCTCAGTCCATGATGTTGCCTGTGATGTTGTATACCTAGCATCACAGATAATTTTTTGAGGGCCAGTTGTACTTGATGCCTTTACTCTCGCGTGAGAAACGCCCTTCCCGCGTAGCACAAAGTAGACTCCTCTTCTTGCCTGTCACACAAAAGAGATTTTTTTAGAAAGAATTATCGAAAAACAAAGCATGTTGATCACAAGGAAGTCGCAACCTTCTAGACTGAGATCGAGATTTGCAATGCATATCGGAAGAGAAACAGCAATTCGAGACCATGATCGCGGAACTCCGTTCCGAGCTGCAGCACAAGGATGAGAAGCTGCACGAATTGGAAAAGCAGAAGTCCGAGTTTATTCTGAGTAAAAACGCCCCCATGCAAATCTGCATGCGAAAAGAGTTGCTCATGCGGAGCCCGCCCATGAGAAGCATTTTCTAGTAGTCCTCGTGTTTTGCAATTTCTGATGCTAGAGCCAGCATGATATGCTAGACCTGTGATGCCGCTGAACTAGCTAAACAGGGCCACACTACGAGGACAAACTTGGCATGCGAAACAACCAAAGCTGGTTGATTTGTCTAGCTGATCTCCCATCTTGATGAGTCTGGTGTGGGCGGGACGTTTTTATTCAGGATAGAGTTTCTCCACCACCTATCTGGCGACGAGCCCGGCAAGGCTTTCGACTATCCCTCAGAAAAAGACAGGCATGTCATATTTGATGTCATGCAAACGCAAATAGACAAAATCTAATCAAATTCAAATCTTCGTTGCATGTTGTCCTAAACGCCATGCTATGTTGGGGTCGCCCATAGCAGATTTTGCTGCTGAACTTGATATTTTTGCATTATACAAATATCAATATGCCCTGCCTGCTTTTTTGTTTTCCGGGATATTGACTGGGACAAGAAGATGACCGAGATGCGGCTGCAAAACACGAAGCTGAAGCAGGAGCTGTCGGAGACAAAACAGGAACTGTCCACGTATCTGAACGAAGCGAGTAATATCATGTACGAAAACACGCTGTTGCGCCAGTGGTCCAACATCCCCAGCGACCAATTGCTCGACCTGTCGGAGGTGAAGTTGAAAGAAAAGGTGTCCGCGAGCAAGGCGGTGTCCATGCAGAAGCAGCTGGTATTGCGAGGAAAAATCCCCCCTCCCCAGACCAAAACGGGACACTTCTGAAAATTTGTGATGCTGATTTGAGACCACAAATCGTCTCTGTATTGCAAGAAAGCAAATCCAAAAACCCCGCCGCGTTCTGCAGGCAATTTGTAATGCTGTATGGCCTACAACGGAGGATATGCCTGCCTTGCTAGGTCCCTACACCAAAGCGCCCCTACATCGGCTTTGCATCTGCCTGCAGTCTTCTACTGCAACACAAGGCCGACTTGCGTACACAAATCGCGCATCACAGATTTCCATTTCGATATGGGGAGGGGGGATTTTTCCTTTTGATAGCTGGAAAAGGAGATTTTGGATCTGGAGGACGAGCGACTGCAGTTGAAGATGAAGCTATGCAAGAAAAAACTGTGTAATTGTAACTCTGTAATGCAGAACATGCAACAGAGTTGCAGCTGTCTTGCCAGACAACCATAAAGTCCTCTTTTCATGTGTGTTTTCTCTTACAAGCCGCGCATGACAGGTTTTCTCTGTCATGTAGAGCAAATTTGTGATGCTGCCAGCCGAAGAAAGTTACACTAACACAGTTTTCTTTTGGATAGAAGCTCCGGTCCCTGGCCGGGCTGGCGAGTGAGAAGTATCCGGAGAAAACTACACGACGACCACGTCTCCACCCTAGCAGAGTCAAGATGGCGACTTTGTTGATTCTGTTTCGCATGACAAGCTTGGACATCGCTTGTAATGTAGCACCTTGCTGTTTGAGGTAGTTTGTTGTTGTGCAGGCGCATCACCAATCAACTATTGCCTGCGGAGGCTTGCTTCCGTGGTTGGCACAGTTGTCTTCGGCGCGGTTGTTTTAGCATCAAAAATCAGCTACCACGTCCTGACTCCAGCATCACAAAATTTCCATTAGATAGAAAATGGCTCTCATGTAGTGGGGGATGCGCAACATGAGAAACATTTTTAGGCATGATAGATGCTTTTGATTAAAATAAGTCTGGGGGGGGGACGTGTTTACACAGCACAAGAAATCCATTTTGTTCAACGGTATGGAGCCGGACCAGATGCTGCAGCTGGAGCAGATTGCGGAAACCATGCGTCTATGCATTGCAAAAGTATATCGTGCTTGGGTATAATTACAATACAAATTCATTTTACCAAGAGAAAGAACGCTGTTGATTTGCCCCAAATAAACCATAGGTCTGTCATGCATGAGACTGCGATTACAACTACAAGTGCGATTCCTTTGCACTGGATAGCGGCGGGGCAGTCTGCACCTGCCCGAGACGGACAACAGCCGCGAATTGCGGAAAAAGGTGGACGCACTCGAGTCCCAGCTTGCCCGGAAGGACAAGCAGGTGAGCGACATGCTGAGTCAGCACGTCGACCGGAAAATGGACGACGTGGTGTCCAAGGTGACGGAGCAGGCGCAGCTGAAAGAGCGGTGTCTGCTGCTCGAAAAGGAGAATTTGGAGCTGAAGCAAATTGCCCAGAGTGCGGGGGTCGCGGTGCCGCAGACCAGTGCCGCATCTTCGGGGGCGTCCATGCTGAAAATGGCGAGCGGCCTCGCGGGGATGATGAAGGGGAACAACAAGACCGGGGGGCCACAAACGGCGGAACAGGACTCCGCACTGCAGAAGCAGCTGGCCGCGATCCAGAAGCAGCAGCAAGACCAACTGGCCATGTTCCAGCAGCAGATGCAGCAGGGCGTGCAAGTTCGCGAGCAGATTGGCACGCAGACGTCGCCGACGACGGACCATATGAAGGCGCAAACGCCGACGACCGACGGGAAGAAAAAGATCTCCGCCGCGGGCGGCAAGCTGCTGGGCGCGGCCGCCAGTCTGCGGCGGGCGCAGGCGGAGGAACAGAAGAAAAAGCTGGAGGACACGGAGAAAAAGCTGCAGGAGCAGGAGAAACTGCTCGCGTCGGAGCAGAAAAAGCGCGAAGAGGACCAGAAAAGCCTGTCCGACGCGGAGAAGGCGAAGCAGGAGGCGGAGCGGAAGGCGCGGGCGCTCAGCGGCAAGATGACGGAGGACGAAACCAGGTTGGCGTCGGCGAGGAAAGCGGTGGAAGAGGCGAGAAAGGAGAAAGAAGTGCAGGAAAAGGTACAGGAAATGGGATATGATGAATTTTCAAGAACTGGTGGACATGCGCTTGTCATCGATTAGTAGTCTTGAGGTCGTGGATCAACAAATTTATTATCGCTCTGTTTGCGCTGGCGCGTCAGTGAGCAGGTTGCTGGAGTTTCTGAGGTCGAGTTTTTGTCTGCATGATAGTGACAGTTGTACCTCCACAAAAACCACCTTAAACCTGAAACAGCTCGCCAAAGACGCGCAGAAGCAAGCCATGGAAACCTCTGCCGCAGCCGCGTCTGAGCCGGCGGAGTCGGTGATTATGCCGCAGCTGCTCACCCCCGCGCTGACACCAGCCGCGATGCAGGGACCGGGGATGTCGTGTATACTACTTACAGTGTTTTTAATGTTAGTACTACTTCTACTACAGCACGACCATGGGTCGTGATGAGACTCATTGTACTACATTACCACCAGTATAGTAATTATAATCACAAAAATCTTTATCAAAACAGTTATGCAGACTCCGATGATGCCGCAGTTTTCCATGCCGACGCCGATGATGCCGGCCATGATGCCGCACTCCAGCCAGCTTTCCGCCATGGTGATGCCTTCGATCCCCGGTCTGCCGCCCTCCGGCTACTCGCAGCTCTTTAACCAGGGCGTCCAGATTTTGCCCAAGCTGCTCGGCAAGCAAGCCAGCGGGTCGTCGAGTGGCGAGCAGCAGCAGCCCATGATTGGACAGCAGCAACTACCCGGCCAGCAGCAGAACCAGATCCAGCCCCGGGATGTGGCGCAGTTGTACGTGCAGATTGTGGAACTGTCGGAGGAGATCGCGCGCCTGAGCGAAATGATATGGATTGCAAAAATGTCTGGGTCTGGAAAAGTGTAAACTTGTCATGCAGATTTTCCATGACCCATGAGGTCTGGAATGCGGGACTTAGCATGACAGACTCTGCGAGGTCTCTGCCATGCCTATCCTGCATGAGAAGCTCCCTTCCAACTTGGTCAAAAGTGGACAGCTTTTGGCTCTCATGCAACACAGATTTTTGCATGCTTCAGATTTACCATGACAAGTTGCCGCCTTCCAGACCCAGACATATTTGCAATTGATAAATGAACGACTTGTACAAGAGAGATTTAGACACGCAGTTGAAGCAGGAGTCGAAGCTGATGGCGAATTTCGTATCAAATGTAAAAATGTCTGGGTCTGGAAGAGTCATGCTGTTTTTGCATGACGCAGAAGGTCTGGCATGGAAGCTCTAGCATCACAGGTTTCGAGAAGCGTTCGCAATGCCGAATCCGCATGACAAGTCCCTGACTTTGGTGACAGAAAGTGGGCGACTTTTGCAGCCTATGCATGAGAGCTTTTTCTGTGTTCTGAAATGCGCACCACAAGTTTGCATTCTGCCAGACCCAGACATATTTGCAGTTCATATTTCGAGGCGGTTTACAACGACTTTTTCAAGCAGAAGACTTTGTGGATGGAGGAAAAAGACAAACTCGAGAAGGACGCGACGGAGAAGGTCAGTCTCGCGAACGCGCTGGAGCAGCAGGTGAAATCCTTGAAGGCCACGCTCTCCTTATTACAATGAAAAATGCCCCCACCCCCGCACTTGGCAGCATTTGTATTGCAAACCTTTCCAATGGAGATATTGCCCGTCTTGCTTGTATCAGCATCACAAATTTTCTATGCTGAATCGCTCAAATTTATGTTGCAAAGGAGCCCAACAGCAGGCGGATCTGTTACGCAGCAGATATCTTGCGCTCGCGCTCCTAGATTCTGGATTAGAAACGCTCATGATCCTTTCATGCAAGACAAAAGGCTTTCATTTGGAAACTTTGCATGAGAAACGTTTGCAAATTCCGGGGCGGGGGTATTTTTCCCTGTAATACTCCTCCTCCACGACCGGAGGAAACTCCTCGCAAGCCGAATCGGACCGGGAAAAGCTCGTGAAGTTGATGCAACGGACCGCGATCTTGGAGGAAAACGAGTCGAAGATGGCGCGGAAGTACCAGGCATTGGACCAAGATTACAAGGCGATATCCCAAGTCGAAACGTCCCCACGCCATAGTTGCCATGCACATTCAACAAACTTTAACTTGAGATGTATCTCATGCGCGGCCCCATGAGGGTCATATCTGAGTGCTATCTGAGATGAGTTCTTTGTCATGCTGGAATCAGGACAAGGCGAGCGATTTGTGATGCGACTGAGCAGGCTGAACACGACTAAGCTACGAGTAGCAATTTGTCATGCGCAGCGCCCACATCTTGCGGATTTGTGTAGTAAAGCCCCCATCTTGGCTAGGGGGTGGGGACGTTTTTACTCAGGATAAGCGACGAAGCAGATCTTAGACACGATTGAACTGCAAGCCTCCGAGGCGGAGGACTACTTGAAGCAAAAAGTGCAGCAACTCTCTCTGTGGAAGCAGCGGGCGGAATCCAGCTTGTCTATCGCGAGTAAAAAAATCCAGGAAATGGTGCCGATGCAGGAGTACGAAAAGGTGAACAAGCAGCTCTCCACCTTGCTCCAGCGCGAGATGGATTTGCTCCGCCGACAATCCGACCTGTACGTGTTGAACGCGGAGCGGGAAGACAAACTGCGAAAGCTCGTCGCGCTGGAGGAAAAGTGCGCGGATTTGGAGCAGATTCAAATCGAGGCGGACTTCGAGTTGACGACGCTGCGGAACAAGTTAGAGTCCTTCGACGGGAACTTCAAGCAGGAATGCTTTTTGTTCCGGTCTCTCGTGAAGCAGCTGCAACGAAAATTTTCCCACTACGGCGAGTGGTACACGGAGGGCATGTTTGCGGACGAAACCAGTAGTGAAATTTCTCCCCCGTGGAAGAAAGTGGAGGACAAATTGAAGGTTTTGAACTCCGACCACGACGGGTTCTTGACGTTGTCCGCGATCTACGACTTTCTGCAGTCTTCCATCGCGTCGATCGGCGGGCAGCTCGAGTTGACACCCGAGGACATGGAGACCATCGCGAAAGCCTGCGGGGGGTCGAACGCCGATCTGGGGCACTTGACCATGACCGCGAACCAGCTGGGGACTGGCGCCTCAACTAGTACTGGGTTCGTCGGGGAAACCGATGTGAACATGAACGCGGGCGGAGGAGGACAAAATGCGGCGGTGTCCTGGCCGGGGAAAAAGGTACTTTAGGATTTGGCTTATTTCTTGCGTTATTCAATGAACATTTCTAGAAGTTTTACAACGAGGTGAGGATGGTGATTTCGCCAAAGATTTTTTCTTGTGTTTTATCTTCTCGAATGTAGCAGCTGCAGCAAAATGAAGCTTCTTCGTCTGTCACGACTGTGCCACATCGAATGAAGGCATTGGCATACATTGAAGTGATAGGGTCGAACCCCACTATGAACAGGTTTCCCTCCTGGCCTTTGTTTCGAAGCTTCGCCTGTTTGGCCTGCAGAAAAAGTCCGGCGAGGACCTCTTTTGGGCGGCGGTGAAACAGCGCGTGCCGCCGCAGCAGGAGCAGAATTTCTTCAAGATGCTCCATGTGTTCCAGAACAACAGTCAATTCGTAAAGCTCGGGGACATCTTCCAAGTGTTCAAAACCTTCGGCCTCCCGGCGTTTTTCGAGGAAAACACGCACGAGGCCTTGGCGAATGCGGAAGAGCTGCAGAAGGTGGCAGCTTGGTGCGGCTACGACGAAACGAGCGCGCAGCAAGTGATGCAGCAACAGCAGTACGACCACTTACCGGTGCGGCAGAAGCTGCTGCACATCGCCACGGTAAACTACCAGGACTTTGTGACCAAGTGCAAAAAGCAGTTCCAGAACGCCAGCAGGATGCTGCTAACCGAAGACGACGAGTTCAACCCGCCAATGCCAGGAACGGTCGTTTCTAACATGCAACAAGGTAGTTCTTATGACGCGTCTTCTGGTATTGGTTCAGGTTCTGGGCAGAACCAGATGCCGCAGCAATTTCTCTTTTACCCAGAAGAGAACAACAGTATCCCGCAGCAAGTAGTAGTCCAGCAACAATACAGCGCCTCGTCCAGGTTCGACACCAAACCCCAGGCCTCCAACACGCAGATGGCTGCGCAGATTGCGGAGTGGCGCATGGCAGCGGCGAACCGCAGGTCGGGGGTTCTGGAGATGGAGCTGAAGTCCAAAATCAACACACAAAAGGAGCTGACGAAGCAGGTGCAGGATTTGGAAAATTTGACCCTCCGGCTGGAGAAGGAGCTGCACGAAGAACGACAGTTACGGGCGAACACGGAGATCAAGCTCGCGGGCACCATCACCTTGCAGGAGGTCGAGCCGAAATTGAAGCTCGCCGAGTCCGTTTTGTTCGAAAACGAGCAGCTCAAGATCCAACTGACGCAGAAGAACGGGATTCTGCAGGTGTGCGCAAAGCAGTCGGAGAACTTGGAGCGGGTGATCAAACGACGGCAGGAGGAGAAGAAGCACTTGCAGGAGACGATCCGGATGTTGCAGGCGTCTGATGATTTAGAGTTGAACGTGGGGAAGACGCAGTACAAACTGCTGCTAGCGCAGTGGGAACGAAGCTTTGCGAACCGGGAACTGTCGATCGTTTCGAACGAATTGAAGGAGGTGAGGAAAGAGGAATTAACTCTGACGAGTAATTTTGAAGAAACGAAGGCGAAAAAGGAGGTGGAATTGAGCGAATTAAGAGAAAAACTGGCGGAAACGCTGCTGGAAAACGACAAGTTGCGGCAAGACTTGTCGGCGAAAAACAGTTTCTCCGTGGAAAAAATCTACTCTTTGACGAACCAAGTGGAGGAAATTTCGAAGAGGAAATCCGAGTTGGAGGAAGATTTGAAAACGGTTCGAAAATCCAAGTCTGTACTTTTGACCCAACTCGACGAGGCAAAGGAGCAAGCGCGGCAGGGACAGGAACTGTTGTCGGACTTGAAGAACGACCTGTTTGCCGGTGTGAACGCGAAGGGGGATAGCAGCATCAAACCAGCGGCATTGGCGGATGGCTCTAGTACTGTGTCCGGCGCACAGCAACAGCAGCCGAGTACTTCTACAGGAGCTGGTTTCATAGACCACACGGCGGAGTTGGTGGAGTCTAGGAGAAAAGTGATGCAATTAGCGACGAAGCTGTCCGACGCACGACTCCAGGCGTTGCGCAACCAACGGAAGGCGGACTCGTTGGCCGAGCAGCTGGATCAGTTGTACCGATCGAACGACGCCAAGGAACACACGATCGAGCAATTACAGAAGCAGAACGCGCACTTTGAGGTCAAGATGCAGCAGGAAGAGGAGAGATGGCGGCTGAAATTGCGGGAAGGACAGGAAGTGATGATGGCAATACAGGACAACAGGTAAAAATTTGTAGGGTTTTTTCGCATGACAAATTTTGATGGTTCATCGTTGTTTTCGCATGACAAGATTTTCTATTAAAAACCTCATTATGATGCTGCTTAACTTACAATACAGACCTGCCGCCATGCAACTGTTGAACAAGTCTACGGAACAAGCACCAGCAGGCAATCTCTCGTCGAGGCAGAACGTGTCCGACTCGCAGAACCTCCGCAGTTCCATGCGGCAGAAGTGGTCGCTGCAGTCGGGCATCGAGGACATTTTGGACAAGCTGCAGAAGAAATCGCAGGAGAACGAGTCTTTGAAGGAGGATCTGAAACACCAGGAGGAGAAGTTCAACCTCCAGCTGGACACGGTTTCGCGAAAACTGAAAAATTCCGAGATTCAGCTGAAATTACTGCAGGCAAACTTGGGGGATGACGCGGCGCAGAAGTTAAGGCAGGAACTGTTGCGGGAACAGGACGAGGAGGTGAAAAAGGTCGGGGAAGCGGCGAAGCAGAGCGTGAACTTGCTGCAATCCGTGATTGATCAAAAAGAGGAACAACTTTCCGCCCGGGAGAAACAGATACAGGAACTGCAGATCAAAATCAAGGAGGACCGAGGGTACCACCAACAGGAGGTGAACGAGTTGAAAACGAATTTGATCGCGTTGGAAACCCAACTGAACGTGCGGAATTTGCGAGAGCAGTCGTCTGGTGCGAGCAGCGCGCGGATTGGTGGCGGAACTACAAACAACAGCGGTCCTCTGGGATCTGGCAGAGGGGAGCAAAACAGCAGCGACACGGCGTTGAAGGTGATCAAGGAACATGGAAATCTGCTGGAAAAGCACCAAACCGAGCACGAGAAACTCCAGTCCGCGATCCAGAGCAAGGACAGCGAATTGTACACGTTGAAGGAGAAAATCGCGCAGCTCCACCGCGAGCAGGAACTGTACCAGCACGAGCGGAAAGCCATGGACCAGAAGCTGGAGCAGTCGGAGAAGAATTACGAGGCGAGCAATCTGGCGCGGATTGTGCAGATTTGCCGCATATCAAATGCAAAAATGTCTGGGTCTAGAAGGATGTAAGACTTGTCTTGCAGATTTTCCATGACCCATAAAGCCTGTAATGCATGACCTAGCATCAGAGACTTTTAGAGAGCTTCCTGATGCGCCTTCCGCATGACAGATGCCCTGTCTGCGTAGCACAAACTGGACCCCTCTTGCTGCTTGTGCAATGCTAGTTTTATTTTTCTAGAATCCAAAAACAGCATGACAAGTTCCAGACCCAGACATGTTTGCATTTGATACCGCAAGCAGCTGAAGGAAAAGAACAACGAGATAAAGAACCTGAAACAGATGCTCGAGAAGTGGAAAACCGAGCAGATCGAGCAAGAAGCAGATAAATTGCTCGCGAAGAAAGACGAGTCCAAGATGGAGGACGAGATCCGGCAGCTGAAGAAGACGAATCGGACGTACGAAGATCGGCTGGAAGACATGAAACGAAGGCTATTGACCCTCCAGGACGAAGTGATCGCGGGGAAATCGAAAGAAGCGTCGAACGCCATGCTGAATAGACAGTCGTTAGACTCGGAGCAGAAGTTGAAAGCGCTGTTGGAGGATGCGAAGAAGGCGGTCACCGGGAAAATCGACGAGGTGGTGGAGAAAGATAAGCGAATCGCAAGATTGCTAGACCGGATCGACGACCTGGAAATCGAGTTGGAGCAAGTGAAAAAACGGCCGGGCGGGATGACGAGCTCGCCAAACGTAATCGGGGGTGGAATTGGCATAAGTGGCGGCTCGGCAGGTACTATCGGCTCGCCCACTACGATTACGGGCATGCGGCAGCGGCTCGAGGATTTGGAAAATGAAAACGCGCGATTGAAGCGCAAGATCGAACGCGGTGGGAGTGCTGGTGGTGCCACTGCTGCTTCATCTTCCAGCAGCGCTGTGCCTAGCGCGCAGCCACTGAGCGGTGATCAAAGTGCTGTCAGAATTCGCGACTTGGAGGACACGGTGACTAGGATCCGGAGAGAGAGGGACGATTTGATCGTGAAGTTGAATCAACAGCCAGGAGGCACTTCCCCATCCAATTCCAACTTCGGCCTGGCTCAGAAGAACGACCTGCTGCGCCTGCAGGTCGGGAAGTTGAAGCAGCGATGCGAAAAAACGGTCGAGGAGTACGAGCAGTTGACGAGGCGGGCCAGGCAGATCTTTTTACTCCTGCAACGGGGGATGGGCTCGTTGGACGCGAGGGAGGCGCTGCAGCAGGAATGCAAGAAGTTGTTGGAAGAGTTGGACATGAACAGCAAAAAAGCGACGTCGTTAGACTTCTCGAAGATGTCCCAGGAGATCGGCGTCACTTCCTCGCTTGGCACGCCCACGTTAGGTGGGATGTCTACTCCGACAATCGGTGGAGCTGCTTCCTCCAGCTCTGCGTTCCAATCGGGCCTGTCGCCACAGGCGAGTGCCGCCGCGAATCAGGAGCTGCAGATTGTGAAACAGGAGAACAACCGGTTGAAATCGCAATTAGACGAGCTCACGGCGTTGCAGGCGAAGGTAAGGAGGTTGGAGCAGGACAATGTTGAATTAGAGTCGTTGCGGAGACGAGTGCGGGATTTGAGCAGTGCGTCCCCGTCCCGCGCTGGACTCTCTATCGAAGAGGAGTCGAGGCTGCGAAACGACTTGAAACAAACACAGGAAAAGGTCTACGAGCTGGAGGTCACGAAGTCAAGACTGACCCGAGAAGCGGCGGAGCGCGGTGGAAGTGCTGTTGGCACGACTACTTCTGCTGCCGGTGCTAGTAATAGTGCGCAACTCGCAACTTTGACCAGCAGAGTACAGCAGTTGGAGGTGGAGAATCAGCAGCTGCGGCTGCGGGCGACAAGCTCAACATCCGGAGTGCTCGGGACAGCAGGAGCTTCTTCAAGTTCTTCTTCCACGACCGAGGTCACCACCCTCCGAACGCAACTGACCGTCGCCCAGGACCAAATTTCCACGCTCGACCGCAGACTCCGCGAGGAGCAGCAGGAGTTGACCCGCCTGCGGGATCAAATCGTCACCGGGAATGTGGCTGTGAAGGACCCCAGCACAGCACCACCCGCGGGACAAACAGCCGAAGCCGCGACTACGCTTTCTGCGAAGGAGCTGCAGTCGCTTCGGGAGAAGGTGAAGCAGTTCCGCGAGGCGTATGCGGTTGTGACAAACAATAACGGGAAATTGTTGCAGTTTCAGAAGGACATGAGGGACTTGATCGAGAACCAACAGAAGGAGGCGAAGTTGGACGACGCGAACGTGAACAGGGTTTTGTTTCAAATCCGGAAGCATCTCGCAACCGTACAGTTTCTCCCAGAAACAACCAACCCCGACGACATCGCAGCGTCCTCTAGTCCAGACCGCAACGCGTCGAAAACCGATCTGGCCGAGGCGGAGGCGAGCCAGAAGCAGCAGAAGGTGTCCCAGTCCATTGCGAATTTGGTGGAGAAAAACGCAGCGTTGGTCCAGAAGGGTACGAACACCCGGGAGTTGCTGCTGAAATTGGACAAACTGAAGTCCAAATACGACGGCCAGGTCTCCATCGCCTCCTTCGAGACCGCAACTTTGCTCAGGGAGCTCCGCCGCTTGTGTCAAGACGCGAAGGAGCAGGGAATGCTGGCGGTTGACGTAGCTGAGGGAGGTGGTGCTCCTACAACTTCTACGCCTCCTGCGGCTTCTACGTCGTCTGCCGCGGCAGGTGCAACCACTGCGACAGCATCCTCCGCGCAGCAGTCGCAAACCGCGGAAATTATCAAGAAGTTGGAGGAGGAAAGATACAGCAATGAAGAGTTGATCAAGGATATCACGAGAAAAAAGTGTTACAGTTACACATTTGTTGGAGTTTCTGCATCACAAATTTTCTTCGTGTGGGAGGGAAAACTTGTAATGCGAAAATCATAAGGCTAAACAGGAAGGAAACGAGGCTCCCAAGCATTTCCTGCATGAGACAGGTTATCTGTGTTGCCGGTCTTGCAACACAGTGTGTAACTGTAGCACTTTTTTCTTGCGATAAAGGAACTCCGGTTGAAAATGAGCAAACTCGAAGACGAAAACCTCTCCCTGAACCGCGCGAACACGCGTGGGGATAGCTCCATTGCCGAATCTGGAAGGAAAATCACCGACTTGGAGAAAACCATCGCGGACACCAAGCAGCGGCTGGATCAGTTTCACTCCTCAATCACAAAAGCGCTGAAGGAATCGCAGGACAAGGCTACGGTCGCGGTTCGCGCGCAGCAGTCCTCGATGATCGGTCGTCCGGGGAGTCCGACCAGCATGATTCGGCCGGGCGGGGTGGTCGGTGCGGGGATGGTCGGGTCGTCCATGTACAACCGGCCGGGGCAGGTTGGTGCTGTTGGCGCGGCGACGACGGTGCCGAAAACGATTTTTGACCAGCTGGTGGCGGCGTTGCAAGCCATTCTGGACACGGAAACGCAGAAGAACCTGCTGGGCGGACGGGCAAGTACTGCAGGAGCTACTTCTTCCGCGGCAGCGGCCAGCAGTAGTCTCGTGTCGTCGCTAGTAAGCGGCGCGGGAGGTATTACTGCTGCTGCTGGGGTAACAGCAGCTGCTGCAGCTCCCCCGATCGTGATCGACTCTTCGACATCAAGCACACCGACAGTTAGTGCCACCACCACCGCTGCGCAGCCCACGACGGAGTCCGTCGCGGCACTGCAACAGACGGTGACCAGCCTGTCGGCGGAGAATAACAGACTAAGAGTGCAGGTGCGGGAGCAGGATCAGCAGATCGTGAACATGATCCAGAGCAACCCGGGCGGTCTGAACCCCGCGAACTTCGAGGGCAGCCACTCCGCCGCGAACGCGAGTTCGCCCGATTCCCCCGATAATTACCTCCCGACGAACTCGCTGACGGCCGGGCTGACTTCTGCTGGCGCAGCTCCGCAGCTGTCCGCGACGGCGCAAGCCGCAACGTCGACAGCGAATGTGAACGAAGTGGAGTTGCTATTACAATGAAAAATGCCCCCACCCCCGAACTTGGGAGCATTTGTACTGCAAACCTTTCCAAATGAAACATTCGCCGTCTTCCATCTATCAGCATCGCAGGTTTGTAACCGTGAATAGCGAAAATTTGTATTGCAAAAGACCCCAGCAAGAGCGGCGCTCATCATGCTGGCGATGCGATACACGCCTGGACTCTGCATCAGAAAGATTCATACTCCCTTTATGCATGACAAAAAGTTTTCATTTGGAAACTTCGCATCACAAATTCTTGCAACTGTGGGGGTGGGGGTATTTTTCACTGTAATAGTTGCTCGCGAAGAAGCTGCAGCAGATGGAAGATTTGTACACCAAAGCCTCCTATGGATTGCAAAAATGTCTGGGTCTGGAAGATTGCAACTTGTCATGCTGTTTTTGGATTCCAAAAAAATCTGTATTGCGTGACCAGCAACAGGAGTTCAGTTTTTGTTACGCGGAGAGGGCATTTCTCATGCGGACTAGGCATCAGGAAGCCCTCTAAAGATCTGTGATGCTAGATCATGCATTACGTGCGTCATGGATCGTAGAAAATATGCATCACAAATCCCGGAATCTTCCAGACCCAGACACTTTTGTACTTGATACCTCCACCGAGTGGCAGAGATCGGTCGAACAGGTGACGAAGTTGTCCAATGCGAACGCGTATCAAATGTAAAAATGTCTGGGTCTGGTTCTGGAAGCTTGCCAGGTTTGTCATGCATATTTTGGAAGACTCATGATGTTGGTGATGCATGCTCCAGCATGACAGATTTTTAGAGGCCTTTGTGATGCCTCTACCCCATGAGAAATGCCCTCTCCGGGTAGCACAAACTGGTGGAGTTCTGTTGCCGGTCATGCAGTGCAAATTTTTTTAGAATCCAGAGACAGCATCACAAGTTTAGAATCTTCCGGACCCAGACACTTTTGCAATCCATAACGCGAGTCTGAGCGAAAAACTGAAGGCCATGGACGTGTTTCAGACGATCGACGGGGAGCAGAAGCAGTCTTTAGCGACGGTCATTCAACAGCTGGAGCAGCTGGAAAAGGAGAAAAAGGGATATTTGATCGAAATCGCGAAGGTGAAGGAGTTAGAAAAAGACAACAAAGCCCTGAAATCCGATCTGGACAGAACCGAAATTTTGAAAAAGCGGCTGCAGGAGGAGCTCGCCGGCCTGGAATATTTGAAACTCCCCGTTTCCGGCAGCTCTGCCAGTTCGAAGACCTTTGCGCAGAACGTGGACTCGCTCAACGCCGGGCGCGGCGTTCGGGATTTGGTGGAGCGAGTGGTGGTTTTGGAGCACAAGAACGAGGAACTGGCGAAGGAGTTGCTCGCGCTGAGCGCAGCTGCAACTTCTGGAGGCGCAGCCAGCGTGGCACCGTCGGCGAGTAGCAGCGCCCTCGCCGGGGCGGGGAAGGAGAAGGGTAGCAAATCTGCTGGAAATACGAAAGCTACTTCCTCCTCCCACGTTCCAAGTTCTTCGCACAAGAAGGAGGTGTCCGTGCAGGAGTTTGAACATGTGAAGAAGCAGCTCGCTGAAGCGACAAAGATCTTCGAGATGGAGCTTTCCGACCGCACGGAAATCTTCCAAAAGCGGATGAAGACACTCTGCGCGGAGATCGAAACGGCCGTGGAGGAGAAGGACCAGGCGAATGCCAAGACCGAGCAGATGCAGCAGAAAATGCAGTTTTCGGAGAATGAGGCGAAGGAGTTGAAAAAAATCATTGAGAAGCTGAATGATAGACACACGGTCGATATCGAAAAGGCGGGAAATTTGGCGAACGACGTGCGGATCTTCGAGCGGGACGCGGAACGCTACAAGCTGTTCCGGAGCAGGATCGAGTGGTTCCAGAAGAATCTGTTGACAGATTTGACCACGATGCAGAACAGCCGAGGGGATAGAAAACCGAACGATGATAAGGAGAAGAAAGAACAGCAGGAGAAGGAAAACGAGGTATTTCTGGATAAACTGGAGGACGGTTTGAAATACTTATCGAAGTACATCGACGACGAGGCAACCTACACGGCGAAAACAAAGCACGACTTGGTGATGAGTTCGAACTTATTGCGGGAAGACCCGAGAGCGTTCACGGACATTAACCCAGCCGAGGTCGTCGTCGGGGAGAAGAAGACCGACGCCTCCACAACTCCCGCAGCTGTGGATGTTGAACAAGGGAAGAGAGACGAGAAGAGCTCTTCCTCCACTCCAGCAGAGGAACAAAAAGCCTCGAGTTCCACGACAGGAAAAAGTGACACCAAAGAACAACCAGACCAAAAACCACCTCTGACAGAAGCGTCCGCCGAGCGGCAGGCGAAACTGTCCGTGATCACAGACGGCGAGGAGCTGAAGCAGAAGCTCTTCGACTCGGAGGAGGACCGGGCGAACGAAAAGCAGCGATTTCACACCCGACTCGCCTATCAAAAGGAAAAATCCCCCCTCCCCATATCGAGCACGAAACTTGTGATGCTGTATTCGAGTACACAAATCGCCTTGTATTGCTAGAAGACCAAGAGCCGCAGTTGTGGCCTCGTTTGCAAGCAATTTGTCATGCTGTTTCGCACCTCCAGCTGCCTCCTGTCATGCTGAAGATGCAAGGCCTTCCCACGCCGCCCAGCACTACAGTCCGTATCTTTTCCCTTCTAGCATGACAACGCTGATTGGTGACCACAAATCTGCATCACAGATTTCCGTTTTGATATGGGGGGGATTTTTCTTCATGATATCACCGAACTGTCCGCCGTGAATATCAAGTTGGAGAAGAGACTGCAAGAGGTTGGCGCCATGGTAAAGGTCAACGTCGACGGCGAGCCGAATTCGGTGACGGCGACGGAATTCTTCCAGAAACTGGACAAAACGAGCAAAGAGAACGAACTTCTCGCGAAGCAGCTCGAGCTAACGAAAAAGCAGAACGAAGATTACCCAAAACTGAAGATCGAAAAGGAAAAGCTGGAGATTCTGTTCAAGAGACAATCCGAAGATTTAAGAGCGTTGGAAACGACCAAAAAAGGTCCGAAGGGGAGTAGTACCGGTTCTGTCGACGTTTCTTCGGGCGCGAAGCTGCAGGAACTGGTCGACAAACTGTTTTACCTCGAAGCGGAAAACGACGAGCTCCGAAAATCCGCGAACCACCCGAAGCGCAGCGGAAACTACCTGCAGAAGGCGCAAAACGCAACGGCTGGCGCGGCTTCCGCGGAGAACGTGAGGTTGAAGAAGAAATTAGCCGAGCTGTATCATATGTAAAATCGTCCCGCCCAACCCAGAGTCAAGATGGGAAATCGGCTAGACAAATCAGCCAGCTTTGCTTGTTTCGCATGACACGCCTGTCCTCGTAGTCTAGTCCTGTTGAGCTAGTTCAGCAGCATCACAGAGCTAGCATATCATGCTGCTCCGAGCGTCACAAATTCAAAACACAACTAGAAAACGCCGCGCATGGGGCTCCTCGTGAGAAACTTTTTTAGCATGCAGATTTGCATGAAGACTCTGGGATGGGGACGTTTTTTACTCAGGATAAGCTGAGCAAAATCTTTGACATGGAGATGCAAGAGAAGAAGGATTTGTTCCTGACACGGGCGAAACGGTTAGCGACTGAAGTGGAACTTGCCACCGACGTGAAAAACGAATCTTATCCTGAGTAAAAACGTCCCCACACCATAGTCAAGATGGGGAATCTGCTAGACAAATCAACCAGCTTTCGCTGTTTCGCATGACAAGTTTGCCCTCCTAGTGCAATCCTGTTGCGCTAGTTCAGCAGCATCACAGACCTAGCATATCATGCTGATTCTAGCATCGCAAACTCCAAAACACGACTAGAAAACGCTTCTCATGGGGCTCCGCATGAGAAACTTTTTTGGCGTGCAGATTTGCATGACAGCTCTGGTGTGGGGACGTTTTTACTCGGCATAAATCCTTGGAAAAAGCGACGAGTTTGTCGAAGAAACTGGATAGTCTAGAGAAGGAGATGCTGCTACTACAATGAAAAATGCCCCCACCCCCGAACTTGGGAGCATTTGTATTGCAAACCTTTCCAAATGAAACATTCGCCCTCGTGCATCTATTAGCATCACAGGTTTCCAATCGTGAGCAGCAAAAAATTGTATTGCAAAAGACCCCAGCAAAAGCGGCCCTTGTCATGCAAGCGATGCGATACACGCCTAGGCTCTGCCTCAGAAAGATTTATACTCCTTTCATGCATGACAAAACGTTTTCATTTGGAAACCTCGCATCAAAAATTTTTGCAATTTGAGGGGTGGGAGGCACTTTTCACTGTAATAGCTGCAGACAAAGGACGACCTGATCCAGTCAAACATCAATTACGAACGGGAGCGGACGAAAGCGGACAAATTCGAGCAGGAGATGACAAAATTGCTGGAAAAATTGAAGGAAAACGAATCTTCCACCGAGGCGGAGCAGATGGCGGCCGAGGTCGCGAAGATGAAAACGGAAGCGGGCGGAAGTGCGGGAGCGGCGGCTAGTAGTAGTGGGCAACAGCAACTGGAAGTAGAGGACCAAAAGGCGTCGGAACTGCAGCAGCAGGTGGCGAATTTGGAGAAGGAGAAAAATCACAAGTGGTCGAAGTTGTCCGAGGCGGAGAAAAAGGGCGAGTTGTTTTCCTCCATTAGATCCCGATTAACGACCGAGGGAATTTCGTTCCTGCAAATTTTGAAAGCGGTGGACACAATTGTGAACAGGAGCAGCAAGAATTCTATCTCGGGCAAATTGCCGCTCCGAATAGTGCAAAAAGCGTTGAATCAACTCCCGCTCTCGATCACCGCGCAGCAGCTAGACCAGGTCTTCACGCACGGCAGCGGGAAGGGCAACAGTTTGACGAGCTTCTTGGACGTGGACAACGACAACGCCGTAAAATACGTCGAGTGGCTCGCTGCCGTTTTGGAAGTGGCGAACGCGAGTGCGAAGTCCAGCTCCGACGCGGAGGCGACGCAGGAGTTCGTGTTTGAAGAAATGGATCCTGTCCCCCTGAAAAACACGGACTTCCACTTCGGGCTGCTAGGGAATTCCGTCGACCCGCTTTCTGGCAAGAACATGCTGCGGGGGTTTTCCCTGCGAACGGCTCTGCGCGTCGTTTTCTCCATCTGTTTGGAAAAAGAAGTAGAACCACAAAACACAGTGGTGATTACCTCGGACGAAACTGTGAAGATTTTGGAGCAGGTGATCAATTCCTTTTTTGAATTTCTGAGCGAACAGAAAGCGAAGGTTCTGGTCCAGGAAGTTCTAAACAAGGTGCTCTCATCTAGCAGCAGCGGTGATGTGCCATCTTCAGAGGTGGAAGGCAAAAACGCTGCTGCGCCCCCAACCCTTGCGGCCCTGGAGCTCGAGTTCGTCTGGCTCCTGGATACTGCCTTTTTAACTTCTCGAGGGGAGTACGAGGCGAAACAGATGCTGCTATCCGAGGAGAAAGAAACCCTGCACATGATGAACTTCCTGCACAAAGAAGCAGAGAGTAAAGCGGAAAATGAGAATGCGCCGGGAGGTTCCTCCAGCAGTAGCACTTCGATGGTGATCAAGTCGAAGGACCAGGGGCCGTTTGCGCAGTTACGGAAGAAGGTCGCGAGGGAAAAGTTGAACATCCGGAAGTTGTTCGACAAATACTCTGCGAAGGACGAGTTCCCCGGCGGGGAGGATTTTCTTTTCGCGAAAAACTTCCAACAGCTCGTCAACGGCGAACTCCCGCCCACGGTGCACATTTCGAACGGCGCGGAGACGGTGCAACCAAGATACAGTGACGGTCTACTGGAGTACAGCTTCGAGGAGGTTGCGCAGCGCTATCTGAAGAAGATGAACTATCCGCGAGGGTTCATGCAGTTCCGAGATTTCGACTTAGAGCTCCGCGGGGAAACGTTCCCGAACTTGTTTGAGAAGATCCGGGCGAAGATTTTGAAGAGGAGAAAAACTTCTGCGAGCAGTAAAATGGGGGAAACAGCTGGAAGAGCATCCTCCGTCGAGATCGAGGAGGAAGTTGCGGAGCAGGAAATCCGCAGTGCGCTCCCACCATCCTCAGATTTGTCGGGCGCCGAGTCGGACAGGCTCACGTATCCGGACCTGGACCACTTCTTGCACAAACTCCAGTTCGAGAAGCAGGAGTTCAGCAAAAGGGAACGGCTGCAGGTCGTGGACGAGGCGAGCAAATCACGCAAGGAGTTCATCTGGCGTATCAGAAGTTCGCACCTACTGCAAAACACGATCCAGGTTCTGAGGAACACTTTGATAGAAAACAAGTACAGCTTGATGGACGCTTTCACCCAGGCAGATGAGGACCGCGACGGGTTCTTGTCTTACGTCGAGTTCAAGAACCTGTTCGAAAATCTGAATCTCTTCCGCTCGGTCTCCGGGGTGAGTGTCTCCAAGGCGGACGTCTCCAGCTTGTTCAACGTGTTGGACCAGGACACGGGAAGTGGCATGTTGTCCTACCAGCAGCTGCAAGGAAAAATCGCGTACCCCGACGCTGTGGTGGAGATGTCCTGGGCGACGAGTGCGAATTCAATTTCGTCGTCAGCCGACGGCGCAACAAGTGCCGAACAACAAGTGCCGATGAATAACAGCGCTTCTTCTTCCTCTTTGCTCTCCTTCCCGGAAGCCGAGGTTGGCCGATCGCGGCAGAAAGCGAGCCAGTGGCTAGCGGGTTCCGCTTTGCCGATCATCAAATCCCGGCTGTACAGCTACATGAAGCAAAACCCCGGCGCGGGTTTGTCCATCCGCTCCGTGTTCGCGCAATTCGACCACCGGGGGTTAGAATCTTTAACCGCCGCGCAATTTAAGAAAGCGGTGCAGACGATAACGAGCAGGGGGACCAACCCACAGAGCCTATCCGAGCAGAAGGAGGAGGATGCTGCGATTTCCAGGATTTTTGAGTTTTTGGTCTTGAAGCAAGACTACGCAGCAGGAGCCTCGTCTAGCGAGCAGCCGAACATGAACCAGCAGAACCTCTTGAAATTGGACTTCCTGATAAAGTCCATTCAAGCGGCGAAGGACGACGGTAATAACGATAACAACGCGAGTAAGTGGACGGAGGCGATGCCGGCGGTGTCGGTAATCCACAATGCGTTGAACCAGCAGAAACTCTCTTTAATAAAACTACTCAAGGAACTCGACCCCCTCCGAACAGGGAGAGTTTTGTTCCACAGTCTCTGCGGACATCTCGCCCGGCAACTGAACTTGAAGCTGGAAACCGTGCGGAAGCTCCACTTGCTGGTGATTTTAGATAAAAACGGGATGTGCTTAGCGGACGAGGTGTCCAAGGTGATTCTCCGCGATTTCCCCCTGCGGAAGATCGCAGGAGGGATAACGTCAAGCGCGAATATGAAATCGGCAAAGAACAATATTAACCTCCCACCTCTGGAGCAGGAAGCTGCGAACAAGGGCTCGAGTAGTATTAAAGCAGGAGGAGCCACGTTAACCGCGGACCAGCAGCTCGCGCGCAAATTGAAGAAGCAGGTCGAGAACCTCGGGAAACAGTTGAAGCAGGCCGAGGAGCACAAGGATTACTTGGAGAAGGAATTTCACAAAGTGCAACTGATCAACAAGGAGAATAGCAAGGCGAACGAGATCCGCGAGAACTCCAAGAAGTTGGAAGACCAGGTGAAGAACTTGCAAGCGGAGCTCGAGCACCACCAGAACAAGTCCAGCAACGCGGAGATTGAAAAGTTGAAGACCACGGACCAGTATCGCAGTCAAATTTTCGAGTTGGAGTCGAAAATTGAGACGATGGAAAAGCAATTAACCATTGACGCGAAGGAGCTGCTCGAGCAGGAGAAGCTGAACTCGAAGCAATTGCAGGAGGAGCTGGACAAGGTGAACCAGCAGTGCGTATTGTGAGGAAAAATCCCCCCTCCTCATATTAAAAACGCAGCCGGCTGAAAATTAGTGATGCAGATTTGTGATCACAAATCCTGGCTGTCTTGCAAGAAGGCAACTCCAGAGAGTCGGCCTCATTATGCCAGCCGGTTGTAATGCTGTTGGTCCTACAGCGTAGACTTTTGTCATGCTGAGCGGGTATGTCAAAACCTCTATGCTCAGGCTTAGCATATGTCTGCAGTACTCTACTGCAAGACTAGCCCGATTTGTGTACGCAAATGCAGCATCAGAAATTCTGTTCTGGTATGGGGAGGGGGGATTTTTCCTTTTGATAGTGCGAGCAGGTGAAGTTCGAGTTGAAGCGGGTGAAGTCGATCCGGTTAGGGGACGACTGGGCGCAGCGGGAGGAGGAATACATGACAATCAACTTGAAAGTGCGAAAGCTGGAAGATTTAACGGCGGACTACGCCAAGCAGATCCGGGTACTAGAATCCGACGTGAAAAAGAAGGAGATGAAAACCATGGAATACCTGTTCGACAAGACGCAGTGGGAAACGAAATTTATCAAGTGCAAAAATGTCTGGGTCTGGAAGTAGAATACAAACTTGTGATGCGCATTTCAGAACACAGAAAAACCTCTCATGCATAGGCAGCAAAAGATGCCCACTTTCTGTCACCAAAATCAGGGAGTTGCCATGCGGATTCGGCATTGGGAACGCTTCTCGAAACCTGTGATGCCAGAGCTTCCATGCCAGACCATCTGCGTCATGCAAAAACAGCATGACCTTCCAGACCCAGACATATTTGCAATTCATAGCATTCAACCGCATGCAAAACCGGATCCGGGAACTGGAACTGATCAACCAGAGCAACCAGCCGGTCTCGCCGAAGGGGAGGAATTCCTCGGGTAAAACAGCGGGAGATAGTAGTGCAAGTTCCTCGTCGAACAAAGCGCAGCCACAGTCGAAGCGAGAGAAGAACTTGGAGGCCATCGTGGAGGGCATGGAAACGGTGATCAATAAGTTGAAGAAAGACAACCACCGTCAGATACAGGAGCTGGAAAGGCACCATAAGGAAGGAAAGAAACAAGGTTTAGATTTTTTTTGTTATGCATGACCTGTTAAAGCTGCAAGTAGAAACTTGTGTCAACATGCAAAAATTCTGTCGCTCGATAACGATATAGACACGTATCACAAATGAAAAAAGGTGCCCTCCTCGCGGAGAACCAGCGCTTGAAGCAGCAGATCGAGGATCAGGCGAACAACAACTCCTCCAATACTATGGACTTCGGGAAAAAGATAAAACAGCTGCACGACCAGATCGAGGTTGCAAATTTGAAAAACGCCGAACTGGAGCAGTTGATCAACAAGTACGAGCCGAAACTGGAGCTGCAACAGGAGCAGATTGAGGAGCTGCACATGCTGCGGCAGGAGGACAAGGAGGCTTTGGACGTTGCCCAGGAACTGATGCAGGACGTGACGCAGACCGAGGAACGGTATCGAAAAATCGTGACGGAAAACAAGGATATGCAAGAAAAAAACTCTGTAAGTGTAAGTCCGTGATGCAGAAAATGCAAAACAGTTACGCTTGTCATGCTTCACATGCATGATAGGCTCGCTTCCTACGTGTTTTCCCACCCTATCTGCGCATGACAAGTTTTTCCTATCATGGCAGACAAACTTGTCATGCTGTTTTCCCAAGAGACCTACACTAACACAGTTTTTTCCTTCGATAAAGGAGTTCAAAAAAGCGGTGGAAAAGTACGAAAACCGCGAGTTCAAGGAGAAACTGGAGGTGATGGAAATCTTTTTCGCTTCCGGCCGCCCGTTGTTGCAGCAATCCATGGAGATTTTGAAAACGCTGCGGGAAAAATACCCGTCCTTGGCGATTCCACCAAGACTAGTGGAAGCCATGGAAAGCTTGAACGTCGCGGCGGCGTGACGAGGTCCTTGACGGGGAAGAAGTAAAAATAGCAACTTCATCTACCGGGTCGTGTTCTTGAAAGTGAAGCTGTCGGCGGGTCGGGAGTGCTGACGGTATTGGGAAGTTGTACTAGGGAAAAATAATGATAATTCTTCAGAAATGAGGACAATTGAAAATTCGATAAAAAACAGGAGTAAGTCATGATTGTGGTGAATCAAATACATAGCCGGGGCGGAGCAGTGGCCCACGCACTCTTTTTGGTGTCATGCTCTCTGGTCTTGGAAAGGATTGTCGTGAATCACGATTAGGGTATTTTCGCAGTGAACTGTTTTTTCTTTTTCCAAATGAAGTATCTTTGTAGATCTGTGTAGGAGTGCCTACAACTTTTTTTCGGGCTGTGCTGCTACGGCGGGAAAAGCGATTTTATTGAAGAGCTGTCGGATGATATGTTATTGAAATGAAGTCCTCGCCAAGTTTTACAAATGAATTTTTACTGCAAATCTTATGAGAGTCTGGAATAATACATCATCAAAAAAAAAGTTTATTTATTGAATTCGCGACCTTGCCGCGCTCTACTCCTTGCAGCACATATGCTGGGAGCTTTAAGGCTGACAAAGCTTTGGCTTATTCGCTCCCGGTCGGTTGCTGGTCTGAGTATGGTTACAACAGGTTTGATTGCGGTTACTGTTTGAAGATGCCTGCCTTTTCGCTTCCTTTTCTATGCAAATGCTTTTTTTTTCGCGTATTCTCGCCGGAATGCGCTGGAAAGTCCAGATATGGTCAATTTACCAAAAGTCTTGAAGTCAAAATGCTTGAAGTTTTACGAAATTCAATGCCCAAAAATAAGTAAGAAAATAGTATCGCTCGATAGTATCTCTCTAACGCAAGAATTGCCTGATTGAAGTCTTTGTCTTTTTTTGGTCTTTTTTCCGAATCTCTCAACTTCAATCGCGAATTGTCGAAAGAAATCAAAAAGTTACGCAATGCAAAAGTTTAGTTTACTTTACGAATAAGTCGAAAAATGTGTACAGCACGCGCTAGTATTGATTCCTGTCCGACGGCCAAGGAAGTACGTACTATCAATCTCGCGTGCCCGCCAGATTTCTTTGTTCAGGTAAAGAAAAAAGAGCCCAAAGTTAGAGGAAAGACAAGCGCCTTCTGGTCCCTCACGAAAGTTCTTGTTGGTGTTGTCACCGTGATGATCCAGCAACACAGAAAGATCTCCTGCGTAGCACTCTGAAAGAAAGATTTTTGGATGTAGCGACATACTACCAATAAAGATGATGAATTCCTTGAACACGAAAAAGATCCTCGTTTGCGTGCGTGTGTGCGACAGTCGAAAAGCGAAGATCTGCGTTGGAGTTCTACTCGAGGTAGTTGTTCAGTAGAAAACGATCTGCGTGCGTGCGGCGTCAGCGTTTCGATGTTATGAATACCTTCCCCCTAGACCATGTAGTAAGTTCCGATTTTGTATTCAGATATCTCCGAAGATACTTGGGAAGCGGTCCTCTCCTTGTATTCCGATTCCCCGCTTTTTAAAAAACCTCTTTAACAGAAGCTATCGCGCTTTTAAAAGCTCGAAAGAAGTAAGTAACCTTCACTTGACCTCTGTCACTGTTGCGTGCATCGTCACTGCGAGCAAACTCAGTCACAAACAACGTGGGGTTTTTGCATTAACCCTGCCACCTTTTTTTGAATTCATTTTAATACACGACGCCCATTTTGTCTTTGACAAAACATCCGAAAATGTTGTCGAAGAGAGGTTTCGCTTTGAAGTTCTGTCTATCAAGCTTGACCATGGCTAAGTCCGCAACCGCCGCTGCTTTGAGTAGCGGAGGTGCAGCGGCGGTGGTTGGCGAACCAGCTGCAACGACCGAGAAATATGAATTTCCGGTTCTGGAAGTGCAAGACGCCACCAGTTTGGCAAAGCTGCTTGTGAAGGGCGGCCCGATGAAGGGCGGAAAGGGATTGGTGGGCTTGAAGGGAGAAGGTACAACTAAGTACAGTGAAAGTGAAAGCAAAAATTTGTATTAGGAGCACGATCGTCGACGAAAAGTCGGCGTGGTGACGACGTTCAAGTTTAAGTGTGAGAAAAAACCACGCACAAAAAACTTCCACAGGTCTTCGCAAGCGTTTCCCGTTCCAGGTCAAGGAGCCGCTGGTTTACAGCACAAAGACGATCACATATCCAAGTTGGAAAAGCACGACGACCATCCCATCCCCGAGCCATACCCAAAGCAAAATTTCATATTTGGAAGGTTTGCATTCAGACGATAAGATATGCGACCACTGTGTCAGGTCTTCTACACTACTACATCAACGGGAACTAAAAGTTTTATTTTACGTTTATCTCCAGCCGCTTGTACTAGTACCTGTGGTGTTCGTGTTTGTTGCATTTTGATACGCAGCAGCCCCCCGCCGCCTCCATTGCTTCTCTTGCAAGCTCTCTTTGCGGCGGCGGATTGTTGTGTGGGGGCCTGGTGGGAGGAGGTGGTGGCGTTTTTCAAGGTGATCTCGCTTCCGAGGCGATAGAATCGTTTAGCCTGACTTTCCTGGAGGGCATCAGCTGGATCCAGCAGGAAATCGGCATCATGCTGAACTATCGCATGCTGTTAGAGCAGCCGAATATGGCGGAGGCCTTCGGCGAAGACCCTTCGAGCAGCATTTGGGCCATGATCGTCCCTCCGGGGGAGCAGGCCGAGGGCCAGAAGGTTGCCGATAACAAGTGGAGCATCGATGTGCGCTGGTTTCCTTTTCCGGATGAGAACGAGGGGGAGATGCAGAAAAAGCGCATTGCCGAACTGAGGGAATTGATGGAAGTCCGCGTGCAGAGGTATCCTTGATACGGAGTTTTGTTGATACTAGTTTAGTTTGAAATTCAAACATCACAAACGTTCCTCCCTCGGCAACATGCGTGGTCTTGTTCACGACAAAAACCAAAACTGTATCGTTTTGCATGCATCTACTACTGCCTTCATGTGAACAACTCAAATCAAAACGCAGCGGCTTGACCACGTTGAAGCAGAAAACTTTCGCAGAAGACTCCGTCCCGGCTTTGTTGCAAAAGTCGCTCCTCGAAAAGCTTTCGAACTACAGCAAGGAACAGGCGAAGCTTTTCAACAAACAAGTCCCCACCGGAGAGCCCACGTTTCACTTGCACGAACTGATGCCGATCTACTTGCGAGCCTCGCACACGTTCGCAAAGGACGTGCTGAAGGCACTGCAGCTCGAGGTCACCAGCATGTTGGACACCATGAAGGCCCGTCTGCTGGACATGAAGACCAACTGGAGTAACGCGCAATTGGTCCAGCAGCTTTTGCCGGACTCGGCGGAGGAAGAAACGCAAGGGTCCCAGGAGCTTGCAGAGGCGGAGTGGAGAAAAAACATCGTCGAATACATGATCGACATTACGGCTCCTACAACCGCTAGCGGTGGTGTCGCCCAAAATGGCCGAAATAACTCTTCGTTTCTGCAGCCGACGAACAAGGTCGAGGAGGTGATTTTCTCGCAACTAGCCAAGTCCATGAAGAAAGACATCGACGAGCAGCTGCGGTACTTGGCGGAGGTCAGGCTCTTCGATTTCGAAAATGACCAGCAGTCGGGCTACAGTCGAAACTTGTGGTATAAATAGCGGACATAATAATTGATGTACCTCTTGTACTATCGGATTTGAGGAGTAGAGTCTGCGGAAATAAATGCATCGAGTGCATGAAATAATCGCCAAAAAGATGACCACGCGGAAGATCATCTACTTCGTGCAAAAATCTTTTGTGCAGTATTTGTGTAAAACTAAAAGTACGAAAAACTACTATGCATGAGGATGAACTATCAAGACGAGATGAAGAACAACCAATCTTCTGCTATGCTCAGGTACCCGGGACGGCGCGACCAGTTTCCCACCGCACCCGTGACGTCCGCGGCTCTCGCGCAGGCGGCCAGCGCGGAGAACGACAGCGAGTCGGACCAGGAGGACGAGCAAACGCAAAAGCTGTGGGCGGGGTCGCACACGGACATCTGCGCCATGACCTTGATCCCGGCGCCGAACGACGAGGGGCTGGAACTGTTCACCGGGGATTTGGAAATCAAGGAAAGGCCGAACGAGATGAAGAAGTCCGCGAAGAAGCAGTGGGCGAAAATCAAGGGAGACAAGAACATCGACATGTTTTTGTTTCTGTCCGATTTTCTCGAGGCCAACACGTCGTTCAACCTGATCATCCGGAACGAAATCACGAACCAGCCGAAATCGACCGCGATTCTGAAGTCCATGTGGCACCGCGTGATGATGACGCGCAAGCAGATGGTGACCGGGAACGGACGGGTGTCCACCCCGATCTTCTACAACACCAAGTTCGGCACCTACGTGTCCAAGCACTACCCCCGTGCCGAGTGGTTCTTCAACGCAAGGATGCACAACACCGCCGGAAAGTCCTCCGGCATGGACTTTTCGGTCCGCCCCGACTTCGTATGCATTGCAAATATGTCGGGGTGTGGAAAGTTGTGATGCAAGTCAGCGAACAAATGGCAGACTGTAATGCACCGCCAAGCATGACAGGTTTTTTCGTGGCTCTGTGTTACGTATCCCGCATGAGCAACTGCATTTTTGAATGACAGGCAAGAGAGCTGTTCGCGGCCACGCCATACAGAGCTCAGAGTCATGCCGGAACAGCATGACAAATCTTGCGCTCTTCCAGATCCAGACATATTTTTTGCACTGGATACTTCGACGGCACCAACAACGTTTTCGTCACGGTCGAGGAGATATCAGAAGGAAAAATCCGCCCTCCCCATATCGAAACGAAGTTTCTGATGCTGGATTTCCGTACACAAATCAGATTTGTCTTGCAGTAGAGGACTGCAGGCATATGTCAAGCCTCGGCCGAGGGGTTTTGACGTAGCCGCCTAGCATGACAAACGTGTATGCTCTAAGCCCAACAGCATCACAAACCGCCTGCAAAATGCAGGGGGCTCTCTGGACTTGCCTGCTTGCAAGACAGACAAGCTTTGAGGTCACGAATGTGCATCACAAATTTTCAGACGGATGCGGTTTCAATATGGGGAGTGGGGATTTTTCTTTACGATAGGAGATCGGCCGCATGTTGGCGGCCAACCCGAGCGTGGAACAGCAGCGGGCAGCTTTGCTGAAGAAGGGGCACTACACTAAGGAGGAAGTGGAACAGAAATTGCGCGAGACCGGCATGCAGCAGTCCGGCCGGGAGAGGTTGCTGGAACTGCAGAAGATTTGGAGCGGGCAACAGGGGAAGCGATTAGTCAAGAAGGGGGACGCCAAGACCAAAGAGTTGGACGTGTTCGAGAACGCATGGGATAAAGAGTCGGACAAGCGGAATGTGCGACTGCAGGAGCTGATGCGCGAGCGGTATTTGTGGGACCAGGAACGGTTTCTGAACCCGGAAAAATTCACCGAAGAGGTGGAAAAACCAAAATTGGAGGCACTCACGGAACAGGTTAAAAACGCGAAGGCGGGGGCACAGTGAGAGAAGAAAGATATTTTGATATAATGTTTTTTGATACGCACCATCTCGAGCTCGTCGCCCTCGGCTGAGGCTGGTGGTAGATCTAGATAGCGGTGTCTGTGCAACGAGGACAAACCAACGATATAGTGCTCAACCTGCACAAAGGCGGTCGCTGACTAGGCAGTAGCGCTAGCGATCTACCACGTTCATGGAAAGTCTGGACGCAAGACTTTTCAGAACCCGGGCGCGGTCGTGATAGATGTTTGCGAAAATTATAGCGGGATATTTTTTTCCAGCAGTTTGCAACAAACTAACGACAGACTTATCGTCTTCTGCACACTAGCACATGGCGCGTTGTTCACTAGAAATACTTTTGACAGTTTTGAATCATGCATTTGTTTTTTGAAAACAAGAAAAGCGAACATAGTCTCAATCTTGCTTGCTTGTCGTAGAAAGAGAAACAAAGATAGCAAAGCACCAGATACGTACACACCTAACGAGGAATATTAGAGAAGGGGCAAACAGAAAGAACATGCACTTTGTCGAAAGCACGACCTGAATCGCAGACAGGCAGATACAAATCTGATGATATTTTCACGCGCAGAAGATGAACTTTCCTAGTTTTATCCTGACACCCGAACTGGTAAGTCACAGGCGCCTGCTTTGATGGGTTTGCTACTCCTTGGCCCGCACTTCCCGAGGACGCAGCTGTTCACCTTCATTGAGGTTGCGCATGGGATGCTCTCTTACCTGTGATTTGCCCCTTGAGAGATGGTTTTACTAGGTTCACTCCGTACTTGCCCCCGGGCCTCCTCTCCTTGCACTTTGAGTGAGCCGGAGTACGATTTTGTTGCTGGTCGAGCGACGAGCAAAGAATTCTTTCTTTGCCGGGATAATATTTTTGGAGGTTTATTTCGTTTTTGTGACAAATCAACCTACCACAATTAGTCGCGCTTCTATCTCCCTCGTTCTCTTCGTTCTCAGACAGCAGCGCGGCCGCTTGGCTATGCCTTCGAAAGCGGAGCAGAAGGCGCGCAGCGCCGCCAAGTCTCCCCCGACGGCCACCAAGTCACGGCAGAGAAACCGGTCGCTACGCATGGAAAATGTGAAAACTGGGTCTGGATGTGGATGAAGAAGCTCGGACTTCTTGTCATGCTCGGCCAGCATGACGATGAGATGACTCAAGTCTCTCATGCACGTGACCCACACACCCCCAGTTTATTTCTGTCATGCAGTGACGCAGTTTTTGTTTTCCTTTTCGAAGAAGAAGAAGAAGAGGCAACACCTGGTAAGAGGAACTTAAAAACTTGTCATGCCTGGCCAGCAGTTCTTGAGACGTTTAGATTATCCAAGCCGCATTCACAAGTTCTTTCCAGACCCAGACATTTTTGCAGTTGAGAGAGACCCACGAAGAACAATCCGGCGGCCGGTGGCGAGAGCGCCGCGGACACCCAGCCCCCGTCTACCGCGGCCAGCACGCCACGCACGGGGGATGAGAACAACCACCATCCGAGCAATTCGAAAGCAGCTGCCTCAAGTTCTTCCGCGAAATCTGTCGCGAAATCGCTTTTCGTGTCCACCTGCTTCTCCACGCTGATCCTCCTGGTCGGCACTGTCGCCTTGGTACAAACAGAGATTCTTGAAGTCAAGATTCTGGGCGACAGCGCGTTATTTCTGGGTGGAATTTTACCACGGACCCTCTTTAACAAGACCCTTGCAAACAAGGAAGCGCAGCCAAGCCCCGTCGTGTGTCCCGACGCCAAGCGGATCGAAGCAGAGGCCGTGCAAAGCACAGTTGCGAAGATGGAAATGACAGCGAAACAACAGGTCGACACCGCGGTGGCAGAGGAAAAAAAGCTCGGGGAGAAAAACTGTGCAGCAAAAGTGACCGACTTCCGGCAGACTAGTGCAGCGGAGAAAGACGTGCTGCAAGCAGAAATCGACGGGCTGCAAAACGAGATGCAGAAGCTGAGGACAGCGCTGCCCGCACCCCTGCCGCCCGGACAGGTATTATCGGTGGAGAAATATTTATGCTTCAATGTGAAGATCATGAGACGTCATCCATAAGGTACTCAAAAGCTGTATTTATTGTACAGGAAGTTGAAGTAGATCCCGTATATTTGCCGATGTGCCGCTACAATTGTGAACAAGATGCACAGGAATTACGGAAAAAGCGAGTGTACCAGACGCAGGAGAATTTCCAAGCGGTATTGAACTGCACTGCCTTGTTGATCTTTGTTGAATCTGCGAAATTATTATAATATAGACACAACTCTTCCCAGGCCGCCCTCGTTTCCATCCGCAAAGTGCAGCAGCTGGAGCTGCTGAGCCCGAACGGTTTCCAAAATGAGGAGGAGCTAAAAATCCGGCTTTTTACGTGGCAGTGGATTCTGGCTAAGATCACCGAGGCCGTCAGCTTGAGCGAAGATCCGAATGTGCAGGGTATCAACTGTAAAAATGTCTGGGTCTGGAAGAATGCAACTTGTCATGCTGTTTTTGGACTCTAAAAAAATTTGTATTGCATGACCAGCAAGAGGGGTCCGGTTTGTGCTACACGGACAGGGCATTTCTCATGCGGAAGGTGCATCAGGAAGCCCTCTAAAAGTCTGTGATGCTAGGTCATGCATTACAGGCATCATGGATCATGAGAAATATGCATGACAAACCCGGCAATCTTCCAGACCCAGACATTTTTGCACTTGATACAGGGCCAGGCGTTGCAATTCGTGCAGCCTATCTCTCGCAAAAGAATCAAGTACTGAGTCGTCGCGCAAGGAACACAGGAGAACTTGTTATTGCATGCCCGCAGCAGCACCATGTTGAGATACCACGGAGCACATCGACACTCCTCGCAGGCAGCGGCATTTTCAAATTTTTCAGCGTTGATTTTCGTTCGGTGTATATTTTTCGCAACATTTGCGCAGATGATGATGTATTTTTGCGCTCATAATCCAAGTGCAGCAACAATTGGGTCAGATAGGCTCCGTCGAGCAATACACCATTTTCCTGCAGAACGCCTATCAGGTAGGGTTCAATTTTTTGTCGAGATAAATTGCGACAGATGTTATGTTGATCTCTGACTTCATTTTGACCCCTATGTATGAATTGGAACAAAAAACGCAGAAAAATTGTTCACTCAAATAGGTCGCTGGTGCGCTCGAGGGATTGCTGGCCAGCACGGGGGAATTTGCGTTGAACAAGATGTACTTACCAGCGCCGATGCGAGGGGAGTGGTGTGGTGACGAAAGCTGCAGCTGAATTTTGCGTCCTTCTGACTATTGAATCAAGCGGCCACACAGCGCCTGACATTTCATTGACTTTTTCAGGGTTCTACTTGCAGTAGACCGTTCTTTATGGTTCTCTGTACACAATCTATCTACCACGAAAAAAGTAAAAATACAGCGCACGAGCTTCATACGAACGACAGAAAAAGTAAAAATTCATGCTTCTGTTCGGTGAGGGTAGAAAAACTTCCGGGCAAAACATTACGTGGCTCGTCGAACGAAAGGCATGATCTCTCGCTGTGGTCACAAATTAATACTCGCCCGAAAGTTCATCTCACTCCACTTCGCTGCTAGAACCTAGGAAACAAGTGTCGTGCAGGTACTCCTCTTGTGATTGTGTAGTCGTGGCATTTTCCTTGGTGAGGGTACCAAATAGTACTGGCTCAGTATCATACCCTCGCGCTAGACCGCGTCTTCCGTTCAATGGTAGAGCGATGAAGCGTAGTTAAAGAGCTCTAGTGGAAAATTTGTAGACGGAGCTACAATGAGAATGATTCGTTGTTCAGTGTCGGAGCGGAAGGAAGACGTCTCATGAAAAGTTGGTATTGCTGAGCTTGAGAGGTGGTTCAGTACCTCAACAAGATCGCCCGTTGTACTAAGTAGATCAACTACAGAGTTGTAATTCTCGCGAATTGCTTTTACAGTTTGGGACCTACTAGAGGGTCGCTCCCGCCCCGAATTCGGTACAACTTACATCAACCAGACCCCGACCTTGTGAAGACCCGGTCTTTAATTGTTTCAGAATCATGTTGCAAGCCAGCAAGGCGAATGTGGTCACGAAATTCCACCTGGAGGCACTGCACATCCGGCAGGCGGAGCTCCAGTACTTCCTGCTGGTGTTTTACCACGCAGTAAATGTGGACGGTGTCACTCTGTGCATTGATTTACATTTCCGTAGCCTCGTAAACTTCTGCAAATTATGAGGCAAGTGATCGGAGGATGCGGTTGAGTTGAATGTGCTTCAATTCGTCCAATCGCGAAATTGCGATTTGCTTATGCATATACACATAGATATGGAAGGACTCATCTGCTAACTACTGGAAAAAAACCACAAGGAAGCCGAAGTGCTTTGATGTCGAGCAGAAAACGTGACCTAGAGACTTGCCTGGCTCGTTTCAAAGCCGCCGCCACAGGTTCACGTTTACTGGCGATAGCTCCTCTCGCATGCAAGACATCGCGTCGTTCCTGGGCTTTTCCGCATCCGCCGCCCTCTCTGTCGATTTCGATACACACTACGAGAAGGCCGTAGAACCTACGCCGTGGGAGGACAGCTTCCCAGTTCTTCCCGGCCCCCTTTAATCGTGCACGTGTCATTCGTGAGGATGTAGATTTTCAACCGAGCAACAGATACTGCACACGTACTAGAGGTGCATATTAGAAAAAGAGTGCAGCAGCTCTGTGGAATATGCCAGGAGTTTGTTTTTGCGTTGCTTTGCGCCTACAGTAGAACAGGCACTCATGAAAATTCTCAGACCTACGCATGAGAACTTGTAGGCGGGAAGCAGGGTGGGAGTTTTTACACATGATAAAAGTGGCCAAGGAATCTGGCCACGCTATCCATCACAGCGAAACGACACAGGACTACCTGAAAGCGTTTTTCTATCGCGTGTAAATTCCAAAAATATCATTGCCTCTCCCGTTTGCAGAGCTTACTTACTATGCGGTCAGAAAGAAATGCCTACACCTACTTACTGTACAAAATTCATGGTCAGCTAGTAATCAACATGGATAATTTTTTATATGGAGTGCTGCTTAAGTCGGAGGCAGAGCGAGGAGGCGGTCCTTCACCCGTTCCGCTTACTCGAATGAAATCCAATTTCCTTCTAGAATCCAACATAGTTAATACTTACAATCTTCACTTTTGCACTAGTATTGCATTCTCGCAAAATCGCTTGGGTATACTGGCGGAAAGTGCGGGAATCTGAGCGGTTATGAATGCTTGATTTTTACACCCGATATTGTTCTGTTCGTCGCGACCACATGTTTTGGGTCGTTTTTCACGGTGCTGATGATCTCCACCCTGTGCTCGATGTGGGGTCCTGGGAAGGCCCTGCGGGGGGACAACGCGGCAGCTATGGACTACGCCGTGATGGTACTCTCCAACGCGCACGAAATTGCCATCAAGTTCACCTTTCTCGGCATCATTTCTATCCTTGTGTCGTGTGAACAATAAAACCTCTCCGCGAGGACAGCATCGTTTTTTTAGTGCGAGTAGAGATCGTGAAAGTTGTGCAGGTCCTCCTTTCACAGCACCTGGGTTTACAATTATCACGTTGCCACTTGAGGAAGCCGCGCCGTCAGGGGGGACAGCAAAAGCAGGTCCATTTGCATTTACTTTTTGCATCGAAAGTTTGCTTCAAAAGCGATACTTGATTTCTCCATAGGGTAGGGATTTTCAGAGTATATTGTTGATGGTGGTTGGGTTATTGTTTCACGCACCGGGATAGTGGCTTTCATGTTCGCAGCTATTCTCCTGGTGTGGCTTTTGTTTCCCTGGAAAGGCTCCGTCCCGGCGTATCCAGGAAAAAATCTGCGCGAGGACGGCAGCTCGTTTTTTTTGATTGTGACAGAAATTTGTACTACTGCCGCTCGCCTTGCTCCGATAGGTTGGCATACTTTTCGTACCATTTGTAGTCAAAACGTGAGAGAGAATTTGCAACGATGTGTCCTGTTTAGAGTTGTATCTTCTCGTCGCTGTTAATGCGATGTCGGCATTACGAAGGAGATGTCGGCAACATTGCACAGATTTTTTTCTTGGGATGCTGCAACCGTAGTCCTGATGTTTTTCGCGGGCAAGCTGTCCGAGAAGTCGTTTCACATCTACGAGCACCTTTTCGGACGTCCCTACGCGAGCAGTCCCGCATCGGGGGAGCGGGAACTGGCCGCGGGAGCTGGGTATCATCCTGTATGGATTGCAAAAATGTCTGGGTCTGGAAGATTGCAACTTGTCGTGCTGTTTTTGGACTCTAAAAAAATTTGCATTGCATGACCAGCAAGAGGGGTGCAGTTTTTGCTACACGGACAGGGCATTTCTCATGCGGAAGGTGCATCAGGAAGCCCTTTAAAAGTCTGCGATGCTAGGGCAGGCATTACAGGCATCATGGGTCATGAGAAATATGCATGACAAATCTTGCACTCTTCCAGACCCAGACACTTTTGCATTTGATATCCTGCCTCGTACAACGAAACTGGCCGGTCGCCAAATTATGCCGGCAGAAGTGAAAGATGTTCGATCCGGAGAGAAGATCAAGAACAGGAGTTGCAGCATAAGTATTTTTTATGAGCCGTGCTGCACTAATAGGAAATGTGGTGAACAACTGACACTGTGCCGATGTATTTGATGTTCAAATTCGCATTGTTCCCTCTCTCGACTCCGCACGTGATTATTGATTTTTCTGCCAGCATAGTGGCAAGCAGTTCGTCTCCTCGGCATTGCGCGGAAATTTGGTCAAAGATGTCGGCGAGCTGATGGGCGACAAAAGTCTCGAAGGCGTAACAAGGGCCGGCATTTCTACTAAGTTTGCGAACTCAGTTTGATATTGCTTACTCGAGAGCTGGGCAGTGGAGAAGAAATCTTTCCTTATGAGACCCACCTGCGTTGCTCATCCAGAGGACACGTCGTGGTTAATTGAAGGTTTTTTTGCAAACGCAGAACGCACACGAACTCGCCCGCATCCGTGACAGACGCAGTGCAAGACGAGTTTGAAAAAAATCTTGTTGTATAAGCTTCTTCATCGTCGCCGGTGGTACAAAATAAAGTTAGAGCGTTTGCTTGTAGTCAACTCGAGTCGGCAGGCCAAGTGTTCGGTTTGTTCTTGATGTTTTTGCACGTAGTACTGTATGTAGGCCACAATAACTGAAAAATGCACTGCCACCAGTGTGTTGTGATTAAAAGACAGGCAAGGTAAATCGATGATCCGAAGAGCTTTCCTATTTGAAGACGACCTTAAAATTGTTCCGAAAGTGAAGATCCGTTTCAAATTTTGAACAGATCATGTGCGAGCAAGACGAGCCGAAAGTCATTGCTAGACAAAGATCCAGACATGTGAGCGCGGCGCGCCCTTTTTTTTTTAGGATATCGCTTGTCATAATTGTGTATCGCATTCGCACACGCACTACGTACAAAGGCAGACCAAGCAAATCTCGATGGTCGACGGCGGCTAGTTGAGACCGGCAAGCTCTTGCGAAGGTTCTCTCCACAGCGTGAATTTATTATTCTTTTTCATCGATTACGATTATTGCCAGGACAAGTACAGCTGTAGCTTTTTCTAAATTTTCAAAGCGGGTGTGTTTTTGAAGTGAAAGAGCCTGAAGAAACTTCTAGCCTTGGACTACAAAGGTTCTTGAGTTTTTTTTAGCTCGCGGTGGAATTCCAACACTTGGTTCAACATTTAGAGTTTGTGGCTTCTTATGTTTTCTGGCTTTCTTCTGGCGATAAGACTTTCCCTTTCGTTTTCATCTAAATCGCTTCATCTCTGTGATACCCTTCGCTATAACAGTCTCTAGAGAAAAAATTTAAAAGAGCTAGACCTTGTTTTCTTTTTAGAGTTGGTGTGTAAACCGGAACAAAATGAGACGAACATTGCTTTCCCTCGGCGTCCTCGCGGCGCCCGTTCTCGCGAAAAAGAAGCACGCCGAGATTGACGCTATGAAGCACGACATACAGGAAGTCTACGCCCGGAATTTTGACGCCGTCATCGGTAAGAACGCAGCACAATTATTCCGAGCTTCTTATATCACGGTGTTTGCTACGACTACTACTTGCTAGTACCACGGTGTAGATGTAGCATTGACAGTCCTTGTGTTGTGTGTTGCAGCCCCTTTCTCCGATTAAGTATCCCGAGAAAAAAGGGGAGCCGGCTTTCGTCATCTTCTGAAAAGAAGTTTTTTACGCATATCAATACATTACACAAACAACAGGTACCTCCCTTCCGCTCACGGTTTCGTCCGTGCTTTACTTCAAGTCTAGCAACAAGGGCGACGCGGCATTCCTCGAAAAATACAACGAAGTCGCGAAGAAAACAAAGAAGATGCTGAAGATTGCAGCAATGGACTGCGACGAGGCAGCAAAGCACTGCGAGCGGGTCGGCGTGAAAGAGACACCGCACCTGCAGCTGTACCCCGTGACGCCAAGGCCGCACTTCAAATACGAGGGCGAGATGGAGGCAGAAGCAATTTTGAAGCAGCTCTACAAATGTATACGAACTGTTTTTAATGTTGTGGAGAATCTTTTCAATTTCTGTGCAAGGACTTGCACGTCGTCCCATAGAGGGGCCGGCGAATTGTTCACCGTGTTGGCAAGACAACGCAACATTGAGGATGTCGCCCTCCACTTCGGACTGTCCTTGTTGAGGGCTAACGTGGAGGCTTCAAAGAAACACTACCCGTGCATTTGTGAAAAATAATTTAGATTGTGATGCGTTTGTGATGCGAGCATGGAAAAAAGCAAAACCATTCAAAAAAAAAACAGTGATTCCGGGCGACAAGGTTACACCGCTTACCACCGCGGAAGAGTTCGGCACTTTCAAGAGAAAAAATCCCACAAAGCCGAAGATCGTTCTCTTCTCCGACAAGAAGAAGGCACCAACAATTTTGAAGGGGCTCAGTACAGATTCCGTCTTCACCCGCACCGTCGAATTTGGCTTTGTCTTTGCTACGGAGGCAGACGCCGTGGTACTTTAATGTTGTTTTTATACGCTTTCCACTTTTTGCGATAGCGATTCTTCTGACGGCGCGAAGAAAATGAAAAGCAAGTGGCAGACTGTATCTATACCCAGGGCAAATGTCGGAAGTAGGAGCTTCCGGTTCGATGGAAAACCTTGATGAGAAGATGAGTGCCCGACGAGCGAGGGTGTAAATCCACATTTTTTGGTCATTTATCAATCCCGAACATAATTTATTTTGCCAGATGAACGAAGCTGGCGCGAAGAAGAAGAAGCTCCCAGCTGTCATGCTGATTGCGAAGGGAAAGCAACAGTGGTACAAGGAAAAGGACCTGTCTTTTTCCGCCCTCCATGAGTGGATCAACGTCAACAGTGAATCTGGTACTTTTGTTGAACTTCGCATACCTACATTGCGTATGCAGCAAGAGACGTTATGTTTTTGTACGAACAGTCTGTTGTCAATCTCAATTCGAATGCAGTGTATGTGTGAAGACTACAGGGTATTACGACTCCTATGTATGATGACTCCGCATCTTCATGACATTGACAATGGACTACGATGCATCTTCTTCACAGGTATGGGCGACACTGTGAAGGGTGTTGACGGCGCGTCCGAGGTGGAGGCAGAGGAGGTGGAGTACGAGAAGGTTCGTGAGCTGCACAGCAAGTCCGCCCAGGAGCTGTGCTACAAGCAGACCAACGTGTGCGCCATCTTCCTGCAGGAGGGGCCCAAACTGGATGACAAGGTCGCGGATATGATCAACAGCTTCGAGTCCAAGTTCGCGCCGAAGAACGACCGTGTACGGATTGTAAAAATGTCTGGGTCTGGAAGATTCTGACACTTGTCATGCACGTTTTGCATGAGCCCTGATGTCTGTGATGCATGCCCTAGCATCACGGATTTTTTGAGAGCTTCTTGATGCCTATTCCGCATGACAAAGGCCCGCTCCGCGCAGCAAAAATTGCATTCCTTTTGGTACTCATGCAATACAGATTTTTCTGGAAACCAAATGCAGCATCACAAGTTGCATTCTTCCAGACCCAGACATTTTTACATTTGATACCGTGGTGTGAAATACAACTGGATGTGGATGGACATCACGCAGGAGCTATTGAGAGGAAAAATCCCCCCTCCCCATATCGAAACGAAGTTTCTGATGCTGAATTTGCGTACACAATTCACATTTGTCTTGCAGAAGGTGCTTGGCGGCATTTTCTGTGCCTGTTTGGGTATGCAGAAGGCTAGCAATTGCGCATAGCAGACAGGTCTGCAGTAGTCAAAATTGCATGACAGACTTGCTCTGGAATGCGTTAAATGGCTCCTATGACCCTATATGCAAGACAAAGATGATTTGTGGCCACAAATCTGCATCACAAATTTTCGTTTTGATATGGGGAGGGGGGATTTTTCATTTTGATAGGAGCCGGAATTCAAGAAGACGCTGGACGAACAGGTAGAAGAGCTTTATTTTGTGATGCATAAAATAAAAGGTGTGCAAGGCAACTGATGTGTGTGTTGCAGTAGAGCAACAAAGAAGCCACTTTGCAAAAATTTGTGTTGCAGTAGAAGCCACTTTGTGTTGCAGCAGAAACCACTTATTTGCAAAATTTTTTCCAGTGACTATGTGTATGGTAGGACGATGAAAGACTGATCAGTCAAATGCGAAAAGTAAACATGTCTGTCAACATAAACATCCACCTAATAAAACTTGACAGGAGAAGAAGGTCGCGAAGAAGGAGGACCGCGACGAAGAGCCGTTCCAGTACCCGACTATGATCTTCGTGAAGCCGCCCAAGAAGAAGCGCGAGGAGAAGCTGTTGACCTACATCCGTCTGACCAGCGACGCCAAGGTGAACTCTGATTCCGTGTCCGGCATGGTGGAGCGCATCGCCTCCGGGGCCACCTACACGCGCGCGGACCTCCCGAAATTCGCTGTGCGGGCCAAGAAGGCCGCGGGCAAAAAGGACGAGTTGTAAGAGTTTTAGATTTGTAGATGGTAGTTTAAGTTTAGAATTGCGGCCGCGATTTGTTTGATACAGCTAAAGAACCCGAGACAAAAGAGTAAAAACAATTCCAAGAGAAGACCGAATAGTGTACTCTACTGGTGCCAACAAAGTCGCACTGCGCTTCCATACAATTGGTCGTTGTATCGAACAGCTTTAATAAATGCAACCGCGGCTTATTCGTGAATACACTCAAATGAACCTTTTCTTCAGAAATGCTGTAGTAACCTCCTCGATTCCGGGGGACCATCACATGATGAGACACTTCTGGAAAAAGAACAACTAAATTGGAAGAAATGACGAAATAGCGGTTGCTCCTTTTAGAACGAGGTTACTACGGTCTTCTCACATCATCTAAACGTCTAAACGTACACTCAGCAAATAACCTTTCTAGGTGTTTTTTGTTTTAGGTTTTTGTCATCATCATCATCACACTATGGGAACATCAATTTTCAGCGGAACAAGAACTCTCAACGGAGTTTTGCACCTCAGTCAGAACAAGTCCTTTTCAGAACCCAGGACAGCACTTATTTTCAGCGAACACCATGTCCAACAGCGATCACAACAGAGAGAATCGCCTGTGGCGCATAGTGAAAGACCTTTCAAGTTTTTTGGCATTACCCTCAAAGATGAGAACTAGTTTCGGCACGCTCCAAAGCGCTCGACCGCTGTACCGGTTGTACAGGGAAAAAATCAAGGAGAAGGCCAGTTTACTAGATCTTCTTGATGCGGAGGACATCGGCCGACAGGACGTTTTTGTTACTTCTGTTCTAGTGCGAAGAAGAATCTTGTTATGAAAGTGAGTGACGGCTTCTACGCGACGAGGTTTTGATGTATACCAGACCGAAAAACAGCACGAAGCAAATCCATGTGCATGTCGTATACTTAATCGTGGTAAAAAAGGAAAATCCAAATTCGTGATGTCGTTGTCGGCAACGTGGTCGGTTAGGTAGATCGTTACTTAGTCAGGAAAGCTGTGCGCTATCACTCACTCTTGAAATCATGATCTGACCGGGACCGTTGCAAGGAATGCCATCGTGCCTACATTATCTCCAATCGTTAGGTACAGATCCATTTTCAGAGATACGCCGGACGATTCTTTTCGTGGGATGGACTTGGTCATCATGGTTGCCGAACAGGCGTGTCGTGTGGTTTAGACGTCAATTTTGGTCGGTGAAGTCATACTCGTCAGCAGTCTCGGTCTCGGATAGTGTTTTCACCACTCCTATTGACCTATCAGCACTTCTAGTCAGGAGACAGCTTAATATCTCGAAGTGTAGTCAGAGTTCGTTCTCCGTATTTTTTTTGAACCTTGTTGTCGTTCGATCATTGGCTTGTCTCTTCTGCTGACGTATGCACAAAATTCCGTGATGAAAATTTACGTCTTCATTTTACACCATCAGCCATCAGCGAGATAGAATGTTTCCCGATGCTTGGGGTGGTACACTGCTACCCGGCGGCGTGTTGTCCTCCAACGATGGTTCTGAGGAAACTTTTTACGAGCTCCAGCTAATCTCGGCGAAAAATTTTCTGGACAGCGACGTAAAGCCACCTGCGTTTTTTGTCGACCCAAATCCGAAGTGGAAATGGGACGACAGGGGGCGCGAAGATGTTGCTGGTAGTACAGTGGGAGAAGGAGGGGATGATGTCCTGCAGTACGTCTATCTTCTCGAAGAAAGGGAGGAAAACCAGAACCAGTTTACGGAGTCAACATCATCGCACCAGACCAAAGATACAAATAAACCAGAAACAATCTACATCCCAGTTGGGAAAAAAACCTCGGATGTTTGTTTCGCACTACCTTCGACGTTCCCTGCGGCTGGTGCAGGGGCGGGCCGCTTTGTCGTATCCGACCAAAACAAACACGATGGTAATATCAAACAAACACTCGAAATGTCCTTCTCCGAAACTGTCACACCAACAACGGGCACGAGTCGGAGCGTCACAATCCCGCTTTCCGAGCTCGACACCGTTGTTTCCTTCTACGACGAAGCCTCTCCCGGGTTCTGTTGCTGGGTAGCGCCGAAGATCAAGTGTTACCACTCCTTAGAGGAAACGAGTGGGGCGGTTCGGGAGGAAATTGTGGTGCGGGAAACGGGGACAAACATTTACGATGCGATCGAACTCGCGCGGGAAAACCCGGAGGAGCAGCCGCGGGTGATGATCTCGCTAAAAACGGTGCGTCGCGGACGGCAAGAGGTCCGGCGGATGAGAAGGACTGCGGAAGCCGTGGAGATGGGCATCGCTGGTGAGGGGAGTAGGAACACGACCAGGGTAAATTGTGTTCCGGAAAGGGGTCGTGTTCTCGGGAAGTCTTCAGCAGGGATGAAGTACGACGAGAAGTCCTGCTCTAGTACTGAAGAACAAAGCGGTGATAATGTTCTTGATCCAGTGGCGGTGCCTCGCACGGAGCACCAGCAGAAGGCCTTGATGGTGTACTACCCGGAAGGAACTGCATCTTCTTCAAAGAACCCAGATGCCGATCTTGATTCCGAGGAGCCGGACCAGCTTTCGCTCTCCGCCCTGCGCCGTATGATGGAGGGGGATTTATTCCCTGCGCGACCGGACGAGGAAGCCTCCTCCTCGCCGCAAGAATTCGTTGCTCGGCCGTCCGCCGCAGAGCGCGTCACCTTTGTCACGGGGGACGAGAGGCTGGAATACAGGGCGGAGCCGGAACTCTCGATTTATGAAAACGAAAGAACGACGAGAATCAACATGCCGGGCGGGGGGAGTGCGAGAACCGTAAATACCGCTGGGAGTAGTACAACAACTACCAGGCTCGATAACTACAACAGCAACTATCTTGCGGGCAAGAATTATGCACTAAACAAAAGCGATTATCCCCAACAAGCAAGTACAAGTAGAACCACCAGCACCGACCTCCGGTGGCTGGCGACGGTGCGCACCCCGGAGAATGTGAACGACAAGGTTGATCCTATCGCGGGGGAGATTCGGTGGCGTGCCAGTGTATTGTCCGCGCGACGAACCCCGATCAGTGACGGCGCGCGGGAGGAAGTGGACGCGCTGGATTTGGTTGAAGAAAAAAACCGGCTGGACCTCCTGAACGCAAGAAGGGCGGAGAGGGAAAGAGAAATGGAGAGGATGCCGGAGGAGGAGGAAAATAAATCCTCTACGCAGGGGCTTCGAGGACAAAGTGAGGAAACGGTACTAGCAAGAAATAATCTACTAAGTCGTGGCTACGGTCGTGGGGCGTCATCCTCTTCGCTGGCGTACTGGAATCAATACGACGAGAAACTGGCAACGGCGGCTTTGGTTCCGCGGGACGGGGAAGAACGGATGGGAATCTTCCGGGACAATGAACCCAGCAAGGAACGACTGCTGCGTCCAAGCGGCGCTAGAACTACCCCCTTGGTCCATGCGGACAGTGGAGCGTATTGGGCACAGTATCCGGAAGAATTGGTGGAGGGAAACCCAGAGCAGCAGCAGCAGCGGGGACGAATGCAATCCACCCGTGTAGTCGGGAGCGGGACTCAGGGAGACGCAGCAGTTGACAGGACGACATCAAGAACAGGCCGCGCTTTCCCGAGCAGCACTGCTTATTGGGACCAGTATCCGTTAGAGCAGCTGCAAGATGGCGCTAATACTGCAGCCCGAAAAGGGCGTTACATGGCACCGCTGGTTGAAGAAAGTAGTCAGGACCACATATTTTTTGGTGGAAATAGAGATAGACCGGGGCAACAAGCCGCGTCCGACGGTAGTCTTTATTCTCAGAGGCCGCTACAGCGAGACGAGCGTGAAACCGGAGTTCTTGCCACCTCCAGGTCGCCGTCCTTATCGCGGAGGCTACTTCATCCCCGATGGAGCAGCGTCATGTCGTCGTCTGACGACATTCCGCACCGGTCCAGAGTCCTCCTTCCGCAACAGGAGGGACGAGTCAATATGTCTACCTCGCAAATAAATCCTGATGTAGATGTCGCCACCAATAACTACAACGATCAGCCTGGTGACCACGTGCAATCTCAAGGAAGTCCACTTGAGCCAGCGGAGAAGAGTAACAACACCTCCGGGATGAAAAGACCCCCGTCCTACTACGTGCCACAGCGCGCCCACCCCTCGGAGGAGGACGAGAGGCAGCTTTTTTTGGACGCCGCGCAGGAAAAATTTCAGTTCGCCCCCGCGGGACGGTCAACTCGCAACGTGGAGCGGTCGCGGCTGCTGTTTGATAAAATTCTCGAAAATCAGCCGGGCATGGCAAAGGAGAAACTGCAAGTGGAGCATTTAAGCTTGGACAGAAATACTACGATAAAGCAGACAGGACGAGATGAACAATTCAGAAAACCAACCGACTTGGAGCGGAAAAGAAGACTGGACGCGGCGAATTTGCTGCTCTCCTCCTCTTCGTCTGCCAGCTCGGGAACGGAGGAGGAAGGAACGAAAAGAGCTACCACGTCGAGCACTTCAATGAAAAATGCCCCACCAGCCGTTGATTTTCAACAATTTATGTTGGCTGAGGCGCTGAACTCGTCGGCGAAAAACGACAATCTGATCCAGGTGTTGCTGCGCGGATTGATCGCCGCGGGGGGGCGGAGAAGTGTGGTTGCGACGAACAATTTTGATTTTCGGAACAAAACGACAGCAAACAACCAGACCAACATCACAAACTCCACTTCGCTCTATTTCACCGCGTTTGACAAAACGAAGCGGGACAAAGAGCTGTACAAAAAAAACCGGGAGTTCCGCCACGCGGTGGCGCGCATGGTGGTCACGGCGCGCAGGTTTCTGACCTTGAAACGAAACTTCCAGGACTGGCGGGTGAATTGCGTGCACAAACGCAGAAAAATCGTGGAACAGAAAAAGAAGAAATCGGTGCAAAACTTTTTCTGCGCGCCTACAACTTCGGGGGCGATCATCACGGCGGGGGAGAAAGAACAAGATCTCGCGGAGATGGAAGCATCGGAAGGAAGAGGAACGAAAAGCTTCATCTCCTCTGTGCCGAACGAAGTTTTGACTACCTCTACCAGCCCAAACTTTGCACTAACTTCCCCCGCTCGCAGTAGCAAAATAGTACCTGCTTTGACGGAGCCAGGACCACAGCCTGCAGCGCTCAATAGTACTAACGAGGGATCATTTCAGTTCGAGGAAATGGATTTCAAGCGTGTCTCCGCTATTACCGGAGGGAGCGAAGAGGATTTAAAGACGCGCGCAGAACGCGGGAGCGGAATGGAAAGTGACGATGTGGCCGGCGCCGAAACTGCTGTGCTTCTCGAAGAGAGCTACAACAATGTTGATGTTTCATCTCCTGACGTTCGAAGAAGTGTGGCAGCAAATAAGAGGACTCTCAGCAGCCCACCTTCCATCACTTCTGATGCGAAGACCAAACCGAACGACAATGCGCCAAGAACAAGGGAGGAGTTACAGCAGTTGCTGCCAAGTAGAAATTCCTCCCTCCAGGCCAATACCTCGAGTAGAGTTCGTTCAGAACAGGAGAAGGCACAGCGCACTTCGGATGCGTTTTTCCAGGAGCAGCCAGTGGAGGAAGTAGAACGGGTTGTCGCTGCAAAAACCATCGCGGCAGATGAAGATAGTGATAACGACGAATTCCTTGCCAGTCCGGGCCTGACCCCCGCGGAAGTGCATTACGTCAGTGACAAGGCGGAGTTCTCGAAAAAGCTTTCGTCCATCCGAAATCGCACGTTTCGCAGCCACGACGCGGAAAAGAGGTTTGTGCTGGAAGACGAGGAGGATCTGAGACGCATTGCGTCGTCGAAGAACAGTCCACAAGCACTGGAGGAAGTGGACAATGAAGTTTTAGACTCTTCAGAGGACGCGTCGACAGAAGTCGCAGCGGGAGGGAGAGCGTCGCGCAGCACTAAGGAAAATAGTAAGGGGAAGAAAAAGAAACGACCGTCCTCTTCTAGAAGTCCCGGCAGGAACAATGAGTCGGCTATCGCCGGCGGGGAAGCTCTAGATGGTATTGCATCCGCCGGCACCAGTGGTCCACAGGCAAAGCCAAAGGCGGGCGGGAGAAGGAGCGCTGCTGTAATTGCGGGTGATCGACAAAATGCCACGATAAGTGCGAGGAAGAGTGTGGGCCCTTCTGGCGGAGGTAGCAGTTCTGCTTCAGCCGGTACTCTGGGTCGTGGAGGGAGAAATAGCGTTGGCGCAGGGGGCGTCGGAGCAGGGGTTGGCCTCGCAAGCAGGAAGAGTGTCACTGGAGGAACAGGGAAAACGGAGGCGGACAAGGAGCAGCCACCCGCGCCTGCCGGAAGGAGGTCTGGTGTAGCTGCGAAGAGGAAGTCGGCCTCCACTTCGGTGAATCTACTTCCCTCGGGAGGCGGTGGACAAGCCTCTGCTTCGGAATCGACCACTAGCAGTAAGCGGGGAACGGCGGCGGGCAGGTATAGGGGCGTTTTTCTTATGAATCACATCTGCGAAAGACAACGTCACTCACTGATAGTTACTTTACTGGAATTTTGGTCGCTGGTTTGGTGGATTTTTCTCCTTCTCGTTTTGGTTTTGCTCATCAACAAAGTACTAGCATTGACGAGTACTAAAAAACGATTGAACTTTGTTTCAACTCCTGAACATGCGTTAGTACAATTTATTACAGGTCTTCTCTGTCCGGACCTCTCGCCGGACCAACTTCTAGAAACGCACGGAAAAGCGCTGTCAACACAAACAATACAACGGACCAGAAAGAAGTGAATATCGAGAAGATTGTCGAAACGAACGTGAAAACCAATGCGACAACGAATGTCAACGTTACAAGAACCGTAGCGACGAGTGAGGAAACCACCGTAGCAACGAAAAACGTGGACCTAAAAACAACAACCACTACGACGAACAAAGCAGCGTCTTCTAACAAAAACACATCTTCCAACACTTCCGCCTCCACTGCAACGCGTAATGATAAACTAACCCCTTCGAGTAGAACAACTCCCGGCGGAGGTCGCGACCTCACCATGTCGGAGCTTGAGTCCGCTTTGGGTGCGTTAACGACGCTGTATGAAGTACGGGAATTGTTTTGGAACGACGAACTGAAGCGGAACACGCTGATCAGTGTGATGGACGCGGAGGACCAGGATGCGCTCGATGTCTTGAACGGGCGACTGACGGCTTTCATGGAGCGAAGCGGGACGTCCATGGGAACTACCAATTCTTCCGATACAGCAAGTAAAACAAGGCAAACTACGCTGACGCTCTCCGACAGTGAACTCCTGTTGTTGCAGAAGGCGTTTCAGGAGCTGAAAGAGTTGTCTGACGCCGTTGAAAATATGGAGGCAGAAGAGAAAACGAAAGCAAAACAGTCACCCGCAAGGACATCCTCGTCTACAACTTCATCGCTCCGAAGAAGCAACGTCAAAGCGGACGCATCTTCTGATCTGGAGCAAAAAATCGCTCTGACGCGTCAAAAATCGGTGGATGTGCACGCGAAGAATTTGGAGAAAATTTTGTTCACGCGGACTGAAGTAGCGGTGGTGGAAGAAATCAACCAGACAGTAACCACAGTTGAGGAAGAAAAAGAACTTACCACAGCCGCGATCGCATCTCTGTTCTACCAAGAAATGGAACGAGTCGAAACTACGAAGAACAGTGCAGAAGCGGGTAAGGGAAAGCCGGCCACTAAAAATCGGCGACTCCGGGGGCCGTTTGGTGCGAGGTGAAAGAAAGGCGAGACGCCGCTGGTACTATTTCACGGAAAGCACACGAGCTTGCAAATGTAACAATGAATTCCTACAACTAGTAGTAGAATTGCCGTATCATACAATATCGATCGAAATGAACCTTAGAGCCATAGCGATGCTACCGATAAAAACCTTGCAACAAACTTGGATTTTGTTAAAAAATGCTCATGCTTTGTTACTCCTTGAGAAATTACACCATGTTACCGTGGCCGTGCGGGAGGTACTTAAAATGTTCTCGTGCCCACGTAGTGTTTGACTCATTGTAGTGAGACGACAAGATGCTCCTGCAGACGGATTTTTTTCCAAGAAGGCTTGCACGGACGGGGGAACGCAGCCAACGGGAGCGGGACGTAATTGTTCTGGCCGACTGACAAAACTTGTGGAACCACCGGACGCTGTTCAAGATCCAGATTTTCAAACAGCTTTTCATATACTTGCTCCTTTGCGGCTCCTTATTCGGATCGATTCAGCGACACCATCTCAAGATCTCTAGACAGCACTAGATTGATAAAGATAATCAATCAGAATTATGCTTTCTTCTAGGGTTGATGCTACTCAGTTATAATCCCCCTCCGTCGTAGCTATTTGTTTTAGAGTAAAGTCAGGGCGGCTGCAGCCAGCTCCGACAAGTATTCTAATTTATTACTCGTTCTTTTTTCCTCATTTTCCAATTGTTTTCGATTTTCGCAAAAGATGATCACCAGCAACCAAGGATTCGAGCTGGAAGTCGCCGGCGAGACGGACTATATCCACGACATGTGTTTCAACTACTACGGTGACCGCATCGCGTTTTGCACCAGCCGGCAGAAAATTTCGTTTTGGACGAAGGGGCGGAATCCGGGCGGGTCGCGGAGCGCCACCGCGAGTCCGAGCGGCTCTAACGCCGGCCTGCATTCGAAAAACAACAGCAACGCCAGTCTGCTTCAGGAGAGTGCAGCCTCGAGCAGCAGCAGCAGTTTCGCAAACTTTAAGAATGTACACCAAAGTAGTTACAACCCTGCTGATGTAGTTTCTGCGGGCGCGGGGGCCGCAGCTCCCGGAGCGCCAGGATCGAATGCGCAGGCGGGTAGCAGTACTACGTTGCAACAGCAGCAGGAGCAGGGACCTAGTAGTACAGGACATGCTGGGACAGGCACAGGGACGACAGCGACGAACAAGCGAAAGTCCACGGATATTATGCTGGTTGAGGAAAATAATGGAAGCGCTGGAGGTATAGCGGCAGGAGCCACAACTTTTGCTGACTCGTCTTTTCACGGTAAAAAGGCGAAGTCCGCTGACGTTCTTGGGACAGCGGGTAATAGTAGTAGTTCGGCAATAAATGCGTCCAACCTCCAGCAGTCGGAGGGGCAGCTTCACCAGCCGCCAGTCAGTGCTTCTGCTCCCCCGAGCAATCATTCCTCCAACGCAAACCTGCTCCTCGGCGGGCAGCCGTCGCCTGAGTGGCACGAGACGTCGGTGTTGGAGGGGGCCCACTCCGGGCCGATATGGCGGCTAGACTGGGCGCACCCGGAGTACGGCACGGGAATTCTGGCGAGCTGCGGCGAAGACCGAGCGGTCAGTATCTGGAGCGAAAATCCTGCGTCGACAAGTTGGCGGAAACGGGCGCAATTGTATTGACGGGAGTTAGTTTATACTTTCTTTATGAATCTGTATCTGCGCGTGTTGCCCGAGTCAAAGTGTGCATGATGACAAGCGAAGTTTCCGATGTAGATCTCTGCAACATCCGCGCAAGCTCCTGCATGAGTGCAATGAATTTGTTTTCAATCAAAGTAGATTTGAGTGATTCACCGCACCACAGGCTCGACGCCACGAAAGCAGTGATTGACGTGAAGTTCGCGCCGCGGCACTTCGGCCTGAAGGTTGCCAGCGCCAGTCTCGACGGCTACGTTCGGGTGTATGAAGCGCCCGACATTCTGAACATGGGCGAATGGCTTTTGGAGGACTATTCCATCGCGAAAGGGGAGGGGGTGCAGGCAGTTTCCTGGTGTCCCGACATTCACCAGGAATACATCGCGGCGGTATAGATTTTCACGTGGACTGATGCCAACCTAGATGCAGCTCGTTAGCGAAAAGACTTTTCAAAGTTCAAGAATTGGTAAAAAATATTATCCCAGGTCGGCACGGACGGATCTTTGTACATCCATGGTAAGGACTTGGTGAAGCGCCGCTGGCTTTTGCTCCACCAGGAACCGCACGAGAAAACCAACCCAGATTGCCTGCCGAAAGACGTGGCCTTTTCCCCTAACCTGTGCCGCCCCTACGACTTGTTGGTCACGTGCGGCACGCACTTTAGCGCGAATCTGTGGAGGTTCGACCCGGTTTCCGCCTCCACGGCCTCGTCGCACGTCTACGGGTCGTATGGATTGCAAAAATGTCTGGGTCTGGAAGGTTGGAACTTGTGATGCTAACTTTGGACTCTACAAAATTCTGTATTGCATGACCAGGAAGAGGAGTCCGGTTTGTGCTGCGCGTTGGGGGCATTTGTCATGCGGAATAGGCATCAGGAAGGCCTCAAAAAATCTGTGATGCTAGGGCTTCCATGGCAGACATTCTGTGTCATGCAAAAACAGCATAACAAATTTCGGATTCTTCCAGACCCAGACACTTTTACATTTGATAGGTCGGGGTTGCTACCGCCGCAGCAGTCCAGCGGTGGATCCCAGCAGCAACCTGGTGTCGCCGCTGCGCCCGGCACCTTCACGAAACTCTCCGTGATGAAGGTGCTGTGCGGGCCGGGCATGACCCCGGACCTAGACGAGTGGAACACCATCTGGCGCTGTTCGTGGAACATCACCGGCACGATGCTGACGCTGGCCCCGGAGTCGGGGCAAATCCAGGTGTGGCAGACCCGGCAGGTCAATGGGGGATTCGGCAAGGATTGGGTCAACACGTACAACATCGAGCACAATGAGAATTCCGTGTCGATTCAGCGGAAAGAAAAAACCGTCGCGGTGCCCATGAACCACAACTCCGTCGGCTCGCTCGCTGCAGCCGGGTTGCAGCCAAATTAACGAGGAAGAAGTGTCCTTCCCTCCTAGAAACAGCCTCGGTGATGTTCCCGAGTAGAAGCAGGGGCGCAACTGCTTGAGAAATAAAGAAAACAGCGACAAATTAGGATGAAGGAGATCACATCTCATTGAATGATTTCTATTGCGGACGAAATTACTTATTTAATGGTTTGGGTCGTTTTCGACTATTGTTCTGAGACGGGGAGAGCTAGTTCAGTGTGGAATTCGTGAGAGGAAATCAATCTCCGGTTGGTCGTTGTCGTGAGGGCAGCGCCTTACCCTGTGCTGTCTAGAATTGCTTGATTCACTCAACAAACACACGAGTGACAAAGACAGACGCACGAGTGAGGGCTTTAGCGGCAAAGGAAACTGCCGAACTGAGCGACGGCGGACGTTACGTTGATGTCCTATTCATGAAGTTGCGTTTCACTTGAGCGAATGCTTATGCTATGAGTATGAAGCGACTACATTTGTATCAGGAAAAATAAAAGGAAATGAAGCAAACCGGTGTTGAAAGGTAAGCGAAGGGAAAATGGATTTTTTCTGCTGGCCTTTGCGCCAATAAACGCGATCGCAAACGACGACATCTGTGAGCCGTGGCCGCATTTTCCTCCTTCATCCACGCTCAGTTGCGTCACGACACCATGCGGGTCGTCGCGAAAAAGTCTTCGCGGTCCCTCGCGTGCTCCGCGATTGGGGCTACTACAATGCAGCACGATAGCACAACGACGTTTGTGCAAGGCTTTGAGCCCCCCGGCGGAGCGTCTTCCTCCTCTCCCGACGATGGGGGCGACGAGGTGACCTATTTGCCCTTCCACCAGGGGGAGAAAGGTGGGGAGACGGAAGCGTTATCATGTGTGAAAACGTACGTACCTACTGCGACCCTATACTAGTCAAGCTGGAGTGGAAGGATCTACTGCTAGATAAATCCAGAAGTTACGCATGAAAGATCTGGTGATGCAGTGTAGTCGTGCCTACTTAGTGTGGTGTCCAGCCGCTTGGGAACTCAGTTTCTTACCCTGACGATGAAGCATGACAGAGTGTTCCCAACAAGAAGCCCTAGAAGTCACTTCTAGAAAATAGGTGTCATGGGGATGCGCATGCGACATAATCCACGCACACACACTCTGGGCATGCGGATCTGTATAGAGGAATATCGTGTGCGTGTGGGTACGTAGTTTTACCCAGGATAATCGTCCTTTTCCTTCGACGCGACGGGTGGAGCCGGTACGAGAGTGCGATTCTCCCTCTTCGCCCTCATCTGTCATGCAAAATATTACGAGGCCCACCGCCACCTCCACGTCCACTGTTTGCTTTGTGGTACTCTTTGCGGCACGACCACAATTCGTGTGAATTTGTCACGCAGGAGCTGACAATTTTGTTGCTATCATGCATGCCGTGCAAATGGAAACGAGGGTACGGGGGAGTTGTCTCCTCTCACAGCCGTCCCAACGGACGCGCTCGCGGAAGAGCAAGAAGCCGGGAAGATGATGAATACCGCGAAAAATACTAATCCTGCGTTGCGCGGCAGCGTCGGGGCGGGCGTGGAGCAACGGAGCACAGCAAGCGTAAACTACTCGGGACAGCGAACCTCCGAAGGAGTGAAAACGCATGAGGGCAGGGAAGCGGGAAACGCTCCGGAGACCGCGTTTCTAGAGGTCGATATCGTGATTCAAAAATTCTGTTTCCCTTGGTACTAGTTGTAGCACTGGCTGTTTTCTCCTGATGATGGAACGAAGAAAATTATTCTACTGCGTGATTTCTTTTCACGCGAACACACCACCGGAAAAGCCTGGTATACAGAAGACATGTGTAATATGTGTATTGGATACCAATCATATCAACTAGGCGATAGTCAGGAGAATATGTCTTCTCGTGCAACTTGGAATGGTTCATTGTGCCTCTCTTTCATGTTGTTCGGAATGTACGGAGGTTCGTATTGATTAATGTTTCTGTGGGTTATTACTTGGGCGGAAATTTAAATTTTTGAGCATGATATCGAAGCCGGAGGAAAGCGACGGAGGCGTTGTTGTGACCAAGAGAACACGCAAGGAGAAGGGCTCCTCCGGCTCCGACAACGACGGGAAAGACGAGGCCGTGAGCGAAGATTATGGGAGGCAAGGTTGAGTTAAACCTCCACAAGAACTCTTGCTTAGTCCTTAGCGAGGCTTGTCATGCTGTTTTGCTGTGGCACATTTTCTAGGCTACTTAGTCTGAGCATGAAAAGGGCGGGGGACAGGCAGACTAGCTCGGTTTTTCGCGAGTCTTCCTCCTCTTGCGCCCCTGTCACGTATGAGAATCCGTATGACCACTTTTGCTCTTCAATTTAACCCAAAATTTTGCAGGTGGACTTGCATCTATATGCTCGCTCAGCTACCTTGTGTCTTAGAGACGATTTTACAAAGCAATATGAGAACACCCTGCGTGACCGTCTGTGGCCTCACTGGTATGGGGAGAAGGCCTGTATTGTGGAAAGTACTTGACCCATTTGTTTCGCATAGCCGGGTTATGAACAGGTGGAGCTTATTTGCCGCCTACAACGGGGTTCTATGGAATGCAAATTCATTGAAATTATCAGCTGAAGGAAATACAGTATGAACTTGTATGTAGACTTTTTCTGAGTTAGTCTCTGACGGATCTCACTCGACGCGTTTGTGTTGCGGGAATTATCTAACAAGTAGAGTAAGCATGCTGCAAGCTTTTGAAGAGAAGTGGTGATCGAGCTCACGATGCGCAATGTGATACGCAAACTCAATTTCATTTCGCATCATGCTCTTTTCCCAATCCAAAGCGGATAACGTTAACGACGCATTGCATCTGCATACCGTAAGGAGCAGTTCAACAGAGTCTTCGGCCCAACAACACCGGAAGAGGAGGATCATACCCGACTGAAATCCTCACTCCCTCCGATGTGGGAAGTGATACTCTACTACGACGTTTGTTTACGTTTATCTTTATTGCACGCACATATTTTTATGGGTCAAACAAATAGTTAGTGGAACAAGGACAAGGTTCTTCCCACCCGCGGGTAGGGAGTGTTGCCGCTTGATAGCAGCGACAGGAGAGCCAGGAAAACCAGGGGCAGAACAGCAGAATGAAGAGAAAGACGAGAAGAAGAGGAAAAAAAAAAATAAAAAGGATAGAAAAGGTAGCAAATCTGCTAGTGTGTGAAGAGTAATAGTTGAGAAATAGAGTTGGTGGACGAAGTTGACTGTGCATCGAAATAGTCAAATGTGTTGGGTCGAAAACGAAATATAAACCTGTAGCGATATTGGAACGTAGGGACACTTGAGCTGTCTTCACAAGGCGCGCTCCCCACTTCTGCAGGTCAGTCTTGCTATGAATCAATATTTCAGCACATTCAAGAATACTTTTACAAAACCAAACAAGGTGCTGGCAATGGGAATGGCGAGGAGAATCCGGTTAAGGAGACGCCATCGAGCAAGGCGAAGTCGAACGACAAGGACAAGGCGAAGTCGAGCGACAAGGACAAGGCGAAGTCGAGCGACAAGGACAGGGCGAAGTCGAAGGCCAAGTCGAGGGGGAAGTAGCCGAAACGGGGTTAATAGTATGAAATCGCGCCCAGCACCATGTCGTGAAGTGAGAAGGAGCGGCAAGGGAGACCTTTCATATCTAAGTAGCGCAAGAACAACAAGAATACAGCGTCGTCTGTGCGACAACAGCACAGGGAGCTTTTTGGATATCTATTAGCGGCCTCTACCACTCCTGGTGAACAAGCTACAAAGAAGACCAAAGCAGAGAGCTGAGTTGAAAGCCACACAGTGTTCCAGTTGGGAAATAGTTCTATTATGCTGCAAAGAGCACTAGGTCTAGGTGTAGGTAGACGACTTACTGTCGAGTACCGACATAGAGTCAAGTTTCGGTCACCAGATCGTCGTCGCGAATTTTGGATATTATTCAGCTCTTGCTATGTGAATTCGCACGCCATCGGTTATAGGTACTAGAATATATCACTCGATCACAGGACGAATTACGACGCTCAATTATCGGTCTAATTTATACGTCGAGAGTGGTCGTCGGTTGTGCAGATGAAACGAATGTTGGCAAAACGAAAAAAAGAAAAGCCTCAAAACTGATTCGGGACTGATACAGCATGATTTGGCGGTGTACCAAACAGGAAACTGTATCTATCGGTTTGTGGATCGGTGATATTAACAACGAAGATCGGCCGTATTACTGTTTACTGAAGTTCACCTTGCAATTTTCATCTTCCAACGACACAAACAGTCTGCGCCCCTACAAACTACGTGGTAGCTAAAGCTGCATCTATCCAGAAGCTGTCCGATTGAAATTTCTTCCCGCACGATATCTATTCTGATTCTGTCCTGAGGCCAAATTGTAGAAAATGAACCTGGTATCGGTTTATGCATGCCACCGCAAGACCTCATTTTATTGGATCATTACCTTTTGTACGACTTTTGCTTTTCCCTGGGATTGGCCGCGAGCCTCTCCTGGCGAGCAGCTACACCTGTGTGCGCAACTCGAATCAACCTTATCCAAACCTTGACTATTCTGTACAAGTGATTCTCAACCCAAATTCTGACCGGAAAAGTAAAATACATATTAATCTTCATTCGTGCTGGCCACTGCAGCCTCGTTGATGTCGAGCTCAACATCCTCTCCAACCTCGAGCCCAGCGCCGCCGCCCGATCTGGTTCCGGACGCGAGTGCCGAGGTTTTTTCGAGGGAATCTTCGGAAAGAACAACGCGGGACGACGGTCGCAGTCGGGGGTCCACGTCTTCCACTGTAAATGATGCCAACTCCAGTCGAGAGGCCGTGCTAGAAGAAGATTCAGGCAGAAATAGCGAAACTTCTTCTTCTGCCCTACCGCAGCTGAATGATGCTACAATTTCCGCCCGCTCTCGTCCCGAGGGAGAAGTCGTGGGGGTTGCAGCATCAGGGGCGAAAACTACAAATGGAAAACAAGATGAGAGAGCCTCCTTGTCTGGTACAGCCACAGCACATACCTCGAAAAGCAACCGGAAGAAGAGGGATCCAAATGCCTGGGTGAACGGGAGAAGGGAACAACAAGAACCGGATGCAGCTCCTGCGCTCGCAGCTCCGCCCGGCGCGGATGTGCACGTGGTGCAGCAGCAGGAAGTTCTATGCAAGACAAAGTAAATTGTAGTTCTGCTGCTCGCCCCTCTACCCCGCCTTCAGTTTGCCATGTAGAAAGTGCTGCACTTTGTTAACTGGGTATTATTCAAAGTGCTAAAAAAAGTTACTACGCGCAGCGGTATCTGCGTCAGACCACTACTGAGCAAATTTTATCTCGTGCTGGCAGAACATTGGGACAACTTACTATTGAGCCAATCCTTGATGTCGGGCTTTGAAAATATTTCATGCACAGCAACACAAAGTCGCGAGCAGCGGGGCGCAAAGTAGTAGATTTTTGCACTGTATAAGCTCTGCACGGGAACGACGACGTCGACGACGAGGGGAACAGCAGCGAGCCGTCAGTTTCCGGAACCAAGGAGGACGAGGGGTTATCAAATGCAAATAAAATGTCTGGGTCTGGAAGACGGCGAACTTGTGATGCGTGTTGCGGATCATACAAAAATCTGTGTTGCATGACTTGCAAAAGGTCCCCATATCTCGCCATGCTGCGAGGACATTTCTCATGCATAATGGGCATCACCAAGGGGCTGCAGAACCTGTGATGCTAGGCCCTGCATTCCAGACTTGGTGGAGCTTGGAAAAACTGCATGACAAATCGCGGAATCTTCCAGACCCAGACATTTTTGCATTTGATAGGGGTTTAAGTGGGGCAAATTCTGGAAATCCTCCTCTCGGCAGCACTTGATTCAGGCGGAAAAGCTATCAAAGTGAAAAAAGCCTCCTCCCCATATCGGAAACGGAAGATGCGCGAATTTGTGACGCTGTATTTGAGTACACAAATCGACTTGTATTGCTAGAAGGCCAAGAGACGAAGCCGCGGCCTAAATTGCAGGTAATCTGTCATGCTGTCTCCCACTTCCAGTTGCCTACTGTCATCCTGGAGCTGCAAGGCTTTCCCACGCTAGACAGCACTACAATCCGCATCTTTTGCTTTCTAGCATCACAAAGCTGACTCGTGACCACAAATCTTATCTGCATCACAGATTTCCGTTTTGATATGGGGAGGGGGCATTTTTCATTGTAATAAAAGCGGTTTCTCTACGACATGCACGAGTATCTAGAGTTCAACGACGTGATCGTTTCGCTCGATGGAAAGCAGCACCTGCAGCTACGGGGAAATAGAAACCACGTCATCAGTACCGAAGTCAACAGTGCGGCGACCTCACGGCATGTGTCGGCAACGAGTGCGGGAGACGTCGACCACTTGGATAGGCTTGGAACGGATGACCTGATAAGAGCGTGATGAAAACTATGCGACCGCTGCTTGCTTTTTTGCTGTAAAGATGAGTCAATCTTTATGCGGGTGAACAGGAACGGATGTGCAAGTTGTCGAATGTGGATGATCTTGCCGTCTTTAGTTTTGTACAACTGTAGGTAGAAGTATTGAAGAATGAGGGCCATGTGGCAATCTACATCTGTAGGCTTCATAAATAGCTTTTACGAAGGGATGTATCTTCGACAAGTGGTGGTCGCGTATATGACTTTCACTGGCATTATCTGATGCTTTTTTGCGGAAAGCAGAGGAGAGCGACAATAATTGTGTAGATTCTGGCACTACTTCTGCAACAGCGAAGACACGACAGAAGCTTCTACTCAGGAGTGGCACAATCGACGTGGATGCAGCTGGCGTTGAGGGCGCCATCATCAATGACCCGTCAAGAAAACGGGGTACGATCGACGTCGAGTCCTTCAATGGAGACGGTGTTGACGACGGTACTAAAAATGTTGACGAACAAAGGGTGGAAAGCACAAAAAGTCTTCCACTGGGACCGGACAAGGAAAACAATTGGCAACTAGCAAGTATTGAAATAAATGGCACCAAGTTCTTTCAGCCTCCAAACCGAGCATCCAACCTGTCCGCCATGTCTGGGAACTCGAAGAACAGGAATAGCGATAGGGGAGGGGTTTTGACGTCCGCCTGTAGTTCGCCAAGAAGTTCGTTGGCTAGTAAGGCTAAAAAGCCGGACGGCGAACGCGATTCCGAAGTGGAAGTAGAGAAGAACCGCACCAATTTGCACTGGATGCATTCGTTCACGGCTCGCCCACAGAATTTTTCGGCCTCTGCTGAACAGCGCATGTCAACAGATGCCAGAAGCAATAGTTCATTTCTGTCCAGCGCTTCATCAACATCTACGTCGAAAGGACGCGTCGAGAGATCCAATTTCAAGCACATCGTGCTGTGTCCGGGCTACGGAATGGGGTGCGCCACGTGGGGGATGGTGGTGCCCAGTTTGCGGCAGAAGTTTCCCGACCACTTTATTCACGCCATCGACTGGCTCGGGTGGGGGCTCAGTTCGCGCCCCAAGTGGACGTTTTTCAACAAATCAAAGGACGACGAAACTACTAACGCTTCCGCCGGGAGTATCCTGAGTAAAAACGTACCCACACCAGAGTCAGGATGGGGATTTTGCAACACAAACCTAGGAGTTTTGTGAGTCACGCATGACAAGTTGCACTCCGCAGTGTAGTGCAGGTTAGCAAGTGCAGCCGCGTCACAGATTCATCTGCTCATCCTGTTCACAGCATCACAAATTCCAAAACACGACTGCAAATGGCTCCCATGGGGATGCGCATTACAAGTCTTCCTGTCTTTGCAAATCTGCATTACAGCTCTGGTGTGGGTACGTTTTTACTCAGGATAGGGAGCATGACCAAGTCGGCCATCCGGCGGAAGGTCGACCAAGCGGAGTCCTTTTTCATCTACAGTCTGGAGATTATCAACTGCAAAAATGTCTGGGTCTGCAAATTTGTGATGCTAAAATGTGCAAGAGGAAGTCACTTTCTTATGCAGGAATAAAGCATGACAAGGCTGCAGCACGCTTTCTCATACGAACTCCGCATGAAACTGTGTTTTTGTATGACATGAGACAGGCTACCACTGTTCTTGGTCATGCAATACAGATTGCACAGGAATGCAACACCAGCATCACAAGTTCCAACTTTCCAGACCCAGACATATTTGCAATCCATAGAGATGTGGCGGCAGCAAATTCTGGGGCCGGACACGAAGATCGATATTCTGGTGGGGCACAGCATGGGCGGCTACTTGTCGGTGTGCTACGCGGAGAAGTTTCCCAACCACGTGACGAGTTTGATTCTCGCTTCGCCCTGCGGCATCGCGCGCATGCCCAACGCGGAGGTGCGAAAGCAGAAAATGGAGGAGCGGCCGTGGTACGCGAAGCTGCTTTTAAACACGGCGTACAGCCTCTGGGAAAACGACTTCACTCCCTTCGAAGTCGTCCGTTTCCTGGGGAAGCCGCTCGGCGGGAAGGCGTTGGTGCGGGCCTATGTGCAGAAGCGTTTCGTGGACAACGGGCAATTTGCCAAGTACAGCAACACCGACAAATTTATTCGGGGGATGGACGGTGACACCGACAAAGCCTGCGAAGTCACCGGTCTGCCCAAGGGCATGTCCGACCGGTCGGGCCGGTCCTTCACGCGGGAAAACCTGGGGAAGTACCTCTACCACTGCTATGCTGCGGAGGAGGGCTCGGCGGAGTACATGATCTCCGCCCTACTCCATCCCGGTGCCTACGTACCCTAGTGCACAGCTGCTCCCCCTCGCTTTTATTTCTCATTCACGAACTTATCAAAAAATCGACGTGCACCTTTTGGTTTTGCCAGCAGCACATTTTTTGCCACTACTGTGCATATAACAGATTCTTTTTCTTGTTGTTCCGGAAGCCGAGACAGCACCAGAATCGGTCGTGCCTAATTTTTTGTCATGAAAAGCAAGCTGCCTGATCTTTGCCAGCGCTTGTGCTGCTACGGACGGCAGCTACAACATCCAAGTGATGGGGAGACGAAGGGGAGCCGTGAAACGCTTTCATATTGCGCCAAACGCCCGCTCGGGGAGCGGATTCTGAAGCTGCAGATCCAGGGTGGGATCAGCTTCATCTACGGCTACCCCAATGATTGGATGGACGTGAAGTCGTCGCAGCGGCTGCTGTATTAAATGTAAAAGTGTCTGGGTCTGGATCTGGAAGGATGCAAACTTGTGATGCGCATTTCACAACACAAACAAATCTCTCATGCAGGGCAACAAAAGGTGCCCATTTCCTGGCTCCAAAATGGGGGATTTGTCATGCGGATTAAGCAATGTGGAAGCCTCTCGAAATCTGTGATGCTAGGGCTTCCATGACAGACATTTTGTGTCATGCAAAAACAGCATGGCATCAATTTCAATTCGGCATTCTTTCAGACCCAGACATTTTTACATTTGATATGCTGCAGTTTGTGAAGAGCCCGGAAATTTTGACCCGGTTGGACTCCAGCGACGAGCTCACGGAGAACCCGCACCCGATTTCGCCCGAATTCGTCCAGCGGATGAAGCAAAGCCAGGTGAAATTGGTAAAATTCAAGTTGAACTACGAAACGGCCAGGGAGGGTGGCGCAAGTGGAACTCTTTCAGCTGCATCGGAAGATGTTGGACAAGATAGTACAACTACCAAATCTCCTTCTAGCGAGGCTGCACTAACATCAAACAGCACTTCTGCCGCAAAGTCTACCAGCATGTTGCCATCAGCGCCTGATGCGTCGTACCGGGAAGGCGGGGTGTACTTTGTCAATAACGCGGGGCACCAGTTGTACGTAGACAATCCAGCGGAGTTCGCAAACGTAGTCTACTTGGCACACAGCAAGCCCAACTTGGTGCGGACGGTGGAGGAGGTCCCGTAGGGATTACATCGCGCTGTTGCGTCAATTTATCATCAACTGCCCTCAGGAGTACCGTTGTACGGGTATTTGTGGTCTACATGTTTTTTATTTGCGTTTGTGTCTATCAAATGGAAAAAGTGAGAAGAACAGGAGGAGGCCGTGTTTCGTTATGTCATAGATAGAAGTAGATAAACGTCGAGGCTGTACTTCTTTCAAACCAAGTTTGCACAGGAGCGTATATAGAAGCTGTGTCGAGCAAGATGTGTGAATCGATGACTAGTACTCATATATCGTGTGTTGTTGAACGCAACTTGACCGTATCGCAGGCACAGCTGCGTTGACAACTTTCGCTTTTCGGTCTCTTTTTCCATCGCGTTTCTTTGGCATATCTGACTTTCACTTAAAACGCAGCAGTGGATTATTGGACGCTCGAGGGGGATTCAGTGTTCGTGGAGCCGATCTTTTCACTCGTCTTTTTGTTCCCAATTTCGTCGCTCAAGATTCTAGACGAGGGCTCAGGATCCGTGCGAACGATCAGTCGCTTGAGTTCCCGTTCGGTTTCGTGGTTAGAATTGGCATCGTGAAGATCTTACGACGTCGATCAGGTTATCTATTTTTTTTCGAATAGCAAAGTTCATAAACGCTGTTCCTGAAGAGCATGTCGGTCTCCTTTGATCGACAAGTAACCAGCAGGGTGCCTCTCCTTCTTCTCCGACTGAAATACCAGCCAATTCTTGGATTGTCCGGACCTTCTGAAATCTATCTCGATAATGTTACACAAAACCAACAGCCCCAGCACAGCTACTTACTCTCTCATTTATTTTCTGTATCATTAAATTCGAGTTTAGCTGAAGGCAGTTGGAATTGGGCCATATCAGAGATGGCAGATCAACCGAAAGGAGGGGAAAAAGTTTCCGGCCGTGGTACACAGCAAGCGAGAAGGCCGATCGGTGGAAATAACGGTACTGCGATCCATGGCAGAGGGCGACCCGTGGTATCGAAAACCACCACACTGACAAAAATGACAGCAGGTGCGCCGGCAATCGCACGGTCGCGATCTGCCGTGGCACCCACGACGTGTGGTTCATCTCTGGTCTGTAGGAATAAGAAGGGGCCTCCACTTTTGTCAACTGGTACGAAAGAAGGTGGAAGTGGAGAACAGGGAGCTCGGTCGCTGAAGAACTGTCCTTCCGGACGACGAGACGGAGGATGTGATACGTTCCCCAAGGAGGTTCTTGCTGATTCTCATTGCGGGGTTGTACATCGCGCACGAAGCTCTTCGACTGCTACGATGGTGCGGAGGAAAAAAGATGAAAAACACGTCGAACACCTCCCCGCCACAACTGCCGCCGTTGTGCCAGTCCGGCCTGCTCCGTATAATAATCGGCACGTCGTGGTTCCTTACCCTACGCGGCACACTTCTGCGTGCTCGGCGGTGTGCGCGTTTTTCTGCAAGGTCGTCTCGGTCAACGTGCTGAACCTTCCGCTGGGTTTCGTAACCGGGCTCGCCTTTCACTTGTTCTTCTTGGAGAACAATCTGGGGCACTACGTCGGCGAACTGGCGACTGCCATCAAAAACGGGGACCCAGCCGCGCCGATCTTCCGAGACCCCGAGCCCAACGCGCCCGAGAGCCACTTTGTGCGGAGTTTGCGCGTCTGCCGCCAACTGCAGCGGTCCGAGAAGGAGGATTTGCTGCTTTTGAAGGAGGAGGTGACGTTTCTGCTAGCGAAACTGGGCGAAATGCAGAAGGTTGTCTCCGCTCGGTTTCCGGAAGTCGTCTCCAACGATGAGACAACGTACCAAAGCTTCATTGAGCTGCAAAACAAATTCGACGCTGACGCGAGGCTGTCTGGTGTTAGTAAACTGGGACGGCATGATGAGCGGGACCCAATTGATGTTGACCAGGTCTTGGAGCTGGGTTCACAGGAGCAAGAAAAGCGGCAGGCTCGGAGCAGGAGGTTCTTTTTGGAACATCAGAGTCCAATACGTGGCCCGAGCCAAGATCATGACCGAGTTGAAAATGTTCATTATCATGATATCAGTATTGCAACTTCCACCACTTCCGCGTACTCATCTCGTTCCTTCTCTCGAGAAACGAGCGTCTCGGAAAGTGTCGCTCCACTAGTACGTGTTGATCCTGTTCCTGGCACGACGAGTCCATCAGGACAGCACGACGGGGAGGAAGAGGAAGAAGCCGCTACTTCTGCCCACAACTCTAGTACTGTTCAACATCCCGTGGACGATCGTCCTCTCTCACCGGGGGGTTTTCCCGGCTTCAACAACCGTAGGGGGGAACAAGGAATTTTAAACGCGGAAACAGCGGGAGCGCTCCTCCTGTGAGGACGACTTAGTAGTGGCGTGGTTTCATCCCGTGCGATGGTGCCACAGGAGGGGGAGGGTGCGGGGCAGGAGCAAGAAGTAGTTTATCCGAGGGAATATGTAGTTGGTACGAGAACTGTTCCGGCGCACGACGACCCTGTACACCAACAACTACCTGGCGGCAACTCATGGGGTTTTCTCAACTTTCGTGGACCTCTGCGGCAACGGCGAGGAACATGATGACCGTGAAGTTGGTGTCTAGTCTGTGTGTTCTTTCTCATCAGGAACATCAAAAGCGTTTGCGCCTCGCAAAGAGACGCATTCGCTACCAGTTTTATTTTTGACACAAAAGTAGAGATGACTATATCACCTTGATGTTGACATCTTACGCACTCCTTTCTGGAAGTAGTGCGCAATGAAGAAAAGAAAACCGACAGCGAGATCAACAAATAGAACTAAAAGGAGACGTAGTGGTTGAGAAGAACGAGCAGGAGCTTCATACGGGACGCTGAGAAGAAGCCTGCACTACCGCCGTCTGTGCCTCCGTTTGTAGTTCTGTGTCTTGCAGCTACTTCTCCTGGAAGAACCTTCAGCATTGCAGCGAGCGTAGCAGTTTGGCATAACTTGCAGTACATTCAAAAATGAGAGAAAGACCGAGCGCAAGCAACGCATTCCCGCACCAAAATGCGAGCATCTTTCATGAAGGAAGCTGCAGTTTCTTCTTGATTGAGCAGCGCGATAAGTTTCTTGTTTGAGTTGTGCAGTTCCTGGCGAGTGAGCTCGAGGTGTCAGAAAACACAGACGAGGTTCTATTGCGTAGAGAGTGAGGACGACACGATCTCTATCTCTCTGTTTCAAAAAGAATAAATCACATAGATTCGAGAGATCTACTTTCTCATCTAAAAATTCCCCGTCAGTATGTAGCTCTCACAAGAAGTCAAACACTGGCAAGTAGCAATCATGACGGGGGAGTCCAAAGTGAAAAAGGTGATTGTGCACCGGTTTTCGCTGGCGGGCGGGAATTTGGAGCTGGAGCTTCCCGGTGAGACCTCCGTTGCGGAGATCCGAGAAACGGTGTTCAAGGAGGCCCGGGCCCGGGATGAGAAAAAATACAAGATCGACTTCGAGCAGAAGAAAGTGCGGTTATTTCTCTCGCACTTTGAGCTGATCGAGGACAACATCGACTTTCTCCTCGAGAACGAGAACCTGGACAATGCCGCTTCCTCGCCGCTGCAGATCCGGAAGGAAAAGGTGTACGAGTCGCGGTATCAGTCCGGGAAAGAGCTCTACGACGCGATGACCCTGTACGACCTCTGCGACATGCTGCAGCAAGATCCGCCCCACAAAGCCAGCCTGCTCGGCTTGACCTCGGGACACCCATCTCGGCCCAGTTCCGCGCAAAGCTCAGCACGGAGAAGAAACCGATCCCGGTCCCAGTCCCGAGCTTTGTCGCCGAACCGCAGCCCCAGGTCCCCCGGCAGGACGCGAACCCAACCGAGTCCGGAGCGGGTGGCGTCGCGGTATTCCCCCAAGCCCAGCCCCCGAGGCGGCGGAGCCCCCGTAGTTCCTGCGCCGGGGGGCATCACGAACCGGATCAGCTCACCTAAACCGACGCCGAGCTCGCCCGGGGGCGTGAGTCAGAGTCAGCACAACAACTACCAGCAAATAAAGGCTTCCCCAGCGTCCTCCCGTGGGCTGAAGTCGCCGAGCACGCCCGGCGGCAGAAGCTCGCGGCACGGAGCGCAGCACTTGATGCAGGGCCGGAACCTGAACCAGTATTTCGAGGTATCACAAGGAAAAATCCCCGCACCCCATATCGAAAACGAAATTTGTGATGCTGTATTTGCGTACACAAATCAGATTTGTGATGCTGGAGAGGACTGCAGGCCCCTATCGAGCCTGAAGAGAGAGGTTTTTGTGTAGGCGCTTAGCATGAAAAACGTCCGCGCTGTAGGCCCAACAGCATGACAAACCGCCTGCATAATGCGGCGGAGCCGGTGGAGTTGCCGACTTGCAAAACAGACCCGATTTGTTGTCACAAATCAGCAACACAAATTTTCGAAAACGCACCTCATCATTATGGGGAGGGGGGATTTTTCCTTTTGATTCGAGGACGCATTCGAGGAACTGACGATTGCGCCGATGCATTTGCGGAAAGAGAAGCTGTCGACGGTTTTGTTGAGCGATGAAGTGCCGCTTTCCGCAAATATGCTGCGGATCCCGCCCTCGCACAGGGACTTGGTGCACTCCCGGGCGGCGGGAGGGAGAGGGGTACTTACAGTAGCAAAGTGGAACGCTTGGTTCTGTGGTCCTCGGTTCAATTGTTGATTTGCATGTAGTTGGAAGATTTTGCTGTTTGACTCAGAAATGGCATACAAATAGGTGGATAAGTTTTATTCAAAACGCAATAGAAATAGGAACCATGTAGCATCCACTCTGAAAATCAAAAACCACAAAACATTCTCAGGACCTGTACCCCGAGCAATCGGAGGACGATCCGACGAAAGTTTCGGATGACGAGGATGTGGAGGAGGAGAAAAAGCCGGTGCCCAAGATCAAACCCGGCGGCGACTTCATTCAGCTCGGCCACCGGCGCCGCGTCGACGAGATTCACATCTCCGCCTACGTCTCGGTGAATTGGCCCCTCTGCATGGGGGAGCCCAGCGACGTGTGGAAGCGGCGGCAGAAGGTGTTTGCGGACTTTCGTGCGGGCATGAAGGGCGGAGGCGTCCTGTCCAAGGAGATGTTTCAGAGGTTGTTGAAGGTAAGTCTGAGTGCAGCTTTTTGTGAAAAACGTATATAGTTTATCGTACATCGCGACCTACTGGTCGTGCGTCAATAGTCGCATGGCGTGTTTCTTCCTATCGCTCACCGCATGAGGTAAAGAAATCTTTAATGCGAATTGCTTACACTGATCCAACACAGGTTGACGGCTTTGCCTCCACCAACGCGGGCATTGCGTCTATGGACTACGAAACCTCGAATAGCCTGCAGAACACGCTCCTCCCGCCGCCCATGATGTCGCCCTTCGGCGGGAATCTGTACCTGGACAAACTGCAAACGCCGCCACGGGCGACGGGCTTAACCGGCTTGGGGCCGCAGGGGTCTTTTTTGCAACGGCAGGCGTTTTCGGAAATCAAGTTGAACACGACACTGGGCCGAACTTTGTTCTCCGCCCACTCCTATCAAATGTAAAAATGTGGTCTGGGTCTGGAGACTTGTGATGCAAAGAAGGGAATAGTGAAAACATTATAATGCGCTGCCCAGCATGAGCATGACAAGTCTTGACGTGGTTCTGAGTTGCGTACTCCGCATGGGAAACTGCGCTGTTGCATGTTGACAGGTAAGAGGAGCTGCCCGCGGCCACGCAATACAGAGTTCAGAGTCATGCCAGACTAGCATTACAAATCTCGCAATCTCCCAGACCAAGACATATTTGCAGTTGATAACTCCGGCGCCACCAGAATTGTGAACGCCAGTCGGACGGTCAACCCCACGGTGGCGATGAAAAGGCCGAAAACCCCGGCAAACTACAAAAATACGGACGTGTGAGCAGGGGGTCTTGCAAGGAGTCGTGGTGGCACGACCTGACCTCAGTCTAAAGACTACAACTTTATTGCGGTCAAAGTACTGTGTGTCCCCCGGGTCTTGTAGGATTGGAGTAATCATAAGCATATGGAAGGTACTGCAGAAGTTGTGAGAACCAGGACAGTGGCTTCCATCTCTTGTATGATTTTTGGTTTCACTTTTGAATTTGAAAGCCTTCTTGGAAGAGTTGAGTTTCCTTTTGTGGAAAGACGACCTCTCTGTACCATTTTTGACACGTCGAAAAATACTCGATGGAGTTTCACAAGTGAGTATGATCATCAATTTAGACACCGGAGCAGGAGTGTCATGTTTTGGCCTACGGCTCGTGTAGTGCACAGTGTTCCAGTTCCGTCCCACTTGCTCACGGGGCGGAAATATTTTTTGTGATACTGTTGATAGATCAACCGCCTCAAGATCTTCAAAGCACTGATCCTCGCATTGAGAAAAAATGTGATGAAACTCAAGCACTGTGGTAAAACGACTAGATGATCGAATGCCACTGGCGGTGCAAAAGGCACGACTGAATTGACAAACTCACTTTTTGGTTTTCCTGTAGCTACGAAAATAGTGGTTAGCTGCCTAGAAAATTATTGGAATCATTTTTTTGCACATTGTTGTAATAAAATACCTACATCAACATCTAGAAGTACAACTACTGGATCCTTCATTGTGCAACATATCACGTCTCGCTTGGCAACGTTTATCCGGCAAACTCGCCGAAGATCGTCGAAATTTTTTTTGATGTGGAGCGCCAAAAGCGCTGCAGCCACGTTTACCCTGAAGAAAATTAGAACCGCAACGATTTCTCCCGCTACAAGAAGAAAATTTTCCACAACTGCTACTGCGAGTGCGAAAAGTCACTCCAAGTTCGTTCTCGCCAGCGGCAGATTTTCTTCGTCAGCGTTGACATTCACATTTTCAACATCTTCTCACTCACATCAACGACGGGAAGTCACTACAACAGCGACCTTGAACTACTACCTTAGGAGTGTACGGAACACTATTTCCTCGACCTATGCAGCTTCTGTAGCAGCCGCAACAAATACAGGGAAAACATCCTCATCAACTACCTCAGAAGATATCAATACCAGCGAGAACAATTACCGCAGCTCTTCCAACTACAACTTCATCCATTTTCCTATGGCAAACAAGGAGACCTTAGACCAGATGGGTCAGGCGCAAGACAAAACCACCACCGCGGATCAGGCTGTTGCGAAGCACTTGCTGCAGGAGAGTAACACCAATTCTCCTTCCGCACCAGCTACCACCGCCGGAACAAGCACGAAGTTTTCCCCTTCTGCCCGGACAAATAACATTGTCGACGTGGATTCCAACGCGGTTTTGGTCCCACAAACAACGTCGCCCTCGAACAGAATGGTGGCCCGTGGAGGATGCTGCGGCGCCCCGCTCGTGGTGGAAAAAAATGACAATTTCAAGTGGCACGTGCCGGCGGTCTACGAGAAGATTGTCGGCGCGAACCCGGAAACCTTCCCCCTGGGCTATTCCGGACTGCGCATGACAAACTCTCTAACAGACGAGGTCGAGCCGTTCCTGCCGCACGAGGGACGGAGAGTCAACTGGTACGTGTGCGGTCCCACGGTCTACGACCACGCACACTTGGGGCACGCGAGGGCGTACTTGACCTTTGACATCATGCGCCGAGTGATGGAGGATTACTTCGGGTACGAAGTCCTGTACCAGTTGAACATTACCGACATCGTATCCTGAGTAAAAACGTCCCCACACCAGAGTCAGGATGGGGATTTTGCAACACAAACCTAGGAGTTTTGGGAGTCACGCATGACAAGTTGCACTCCGCAGTGTAGTGCAGGTTAGCAACTGCAGTCGCATCACAGATTCATCTGCTCATCCTGTTCACAGCATCACAAATTCCAATACACGATTAGAAATGCCTTTCATGGGGATGCGCATGACAAGTCTTCCTGTCTTTGCAAATCTGCATTACAACTCTGGTGTGGGACGTTTTTACTCAGGATACATCGACGACAAGATTATCCTCCGCGCCCGGAAGAACGAGCTGCTGGCGGAGTATTTGAAGAAGCAGAGAGAGGGGAAATTCTTAGCGGCGAACGGCGCGACTTTTGTCCAGGACGTGGAAAAGATTTTATCGGAGAAGAATGACGACTACTTTCGGACGAAGAAGGAAAAGCTAGTCGCGGAAATCCAGCAGCAGATCGAGACCGCGGTCGCGAAAGGGTGGAAGCCGCCGAGCGAGGAGGAACAGCAGGAAAAGTTGGAAAAGTTCAAGCTGAAGCAGAAAACTTTCCTCGAAACCGCGGAGAAAACGCGAGTGGCGTTGGAGAAAAAGGACTTCGAGGCCGCGGCGTCGGTGCTCGGCGACGAGCTGAAGGACTGGCTCGACGAGACCGTGGGAAGCGCTGTCACCGACAACATGGTCTTTCAGCGCCACGCGAGGAAATTCGAAGCCAGCTTCTGGGACGACATGGCCGCCCTGGGGGTGCGGCCGCCGGACGCAATCACGCGCGTCACCGAGTATGTGGATCAGGTATGGCTTAGTACTTTTGTTTGGAAGGTCGTGCTGGGAGACGGAGACGAGATGATTGCAGACGTTTAGATTGATAGCATGATTTTTCTTGGGAGGTACTAGTAGTTCTGTCTGAATCCTCACAATCAATGGCTTCTCGTGTAGTTTATTCGCTGTGAAGTAGGAGTAGATGTGCTGGCACGACGAGGAGGACAGGTTTATTTCAATGGTTTCAGAAAAACAAAAATCTGATCAACCTCGTGTCTCCTCCAACTATACTTTGCAGATTGTGGAGTTCATCAAGACAATGGTCGCTTCCGGGGGCGCGTACGAGAGCAACGGCTCCGTCTACTTTGACACGAAACAGTTCGAGAAGAACGACCACGACTACCCGAAACTCGGGCCCAAGGGCAACAAGGACAAAATCGACGACGAAGCGATGCAGGAGGGCGAGGGCGCGCTGGGCGTGAAGTTGGCGGTCGAGAAGAAGGATCCGCGAGACTTCGCTCTGTGGAAAAAATCCAAGGACGGCGAGCCGCGGTGGGAGTCTCCCTGGGGCCTCGGGCGGCCCGGGTGGCACATCGAGTGCTCCGTCATGGCGTCCGATTTGATGGGGGACCGGCTGGACATACACGGCGGGGGGCAGGATTTGAAGTTCCCCCACCACGCCAACGAGATGGCGCAGTCCGAGTGCTACCACGGCACGCAGCAGTGGTGCAACTACTGGACGCACGCGGGCACGCTGAACATCGAGGGGCTGAAGATGTCGAAGAGTCTGAAGAACTTTTTTTCTATCAAGGAAATTCTGGAGAAAACCACCGCGACGCAGCTCCGCATCGCGTTTCTGCAGCAGCGGTGGGACCGGAAAATGAACTACAGCAGCGACCAGATGCTGACGGCCCAGGAGTTTGACAACCGCATCCGGTCGTTCATGGGCACCGTGAAGCAAAAGATCCGGAACGCCGGCTGCCCGTCGGCCACCGAGCAGGTTTGGAGCGACGAGGAAAAGCAATTGTCCAAGATGATCCAGACTTCCCACGCCGAGATCCACGAGGCGCTTTTGGACAACTTCAACTACCCGAAGGTGCTGCAGATTTTGAGTGAAATGATCAAAAAGTGCAACGTGTACATGAGTTCGATGGAGACGCAGCAAAGGTCTCCGCGGGTTTTGATCCTGCGCAAGGCCGCCGCGTTGGTCACAAAATACATGAAGCTGTTCGGCGTCTTCGCCGGGTCCGACGAGCTGGGCGAGAACGACGCGAGTAGTGGAGCCGGTGCGGTCAGTAAGGAGGAACTGGTCGCGCCCTTCGTGGACGCGCTGGTTAGCTTCCGCGACGAGGTGAAGCAGCAGGCGATGAGTGCGAAACAGAAGCAAACGCTGGACCTCTGCGACGACCTGCGCGACAAAACCTTGGTGAAGCTCGGTGTGGAATTGCAGGACGGAAAGAGTATGGCGGCCGGCGCCACCGGATCGCAAGGGAAGTGGACTTTGCGGGATCCAAATGCGCTGATGCGGGAGCGGGCGCAGGAGCAGGAGAAAAAGTTGCTGGTGGAGTTGAAGTCGCTGGAAACGAAGATCGGATCGAAGAAGAAGGAGCTGGAAAGGAGCAAAGACGCCTTGCAATATGCGACGAAGGAAGCGTGGCTGCTGGCCCGGGAGTATCCTGAGTAAAAACGTACCCACACCAGAGTCAGGATGGGGATTTTGCAACACAAACCTAGGAGTTTTGTGAGTCACGCATGACAAGTTTCAGTCCGTAAGGTAGTGCAAGTTAGCAAGGAACGCCGCATCACAAATCGATCTGCTGATCCTGTTTACAGCATTACAATTTCCCAAACACGATTGAAAATGCCTGTCGTGGGGTTGCGCATCACAAATGTTCCTGTCATGGCAAAGTCGCATGACAACTCTGGTGTGGGGACGTTTTTACTCAGGATAGGGAGGACATGACGTTTACGAAGGAGCGGGACGAAGAAGGGTTGCCGGTTGCAATATTGAAAGGAAAAACTCCCCCTCCCCATATCAAAAAGGCATGTTTCCGAAAATTTGCGTTGCTGATTTGAGGTCACAAATGACATCTGTCTTGCAAGGAGGCAAGGGCAGAAGCTTCGCCCCCATTATGGAAGCGATTTGTCATGCTGTTGGGCCTAAAGGCGAGGCATTTGCCATGCTGACCAACTAGACCGATACGCCCCTACCTAGCCTGGGGATCTGGTCGCAATGCCTTCCTGCAATACAACGCTGATTTGTGTACACAAATCCAGCAACAGAAATTTCCGCTTCGATATGGGGAGGGGGGATTTTTCCTTTCGATATGCAAGTGTGAATGTCGACACGAAGGAAGAGACCCCTCTGGCGAAGGGAACTTTGAAAAAGCTGAAACAGAATGTGACCAAGTACCTGGAGAACCGGGCGAAGGAGTTGAAGAAGTTAAACGTCGCTGCAGACGCTTCCCCCGAGGCGGTCGCGACAGCCGTGGAGGAGATGGGGAAAGCGGCAGAGGAGGAGATCAAAACGCTAGTGGAGAAAAAGGAACTGAAAACGAAGGAACTCGACGAAATTCTGGAGGCGAAAGAGGACTGAAGGTAGTCGTCGTGAAGAAGGGTGCTAGTGGTAGCGGTCGTCGACCACGCGCTGCTGGAACTAACCGTCAAGGGCTTTTGTGGTCACATGTGCCATTATTTTGTGGTGATGCAAACTTCTACACCGGTGCCTTGAGAAAAATATTTTTTCAACTCCGTCAACTAGTAAAACTCTCATTAGGTTGCGCACCGCTGGAAGATTCTTCCAAATGCTGGATTTGTTTGAGTGGTTGGATAAGAGTGGTTGGATGTGGATCTTGGTGCAAATATGGAACGACTTTCAGATTCACATGGATGGAAAAAAAGCGTGGAGTGGCGTACGTGCCATGTCGACATAGTGTGTGAGAATAAAAGTGTTCTAGTGCCCGATTTAAGTTGTAGTAGGATGAGAAACAAAACCAGAGCGGGTGAGAGAACTTATTCTTGCTCTCCGCAAAATGAAAACCTGTGTCACGTACGAGAAGGCAGAGAGAGAGAGGCAGAGAAGCAGAAGTTTTTTGTAGTTCTTCGCTCTTTTGGTTTTGTCAAACTCAAAGCTCTTTTGTCTTTAGGCAAGCCGATTCAGATGCTTGTTTTGGTTTCCTGGCAACAAACAAACTGACGCATGAACACGTCGACGCCGATTATTTCCTTTGCGACAGACGCAAGAACACTGATCTGATTTATACTCCCGGTATTAGCCCGTTTGAATTCATGAACCCTTGCCGCATGCTTTACGCTTTAACGTCCAGAAGTTGCGTTTCACGCTCGTTATTTTTTTTTCTGACACTACCGTATGTATAAATTTGCAGAAGTATCCCGACGCATTTATCTGTGTTTCTAAAGAGTTAGTTTGACCTGCAAAAGTGCACAAGTGAAACTGTTAAGCTAGTACCCAAAGTTCTTTACCTGAACGAATCCTTTCACTATCACTATCAACGGAATAAATCTACAAAATGTCAGTCGTTTTTGAGCGAGGGCTTGTGCCCCGCTCTCCCACTTCTTTTCGTCTTCTGACCTCAAGAGCTCCCGTCGCACTTCTCACAGTGATGTTCTTTCTCTCTGCGTTTAACACCCTGCTGACCTCCGCCCTGCCCTGCGAAAACGACCACAGCCAAGTGACGCAGTTGAGCGTGAAGGTGAAAGGGTGTACCTGTTGCGACGAGCCGGAGGAGTTTCTGAACAAACACGAGCGCGCGTACTTGCTCTTCTACTCCGGGGCGCACCCAAATTTGATGAACGCGAAGATTTACCAGCAGTACACGGAATTCGCGAGGCAGTGGCGGTTATGGATTGCAAATATGTCTGGGTCTGGAAGATTTCCAGGTTTGTCATGCATATTTCGCATGGGCTATGATGCCTGTAATGCATCTCCTAGCATGACAGATTTTTTGCGGGTATCTTGATGCCTATCCCGCATGACAAATGCCCTCTCCACGGAGCAAAAACTGGACGCCTCTTGCTGCTCATGCAATACAGATTTTTTTTAGATTCGAAAAATAGCATCACAAGTTGCATTCTTCCAGACCCAGACATTTTTGCAATCCATAGCAGTACACGAATATCGCGTTCGGCATGGTCGACATTGACATGGAAAAGGAGTTTTCGGAGAAGTGGCTGGAACCCAACCAGGTGCCCACCAACATCCTGTTTCAGAACTTTGGCGACCCGGTAGTCATCGACACGGAAGACTTCAAAAAGGCGCTGTCCCTGTACCAGGGCGCGCCGGAAGGGCACAAGTTTTTGCTCTCGAAGTACTACGGGGCGAACAACATCCACTTCGCGAAGGTATTAGAGTCGAAGGAACAGCTGGAAACGAAGTTTTTCGGGATGAAGAAAAGCGGCACAACCGCGATGGCCGGGAAGATCAGGGTACGGTTTTTGATACTTGAGTCTATCTAACAAGATATCTCGTCCTGTGCGAAATTCTTTTGAGGCCGTTGTTTTGTAGTTTGTTGTCATGACAACTACAGGAACACGATTTTCATATCAAAACCACAGGTGATTGGTCTTTTTCCGGAGCGGAAAAAAGACGACGATCAGCTGATCCTTTCGTATCGGCAAGCGGTTTGGAACGCGAAGGAGAAGCTTGCAAAGGAGAAGAATCTGAAGAAGAAAAAGCTGCAAGCCATGTTTTCCATGACCAGCTCCGTGGATATCTCCCGACTCTTTTTTGCACAAAAGGTCAAGCTGAAGGCGAAACAGGCGGACGTGGGCCAGTTGGCCGCCGCTCTGGACCTGGTCAGCGAGTTCAGTTTGGACGATGAATCGGGAGTAGAGACGAGTAAAGCTAGTACAACCGGGTCCACCTCGGATAGCGTGGCAGTTGGAGTAGACAAGAAGTACGAGACTGGCAGGATTTTCGTGGTCCAATTCTTGGAAGACCAGGTTGGTGAAAAAGACGTTGCGCCAAAGTGGGAAGTGGTATAAAAAAATGGGAAGTGCTCTAACTATCTTGCGGTCATTCAGAAAAGCAATATTTGGGTCCACATTTTGTTAGGCGTCGTTCTTCTACTTCCATAACATTTCGTTCAAGACATGTATCCGAATTGAATTTCCGAGGTGGCCGAGAAACGATTTACCTCGAAGGAGGCTGAGGACAAGGGAATGGAGAAGTTTTTTGACACGCACTTGCTCACTGCGTTTGCGGGCGGAGAGAGTGGTGCTACCACTGGGAAGGCGAAGAGCACGAAAAAAAAGAAGAAGTCGGAACTGTAAATTCAGAAAAATGTAAATCTCACTCAAATAGTACCGGTTGTTGTTTGTATGCAACGAACTCTGTTTTTGCAAGAATGCACTTTTCGTCAAAAGATCAATGCCGAATACTTCGCTGAGCCTGAATTCACTCTCGTACGTCAAAAACCGCTCTCAGTCGAATCTAGCTTTGTAGGTGCACGACAGGCCTGCAAAATCATACGAAATTTGTCAACGCGAACACGAAAACTGGAAGTACCGCTTTACCAGTAGTAATCGATGAGGACCAAAAATGTTGTTCGTCTCTCTTCAGTTTCTTTTCATTCGTCGCAGTTCGTACCCCGTCGGTTTCTATCTTCGAAAGAGCATAGGAAGTGTCTTCAGAGCAGGAATCCGAGAGCGCATGAATGTGTTGCTATGACCATTACGTTGAGAGTGTAGAACGAGCGTTGTAAAAGGTTATCGTCATCGTTCATCTGTACCTATCGGCCTGCCCCCACTTCGCCTTCCTTCGTATTTCGCTCGTTTTGCTTCGTATGCCTTTTACACTCACATGAGGTAGAACCTGTGTGTCGATGCAGCTGGCCCGCAAGCAGCAAAGCAATGGTAGAGCAGCGACATTCTGATAAAAAGACTACCCCCTCCTTCTAATAAAAAGATGTACCGCCCCTTGCCGAACCGGTTGCCCTGTTGGGCGAACCAGGAGGATACCGACGAATACAGCCAACTCGCCCATTCTGTGTACCAGAACACCATCCTCGAATCTGCCCGGCTGAAGGCGCTCGAGACGGGACGGAAGTTCACGCTGAGCGGCAAGACGAAAAACGCCGCGGACAAACCTTACGAGGTGCCGTGGAAGCACGTCCCCAACATCGACACGGCGCCCCCCTTATCACATGCAAATCGGTCTGGTTTTGTTCTGGAAAGAACTTGTGATGCTACAATGGGAGTGGCAAGCAGGAGACCTGAGTAGACAGACAGCAACGCATGATAAATTTTCTCGCTGCTATGCGAATGCGTGGGTTCGTTGCGGCCTGCTTCGGCGCATGAGAAATTGCGATTGGGCATATAACAAAAAAGCCACCCCTGCTGGAGTTTATTGCGCCTTATGCATGTGACAGAATCTAGTTCTAGATCTACACAGCTGCTAGCCGAGCATGATCTTAAGGTGTCATTCTTTCTCCAGAAGACCCAGATCGATATTTGCGATTGCATACCCCTCTTCTGTCGGTTCGGATCAAGTGAAATACGAGAAGAAAAAGGAGAAGAAGCAGAAAAGAGACTTGAAAAACCGGTTGAAAACGCAGATTGAATACCAGGCGAAAGTGGACGAAAACCGGAAGAAGCCGCCCGTAAAACTCGACTACGCGCCGAAATTCGCGAGCGGGGGGATTGTGTATGGCGGGGATGAGAAGTCGAGGATTAAGGAAAACGACCCGCGGATGATTTTCAAACTTCCGGTTTCCGAGCAAAACAGGATAAAGGAATTGGCAAAAACAACTTCTTCCTCAACTGCTGGAGCGAAAACAGGTACTAGAGCAGAAACGCAGCAAGAACAGCTCGACATCAAGACCAAGTCCGATGTTCTGATAGCAGATGAAGTGAAGAAGAAGTCTTTCGGGGACTGTTTTCAAGCGGGCAAACGAAACGACTCCATCCAGCCGCCGATACCGAAACGTGTGGTTGACCCGAACAAGGAGCCCACGGCGCTGGAGAAGATCGAGAAGCTGCTCGACCCCCAGCTGTCCACATACCAAGCCATGTCCGTGCCGCAGGGTTCCCGAATTTTGACGAAAGACAGCAACCGGCCCTTCGTCATGGTCGCGTCAAAAGTGCGGACGCACGAAGCGAAGAACGGGAAGTTAACCGTGAAGCCGCACACGAACTACGGCAGAAGGCCGGATGCGCCGTTTGACATCGACGGCTACCCGATGGGCGCGATCGGGGCGGAAACCGAGTTCGAGCGGCGGGACCGGCAGAAGTTAGAGTACGCGAAGCAGTGGGAGGAGCGGGTCGAGCGGAAGAAGAAGGGCAAGCAGGTGATTTTGCCGGTCTACGCAAACAAGACGCAGGCGAAACGATATAAGGACAAGTTGGTTTCGACCTACGGGCTGATGTCGGCGGGGAAAGAAGAGTGGATGGCAGAAAGGGAAAAGAACTTCGAGTATGCGAAGAAAACAAACGAATACAACACGGACAAAGGGAATACAGGTATAGATAGTAAAAGCAGCAGGGGGGTAGATGATGATGCTTCTTTTACATTGCAACATTTGTGGTCTTAGCTTGTGATGCGTGCAGCTTTTACTCTGTTTTCTGTGAAAGAGCATATGCAAAAAAAATGCATACTACCTACGACCGTATCTGATTATCAATACCATCTACTAAAGGCACCTACTACTTCGGGCAGGAAATGCAGCCAGAGGACTTTGTCGAGCTGAACCGTGGCGTAAAGCGAACCGAACTTTCCGAAAAAGGCTACAAGGGGGAATACGACTGGAGCGACTTGCTGTATCATTGAAATTCACTATGCCTGAAATTGAATCATTTTGCTTTATACTCGGGGAAGAGTCTGGGGGAAACAAAGCTGTGAGGCGTGAAGCACTGTCTTTTCTCCCCACACATCCTAAAGTTGATGATTTTGCTTTATACTGTTTTTGATCTGCATCATCTTCATCGGCCTTCTTTATGCGCGACCGTGTCGTGATTCGTTGTACAAAGAGAATTCGAAGATGTTCATATTGTCGAAAAATCGCAGGTATAAGATCGATCCGACAGAAACACCCTTGTCCTACATTCCGGAGCGCGTGGAGGGCGTGGTGACCGCGCCGGAGAGCTACAAAGATCGGGATAAAGGAAGAAGTAAGTATGGCGAGCAGGACTGTATAGTGAAAAGGACCGCACTTTAGAAGTGAGTTGCTCTCGTCCTGCAACTTTTCGGACCTATACCATAATGAAAATAGCTGCGCACAAACAAGTACGAGCGTGTAGGTACATTAGTCGCGGCTTTGAGGCTCCACCTCGAGGGGCACTTGCTCTTGGCCGAAAAGAAGAATGCAAGGAGCTACAGGCGTGGTTCGGATCATCTTCGAAATTGTGCCTCGTCGTGCTCATATTCTGTTCTTCCGGCACGGAGTAATCTCGTTTACTAGAACATCAAGGGAACAAACCAGGCAGTCGTGAAAACATCGTCAGTTATTTACAACATAGTACGGGCCTGTCGTTTCTTTTCCCTCCATCGTTCTGTATTGCACCGTGCGGGTCGTGCGTGTGATTGTCGTACAGTTCTTGTGCCACCTCTGGACGGAGCTGCAGAAGATCCTCGTACTTCAGAAGTTCCACTATCTCGTCGTACAGTCCACCATCTACCATGTCGAAACTTCGTCCTGGAAGAACACCGTCGTGCAAGAGAATTAGAACCAGGACACTAGGTTTACGTCGTAAAAATGCTAAAGCTAGACTTAGACTCGCGTTCCTCATGCCTTGGACATCTTGGGAAAGACAAAGAAGTGTGAAGTAAAAAACATCCGTGTAGTTCTAGTATCGTGTCCGTGTCAAGAACAACATTGCTAATCCACGGTTAAATTTTTACAGGACTCCTGTTAAGTATATACGAAATCTCAATCTTTCGAGCAATCCCTACTTCCTCGCAGGCCACTCTGTCGTCGCTTTTTTGAAAAGCGTGACAGTTGTGTGTTTCTTCACCCACACGTTTTTTTTTATCGTTTTTTGCGTGAGGGTTGAAAAAACTAATTTTGTTTGGCCCGAGTACATCGAAAAAAACTCGCACACCATGGCTCGGATGGCCCCGGTTGAGGAGCAGAACGAGGCTCTGAAAAAGGAGCTGACCGAGCTTTCGGAAAAGCTCTCGGCCCAGCAGTCCACCGGGCAGCACCAGTACGATGAGATTTCGCAGCTGAAGGCGAAAATCGTCACGCTGCAGAAGTCCGTCGACGCGGAGCTCGCGAAGCGGGAGCAGATCGAGGCGCAGAACATCATTCTCGGATTGCAGCTGAAAGACGACCGAGATGGGAATAAGAACAAGAAGGGGAAGCCCGCGAAACTGCAGCGGAACGAGGACGACGGGCAGCCGGAGCAGGCGGCCAAAGCCGCGACCAAAATCATCCGGACCGTGGATCAGTGGCTCCGTCAGCGGGACTTGGAGCAGGCACTGCTGCGGGGGTCCGCCATCTCCGATATTGGGTTTTCCACCTTGTCGCAAGTCCTCACCGATTGCCCGAGTTTGCACACGCTCGACTTGTCGAAAAATCAGCTGACCATGGACTCCTGTGCGGACATCTGCTATCAATTGCAAAAATGTCTGGGTCTGGAAGATTGCAACTTGTCATGCTGTTTTTGGACTCTAAAAAGTTTTGTATTGCATGACCAGCAAGAGGGGCGCCGTTTGTGCTGCACTGACAGGGCATTTCTCATGCGGAACGTGCATCAGGAAGCCCTTTGAATGTTTGCGATGCTAGGTCATGCATTACAGGCATCATGGGTCATGAGAAATATGCATGACAAATCTTGCATTTAGCTGCGCAGTCTGTTAAGCATGACAAATCTTGCATTTTTCCAGACCCAGACATTTTTGCATTTGATATCTGCCAGATCATCACCACGTGCCCGAGTCTCAGTTACATCTCCCTGGAAGCGAACCTGTTCTCGCTAAGGTCCATCGGTTACTTCATGACCGCCATCATCGAACGACAGAACAACAAAAAGTATAATAAAGTCATGTATTTTGAACTTGAAGAGCATGACGTACGATAGAACTCTGTATACTTCTGTGTGAAACCTCACCCCGCAGATTGAGTCATGAGTATAACATATGGCTTGCAGATCGATGTTGACAACCTTGTATATTCATGAAAAAATAGCAACTGCACCCTGAAAAAATCCCTCATGAAAAAACAACTCCTACACACAGCTTGACCCCGCTCGCGATCTTGCATTTGCAGGATAACGATGGTATTCTGCAAGCGATTGATGGCGACGTGCAACCCACCTCCGCCGACCTGAAGAACTGGCCGAAACTGGCCACCCTGCCCGGCCCGGCGCCGGTGATTCTGCTGGCCTTGTCCAAGGCGCTGTGGAAGTTTCTGCACGACACGGGGCACCCACAAGTGAAATCCACGAAGCCGGACCAGGTGAAGTGGGGCGCGATGGACGTGAACACGGTGAAGAAGATGCAGAACGCACTGTCCAAGATCCTGCTCATTTCCGAAGACGACATCAACGACAAGAAAAAGCCGGCCACGCTGACCGCGGACCAGGCCATCAACCTGCCCAGTGAGGATCAGTTGAAGTCGCAGGAGCTGTTGGAGCAAGGCGGGAAGAAGCGGGAAGAGAAAACCGCCGCGGGCGACGCCAAAGCGCTTGCCGCCTCCGAGGAGCACGCGGAAGCCGGCGCGGGGGACCAGGCGGGCAACAAATCCGCCACGTCGATGCATCAAACGGGCAAAGCCGGCACGACCCTCGACGCCGGCAGCAAAGGAGCGGCTGGGTCCATGGCCCATGGTGGACAACATCACGGAGCTGCGGCGGGTCACTATCGCGGGGGCGTGATGCAGCAGCCGCGGGAGAAGATCACAACCTTCAACATTCGGCAGATTTTGACGAAAAACGGCACCATTCTGCTGAACAAACTGGAGCAGTTATCGAAAGGAAAAATCCCCCCTCCCCATATCGAAAACGAAATTTGTGATGCTGTATTTGAGGTCACAAATCAGCTTTGTCATGCTACACGGGAAAAGATGCGGACTGTAGTGCTGGGTGGCGTGGGGGAGCCTTGCATCTTCAGCATGATAGGAGGCAGCTGAGAGTGGGAAACAGCATGACAAATTGCCTGCAAACGAGACCACGACTGCGGCTCTTGGCCTTCTAGCATGACAAGTCGATTTGGTACCTCAAATCCTGCATCACAGATTTCCATTTCGATATGGGGAGGGGGGATTTTTCCTTTTGATAACAGTTACTCGACACCACCTCCATCGACGCCCGCGACATTGAGAGCGAGAAAACCCTGCTGGAGCACGCTTGTTTGACGGGCAACCTCGCGCTGGCGAAGCTCTGCTACCGCCGGGGGGCGAACCTGAACCTGAAAAACGCGAAGACCGGCGACATCCCCTTCACCATCGCGACCAAGCACAAACGCTACGACATCATGGAACTGCTGCACATGTACGGGGTGCCCGTCACCGCGTCCGATAGCAACGGGTGCGCGGCCATGCACATCGCCACCGCGAACAACGATGTGGACGGTGTGTGTCGCCTGGTCGAGTGGGGTGCGGACGTGAACTCCCTGGACCGCCTGAAGCGCACGCCGCTGCACTTCGCCGCGATCGGCGGCCACAGTGAGGTGTGCATGCTGCTGCTCGAGCTCGGCGCGGTATCCCAAAGAAAAAAGCTGGCAGGTCATATTTGTAATGCGAAAATAAATACAGATACACAAGAAAATCTGTATTGCATATCCGAAGCTGCATGCTATGGGGCCGCCCATGGCAAGTCTTTCTGTGTATTTATTTTTGCATTACAAATTATATGCCCTGCCAGCTTTTTTCTGTGGGATACGCGGACCTGAACGCGTACGACGCGAAGCAGTACACGGCGGTCGCGCACGCGGAAAACAACGACCACTTCCTATCAAAAGGAAAAATCCCCCCTCCCCATATCGAAAACGAAATTTGTGATGCTGTATTTGAGTACACAAATCGACTTGTAATGCTAGAAGGCCAAGAGACCCAGCTGTGGCCTCGTTTGCAGGCAATTTGTCATGCTGTTTCCCACTTCCAGCTGCCCCCTGTCATGCTGAAGATGCAAGGCTTTCCCACGCCAACCAGCACTACAGTCCGCATCTTTTCCCTTCTAGCATGACGAAGCTGATTTGTGACCACAAATCTGCATCACAAATTTCTAGGTTGAGTATGGGGTGGGGGGATTTTTCATTTTGATACTTCCCGTTAATGGACCGGTTGGTCGCGCTCGGCGGAAAGGGCCACGGTCTGCAGAAGGGCTCCGGGAGCGGGTCCGCCGCGAAACTGGGGGCGGCCAACGTCTCGGTCGGGGAGCTGAAGGCCTCCGCGTTGGGCCGGTTGGGCAAGTGGAACCTACAGTACAAGGAAAACTAAGTTGACGGTCGCTCTGCAATCGACTGGTTTTGGTTCATACGAACGTGCAGCAGTAACCAAGGAGCGTGAACACATGGTGGGTTATTGTCAACTTACCTAAAGTAAATGAAAATGTGGAACAGTTAGGAGCTATCTGCTTATGTTTCAATAATATCGTCATTAAGCTCATCACTCATGCTGTAGCCGTAGCGAAGTTTGCAATTTGAGCATTCTTTCGTGCGACGTGTAGTGTGATGAGAACAACAAGTACAAGAATTGCGCGACGGATTTGTGTTGAAAAGTCTATAAGGTTTTAATAGAAACCACTTTGTTTGAATTTGAACATGAAAATTTTACACTGTATTGTCATTGTTATTTGAGACTTGTTTGTAATTGTATTTACGCAAAATTTATCATTGTTACGATTGGATTTGGATCTGATACGCACGCTAGCGCTTTGAGGGCGGGCTTGTGGTGATTTACTGCAAAATTTGAACAAGAATTATCATCCACTGTACAAGTTTGATCACGCGTTTATTCGTTTATTGTTTCCGAAACCTCATCTTCAAGAAAAAAAAATATGTGTACACTATCTCCACGTCTTGCTCCACCTTCACAGCATGATTTACAGTGCCTGTAATCTATTAGCATATCACTCCTTGAATCTGTGCGAAGAGAAGAGAAAGAGCACCCTGGTGGCGTAAAAAACAACATCTTTCTCCTGAGCCTGTGGACTTTTTGGAAGCAGGGAGGGCTGTGAAAATGAAGACAAGTTTCATGATCTTGCAGTTTTTGGAAAAGAAAAAAGCGGCGCTTACGCGGCGGTCGCGGTACTTCACCTTCTGCTGTAGAGCGGTAAAATCGGCACTGTTATAAAATTCGTTGCAGAAACTGAAACAGCTTGCGCTTGCGGCGCAGTCGTGTGGTGTGCCCCTTCAACATTAAAGTGAGGTATATTCAGAACTATGTAATCGTCCTCGTCCCCACTCGTGCATCTTCATCTATGACCGATCGTCGTACTAAGGATCCCTCGTATTCCGAAATAATTTTCGTACCAACAGCCGCGCCCTTATGGTATAGATCAACTGTTCGTCATAGAAGATCGGCGTTCAGCTGCTCTCGGGCTGGAGGAGGGAGTAGCGCGCAGCAGTCCGCTAAAGGGCACACTGCCAGCATCATCATCATGTGGCTTTTGTTGCTGCTTACGCTCATTTTCTTTCCCTCCCTCGTCGGCGCCCTTCAGACTTGTCGTTCGTCGTAATTTTTTTTTTCTGATTTTTACCGTCCTCAAACAAACAAAATGACTTTTCGAACGTCTCCCTGTGCGGCACGGAAAGAAGTAGAATCAGTAGTAGAGTAAGTTTCCCATTTCCATCAACAGCACCTCAACACTCACCCCTCGTTTTTTCAACCGTCCTCGAACGGATCGAGCTGAAACTCGTTCTGTTTGCTGCGGCTATCAAGTGGACAAACAAGAATCTTCAAGTTTGTACGGCAATTACTGTGGTTGGAGTAGTTTTGCCGTTTGCAGGAGTTTGAAGGACAAGGAAAAATGAAGAAGTCCTCCATTTTTTCCACGACGGCCCTGCTTGCGGGCTCGACAGGCCAGGTCGTGGAGTCCTCTTCGCAGGGGAGGAAGATGAAATCGCTGCTCGCCCGGGACAAAAAACATCGCCCGCTTGGCAGCCCGACCCCTCCTCTGCCTGGCGCGGCAGACTCGGGGAAGCACAGTGACTGCGGGGAGTTCAACATCTGCCGTCGCCCACGACCGGTAGTCGGGCTAGTACAACTTCCGCGTCGTTTGCGGAAGTCGCCTCAAACGCGTCCAGCTCGCGCCGGCGTGGTAGTCGACGCCGGCGTTCTAGTACAACGAGTCGTCGCCGGCAAGAAACGGCGTCTCCTCCTTCTACGACCGCTTCGACGCCTCCTGCCACTGTGAGTAAAAACAACATCGTTTTCGGCACTACCTATGGCCTGACGCCGCAGCAGGTCGCGGATCTGGTCGCCCGTTACAAAGACTCCGAGGGCACGCTCTACAATCGCTACGACAAGGATTACAATCCCTGGGTGGCGGAGGATGCGCAGTTTGAAGACCGCACACACGACGACCAAAATGCCTACCACCTTGGTCCTCTCACAGTCCAGGTGAATCCCACTGGACATGACGCTTGGTTCCCGAACTGGGAGGAGACCTGTGTGGAGATCTTCGGTTTCAAAAATGAGTTGCGGGGTGGCAATCTGCAGCGCCTCGACTGCGAGTGGAATCAAATCAAGTTTGCGGTGAATCGCGGAAACTCGACGTACATCAAAGCGTACGCGGACGAGTGCGCGCAACACCGAAAGCCGGTGATGCAGAAAGCGTCGCGGGAGGAATGCTTGGATGCGGTCGTGAGCCGGTCGCGGGGCGGCTTCGATTTGGAAGAGACGAAATACGATTATCTGAAGCTGATTTACCACCAAGTGCGGTACGAGGAAAACGGGGCCTGTCACCGTTACGTGGGTCTGGGCTGCGCGCCGGATCCGAACGGGCCGCGGATGGTCGACGGCTCTGCGAGCGGCGACTCTCGTGCGACGACGCTTGAACTTTCGGGCGGAGATTGCTACGACGCCTGCGGCGGCCACGGCGGGCTCTGCGACGAGACGTGTGGGTTGGACCCGGACCGGTCCACGCTTTCGGAGGGGGTGAAGCGGCGCACGAAGGGCGTGTGTTGCCGCCGGGGGACGCCGGAGAATGACCCCGAAGACGAAATGTGGTGCGAGCGGGCCGCGCAGGAATACGAAGACGCTGATCGGCAGAACTGGTTCCTCACACGGAGACACTCCTGCGGCCTGGTCACCCTAACAGAGAAGGAACTGGAGGGCCAGCGCTAGAGAAAAGATGACAAATGTTGTCTTCTCATTGTCTTCAGCGACAAGATGATCAGGGTGCACTACGGAACTCACCGTTTTTTTTTTTTGAATGTTTCGTTCGTAGTAAACGACGAAACACGAAGATGTGCGAAGCTGCTGTGACACAACCCCGAGATGCAGTTTGAAACGAACTCGAACCCCAACCCCTCCGCACGTCCCCCCCTAGTGCAGGATAAATGATGACGATGATGTTTGCGATCGATTCCTCATGTAATTTTCACACCTTTATTTTTTTTACTGTTTAGCATAACATAAACTTACTTTATCTTTAGAACTTTTTTTCATCTCACATCAAAAATGCTCTTTCCCCCGTCCTCGTCCTCGCAGTTCTTTCGTCTTTCTTTGATTTTGAACTGCAATGTATGATAAGCCCCAAACCCAAATCTTTCGACAACTGCAAGAAGCTTCAAGTTTTAGATTTTTAAAGCAACAAAACTCAGACTCAAGTTTTAGATCTTAAAAGACTTTTAATCAGCAGCGTTCTTCTTACAGCTTTACCACGTACAACCTTTTAAAAACTTCAGTAGCAACCATTTTATTTTTATCCAGTAGCAGGCTCTTCCTAACAAAAAATTTTTCTCGTTCTCGGCAGCAGTTCCTTTTTCTGAGGTGGGAGCCAAAGGAGCTCCACCAAGTCGTTCGTTTTTATTGAAATAGCGCTAGACACATGAGAGGATGAGGAAAGACCACCTTTCAAGCGGTTCCATGTGACCATCCTGAACAAATCAACAAACAAACAAGCTCATAGTACCAAAATAAATTGCACTGTTCATTTTTACAGCACGTCTTTACAACTTCCCCGAGCTAATTTTTTTTCTCATATAACTCTAACTGCAACTTTTGAATCACGAAGAAACAGAACTATCTTTTCAGATAGCTACATCTTACGCCAAGCAACTTTTGAATCATGACCTTGCAGTTGTAGGAAAGGAAAAAAAACGGCACTTGCTCGGCGGTCGCGGTACTTCACTTCCCGCTGTAGAGCAGTAAAATCATCACTGTGATAAAATTCGTTGCACGATAGAGCAGCTTGCGTTGCAGTCGTGCCGTGTGCCCTTTCAACTTTTAGATCTTCAAAACCGAACAAGTATCAAATGAAATGGGTCATCGATCTGTTTCTTTTTTCCAAGAGTTTTCATGCTGTGTGCTGTATTTCTTTTAGTTCTTGGTGCTTCGCAAAGTGACAACTCGGTCCTGGTTTTCTATTTGATGCTTTCCGTGAACATGATGTCTTCATCGGTTCGATGCTTGCAAGATCCTCGTTCGATCATGCACACCACCTGCGGCCAAAACGCTCGATGTACCTTTTTCATGGCAAATGAACATGCGGCCTTCTATAATGAAAGAATGTGAAATGATGATGAAATTATGCCACTCGTGGAGTTGTGCCATGGGACTCTTTATTTATGTATGAAGTTGTAGCCGGAGCAGGAACAGGAAGTTAGAATGTGCGGTTGTGAGATCGTCATATGAAGTAAAACTGAAGATGAGGCTGGTTTCCTGGTAACAACGAAGAGGCAAGTTTTCTCTTCGATCGCAATAAGTTCGCGCTGTCATTCGAACTTCGACTGCGAAGGGAAGCGGTAAAGTCGCGGCACGGAAGGGGAACAAAAACAAATAACATGGCGCAACTGCAAAGAGCCGCTTCTAGCGGTCGCGGTTGGCCGCGAGGGTTCAGCGCAAGAATGCTTTTTTCTTGCGTGGTAAAGTGGTCCTTTTGCGGATCAAGTCTCACCAAAAGTAATTCTCTGGTTGTCTCGACCACCGCTGCTGTTCTCGAGCTAACGTCCGCTGATTTCGATGACACGCTCGAGTCCAGCACTCTTACCTTCGTAAAGTTCTACGCTCCTTGGTGTGGGCACTGTAAAAAGCTGATTCCGGACTGGGACAAGCTTGCGACCGAGGTAGTTTCCTGGGGCGAAGAAACGGGCGAGGAAGGTAGCATCAAAATTGCCAAAGCTGACGCCACGGTGGAGAAGGACCTGGCGGGAAAGTTTGCGGTGACCGGGTTTCCCACATTGCTCCTTTTCTACCGAAACCAGAACTACTACGTGCGGTACAACGGAAAACGGGACGCGGCTTCCTTCAAAAAATACGTGACCGGGAAGTACGAAAATGAGAAACCGTTTTTCCAGCAATTTGACGCCGCCGAGGTGTCCGCATCCGCGGTGGTCGAGAAACTGATGAAGAAACCCTTCGTGGTTCTGCACGTAGGTATATGCATTGCAAATATGTCTGGGTCTGGAGGAATGCGAACTTGTCATGCTAAATCCGAATCATGCAAAAATCTGGGTTGCGTGAGTGCCAAAAGTTGTCCACTTTCAACCAAGTTGGGAGGGAGTTTCTCATGCAGGAGAGGCATGACAGAGACCTCACAGACTCTGCCATGCTAGGTTCGGCATTCCAGACCTCATGGGTCATGGAAAACCTGCATTACAAGTTCCAACCTTCCAGACCCAGACATATTTGCAATGCATAAGGCACCGAGATCGAGCCGGATGTGGCCGGCGATGCAGGGATTCAGGAGCTGGCCGGCGCGGGGTTTGTGTTGAACCCACGACCGGTTGCGAATGCGAAGGACCAAGACTTTCCGGTTGTGTATGTGGAAAAGGATTCGCAGCTGCTGAAGTCGCTGGTAAAGCAGATAAAGAAAAAGCCGGATTGGAAAAAGTGGGACGACTTTGCGCTGAAATTGGCGAAGGGAAAAGTCGGGACGTATCTGCTCCGGAACGGTACAATTTGATCTATCAGGGTGCCATTGCCTCCTCCATATTTATACTAGTAATGACGCCAGCACCTACTTGATCGCCCGTGTTCATTTTGTACTTCAACTACTTCTGTTGTGCAACATTGTTCGCCTGCTTTTTGTTTCTGACTATTTTCGTATATAGCAAGAACATGATCAAGATCAACGTAGACGTACCTTTGCACTGCGGTGATATCCGAAAAAGCGGGATATTTTAAACGTACAGATGTAATTCTTGATTCTGGCGTCGTGTACCGCGACACTACAAGTCCTGAGATCGCGGAAGAAGGAACAAGCGGTAAAAACCTTCTCTCCTGGATCAAGGTCAACCAGGCCGGAAAGTACCTGATTACGGCCGCGCAGGAGAACGAGTCGCTCTTCCTGCACGACACTGCGCCCGGGAAGGCGCTCGCCGTTGTGTACGGCGACGCAGCGTCCGATGTGCACCTTTTCGAGCAAGCTTACCGCGCGGCGCAGGACTGGACTTTGGAAAAGGACAAAGCAAAGAACACGTCTGAAGACACTGCCCAAAGACAACTAAAGTGGGTGGCGGCAAAAACCGGCACATGGGGGGACGACTTTGTGAAGCACATTTCGAGTGATACCCAGGCGCCAGCGTTTTTTATCTGGGAATTCGGTGAGACCGAAGACGAAGATAAGGTGTTTACGTATAAGTGTGTAAACTGCTTGCAGCTCGTTAGCGTTCTTAGGCTGATCAGAATTCTTTCCAACATGTTGCAAGTAAAGGTTGCGGGTAAAAAGATAAACCTCGTGTAGTACTAACTACCCCTCCCCTACCCCCACCCAGGTGTACCATTTTGGCAAGGCAAACGACCCGTCCACGAAAGGCGGCAAGAAACCCCCGAACCTGAAGAAGATCACGAAGAGCGAGATTCAGGAGTTCGCGAAGGCCTGGGGGAGCAAGACACTAAAAGCCGAGAAGGACGTGGTGGTCACGCTGACGGGGTCCAACTGGGAAGCTATCGTGGAGAACCGGCAGCAGGCCCTCCTGGTCGAGTTTTACGCGCCCTGGTGCGGACACTGCAAAGCCCTGGCGCCGGTGTGGAAGAAGGTGGCGAAGCACTTCGAGAAGAACGAGAGCGTCCTGATCGCCAAGATGGACGCGACGCAAACGGACGCACGGAAGGTATCAACTGCAAAAATGTCTGGGTCTGGAAGAATGCGAAATCTGTCATGCAGATTTTGCATGACCCAAATCGTCTGGAATACAAGCTCTAGCATCACAGATTTTGAGCAGATATCCCAATGCCTAATCCGCATGACAAATCCCGGCTCTCGGAAACAAGAAGTGGGGCCTTTTGCTAGCCATGCATGACAGATTTTCTCATGATGTAGACTTCGCATCACAAATTCGAATTCTTCCAGACCCAGACATTTTTACAGTTGATAGAAGGTGATGCCGAGCATAAGTGGGTACCCGACCATCTACTGGTACCCGGCGGATAAAGCGAAGGATATCGATATCATTTGTAAAAACGTCCCCACCCCAGAGTTGTAATGCAAATCTGCACGCTGAGCATGTTTCTCATGCGGAGACCCATGAGAAGCAGTCTCTAGTCGTGTTTTTGGATTTGTGATGCTAGAATCAGCATGATGTGCTAGATCTGTGATGCTGCTAAACAAGCTAAACAGGATTACACTGCGAGGCCAAATTTGTCATGCGCAACAGCAAAAACTGATAGATTTGTCTAGCAGATTTCCCAGCTTAACTCTGGTGTGGGGACGTTTTTACTCAGGATAATCGAGAAGTTCGAGGGGGGCCGGAAACAGGACGAGTTCGTCAAGTTTGTAGAGAAGAAATTGCAGAACGAAAAAGTTGTAGAGAGCAGTACAAAGACAACGAAAGGGAACATCAAAAGTAAAACAAAAGCAGCGAAGATGAAAATCGACGCCGAAGCGGAGACCACCGCAGAAGATGACGATGACTTAGACGACCTAGACACCGACGATAGTGGCGACGACGAACAGGCTCTGCACAAGAAAATGGCGGGAACCAAGAAAACTTCGAATTCCGAAAAAAACCTCGACAAGAAAAAAGCCGCAGAGATGAAAAAGAAAGTGGCCTCTGCTAGTACTCCTTCTGCGCCGGCCGTCGCCCCCGCTGTTGATTCGACAACTGGGTTGATTCACCCGTGTCCCGATAATGCCGACTTGAACACGTGCCAGACCTGGTGCGAGGGAGTTATGGGCAAGGGCAACTTCCAAATGTCGCGTGGCGGCGCGGCGTGCACGGATACGCCCGAGCCACCGGAGGTTGGGCCTAGTTGTATGTGCTACGACAAAGCCATGCGCAGACCGATGGCGCAGTGCGTATCCAAGTGCACAAAGGAGATACCCGGGAAAGATAAACCAGAAAGAAGTACTAGTACCAGCACAAGTACCACTTCTACCGCGACATCTTCTACTTCGGGAAAGACGAAAAAACCTACAGCAATAGCGTCGAAAGCTGGAAAAGAAGGCAAGAAAAAGAAGAAGAAAGAGCCCGCCGTGTTGGCCGACGACCAAGCGGGGCTGGACCACGTTTTAGACGCGCTGAAAAATCCGCCGACCAAGCAGAAAGACCCAAAGGCGAAGGAGACGGACACCTTGGGAACGAACAAGGTAATTCTCCACGATAGCGGCAGCGCTGCAGATGATAGTACTGATGCAGCAGAAACGGACTCAACATCTACCACCAGCAAGAACCGGCGCTGGCTCTTGTATGACACGAAGTATGGCGAGGGGTTTAACCTCCAGCGGGAAGTGTTTCCCCGCGTCGCGCACGCGGTGGCGATGCTAAACTTTCGTATCGAAGACCGGTGCGGGGAGTCGGGTTCCCTCGGGAAGACCCCGGATTGCGTCCTGTGGGGGATTGTGCTGCCCCCCTGGTGCCGGCTGGCGCACTGGCGGAACTACGACTTGCCCAACCGCCTGCAGAAACTACCCTGGGGCGAACTGTTCGACATTGACATGTTGAAGCAGCTGCCATTCTCCGTGATCGAGTATCACGAGCTGTCCCAGCAAGCGCTGAACAATTCCAACAAAATCGACCGCGTCATTTTCTACGACGTTGAGCAAAGGTACGGGATGATTTCACCCGGGAAAAACCCCGGGGACGACTTTGTCGGGTGGTCGCAGAACGACTACACCGATTGTGACAAGGCAAAGGGCGGTATGATCCGAGTGCACAGGAAGATCTTCCCCTCCGTCGTCAACTCGAGAAAAATCGTGAAGAGGCACGAACATAGTCGACGTGCCTAGTACACTTGATGTGCTGCTCAAGGAGCTCAGGAGTGCTGTGGCCATGTTTGTTGCATGAGGCGCCCGGCGCCAGAGCTGCAGGTGGATGGCGCTTCTACAATCTATCCGTGCGTCTGTGCTCTTCGTTTCTTTTCATGCGAGAGCAGATTTATTGTATCACTCTTGGCTTTCTATCTTGTCCTTGTTTCGCTTGCTTTGCATTTCCTGTAAAAATTATCGTGAAGAAGGGCGAGGGAGTAGGTGTTCTACTACTTCTCTCTGATAACCGGAGTTGTGCAAGACGTGGAAAATAGTGAGGAGAAAGACGAAAAACGGGTCGTCTATGCGGGGTATTGCGACAAGGGGGTCGTGACGACGAATGTGAAGTGTGGGATCATCAAAACGCCGTTCGCGCAGGGCATTGTCGACATGCTCGACGATGGCAACAAGGACGTTTCGACCGTGCTGATCAAACACTACGACTACTTGGCGATTCCGGACATCTCCGCCTTGGACGGCATTGGCTTACGGGAGTCGGTCCATTTTCACAAAGATCTGCGAACCATCGGGGAGGAGTTTATGCGGGAAAAGTTTGGAGGTATAGAGACATGCGACTTCATGATCATGTTCATGTTCATGTGATGAGCTGATCATGCTGTTATCTTTTTCTTTGGTGCACGAAGAAATATTGATGCAACAACAGCTGTACTTCAAAAATCTACGACACTAGTACAGGTACCAAGTTTATTGCCGCGCATTGTCGTCGGTCAGATTTCGTCAAGTCCCGGGCCTCGACCACAGCTGACTGGGATTCGATCGTGACGCAGCTGAAGGCGCTGCAGAAGGAGACGAAGTTGCAGAAGATCTTCATCGCGACCGACGCCACCAAGGCGGAGAAGGAGGAGGCCATGCTGCTCTTCAACGGTGAGGACGTGTTAGACAAACTGGACGAAGAGGATAGCGACGCGGACGCCGGTGGAACAAAAACAAGCAAAAAAACCAAGAAAACCGCGTCCGATCTGGTGTTTTTCGACTACCAGGAAACCTCGGACGCGCACCGGGAAACGCTGCAGCACCCGGGCAAGCAGAGCATCGTCGAGATGTGGATTGCGAGCCGGGTATCAAATGGAAAAATCCCCCCACCCCATATCGACACCGAAATTTCTGATGCGGTATTTGAGTAAGTACACAAATCGACTCGTAATGCTAGAAGGCCAAGAGCCGCAGTCGTGGCCTCGTTTGCAGGAAATTTGTCATGCTGTTTCCCACTTCCAGTTGCTTTCTGTCATGCTGAAGATGCAAGGCTTCCCCACGCCACCCAGCACTACAGTCCGCATCTTTTCCCTTCTAGCATCACAAAGCTGATTTGCGACTGCAAATCAGCATCACAGATTTCCGTTTTGATATGGCGCGGGGGGATTTTTCTTCTTGATACCGGGCGGACTTTTTCATCGGCACGCAGGAATCGCGTTTCAGCATGGCGATCCAGCTGGAGAGGAGCTTCCTCGAAAAGCCCTACAAGAAATCCAACCGGCAATTTGCCAAGCAGGCTGGGGAAAAGCAGCCCATGGCCTCTGCGAGAAGAGACATGGCCTTGAATGTGTGGCGGACGCCGAAGGAAAGAGAAGAACTGTGAACTGTGAATATGAAGAACGGGATCTAGTATGATCTTCATCATACTCAGGATCTTCACTGTAGTCGTCCCTCTACTGTTCACAGTCGTCCCTCTACTTTTGAAATGTATGCGGAAGAGACCGATCATGAATGTCAAAAAGCCATCAAAAACTGTTTGAACATTTATCCATTCAAAAAGCAAACGCATAACTCGTGAAAGAGAAGAATGAATCGGAGCTGCGTACTTGTAAGTGCTATGCAAAGACTCTCGCTTTTCATCCGAATGATATACAAAAGACGTATTCAGACGAGCACGAGATTATGCAGTATAATTGCGTTCACTGAGTCCTCTGTCTCTCGTCGTACCGGCAGCCTCGTACATGTTACTTATGCCTATCGCCTCCAGCCGGACAAAAAAGTTGAGTTCTAGGAAAACTCTGCTTCGAATCTTGAGTACAAGTACCTTCGTACATACAATGACAGGAAATGTCGGTCGTGCTGCGTTTATTTGCCTTGCAACAACACAGTGAAAATCGGACCTGGGTAAGAACAAGAAGACGAGTATTTTTACAGGCATCGGTTGTTTTGTTGTGGTGAAAGGACACAATTTCGTTTGGCAGAAACCGCAATCTCAATTGCGGCTTTCGGTAAAGAGATTTTGCATTTTTTTCCTCATGTCGTGACGGTCGGAAGAAGAAGAACTAGTAGTCGTTTATCGTTTCGATTGCAAGATGAATTCCATCCATCGGCAAAAATTCGTCCACTTGCGTCTAGTTTCCAATTTCACGACGCCCGCAAAATTTCGTACTGCGGCTAGGACCACTGCTAGGGTCGTGTAGGTAGCTGCCTCCTCATTGTGTTTCTACATCAAAGTAAGTGCAGATTGCGTGGCGACAGTGCTGTCATAATTTGCTCTCCCCATATACAATTTAAGTAGATTTCTGACCTCTCATCTTTTGTAAAAGGGCTTTATCACCAGCTCTTCTTACAACCTGATTTAAGTCGTTTCCTTTGGTTTTTTTCTTCTACCCAAGAGGATACGAACAACTCTGGTCGATTTCTCCAGCGAAGAGCCAAAAAGAACAATGTCGTCCCCTTCAATCAAAGTGCACCCGCCACCCCAGTCCTCTTCCGCCGGGCCGTCCAGCGGGCCCCTGCCCACGCCTGGTCATGAGGGTCACCACGCCGGCCAGGGCAGCTTCCACAAGGTCGTGCCCCCGCTGCCGGTCAGCCGGGAGCAGGTGGAGATCCGGCGGTCACTGACGCCCCGTCGGTCGCGGTCGCCGCGCCGGGAGGAGGAGGAGGACATGAAGAAAAAGTTTAACTTGCCGAAGATGTGTATGGATCTGTCAGGATTGAAATCGTCAAAGTTGAAATAACTTGTAATGCATATTAAAATGCGATACAAAAAGTGACTCTATTGCAGAGGACGCAAGGAAGGCAGATTATAGTCCTGGTAAGGGTCAACAGTTGGACTGCTGACTAGCATGACAGAAGGCAGCTCTTTTGCCCTAAACCGCATGACAGACTCGCTTCCAGAACCGGGAAAATTTGCCATGCACCGATTACAAACTGCAGGTCTAACTGGCATCCATTTTATGCATGACAAAGTATTTCAACTTTGTCGATTTCAAACCTGACACTCTCATAATGTGGGAGCCGAAATTCCCGCCGCGCGAGCGGTTGATGAGCCTGGTCACCGACAACGGCGTGTCGCCGGTGCTCCGCGCGCAAATCCCGGAGTACAGAAAAACGCAGCTCAGCCCCAAGTCCAGGGCAATCAACGGGTGGAGAAACGCGACAGGTATACATTCCCGTTATTGGTTTTGGTTTTGCATGGATTAATTTCTATTGCTGTTTGTCTAAGTAGTTTTCACGCTAGCCTTTCGATGCTGGATACTGATGAAGGAAGGGCAACTTGATCCTGATGACGGAAATAAACTGCTCTCTAGTGCTAATCGTAGTCAGCGTCATCTTGATCATTTGACCACGTCGCCACTCTGTTTGCTAAAAAGTTGTCAGATCTCAACACTCCCACCATGACAGACGGCTCTGTGTCTACCGAGCGATCCAAGTTGATTTCCGACATCCTTTCCCGGTGGTGGTACGTCTTTCCCCAGTGGCCCCCACCGGACTTCGACTACTCCCGGGCGCTGAGAAAACAGGGGTTGCGGGAGGTCCCCATTCCGGAATTTCTGAACGCGCCGGAGATCGACCCGCAAACGCAACTGAAGAAGGTGTACCAGCTGGGCAACTTCCGCGGGCTGTTCCGCGATTCCAATAATCACATGCACGACATGCGGCCCAAGGATTCCTGCCCAAGCTACGTGAACCTTGCGAAGAGGGTATCGTCCGGGGAACTGAGACCACTGCTCCCCCGACAACACTTCTGCCTGATTTTTGTGCTGCTTTCTTGCATTCATAAATTCTCATTTCCAGAAGAGAAAAGGCTAGATGTGCCTTGCATGCTTCTTGACTTGTTTCTCCGGAACAAGGAAGTGTATTCGACGTCCTAACATGCTGCTCATGATCGTGCAGCTACAGGTTGGAGTATTTGCAAGTAGTCTGCTTGCTTCTTGCTCTTCGGGTGCTTCTTGCTCTTTTACTTCTTACCCTCGAGATGAGGATGAAGATGATGATGAATCAAAAAAGCAGCACAAGCACGAACGTAGAGCTCTCAGGCAGAGATTTCTTTCCCTCCACACCCCCCGTGGCAGGAGCTGTGCCAGTTTGCGGTTCGTGCGGTGGAGAACCAGATGATCGCGCTGAAGCAGGAAAAGGGGGCGAAATGGGAAAAGGTGTACGCGGATCTGCAAGAGAAGCTGAAGGTCTACCGCGGGTACCTGTCGGGTCAAAACAAGAAGTCCGGGGCGCTGCAATTGTCCAAAGACGACGTGGCAAAGCGGTTGCGGAAGGCGTGAAGGTGGGAGTTTCATTGCAAGGAGATGTTCAGTATTTTTGAGGTGAACTGGTCGTGTTTTGCAATCGCGCTCTTTCGACATCATCGAGAAGCTCCCTGCAGTAGACAGATTTTTAAAGTTTAAATAGTACTTAATCCCTTTTCTATCACAGGATAGCACCTACACTAGTGTCAAGTTTTCTGCTTCTCATCGCAGCTCTGTGTGTATGAAAATCGATACTAGTGTAGTTATGGTAGGAGATTTTTCAGCTGCAGTGATTGATATAGCCCTCAATATCGTAGGTACAACCACCCTGGATGAACATCAGCGTTTTACCCCACAATATTTCAAGCTCTTGTAATTTCTTCCACTGAAGTCTGGCTTTGCTTTATGAATTTGAAAAATACCCGGCGCTCGGATTTTTTCAAGTTCATAACTGTAATCGAGCCGCTCTCCAGCTCTCTTTTTGTACTAACTTCCGACACGCATTCTGAAGATTTACAACTAGTAGTTTTTTTAACATCCTAGTCGTCTCGCTTCTATTTTCTTGGTTTTTCGATTGCTTGCTTCGATGGATCTGGGGTAACAAACACGAGAATGATCATGTAAGCAATTCCGAGAAGAAGTCGGCCTCATGCCTGACTGTCGATTTGATGTTGCTATGGGCGGCCCCGTAGTTCGTTGTAAGCGAGACTGCAGCGACGGAAAATTTTTTTTGGGCGATAAGACCAAGAGGCGGTAGCGGGACCACTATTATGACGCAGTCCGCGATGCAGCGGAGTTCTTCTTCTTCCGTTGCAGACGCGTTAGCAGATTCGCAACGCAACTTGGGAGCGCCATAACACCAGCGTGTTACAACAACCTGTGATTCGGATGTCTTATTCTTAAGTCGCGAGTTTGTCTTTGTGCACTGGTCGTTTCAGCGAATTCGTTTTTTACTTCGTCTGATCTGACAATCGAAAAGCAAAAAGGTCTACAAGGAGAGGGATCCGATCGAGAAAAAGAAAAACGGCTTTCTCTCCAAGAGAAAGTACTTAGAACGAAGATCGGAATGATTTTGATGCAACCTCCCGCTTGACATCAATTGGATACGACGAGTGCGTGATCAGCCTTTACTATTTTTAGGGCGACTTCTAGTTCTACGAATAGCACATCCACATGCAAGCACGTGGCAAGCACGTGCTTTCACCCTCGTGGACGTGATACCACTTTAGATGATCACCTTCATGTTGAATAAACAAGTTCGTTTTATCTGCGGTACCATTTCTAGTAGTACAACAGCGATGTAAAACTTTTTTGCTGTTTATTATCTTTATCTTCATCATTTAAAAAGCCTAAGCACTTTTACTTGATTCTGTAGGATTTTTTCTTGGCTACATACAAAAAATTCCGTAGCGGTTTTTGACAGCCATATATCGGCTCTGCAGCCCGTTCTTGTAATATTTGTTTTTTTATTTTATTTTGTTTCATGATAAATGGAATAGCCGAATGCGAATCAATTTTTGAATTTTGTAGAATCTAAACAGCAATTGCAATTTATTTCACAAAACCCTTCCGGCGAAGCAGAAGTATTTTACAGGAGACAGCACTTTTTTTCCGGCAGTAGCAGTACGAGGAAGATGAGCCCAGTTTTTTCCGGACTTTATTTCTTCGTCTTTTGCACTGCTCTGCTCTGCGGAAATTATGCTCCTACCTCGGTGCTGGCGCTTCAGAGCATCAGCGTTGCGGCACCGGATGCTGGTCAGCATGTTGCCAATGCCCGCCTTCTCCCTGCCGGCGCAGAAGATCATGGCAAGAATCATACCATTAAATCCCGCAGAAGGCATTTCATGGAGCAAATTTACGGATTTTTCAGTTTTCTTCACGGTGATAGTAGCGGAAGCACCGACGGTGAAGGAGAGGAAGTGCAGGATTATTTCTGGGTAGGAGAAGTAGATCTTTATAGCACGACTGGCGTCACAGAGGCAAAGGACAGTAAAAATTCCGCACGACCGAAGAACGAACTACTCGACATCGCAGCGGAAATTTTGGATTCAGAAGAGGAAGGAAAGTTTTTCTTCGACCTATTTCCGGAAGAATTGTGGGTTCTCGAGCCTGTCGAAGAGAATACCGATCCACAAGTTTTTGTTTCTTCTTCCGCAATAGATCCAGAAGATGCACCAGCAGCTGCAATAGGCCCAGTGGCAGCTCCTGTAGGTGCTCTTCGGGCAAATCAAAACTACCCAGACGCCCACGCTTATGTTGGAGCAACAGGTGGACATCAGGTGAGAAGTGCAAATCTAGATAGTACAACTTCCCCTGCGGTTGATAGCGATGCAGGTGGAGGTGCTGCTTTGTCTCTCGCGGGTGATGAACAAGCAGAAGCCCTCCTCCCCGGGATTGCCACGGCTTCGGAGCCGGGAAGTAATACTCACCAGCTGCCTCCTGCTACTCCTGGTCCTGCCACAGCGCCAGTTGTAGCGGATCGGCAGGAAACCGGGACGAGCAGTCGCAGTGCTAATCCCGAGCGGCAGCAAAGCCCAGTCCTCTACGCGTTCAAACTTCTGACTGATAACATTGAACAAGCAGCAGACGCAACAGGACCAGCAGGACCAGGAGCGGAGAACGTTGTAAACAGTACGCAAGAGTCGCGACCTATTGCAGCGGTAAGTGAAGGTCCTATGACCTCCTCCTCCCGAGAAGGAACGCCTACCGAGGGAGGTGTATCACCACCACCAGCACGGCGCACGCGAACCGCCTGGATCAAACACAAGCTGCTGTCCGTCTTCCACAACGGGCCACCAAAGGGCCTGGAATCGACCCGGACGAGACAAAACAGGGAAAAGAATAAACGGAGCAACGCAAGCAAAAATGGACCAAAATCCTACCTGCAGCGTACTACTTTTTCTTTCCCATCCGCGGTTGTGGAGGCTGCGGACTGGCTGCAGCAGAAAACCGTTCCGCGAAGCCTGTCTGCGAGGTTGAAAAGAACCTTCTCGATAACGACCTCCGCAGCTGGAGGCACCGACGGGGCTGAAGATCCCGGCAACAGCACAGGCGATGGAGTCACCATGACGGAAATCGGGAGCGGGGGCAATGGAAGCGTTTTCGAGCTTTCGGACGAAACTTTTTCAGACGATGCGGACAGTCTTCATAGTCAACAAGCGTCATTTTCTGCTGCTGAGGAGAACCGAGACGCAGGACCAGCAGGATTCGTAGCGGATCAGCAGAATCTTCACGCTGACAGTTCTACTACACAAAGAACGCAAACCAATGATGGAGCAACTTCAATACCCGATAATACAAATCCATCAACCGTTTCAACCGCACCGGGAGCAGCTCTTGCAGCTCCTCCTGCAGTCTCAGCTGGCGCAGCGCGGTCGACACCACGAGAAGTTTTAAAAAGGATCAAGACCGAGCACAAGCAGGACCTCCGCGCCGTGGTGATTGAGGTGTTGATCCAAAGGGCTTTGACGGTTTTTGAGGAATTTGTCATCGCGGATGACATCAACAAACGCCAGGAAGAACTACTACTCCGTCAAGCCACAAGTGAAAATGACCGCAAAAATATCAATCGCAGGTTTTTCGTCGAGTTTTTCCGGAATAAATTCCGCTCCTGCAAAAAACGGCAAGTATCTTCATGTGGAGAAGAGCAGGGTCGGGGAGTTGTAGTTGCTGGTAGTTCTCCAACACCTTCTACCGTGTTGTCTTCTGTACCACCAGGCGCAAAGGACATCCTTCTCACCGCCGAGCAGCGCAGCGAGTTAATTTACGAGAACAAGTGCGTCACGGCGCTGCATTCCGTGCATGCTAGGGGGAAGCTCAAGCTGCGGGAGGGAGGCGGAAGCAAGAAACCGATCAGGAGGTCAAACAGGAGCCTCGCGACGAAGGTCGCGCAGACGAGTAGAACTACAGCAAACAGCTATGAACTCGACGTTTTCCTGGCGATGGAGCGAGTTGAGGTTTTTCCATTGGACGCGAGCGAAGAAAAGCAGAAAGTAGTTGCGGAACAACTCGCGGAGAAGAGTTTTTCCTTCGTCAGCCACGCGCTCAGCTGTCAGCGGAAACTGGAGCGGCTCCGGATCCTGCACGCGGACATGAAAACGCCAAACGTCGGGTTTCCTCTTTGGAATTCTCCCCACGCGCCGCCGGGGAGCGGACAGGGAGGACAACAACTCCTGCATCAGCTGCAAAACAGTTTGACGCGGCCAACTGGAGCTGGAACTAGCCACCTGCCGACGTCGACGACTCCAGCGCCGCCTCCGCCGACGTCTTTTTCCGCCTTCACAAGAGGAGCATCTCCCCCACCATCGGCTGACTACACCAAAATTCGGATTTTCGACTTCGGTATGGCGGGGATTCTGAGTCGGAAGGGCGACCGGTTTCTTGCCCCAAACAGCAAGAATCTGATGGGGAGAGAGGAGAAGAAGAACAGCCGGTATCTGTGCGATGGGACGGCAGGGTACGTCGACCCGGTCTGGGAAGATTTGTGTTACCGCGAGAAGAGATTGGCACAAGTCGTCGAGCAGGAGCAGCGGTCTAAAAGAGAAGCTTTGCTACATCAAGAACCCACAGGACGGGCAGAGGAACGACTTGAGAGCCCAGGTGGACCTGTAGTTGATGGCCAGCAGCACGTGCCGGCTCCTGTTGTGACGTCAGGCTCTTCTGACGAAGGCCCTCGTCGTGCTGAACAGGATCGTCAAACGGCCGCCCAAAAAATCCAAGACCTAGATCGACAAATCTTTCTGGCGCAAAACCGGTTTCAATTCTCCCCAAAATTCGAGCGGTTCGCATGGAGCCTGATGCTGCTTGATGTCCTGAATGCACCGGACTATGATACAGCTCTGCTAGACACGAAGACTTCCAACGCTCTTATCGATTCTCCTAGAAGTACGGCGGCCGTTGGCGAACAACAAGATGCATCCGCCCCAACAAGTCCGACTTCGAGTGCAAGTCCGACCAACCACCGTGAGCGGTGGTCTTTTATCGAAGCGGGGCCGGGGAATCCCGCCATTGCGACGTGCTTGTCGGCGTTTTTCTACTTCGACCGACGCCGCTTGGGCGGAGCGAACTACGAGGCGGAAAAGAAAAAACTCCTGCAGCTGGTGGATTTTCGGGTTGATGAAAAGAGGAAAGATGGGCGTGCGATTGCTGACGGCGAGCAGGCAAAGGCGACCGGAGATGAGAAAGAGCAAGAGGCACAACAGCAGCACGACACATCGGCGAAGCCTGGATCCACCTGCGGCGCCTTCTTGAGGGAGCTGCGACAAGGGTGGGAACTGGAGCAGAGACTGCCGCTGGACTACCGGATGGTGACAAGCACTTCAACCTCCACGCCGCAAAATCGCGATGTAGGCGGACCGACGAGAAAATACGCCGTGGTGACCGGCGTTGAACTAAAGGACAAAGCAGCTGCACAGGACCCCGAGCCAGATCTTGCGGCCGCAGATGAGAGCGCGACTCGCGTAAGAGAAATAGAGAGCCCTAGTGTAGCTGTCGCACGACCCACAGGAGATAGCCAGGAGGGGTCTTCCGTTGGAGGCCAAGAAGATGCGAGAAATGATGAAACTACCGTGGCAAGAATACCACCTGAAGAAATGACCATGGAGCGTGCGAATAGCACGGAAAGCAGTGGCTCCGCCGCAACGTCAGTGGCCAGCACAGCAGCGAGCAGCTCCGCGTCTACTGCAGCAAGTAGCTCAACATATTCTTCGAGTGCCCTAGTAGATGGGAGTTTTTTATCCGGTTCTGGTACATCTTTTACTTCTGCTGGGACTGCCGTTTCAGGTGAAGCGCAGCAGATGACTGCAGAGGAATCCCGTGCGGCCGGCGGTATTCTTGTTGACCTAGAGAAGAAGTACTTCCACTTTCCAGGCTTTTCCCCGGCGCACCTGCTCATCGCGGCAAAAGCAGTGCCTGAGGGGCCTCCTGCGGCCGTTCCGGTTGTACCAGAACCTCCAGCATCAAGCAGCGCCGCTGCAGGTGTTGCTGACTCAACCGCCACTACTTTCGGCAGCCTTTCCCTTAGTATTTCCGGGGCACAGCAGCCGTTGCTGGACCAAGAAGGAGGTGACCACATCAGCGCTGCAAATTCTGAAACGATTGCTCCCGCCACAACTCCTGTGGCCGATCTTCCTGAGGAAGCGGAGTCTGGTGCTGCAAATCCGGAAACGACTGCTCCCACTACCACCCCTGCGGCCGATCCGGATGAAGGCGCCGCGACTGAGCCGGCCCAGCAGTCTGTTTCGTGGCTTTCCAGAGTGAAATCCTTCTGGCAGAGTAGTGCCAGGAGTATCACACAGAGGGTGTATTACAACCACAGCGCACCATTCTCACTCTGGCAGAAGCGCGGTACTGCTAGTGCTAGTGCACCGGAGCAGCCATTGCAGATGCAAACACAACTACCCTCTTTCGACCATACCGGTGTTGGCGGCCGGAGACTGGTGGCGATGCTGGTACGGAGTGAAAAAACCCTCGATCTACCAAAAGAAAAAACGGAAGTAAAAAATGAAAATGCTGTCGACCAACCCGGGCCGCTTCCTGGTGGCACAACTTCGCAACCACGCAGCACCGCGTCGCAGCAACTTTGGCGGTGGAAAACACAGGTCTCCGAGTCGTTCTCTAGATGGAGAAACGCCTCCGCCCGCGACACTGATGTCAGCGAACAAGATGTTCAAGAGAAACAAGCGGCGCTCCTTCTGCTAGAAAACCTGAAGCCAACCCGCAGGTCCGCGGAGCAGCTCGCGTTTGACATTTTGGCGCCACTGATGTTGCCGCTACCAGAGTTGGTCGAAGTCGAACCGGACGGAAATGAAGAAACCCCGGAGGATCCTCATACGGCAGTACTTTCGTCTGGGGTTTCACAACCAAGTACCGGCGCGAGCTCGTTCACGACTGCAAGCTTAAGTGCAGGTGTAGTAGAGAGTGAGCAACCAGAAGCAGCCACTGAGCACGACCCCCCGGCGGCGAGCTCGCTCCTGAGAGGGACGACCGATAACGGAGATGGCCACATCAATAGTGCGACGCTCGGCGTGGAGGTCACCGGGAGCGGTGAGGATCTTCATCTTCCTTCGGGTCTTGCCTCGTCCGCCGAGCAAGTGCAAGAGAGTTCATCTTCTTCGCGTCGCTGGTCTTTCGTTTCCCACGTATCAAAAGCAGCAGAGACCGCCATGGCAGAGTTGAAAATGGTCCCGTTTTATGTTTCGTCGCGAATGCCACGACTCTCTTCGTCGAACGGAGGAAGAACCAGCAGGAATGAAAACAGCTTTGAGGAAGACATCAAAGACGCGGAAACTACCTCTGAAAAATACATTCGGGACGGCGACGCCATGGCGCAAGATTTACTTTGGCACGGAATCCGCGAGGTTGCGGATCAATGTCGGGACCAGGGTAGCTGCCCTCCGGATTTGTAAAAAAATCGAAACAGCGCAGCACTACTTTCTTACAACGGCGGGAGGAAATGTATCTATCATAACTTTATTGCCAATGAAGTTCTTGTTTCGTACTTCTACTTTTGAAAATCGATACGACGGCAGAAGTTTAGCCCTTCCCGTGCTGTGCAAATCGACGTAAGAAACGATAAAGATATTCAACCAGGAGAGTCGCTGTTGACTTTCCGCTTCTGATGATGCATGGTAGCGACTTATAGCAAAACAGCATGATGTAAATTTGAATTTGTAGAATAGTTTTTCCAAAAAATCGAGATTGTAATGTGAAGATGATGATCATTGTGTAGAGGACAAGAAGGTTATACAATTTTCAAATAGAGTGCTCCCACTAGAAAAACAGAAAAACAGCAACTGTGTAAACGATGTGTGAATGTAAAATGAAAGCCTTCCTGAACGTCGTTGGCCTTCGCCTTATCGAAGTGTGACAGACACACCGCAGCTGCGGTAGCAAGAAAGCGCACCAATTCCGAGAAGGAATATGACTTGCATGAAGAGCAGGAACCTTGCAACAGCAAGCAGGCAATTTGAGCTGATCTTTTCAGGTGTTTCCGCCCACGGAAGGTTCGAATGAAGGTGATTAGAAAGTAGAAACAGACTACAAAGCCGATCAGACGCTCCATCTCGTGACCTTTCGTTTGTTACCAAACAGCCGCCCGTCAACTAAATGCCCGGCAGTCTCTTGTGATTTCGAATTTAGCTTCATTCTTCGTGAACAGTGTGTCTCGGTAGCGGCCCGTCCTATTTTGACACTGTGCTTCATGTGACCGTTGCGCTTTGTAGATCTAGATAGACATCAATCGAACCCCCCTAGCCCGCCGGCTTCTCTTCGACCAAAGAAACACAATGTTGTCTTCTAGTTCTAGTGCACCTCCCGTGCTCAATGCTCCGAGAAAAAGTAGCGTGACCGATGCACCAAGTTCTCAGACAGGAACGCCTGAAGACGGCGTTATTCCAGCGAGGAGAGAGCAAGCGACGGAAAAAGGTTCGGTGACTCCGCAGGTAGATAAGCTGAAAGAACCCACCCTGGCGGAGCAGCTGCGGCAATGCAGCTTGAAGATCCAGGCGAACTGGATAAAAACTTCCGAAGCACCAGGAGGCTCACCAAGTCTCGTCGACTACGAGAACCTTGAGAAAAGCGAAGATTGGCGCGAGTTCTTGCTTTTGGCCGAGCAGCTGAGTGGGGCGGACAACGGCACTACGTCTTGTTCAGATACGCGAACGACTACTGCTGGTGCAATAGAAGTTCCGTCGGAAGGAGAAGATGGCCAAACTACGGAGAATCTAAAGAACCCTAAGTCTGTCATGCCAAGGGACGCGACTGAGCGCAAGGTTTTCCTCATAAACCTCTACAACGTGCTGATGATGCACGGGCTGATTGCGAGGCGGTACCACAAGGGGAACGAACAACTGATCCACCCACTGCATGACAATCGAGAAATAATAGAAGATGCTTGCCAAGAAATTAGCAATACAAATGCAGCACCAGGAGAAGCCTCAGCAGCAGGATCAGCCCGATCCAACCCGAAGCACTTCTTCAAAGACACCGCGTATCTCGTCGACAATATTCGGCTCTCCCTCGACGACATTGAGCACGGGCTTTTACGTGGGAAGGTGCCCTGCAGCGACCCAAACACGCCTGAGGAATGGAAAGTCGCGATTGGAGGTACCAGCAAAGTTGTTACCGCTGGCGCGGCCCCCGACGAAGAGGGCCTGAGTAGTTGTGCCCCTCTCGACCCCCGGATACATTTTGCGTTGAACTGCGGCGCCCGGGGTTGCCCGAGGATTCAAGTTTACAGCAAGCAGAACGTCGAAACCGGCTTGAACGCCGCGGCGAAGTCGTTCCTCCGAGCGGAAACGGAGGTGGAAGTGGTGAAAAATGAAGGAGGAGTAGATGAAAATAACTCTGATCTTTATCACCTGGAAATCACTCTTTCTATGCTATTCAAGTGGTATGGGCAAGACTTCGGTGAGACGGAGCTGGATCGAATTTCGTTTGTGAAGAAATTTTTAGAGGAAGACAGCAGCGCAAAAATTGAAGAAGCGATTGCGAAGGAGTGGGAGATACGATTGAACTATCGACCCTACGACTGGAGCCTGAATGTGAAGACATGATGGAGAAGGAACTACGTGGAAGTGTATGCACTACTCTTTTGTATTCGTGAAAAAAAGGTGTAGTTGATGGTGAACGAATCAGCTCACCTGGGTGCTGCGTGACTATCTACATGGACGCCGAGTTCATTTTTTGCGCCCCGGCTAATCGATTCCAGTTCGGTACTTCGATTCTATCGTTTCCTCACATCGTAGCACTTACGTGGTCGAATCGCGAGAAATTGTCATATGATTTTCGTCAGTCAAGTAAGAAGAAGAAATCAGACGGAGAAACCCAACATCTAAAGTGCGCTATCGTAGAAGGGTCGTTCTTCGTCGTACTTCGTGTCGTAGGATTATTTTCTGGGATCGGTTTGTAGCAGCTTCAGAACCGGATGCAGCAGACGCACAGTACATAGTAATCGTGAACAATTTCGCTTCTTTGTGTCCGCCCAAAGTGTTGATCTACTTATTTTTCTGCTTTCAATTATCTTCAAGAATTGCCATTTTGAATACCTCCAAATCCTGGTGAAGGAACGATTTAGGAAAGGGTGTGGCGCCTTGGGTGAGTGCGCGCACCTGACGCTCTGCGTTTTTTGCAATTGATAAAGTGAAAACGTATAAGTTAACTGCTCGTCTTGATGAGGTGCCTCTGAGCAAGGTCTTTCCAGCAACAGAAACCGTAAAATCGTCACCATCTGAATTGGCAACCGTGATTTGGCGCTGGTAAAAATTGAGGCGTATCTTTACCGGATATCTAACGTACACGTACACGTAGTTACAAAACCAGTATACACGAAAATGCCAACTTCCCCGGCCCGACGCGAGCGTCGCCTTTTCGCGCGAGCTGCTGCGAAGTTCGGTGTGCTATTTGCTCTGAACAAGTTTGGAGCCGCTCCAGCGGCTGTCGGTGGGGTGAAGCAGCTCGCGACGGACGTATACGCCACTGTGGATGAGCACGGGGAAGAAGAATTTTCGCCCGAAGTTGGGGAGGAGGAGAGGGGTATAGTTAGTGATTTGAGTTCATCTCATGGCTGCATATTACATAGAGAAGGGGGCGAAAGGCACAACTGATACCTTTCGTGGTGACGTGTCGTCGCTTGTGATATATGAACACGATTGATCAACTTCAACCTTAAATCAGGTCCGTCCGCGTTTACCAACACGAACACCGGTGGGAAAGACAAGCAGCAAATTGAGGTTGCTACTAGTATTGCGACTTCGAAGGAGCGGACAAACACTGCACACAAGAGTACGAAATGTGAAAACAATATATAAATACCGAATGTCTTCATCTACATCGCTAGGAAAATCAAAATTTTGCATGAAATGATATGCATGTTGAGGTTGAGCGTTTTTGAAAAAGAAAATACGTAAAAATCCCATGCGCGACAAGGGCTAGGGCATCATCACACTCGCACACGTGCTCACTTCGTGAGGAAAATATGAGAAACCATCTCATGCGCGCCTACTGCTTGATCACGAGTAAATAGAATGTATGGCTTTCTTCGATAAGGATCTTTTTGATATTGTTTTACTCTGCATACAAGAGGTGCATCAAGGACAAAAGTCGCAGGCATCGAAACGAAAGCAGCAAGATAATTCCGGGCCGGCGCAGAGTTCCCAGGACCAGGAGTTCGGGCGGCTGTTAACCCATGTGGGGCGCTATCAAGTGCAAATATGTCTGGGTCTGGGAGATTGCGAGGTTTGTCATGCTAGTCTGGCATGAGTCTGGACTCTGTGTTGCGTGGCCGCAAAGAGTTCCTCTTGCCGCTCATGCCAAAACGCAGCTTCTCATGCGGAGTACGCAGTTCAGAACTGCGAAAAAACTTGTCATGCTTGGCAGCGCGTGACAGTTTGCTCGCTATTCCCTTCCTTGCATCGCAAGATTCCAGACCCAGACATATTTGCAATGCATAGGCTCGAGGGAAATGCTATTAATAACGCTTTGCCAGAAGCTCGCTATTTTTATGACCGTAGTTTGGTAGGTCCTCGGGGTGGGGATACGCAGACCGGGAATAACCCGGCTACTGCACCAAACCCACGAACAGAATCGGCATCAGGATCCACGAGCGACCGGAGTTCGGTGTGATGAAGATGGACCAAACTCGTCATGATAAAGATGAAGGTCCACAGAGCGATGTCTCTTTAAAATTGAATTCTTTAGCCTCTGCGCAGGCTAGGTGGAAAGCCTTTATAGCAGTGGCATCTGCAGGTATTGCATCAGAACAGATTTTTATTTGAGTAATTCATTTGAACTATGACCGGTATCTATGGTGGTATGTATCTCAATGTTTATCGAAACCATCCTGAACGTAAACCAGCGATTCGATGCCAGCCCCTCGTAATTTGTAAAGTGGCGATGGACGATAACGACCGCAGAGGATTGTGAAATGAGGCGCTTCTCCTGCCGTTCTTTTGTCTGGGACTTTTGTGCCCCCGTGTAAGCGTTGCCTGAGCCATGAATTGATTCCAATGACATTTCGAGAGGTCATCTGTGAGTGCGGCAACGAAAAGAGGCAGAGAGAGCCGGTTTTTTACGACACTACGTACTCAGAGGAGGGTTGTTTCAGTTTCACCTCCGCATGAGTGTAGTTGTGGCAGTTTCAAGCAAACATCCCGAGCGTATCAGTCTAGGAGTTGAAGTTTTGACTACCACTACACGATTGAGATTTAGAAATTCACAAGACTGTCGTGCGATACTATGACCCAGGCCGTCCCTAATCCTGACTCCTCTTTCTACAAAAAACACTAACCTACCAGAACTTCATCTGCACTCGCAATCCGCTTTAATGTTAATCTTCATCCGCCCTGATAGAAGTAGAACAACCCACTGTGGTTTTCGTTGATGCGTCGTAGTTTGCAGTATTTCCATTTGGTCTTCTCACCTATCTGCGTCTATTGAGCAGGACTCAACGCTCACCTTGTAGACCTTCTTTTCTACTGTTGTCGACTCTTCACACCCAAAAACGTCACGATGCTCTCCAAAAACCTCCAACGTGCGGCGTCCAACGCGGTTGCCAGGTCAACCGCGACTTCCTCATGCAGAAATTCGAACGCAGCAGCCGCAGCCTCCTGCTCCAGGTTGCATCACCTCCGCCGCACCAGCACCCCCTCCGACGTGAGTATCCGTCCCCTCCACACGCTCTCCCGCCCGACTCGCAAAGCGGGCGACTGGATGCCGGGGAGCAGGCACCAGGACACGGATCTGGTCCATGCGGCGATCACCCCCGAGGAGAAGTCCGGAGCCATCATCACCCCGGTGTACCAGTCGACCACTTTTGTCCAGGAGTCAGTCGAGAAATATCTCGCGAAGGGCTTTAGCTACTCCCGCACAAACAACCCGACGGTGTCGACGCTGGAGGCGAAAGTGGCAGAGATCGAGGGCGGTGTGGGCGCGGTCTGCACCGGGACAGGAATGGCAGCGACAACCATCGTCATGAGCACGTTCTTGGCGCAAGGTAGGATAGTTTTGGACACAGAAATGGAAATGCAGCCATGACAGAGATTCATTCCGATTTGAATTTGATCGTACAAGTCCGTTATTCAAGCAGTTCACATGAGCTCTTTTCTCACTGCGGCTGTTACCACCAATAAAACACATCAGGCGACCACTGCGTAATCACTGACTGCAGCTACGGTGGGACCAACCGCCTGTGCAGGGTCCAGTTTGAGAAGTACGGCATCGAGTTTAGTTTTGTCGACTTCCGGGATAATGACGCGATCCGCAAGGCTATGAAGCCGAACACCAAGCTGATTTGGAGCGAGGCGCCGTCTAACCCGCTCCTCGGATTGGTCGACTTGGAAGAGGTGTCCAAAATCGCCCATGAGCACGGGGCCCTGCACTGCTGCGACGCGACGTTCGCGACGCCGGTGATGCTGAAGCCGCTGGACTGGGGCTGCGATTTGACCATGCAGTCGTTGACCAAATTCTACGACGGACACAACATCGGGACCGGGGGTGCGGTGGTCGCGAAAACGCAGGAGCTGTTCGAGGCGATCAAACTGGGGCAGAACATGCACGGCAACATCATGGCGCCCCAGGTCGCGTTCACGATTTTGCAGACCATGAAATCCATGTCCCTGCGGGTGCGCAGACAAAGCGAAACCGCAACGAAAATCGCTACTTGGTAATAAAAAATGCTTCTTTTCGACAGATTGTGCTGATACGATACCGATATTTTGCTTTCAATGTTGTCGCGGTCTCGGCAATTTGAAGGTCGTTGCCATGCAAAGTGCTGATTCAGTTTCAGTGCGCTTATATGCTCTTCATCTGTGGGACCTTGGCACGGTTAGCTCGTGCGTACAGCATCAAAAAAAAAAAAATAGTGCACGTGTGGAAAAATAACTTCAACTATATTTTTACGAAAAACTGCTTCTCACGACAGGTTGGAAAGTCATCCAAAAGTGACGAATGTGTGCTACCCCGGGACCAAGCATCCGCAAAAGGCCATCGCAGACAAATACCATCGTGAAGGAGTGCACGGCGCGATGCTTTGGTTTGAAGTTGACTTATGGGGGCGAAAAATGAGTTTTGATGATAGATGAGCTTGCGTTGCTCTGCGTGCAGCCGCAGGAAGATCTTTCTGCATTTAAACTGTCACACCGGGCCGCTTTTTTGTAGTTTGTCATGTTGTATCCTATCATTGTGATTCATAGACCTCGAAAATAACTTTGTTGACTCTGACCAGGATTCTTGCGTTGGTCGTTGTTTGTGTTTTAGGCAGCCGAAAAATAACAGTTCAGGCTCATGTTGACGACTTTGATTTTTCACCTGTATACTACGGAAATCCGATCACGTTGATGAACGAAATCGAGCGGCCATGGAGTCTGTGCGAGAACCTGGGTACTACTAGATCTGCACGAAACTTTTTTCTGGCTTGGAGTTTGCTGAGTATGGTATTTTTTCTCTTGTAACCTACGAGGACATGACAACGAACACACCAAGATTTATTATGCATGGAAAAAACTTTTTAAACTTCTGCAGGTGCCACGGAGTCTATTATTACGGCCTGCGCTGTGATGACGCACGCCAATATGGTCAAGGAGGACCGAGTATGACGGTGAAAAGCGCCCCCACTACTTGTCCAAATGTGTGCTGCGGCCATAACGTCACTAAGTGGCACTTGTTATGAAGTTTGGGTTTGTCATGCGATAGAGCAACTACATTTGCATCAGCCGACTCTAATTTTTACGCATTTTCAGTTTTTTCCGGTTCTTTTGCACTGCAAATTGATAATTCCTGGTACTGCAGAACGTCATCAAGGTCACTCAGCATCACTTACAGTTGTTCTTTTGTGTGTTTTGCTGCCGCCGAACACGGTGAAGTGGACCCCAAGTAGACGGTGAGTGCGCTTTTCAATCTGAAATTCTCTGAAGGTGGGCATTACTGACGGTTTTATCCGGGTATCGTGCGGTATCGAGGACGCAGACGACCTCATCAAAGCGCTCGACCGAGCGCTGCAGAAGTGCTGAACTTACTTTTATGTGGTGTTGCACCACAGAGAATCTATTTCAATAGTAGACATTTTTCTTCACTGCACCAATGATATCAAAGATTTCTTTTTTTGTTTCCCCAAGTTACCTACTAGAGTAACTTCGTTTCATGTTTCGCACCAATTTTAATTCCTTCCCCTGATTGTGGTTTCTCCTCCTCGACAAAGGAGTAATTTTTGAAAGAATAGCATAGAGCGAAAGGAAAAATGCGTTGTCCATCTTGCCCCGGAAAGGGATTGGATGATGGCTTCCAGCGGGGGTAATATTCAAGTTCGAAGGTATCGAACGTTGGTGGTTTTCAGATTCACAAAGACAAAGAAGCAAGGGGTATTTCAATATCGCGGAGAGCTCGTCACGCGGATGCGTTGGCGTGGCAGCCTTCCGAAATTAAGTAAGATAAAGAGGCTTATTGCAAGCAAGTAAGTAAAGAAGATTTATTCTTGTCACAGTTGGTTCCCTACAAAAGGTCTATGACCGTCACGGTGGATACGGTAGTTCTAACTCTCAGATGTTTTTCTCTCCATTTTCTATCCGAAGAAGCATCATGAGGACCGATTTCGAAAAGCGCGCCACACCGGTTGCACCTGTGTACAGAAAACCCCACCAGGTGGCATAGTGTGAGCGGCGCGCCGCAGCACCGCATTCGATACATTCTTCCATCAAGACCAGATGGGAGAGCTGCAACAGGAACCTACGAATACTTAAAAATGTTTCGTTCATTTTTGTGTAATTATAGGCGTTATCCGTTTCTAGCTGCTTTATTTTAGATAACAAACGATTCTTCGCACAGAAGGTGCAGTATCTTCAAGGTTGTTTTCTACTTGTCGATATTCCTTTCGCTTTCTCATTTTGTTGCAAATGAAGTCGTCGCAGGTCGATGCTCGTCAAGAAAGACGTTTGAATTTTGTGTCATTGAGACCGCTACCAGCTGTTCGGGCCATGACGGCATCGTCGACCAGAAAAGGTGCGGGTTTTCGCACCACAAAAAGTGAATGAACGAAAACAGCTTCGGTCGTCCGTGAGAAATTTGATTTTGACGTCGGTTCGCTATTCGTGCTATTTTTTATCCTCATTTCGTCCGTGGTGGCTTCTATCTTCGACACAGCGACACTGCGCCATTTGCTTTGGTTCGTTTCCGTCGAGAAGGCCGCTTTTTTCTCGTCAAAAAAAAAAACGGAAAATAAAAGTTGTCGGTTGAGAGTCAGCATCTAAGCACAGTGGTTGAGTCGGTCGGTCGTGCCCGTGCGTCGCAAACTGCGTGTACAAGTCGGTTAAAGTATTCGATTTCAATCCTTGTCTGGCTTTTTGGATGTAGCTTGTGTTGAAGTCGTGACCGCCGTGACCGCGAGGTCGGTGTCGTTCACCTTCTGTTGAGTGCTTACTGCAGAAACGTAAGTCGATATCGATTTTTTTTGCATGTATCGTTGTTTGGCTTTCAAGGTAAGTGTTTTTAGCTTGAATTCAGTCAAGCTGCCTTGATGTTCTGTTCAGTTCCAGTTGTCGGAAACGAAGCAGTTGCGTAAATTTCTTTTTCATTCTTCGCAGTTGTAGCTCGCTTTCGACTTTTTGTAAAAAGAGAACGTTGACGAGCTTTCCCCCCCCGTTATTTCCAAAAATCCGGCGAATGACAAAAACCTAAACCACCCCCTCTTTTCTCACATCAAGGAAACGGACGAACAAAGTACTTACCAATTCCCCTTAAAAAAGACTTTTTTTATCAGCTCTTGTCTAAGTAGCTTCATCAGTGCAGGAGCAGTGACGTTGTCCATCCCCAAAGTGATACACGCTGTACTACGCGAAACAATTGCTACAAGCACCCAAGTCATCATGTCGGACCGTGAGTACCAAGACGAGTCAACAGCCCCGGCCACCGCTCGGGCCCTGCGAGGCCAGCGCTCGCGGAAGGTGTGTCAAAACCGGGGCCGCGCGCTCGCTTTGGCGACTGTCCTCGTGGGTGCGGCAGACGCGCACCGGAAAAGAAAAGGTTCGAGAAGCACGAAAGGCACCACCGGAGGCTCGAATAATAAACACAGTGCCAAGGCTGACCTTATGCCAATGAAAACTGCTGCAACTTGCATGGCGACGGCTTTATTGCTACTGATATTGTTAGATAGCATTGCTGGTACAATTGCATGATCATGTCGGGCTTCGTATGATACCATAGTTGTACTACGTTGGTGAAGCTGAAGACTGAAAGATTCTTCTTTTATACTACTTCTCGACGTTCGCCTGCTTTGCGAAGAAGTGTTTTCATCGGGATATCCCAGGACTCCGGCCTCGACGCCAGCGCAGCTGCCCCGGCAGAGCCTGATAAAAAGCGAAATAAAAGCAAATCTAGTCGGCGCCGCAAAAGGAAGGAACGAAAGCAGGGGCGCGCCTCGCGAGGTGGTTCGAAGAATTCCGACGCGGATGCAGCGGCCGCTTTTGTCGAGCGGAGCCTGATGACAGACGGTATTGGCGCCTCGATGGCCGCACTGGCGCGACAGCCGCGGAAAGTAGTGCGGAACGAGCGGCCGCTAGATCCAGAAGAAGTGCGCAAAGCCGACTCGGTCGAAAACACCAGTGGACCGCCGCCGCACGCCGTTCCGGCTCCGGGTGATGGTGGGGATGCGGGCTCTCGACGTCCTGAAGATGATGCAAAAACGCAGGCTGCTGCTGGGAAGCAGAAAAGAATCGATTCAAGCACTGCAACCGCGGCTGCGAGCGAGGGCACGCCAGTGCATCTGGGTGAAAATAACTTGCTTTCAAGCGAGCCCCTTGCCTTTACCCAGGAGAAAGGTGCAGAAGAACTGAAAGATCTGGCGGCTCAAGGTCGCGAGCCCGGCGGGGAGACGGCTGTTGCGGGTGGCCTGAACTACAAGAGTGGCTTTGGTTTCGGCGAGCGCACGGTCAAGAACGAGATTGCCGCAAACGAGAAAGCCGCTGACGAGATTGCCTCTGTGTCGCACTTTTCAATGTCCCATCACCTCCAGAAGGATGCGCCGCATTCCATGCTACAAGCGGCAACGGAGAACGGGAGCGGGCTTGCACAGGACAGAAGTAGACGCCTTGTCCAGCCTGCGGCCTTGTCCAGCCTGCGGCCCGACGCGAAATTAGTATGGGCACTGAACGACGTGGAGGCATTTGGGCAAGGTTATATTATGGCGCTCTATCTCAATCATGACGGGAAGGGGAACACGAACAAAATCGGGTACGTTTACGCACAGGACCCGAGTACACCAGACCACTGGAAAGAATTGGACGCACTTTCTACAGAGCAACTAAACAAAGCAACGGAGGTCGTCGAAGAGATGTCCCGAGAGTACGATCGTGAGATGCTTCTACAAGAAAAAGGGGAGATCGACGACATAATCAAGGGACAGCTTGGGTATGACTGTAGTATTCCTTTTCTGGAGTTTGTGCGTGAACAAAAAGTAGATTCAGTTTCTTTCGCCCTACTCCATCATGTGTTCGGGCCAGTCAAGGAGCAATTATGCCGAGCCTGACTGGTCTGGGTAGGTGTCTTTTCTTGCGCAGTGGCAAAAGCACGCCAAACATCAACATCTTTATCAGAATCATGCAAATGCAAAAAAAAGGCACCATTTCATTTTGCCATTTGATCTTAATGCCACAGCTGGACCCGGACCCGGATGCGTACCGGACGGAGTCGTCGGATACTCCTATTTTTCATCATCATTTGTGATAGATAGTTTTTTGCTCTTCCGCTTTCGGACGACCTTCGTGTGTTATACACGAAGAAAAAAGAAAATGAACATGGCAATACGGGTCAAGTCACTGATAGAGATTACACCTTTATGCTTGAAAGTAAACTCCTTCTCCCTAGGCACCAAGCAGGTTTTTTCTCCCAGGTTTAGCTAGGCCGCCGCCGCTGCCGTCACGGGATGGCTGCCGCCGCGTCCGTCTCTCCTTCGACGTACATGCCACGGCTTCCGCTGCCTTCACCGGCTGCTCAAGGTCGATCCGGAAGGGTTTAGTTTAGGTTTCAGGGTTTAGGCCACGCTTAAATAAAGCAAACTCCTTCTCCCTTGGCTTCGCAAATAATTGTAATTCCATGACTTGGTAGGGTCCCCTGAAAGAATCGATATCGAAAACGTTACAGGCGATTGGAGCAAGAGATCTCGGATCCGGGAAACCGTATCGCGAAGGAATTTTGTACCCATTTCACATGATAGGTGTCGCTTAGAGGAGGTACGGAATGCCAACCTCTGTTTTATGTTGGTCAATAAGATGAAAAAGTTACCAATGTATTTCTTACTATTTCACTTTCTTTACGCTGTAAAAAATTACTGACAGCACATGTGAAATGTGCAGGCGAGCAATGGTGCGATTCGATGGAATTGTTATTGTATCCAGAGCAGAAGTTTACGTTCTTGCTTTTATGATTTTCTCGCCCACCCTCCAGAGGCAAACAAACATATTGTTTTTATGATTTTCCTTTTTTTGGCATTTTCCGGTCATTTCGAACTCATTGCGGGGTCGTGAAGCTTGGCAATTTGTTTGTAGATGCATTCAGCTGCAGAAACGTGTGTGCTCTGGGTACAAGTTTCCACTCGACACCAGTGAACAATCGGCAGGGCAGGAGCATGTTCCCAAATCTCATCGAGGGTCAAATTGACACGCTGTTAGACATGATGACAGACGATCTGTGGAAGCTTTATCTAGGAGCACCGCAAACTTTCGTACATGTTCTCCGGGATGCCGACGAGTTTCGAAGATGGAAAGCACCAATTACCGACGCACACGGCTCCGCCCAGCAACCACATGCCTCCACTTTCAAGACAGACGCCAGGCAATGGATTAAAAAATATCTTCATGCTGGAATTTTTCGCGACGTCGAGCCAGCGGATAGTATTCAGCAGCGGACGAGCTATCTGTTGCCGTTCCCGGACGGAGATGCAGCACAGCGCACGGAAAACAGTCAGACCATATTTCACGTGTCCCGCCACGGAGCGCAGGGGGTGGAGATGCAGATTGTGAAATACAACCCTATGCGTTTCTCTTCGGGCGCAACCGCGACCGTCTACAAAGATTTCGAGGCGTTGAGACTACTCCGCAATACAGGTAGCGCAGACGGGACGGAGCTGCACTCGGAGGATCCTGTCAAAGAGCGACTAGCGACAGGCCGTCTGGCAACGGAAGAAGTTCGTCAGGTCATGAAGGTGATCGAATGCGGCCCTTTCGCAAGAAGTAGACCACATCCCCCCCGTGGGGCTGAGGCCAACGGAAACATCTTTCATTGTCTACGGGAAAACGCGCACGAAATTTTGATGAACCTGCTGCTGGGCTACGGGAATACAGACACAGCAAGAGGCGTTGCGAAGCTGCAGCGGGTGGTCGTCTCTTATGCCCCAGAGGAAGAGCTGCCAATTGAAGACATCAGAAACAATGGAGCAAGTGAGCTCCGCCGAATCAGAGATGAGGTGCTGCGACTTCCAGCTGGTGTTACTTTGGGTTCGCTGAATCAGCGGGAACCTCTGGCTCTGGGCAACATGCTACCGACCAAACGAATTCGCTTCACCTATTTTATCGAGCAAGTGCACATCTTCCCTGCTTTCCTCGACGAACATATCCTGCGTAAAATTTTCGCCCTCTTGTCCATGATAGGCAAATTTGTTTCTAAGAGATGAGACGTTTGCCCAGCATCGTGCTGCGTTTTTTGATGTAATGCATAAAGATCGCTGAACCTGCAGTTGCAGTAGCACTTTTATTTTTTCGCTGGACCATTGATTATCATTATCACGCTCGAAATTCGATGAGCGTTGGAGTCGCGCCCATCGGGACCAGTAGTACTAGCAGGGAGGGGCTCATTATTTGAGGGCACGTACACGCTGTGTTGCTATTTGCTGCACGACATGACAACGAAATATGCGCGCTCTGGCATCTGCGAAATTGCTCTGCACACGCCGCGGGGCGGGAGCAGTTTTGCTTATTGTGTAGGGGAACCGCACTAATAATTATGGCGTAGAGGGGTCCGAAAAGGCCGGAATGTAGCTCGGCTTATAATCAGCCCCAAGAGAACGAGAAAGGCATATGGCCGGAGCCGGAAGTAAAGCGAATTTTTTTTCCAAAAGCAGCCAAGAAATCTTCTTTCTCCAGGGCCAGGGGAAGGGAAAGTGTTCAGTTTTCCTCGGGGCCGCTGAACGCTTATTACATTGCGGAAAAAGGACTCGGAGACCTACGCCCGACTTCTGGCACAAGAAAAAAAAGACGAAGGAGAAAATATGAAAAGGGCGACGACATTGATGTGGGCACTGTTTTCCTGCTTTAAGTAAGCAATTCCAAAAATTGCTATTCCTGCTCTAAGATGCACACACCAAGGCTTTCAATTTCATTGGAGATAAGAAGTATCTACTATTGGCTGTGTAGTGGGCACACTTTTACGCAGGAGAACATTGCCGGAAGACCGGAGAAAGAAGATGGTGGAAAAGGAAGTGAAACATGGAGTGTGGCCGCAGGCGACACAATACGTCAGAACGTTTCATAAGATTCTGGCTGACCTAGATGCGGCTGGATACGTGCTGATTGATCTGAAAGAAGTTAACATGGGGTTTGCGTTGGACGAGAAGGACGAGGCTTTATATGGACAGCCGAAGTTGCTGGACTTCGGCCAGACGTGCCTCACTAACAGACGAGACCGCTGGGGAAAGGAGTTTTCGTTCCGGCAAGACGAAAAAGGAGATTTTATGCGATTTGAGAAGAGCGTTGGAGACGTCGGCCCCTTGGACGTGGTCTTGGGAGATGTTGACATAGTCGACAATAATTATGATGCACAGGAACAAGAAAGCGGCGCCCCCGCGTGTCCCCTGTGCTCCGACAACACTCACGCCAATTTACAGTTCTGGGGTGGCGACCGCAGAGGCGGGACAGCGGGGTACCTGAGTCCAGCTTTGACTGCTGCATATCAAAGAGAGCAACAAGCTATACAACAAGCTATAAAAGAACACAAGATTTCCAACTCAGTGGAGCATGCAGAATATATGCGGAAGCAAGGCGGAAGAGGTGCGCCCTTAAAGAAGTCTGAGTGGCTTTCGCCCAGATCCGATTGGTTTGCTGCAAGTCGCGTTATGCTGTCGCAACTCGGTTTCGACTGGTGGACAAGAGTTGTGCATCCGCCTGGACAAGAGTTGTGGAACATAGCCTATTATGAACAACATACAGACCGCGGCGGGGAGAAAACAATATCAAGTTTACCTCCAGCACGCGTACATTTTGACGAGGACGCCAAACAGCAGGCACTACAACAAATGACAGTCTACTGGGAACAAGAGGAGCAGGAGGCCCTGCGCCAGCACTTAAGCCCAGCAGGATTGTGGGATCTAATCTGCCGGCACATCGTCTATGCGCACGCACCTCTATCAAGCATATCATATTGAAGAATGCAAGTTAGGCACCCACTTCCACATTGTATCTGAATTTCCTGGCTCCGTTATTTTGTGCTCGATTATCGATGATAGTATAAAAATGCACGTCTAGTTTGTCTTCCATATCCGCCCTCACTTACATCATTTAGCAGGGTTGAGCTGCCTGCGACCGCCACACACGGCAGGTCAGTCTGAAGCCAAAGCACCTATGACTCGCAACGCATTGGAGCCCGTCGTGGTTTTGACATTTAGTGCCTCGCCACGAGTTCCAATGTCATGAATGATCCTCCGGGAAGAGATATTGTGCGAACTTCCTCTTCGCGTGGTACCGCAACAGGGACTTGGCCTTGCCGTGTCTTTTCCCCCTGCCAGGCGCAGGTAGTTTCATCTATGTACAGATATTGCTTTGGAAGTTACTTCATTAAAGAGCCGGTGTTGAAAATCGTGATCAACAGAGGTGGGTGTAAGCTCGCATTTCTTTTCGATACTGGAGAAGACGCAAGCACGCGCTCGGACAAGAATGGCAGACGTTGCTTGGGATAATTTTCATCCTGCCAAAACATGATACCGTCCATATGTACTTAGTTTTTGTTTCACTAGAGATCGATGAGAACGTTGTGAACTCTATTGCAGGACAAGCACTAATATGAAGATGATGATGATGATGATGATGCTTTACTATCATGCCGGAACCGTAATCGATTTGTTGAACTACAAAGCGTAAGCGAGTATCAGTTCGTTGTGCAGGGCACCGGCCTGCCATCGGAGACGAAAATGAGCTGTGCTTGTTACGTGCATACTTTTTGCAGGAGCCCATTGGCCGCCTCTGGACGGTTGACGTATTGCAACGACATTTAGCGCGGCCTTCGTTCTCCTCGAGCCATCCGGCGTCCTCGTCCTTCGCTCAGCTGCAAACGTCGACACACCCCACCAATTCCACAGAACCAGACTCATTCCTTCCTCGGCTTCGAGCTACAAGCGTATTTTTGCAGAACCCAAGCGTGCCGGCTGTCGACGGTGATGCCGTCGCTAAGTCTCAAAAAGAGGAGCAGCTCCTCCTCCACGATGAACACGCTCTTTTTTCCCCGAAGATTAATACTGCAACGTCCACGGCCACTTCTGCTCCGCTCGCGCTGCGTCTCCCCGCCCCGCTGGAAACCGTAACCTCCGAGTTGGACGTCGACCAAAAGCAGCAGCAGAACGCGAGCCAACCGAAGAGCGCCGGCACGCGACCGTCTTCCGTTCTCCTGCAAACCGACACGGACGACCAGAAAGCGAGCAGTACAAGCTTTCTGCAGGGGGAGCAAAACACGAACAATGAGTCAAGCACGGACAAGCTGAACGCGCCACCAGGCGGAGACAGACGACTGGTCGACGGCCGGGAAAAATCAAATACCGACGACCACACTACGACTACCTCCGTCGGGTCCCGTAATCCACAGGCAACGCCAGCACTGCTCCCGCAGAAACATGAAGATGCTCCTCCGGTGGACCCCCTCCACCCAACGTTTTCAGCTGGCAGACGAGAGGGAACGACGACAAGCAACACCGGTGCGTTCACACAGCTGCAATCTGGAGCGGTTCACACACAGCAAGGACCCGTCACGCAGCAAATGACGCGGCAAAATGCGACGGCGGGGGGTAGTTCAGTGTTTCACGATGACATGATCAAGGAGCAATCTGCTCCCGCTGCCGCGTTCCCCGAGCACGAAGGGGCTTTTTCTAAATCATGAGAGCAATGAGACGGAAGCTGACCGATCCTAATGGAAAAAGTTCCAAAGTCGACGCGCACGACGGGGAAAAGGCAAATTTGGCGTGAGAGGACAGCCGAACCCAAACGTGTTTTTTTTTTCTCGATCTTTCTCGCTCCTATTTTTTGCATAGTGTTGCATTTTTTTTTGTTGTTCCCATTCCTTCCTCCATCAACAAAAGGACTTTCAGTATATTGCTTTGCCTTTTTTTTCCTCACTTTCACTTGTTCGCATTTCGTATACATCGATCGTCTTTCAGTGGCAGTCCCGTTCTACAAACCTTTTTCTTGTTGTACAATTTACACTTTTATTTTGTCTAATTCTCAACAACATCGGTAATACGCTCAACAACTACCCACAGTGGCCTCAAATCACAACTACACCAAGATGATCATCACGAAGTAGGTGACGGCGTCGGGGCATCACATGGTCATCATGGAGGTGTAGCAACAGAGTTTTTGCATGTGTCAAGTTACAGTGGTTCTGTGTGTGCAATATCGAAGTGGTCACGTCATCTATCCTCTTCTGAGTCGTGTACTTTGGCAGGAGCTTTGCCTGCAAGTGGTCCAACCTCGGGCAGTTGGCTGGCTACTGTTCTCTGCAGACGTGCAAGGAGGTCGAAATCCGATTGGCAGGATATGACTCTGATGATCGCACTTGACGGGGTCGGTGATGATGGCGATTGGGCTGGGAAGGAGAGATGGAGTGTTCGCAGCGATCGCACGTGGAGATCAAGGCGGTCACTCTTCAGGAAACGTCGCTTGAGCAGCTCGGTCTCGCCTTCGACTTTTTCATCAAACTCGATAAGAGTGCGTGCGTTGCTACCTTTCCAACCAAAGAGTTCAGTGTCCAGATACTCATCGGTGATTGCGAGTGAACCTGAACGGAAGACCGATGGCGAGAAACAACCAGGAACAGCGAATGGAGGGAATATCTTAGTGTTCTCCCGACCAGAGCATCGTGGATGTGATCTGCAGATGTACAGCACATCACACGGGAGCGTGCTCGGGTCTCGAATTTCCTCCCATAATTGCAGCGACGGATGTCGATGGGCAGACCGCTGGAAAAACGGAGGCAAGCGAGGGAAAAGAATGATGACTGCGGTGGGTAAGAGGATCTGCGAACTTCGATGTCGAATGGGGACGTTCTTCAACGGGGGCCGGAAGCTATCAGTTACCAGCGGGCATTGGAAGACGAGTGGTGAAACTGGGCTGACAGCTGCAGGAAGATGGCCCACAACCTCAACGGGCGCAAACTGTAGCAGCATCTGGCCTAAAGTGATGGACGGAGCAGCACGAGGGGGAGCTGTTGAGAACGTAAGAGGGTGGACCTCGTGTCCACGTGGACCCCGTGTCGCAATGCGGCATTGCGATTACGATGGCGTGGGCGCGTTTTGGGAGGTTTTTTGTCTCCAGAAAAACACGTATCGGGGCACTTCTATCGGAATTCGAGTGCCGGGGAGCTGCACACTGCCGCTGCTGGATTGCGTGTTGAATGGCGACGCGCACCTTCTTCCGGGTTGCCATGCGGACTTGGCGTTCTGCGCGCGAATGCCGTACTCGCGTTTGGGGATTCAGGAACGACATCGCGCAACAGTGCCGTTGGTTTTGTTGCAACAGGATTCAAGGCCTCCCATTCCAACGTTGAGTAGTGATACGTCATTACCTTTCGTTGCGAGTTCTCCCAATACCACGAGGAGATGTGCTACGTCATTACCGCTGGAATTATCGTGGACATGCAATCGTTCTCCGTGTATTGCCACATCCGTACCATTGGAAATGTCGAGGACATGCAATCGTTCTCCGTGTAGTGCAACAACAGTACCCCTGGAATTATCGAGGACATGCAATCGCTCTCCGTGTAGTGCTACGTCAGTACCTTTGGATGTGAGGACTTCCAATTCTACGCTATGCCGTTCTACCTCAGAAGCCGAGCTGAATCAGAAGACTGCCGCACCACCAACGAAAAAGAAAAAATCGCTAGTAGCTGAAGACGGGAATCGAATATCAGCGCTCCAGCGAAAAACTGCAGTACAAAAAGCTTGGCGTCTGGACCTCTTAACATCTTCGCCAAAACTTTGGGGTGGAGCGTCTTCCTCTGCTATGGAAAATAGAGGGAGCGCCCTAGCAGGGCACGAAGGCACTCCGCGGCACAGCTACAGCTGCTTGTGGATCTGGAGCGCGTGCTGCGGTGTGATTGTCGACGGGAATTGGTGCTCGGCAAAGCAGGTGCAGATGGCAGGAAGCCGTCGTATCTTTGTTCTAATTCGACCAGAACGCGGAGGTCGTGATCTGCGCCCAGCGTGCACATCACGCGAGAGCGGGTTCGGGTCTTTTTTTTCCAATAATATGAAAAAAGGCTTCGCAGCCGTAATAAGCGTGTACACACCGCCAAAACCCCCAAACCGCAACAAGACTGGTTTTGGTGTCATCGGAGGAGTAGCATGCGGAGGAGCGGCGGAAGATGTTAAAAGACGGACCTCATGCCCACGGGGACCCAGTAGTGCGCACCGGATCACGGGGCTGCTGCTGTTGCTGGAACGCATGTTGAATGGCCAACGGGAAGTACTTCATGATGCACAGCGTCCACACGTGATGACGCGACGCATCGAGACCAAGATGCAAACCGAGACCACCGCAAGGGAACGTGGAGCGGGTTATGATCTTCCGAGTGATGCAATCCATGGACGTGGAAACAGTGGGCAATCGCGCGGTGAAAATTGTTGGTCATGGTCCTCAGCTTCTCATCCTGCAGTACAGCCTCGCTCAGTTTTATCACCATCGCCAAAATTTCGGGTCAGGGCGGCTTCCTCTATGATGGGAATAAGAGGAGGCGCCCTATCAGGTACCCTAGTATGTTTGCTTCCTTCCCCCATCGTGCTGCAATCAAAAGTTCATGGCTGTATTGTTTCGGTGTGCATGCATATGCAACTCTTCCTGCCCTCGCTTCGAACCTTCCAACCTCAGGTTGTTGGGGCAAACCATCGGTCGCGTGCGGTGGTGTCATGCGGTGGAAAATTGGGCTTACCGAGACCCGCGGCACTGTTGCCAACTCTGGAAGCGGGGCGGCTGATCGAGTGTGAGATAGTCGAGGAAAGAAAGAGGAGGAGACCACGAGTACCGGCTTGGTGGCACCGGGAGTACAGTTACCTACATGATCTTGCACGCCGGGCGCCGCGTGTCTGCCACATCCTTGTTCTTGTGAGCACCCTGACTATCCTGCCCCTGCAGAACATTCTCAACGTAGCCAGATACGAGTTTGGTGTGATCTACAAGAACTTGAAGTACAGCGAAGCGGTGGGTGACGCGGATGGATTCAGAAATGATCCGCCCTCGATGGCGGACGGATGGAAAGGACGGGAAAGGCCAGACCGACGGCACTGCAGCTTTGGTGGACGGCTGCGAACAGTGGGAAAAACCGTCTCCAAATTGCAAAGGACATTATGCCGGGTCTACGAACATCGACGCGCGATGCTACGCACACACAGCCAGACGCGGAGGACGACAGGCGCCAAAGAGGCTAAGCGACAAGCTTTGCTCCGACTAGTGGCTGCCCGGAGGGAAAGACGAAAAGAGAGGACCCAGCGGAAGCAAAAGGAGCGACGCGGCAACACTCCTGAGGGAGGGCGAGTGGAGACTTTTGCGGAGCTATGGATGAAAATGAGACACGACACTGCGGCCCTGGTGAGCAATATTCAGAAAAGCTTGGTCGAGGTAAAAGCACGACTGACGCCTGCAGACCCCCAGCCGACAAAACATCGCCGTGCACTGGTAGGGCAGCCGGTGGCCACGACGGTTCGGGCGACTTTGCTTGACCAAGATGAGATGCAGGCGCGACTGCCTGCGAGGGGCGATGAAGATGAAGCTCATGCGCTGCCGGGGTGTTGCTTGAAAAACATGGAAATAGACGTCGACAATGGTCACACCGCTCCGGAGGAGAATGCTATGTCTCTTGCAGCTGCTGGACTGGGCTTGGTCGAGCTGAAGAAGAAGAAAAAGATAGAAGAACAGCAGAAGGCTATGGAAGCGATGTGTGGCGCCACTGCCATGGCAAGGTTGCAGCCGCCTGCCTCTGCGACTCCCGGAAGAACACAGACGTCGGAGCCGATGAAGGGGGAGCAGAGCGCGTCGCCGCCTACAGCCACACAGCCTCTCATCGAAGACATGAAGACACCACGCACACCTGAATCGACAACGACGGACGACTCGTTGCTAACCATTGGCGGAAATGCGAAAACAAGGAGAAACAAGAAAAGGCGACGACGTGCCCCCCTACCTGTATACAACAATAAGCCAGCACCTGCGAAACAGACGCGCGCGACTGCTATCTGCGAGAAGATGCTGGACAAAACGGCGCAGGTTATATTGCAGGGTGAGAGGACATTGGGCGGCTTCATGAGCAAACCGCAGAGCTTTTTCCGCGAAGCCCAGGCCGATCGTGAGAAAAAGGAAAGCGACGCCTCTCGAGGAGAAGGAAGTGAGGACGGTGGGGAGAACGAAAACGGCGGTGACTCGAATCGCGATGGCGATGGGGAGTTGGGGCACAACTTTTTTCCGGATCGCGCAGTCACAGCACAGGAGGAACCACTTGCGGGGCATACGCGAAGGCGAACGGCTGCCATTAACATGAGGAGCAGCGGACAGGAGTCGGTCAGGTTTGAGCACGTCTTAAGGGCCGCGGGGGTTTGCGGGTGGGATGTTATCCTTCTGGATGAGTTCGAGTACAGCCGCCAAGGAATCGACGAGCAAACGAACGCGGCGCGGGACAAAAAAGCGCAGCAGGACCAGGATCCTGACGGGGCTGGTGTGGTTGATCTTCTAGAGAGCGAGTTAGTGGACGAACAGGGCGACGAGCATCACCTGGAGGCGCTGGCTCTCGAGCAGCTCGAGGCCCTCGAGGAGAATGAAAACGAGGAGAATGAGGTGGGGATGCGGCAGTTTGGAAAGAGCGGCTACAGCTGGCTCATTCGCGACAAATTTCATCTGCTGTATGGCAACGGAGTGGGCATCCTAATCCTGAACAACAAGCTGCGACACCAGATTGAAGCGGGCAAACTACACGAGCACAAGACCGGGGCGGTGAGATCAAGGCCACGGGTCCTCACTTTATTCCTAGACGAAGAAATCTATACCGCGGTCTATGCCCCTACCTCCAGCGCCCCTGCCTCAGATCGCGACTTCTTCAACTCCCAATTTGCAGCGTCAGTGCGGGAAATGCAGAAGATGAAATCACAAAAATGGAAGACGAAAGTTTTTGGAGGGGACTGGAATTGCCAAATTGGTGCGCAGCAATATCGCGACACCCCATTTCACGGCGGAAATGGGCCGGCGTTGACCTCACCAAATGCCCGCACTTTGGCGACAAATCTTTTGGCGATGAATATGGTCCTGCCGGGGACGTTTCAAGCCGACGAAGTATTGAACTTTGCCACGCATGACGCTGGGAACGAGGTCGACTTTTTTGTGGTGCCGGGACAACAGCTGCAGAAGGTGCGGGGCTACAGGAGGTTCGACATTAACGGAAAAAACGAGAAAGGCGAACGCTGGGCGCAGAAAAAGTTTGACCACAAAGCCATCGAGATGGACCACGATGTCAAGACGAAGAAGCGACTACGGGAAGAGGGCGAAATGCGGCGGCTTGCCACGTTTGGTTTGATCAAAGATCCTAGCGAGGACATTTTGGCACACTTTAACAATGACCTACGGAAGCGCGTGGAGAAAAGAGGCGGGGCTGAGGCGTTCTCGTTGGAAGACATGCAGGATTTTTTGACGCACCACATGCCGCAAATCATTGGGAAGGTCAAAAAGGAGATCCCCACGGAAGACGCTGAGAAGTACTTGGAAGATGGGAAGAAACGAAGTGAAATGTGGCGAGTCTTCCGCGAGTTTGACATTTCAAAGATCGATCGAATTTGTGCCATAAGCCCCACCCAAGCGGAAGAACAGTACTACAGTGTCGGGAATTCGCGGCTAAATCCGGACACCCCGCTGCCGATCACGCAACACCTCGAGGAGCTTGTTCCGAAACTAACCGCGGAGGAGATTGAGGAATTGGACAAAGACATAGATGAAGAGGAACTCACGAAGGCGGCGAAGATGTTGATGTCGGGCGGCAAGGCGCGGGATGTTTTCGGTCTACACGCGGGAATATTTAGATTTCTCGACGACGCATCAGTGCAAATGATGACCAAGGCCATTAACTCTCAACTGCGGGGACGACGATTATCCGAGCTGCGTGAAGATTTGCATTTATGCCGGGACGTGCCGCTGTTCAAAAAAGGAGACCCGACAAAACCTGACAACTATCGCTTTCTCGTAGTGTCGCCGTGTTTGTTGAAATTGTGCACAAAAATTTACAGCGACCGGCTCTACAAGGTTCTGGAAGACAAGCAATACTTTTGCGAGACCCAGTTCGGTTTTCGGGCAAATCGCGGCACGCTAGAAAGTATTATGATCTGGAACCGAATAAGGGAGGACCTGTGTCACTATTCGCGGCACAAATCAAGCAGGTTACTGGCGACGCTGGTGGACCTCAAAAAAGCCTTCCCAAGTCTGGACTGGAGATTAGTGACGGCGGTAATGGAGACGCTGGGAATAGGGGAGACAACATGTTGGAGCTTGATAAATAGTAGCCATAGGCATGCCAAGCACGAGTTTTACGACCCAGAAACCAAGAAGCCGGGAAACCGATTCACGTTGGAAAATGGAACGAAGGAAGGATGCGTCAGCAGCCCCCTCGTCTTCTTGATTAGCTACACGGCAGTGATGAAATATCACAGACTTTTACGCAGTCAGGAGGGGTCAGAATCACTGAAAGGGGTGAGGCTATATTCACGCGCTGACTTGGGACATATGAAGAGGGCCGACCAGCTGCATGAGATAACCGGGGGCGAGAAGCCAGAAGAAGGTGAGCCGGAGCTGAGCACTGATCACGTGATGGACCTGCTGTTTGCCGATGACACGACGCTGCTGGAACACATGACCGAGGCGGAATTGCAGCAGTTCTTGAAAATCAACGCGGAGTTAATCGGGAAGAAGCTTGCGCCATCGGAGTCTAAGGCCATGAAGTTACTGACGAAGGCACTGCGGGAGTCAGGGTGCCGGGAAAACGACACCAAGCGATTTAGTGGCAACATCTGCGACATGTCGGTAAGGAATTTAGGAAGCTACACGGACCCCCGTGAAGACATACGACAAAAAAAGCGCAAGGCCTGGACTGCCTACAACAAGTTACGGGCGAAGATGAGCGGCGTTTCGAATCTTTTTGCTGAGCGGCGCGGAGAGCTAATCATCATAATGATCCGAAGCATATTCTTGTACGGCCTGACGGCGAGGTATGTTAGTCCAGACGAAGTGCGGGCTCTCGAGCGTGAGGAGATTGCGATGATGCAGAGGATTCAAGACATTCCGTGGTGGGAGCGTGTACTGCAGAAGAAGAGCGCGGCCGATCTTCGGCGCAAATTGAAAGTCCCGCCGTTCAGAGTGCACTTAAAGTATCTACAGATGCGATTTGTGGGGCACGTACTACGACGGAAGCCGACCGATTTAGCCAGACGCGCACTGGTGGGCAAGTTTGTGCCGATTTTGTACCGCGGGGCTAGTGTTGGCAATGCGTTGGAAGATGGTTTACGTGCCAGAGCAGAAGTTCTACGATCAGTCAAGGAGCTTAAGGAAGTTGACCCAAAAGAGCGGCGGGTGGAGTCCTTCCTCCAAGACGCGTTGGAGCATTTGACGAAAAAATGCAACATGCCTATGGAAATGGTGCAGCTCCTTACCGAGGATCTGGAGACAACACAAGCGCGGCAGCCCGAAGAGCTGCCGAATGGCTCGACGCTATATGCTGCCAACAAACGACTTTTCTACGCAATGACGCGGCAGTGCTTCATACGGGAAACTGCTGCGGACTGGAGCAATGGAGACGAGGAACTACGGCAGAAAATAACGGATGAGCTGGCTATTAAGTATTTCGGCAACCCAGGACAGACGCCAACGCGTGCGGATGCAATCAAGGCTGCACAGGAACAAGACTCGAGCGTGAGTGCGGAGGATGTAGTGTACTCGCTCCCGACAGGACAGCCGTCGGCCCTGGAGCATTTTGACGCCGAGCGCCAGTGCATGTGGTGCGAGCAGAGCTATCCGCTGGCGGCCTCGTGGGGAACAACGGACGGCGGGCCATCGGAGGAAATGATCGCGCACATGCAGCAAGAACATGCGGTGAAAAAATCGACTAACACGGAAATTAAGGCGCTAGTTATGAAAAAGGTCGAGCAAATCAGCAACGAGCAAGATCAGGAGATACGGCGCGAGATCATCGAGAGGAGCAGCGACATTCTGCGTGACAAGATGGCGAGGGGGCCGACGGCGCATGTCAAAAAAATCTTCTGCAAATCGTGCGCATTAATGTACGCCTCCACAGCGGGGGCAATGGAAAAACATGCGCAGGTCCACAGGGAGAGTGGATACATCAGGATAGGAAGGAAAAAAGACGCACAAGGCAGAGCAACAGGCGACTACCGACCGGAGCAACACCTTTGGAACCACTGGGCGGGCCGGTATTATTTTGGGTCTGATGCGAAGGGCTGGCGAAACGTTCTACCACGAGACGCACTTTTCACGAACCGGGCAGGTTGCGAGTTTTTACGATGCAGGAAATGCAAAACGTACAAGATTCTCTTCAATCACGACAATCGGGTGGAGCGGCCTCATGACCATAGTGAATCGCTGCGAATTAGCAAGATGGTCGCGCATGAGTGTGCGTGCAAGCAGAAGGAGAAGAAAGTGAACCAAAACCCCAAACCCAAACGCGCGATGAAGAAAGTGGTGAAAAGTTAGTGAGGTGTGAGTTGGCGTCCCCTTCTCTCCCCCTGCTGGGAATCACTACTACTACTACTAGTCTAACTCTAACACTACACCGAGACCGATTTCATTGTCCATATCTCTAGTACCTATTTTTTTACTTTTTGCGCAGAAAGATATCTATGAAAGAACGATTTTTTTGTATGTTGAGCAGCATCTTAAAGAATTATTACAAGAGGAAATTCACTTGCAAACAGCTACTAGAGGACGAGCAGCTTCAGTCGTGGAAAAGAGTCTGCATTGATGTCAAATATATAACGTGCGTTGTCTTCTTCTGTATGCTCGTGTACTAGACACTGAAACTCCAGCACCATCTCAATGATCCTGAAAAAAAATATTCGCTGAAAGTAAGAGTTTGTGTCATGATTAAAATTTAGTTGTCAGCGCATTGTACCTGAGGTGAGGTGGCCTAAAGATTGATAGAGGCAAGAAAGCAACTACATATTACCAAGTCGAAGAAGTCCTGCGCTTTGCCTTTCAGTGGATTCCGTGATATTTTCACAAAGTTTGATGTGATTGAGAGCCTTCTATGACCTGACCAACTGCTGAGCTTGAGAGTTTATGGTGTGCCCTCGGCTCGCAGAAGTTCCTTTTTGTGCAGCTGTTCATCATTGTTTTCACAGAGCGGCAACCTATTCGATTCATCTATGGGAGAGCGCTCCGGCGAAATTTGCTCCTTCCGGGCATGATAGAAAAGTGAATGTGAAATAAAGGAAAATTTTGTTTATCCTGGCCCTTGGAGCAAGTTTCGGTGCGGAGAAATGGTCATTGTAAGAATGAAAATAGATTTTCGACTTTGTGCAAGACAATCATAGTCGGTTCGTGCATCCCGATTGATGATTCATTCGAACGGAAAATACAGGCACTCGAATCGGTTCCGTCCTTTCGTTCGCGCAATTGTGTCGGTGCTTGTGTGAAGTAGAAAAGTTTGCCAACCATATTACAAGAACCGAAGAGAAAATATGGTTTTCGATTCGGTCAAAAAATTCGAATGCGAAAAAACTCTGTATCTCGACATTTCCATTTCATCGTACATGCCATTCTTGAATGTGGCTTCTCGTACATTTTCGTCACTTTCGTGCGCCTGTGTTGCCGCATCCTTCTGCTGTCATGAAGATAATAAGTAGACATCATGTCATTGATTTCCCTCTTGACTTCAAACTCTCGCAGGACCTCATTCAATGCTTCACCCTCCTACTTATGATTTTTACATTAGATTTCTCACCAATAAGACTATGACTGATGCCCTTGTCAATCCTGATTTGATTACGTGGTAGGTGACGCTCCCAACTTCAGGAGCACGATGTAAGAGGTGCATGTTTTGTACTAGCTGCGCAGGAGCGAACAGCACGTAGAAAAGTCAAAGCGCCAGTACGTAAGCGCCGTATAACTATCGCTGCGCTGATCGATATTTTGCGACTTAGTCAACAACTTCTACATTGAAAAGCAAAAGTTAAGATTAATTGTCCTCTTCGCATGCTCTTCGTACCTGCTCCTTCCGATGTTTTTGTCTGTGGTCCGGCTCGTAATGACTAGTTCTCACGGCGGTGGCGGATTTTCGTAAAAATCGTTTGGGCTGTTGTAGAACTCAAAGTGGAGCTAGTTCTAGTGCACCTGCTGACCACCAGCGCCAAGAACCGGCAGTGGAGCCATGACGGACAACCGGACAGAGATTTACGACGAGCCGGACTCGCGCGAGACCGTGTCCGGCTCCGAGTCGGAGGATGATGCTATCGAAGAGAAAAAAGTCTCCCCCCACGACTCCGTAAAGTTGAAAAGAAATTTGCATACAAATCCCTCTGATGTCATGTGTGTCAGAAGGCAAGAGCAGATTCATACCGGCGTAAAATTGATTCTTCGTCGCGAGCACGTTCGAAAACGCTTTGCTTGTTCAGTATGACAGCGAAAAGCTAAGGCACGACCCCAATCGATGACAAGTTCTTGCTTCCCGATATGTATGTGCGTCACGGTTGGTGTTTCCTCGCCGTGTTGCAAGATAAGTAAGTTGATTTGAGAGCAGCACGCAAAACCCACTAGCACCGCTCTGACTACTTCATCTATGGGGTTGCAGAGGGGGTAAGTATTTTCTTTCCTCGGGATAGTCGCACCGACGCCCCAAATTCCTGGCACCGACGCCTCGGATAAGGAGAAGAAGAAAAAGAAGAAGAAGGACAAAAAAGACAAAAAGGAGAAGAAGGAAAAGTCAAAGCTAGAATCCGGTGTCGATGAGAAGAAAAAGAAGAAGGACAAAAAGGACGGGAAGCCGGACGAACTGTGCGTAAACGAGCTGGAGGGGTACATTGAGAAAAAGGAGGCCAAAAAGGAAAAGAAGGAGCAAAGATCCAAAATGGCCTCCGAAGCCTTCGATGGAACCAAACGGAGTCGGAAATTCGGTACGGAAACCTTGATTGAATTACATGCAGTTGCATCCTTCTTCTTTTAGCGAAGCTTTTGCTACTAGTGATCACCGGTTAATACTTTTGATAGAAGTTTTTGCTTTGAATATACTATCCGAATGGTGACTGCACACAAAGAAACATTAACACTGCGTAGTGCAAACGCTGATTGGCAATATGAACACAGGGGAGAAGAGTTTCGGGCCCACGGATTACGATCCCGATATTGCCGCCATGGTACCAGTGCCACAGCCAACGAGTCAACTAAAGTCGAACGCCCCCACGATTCCAAGGATAGGTACTATTTTCCGAATTGTTTTCATGGTTGCTCCCGCTCCTGAGACCGAGAATATTTTGTTCATTCAGCACTGTTCTTGTATTTCTCGTTTGTCGAAAATAATGAGATTTTTTTCTAGAAATATTGATCTTTATCCGCCACAACCACAACATCACAGCTGAGGGTGAGGCGCGCGCGATACGACTGCAGGCAGGGACTGACACTTCCTCGTCCTCGGACTCCTCCAGCGACAGCAGCTCCTCGGAGGGCGGACGTGGTCCGAAGAATAAGGCCACGAATTTAGACTCCACCTCGTACTATACGAGTAACGTCGCGGGCGGTTCCTCCTTGACCAAACCGGGGCGGCACCACCGCATGAGCATCCACCGGCACTCGTCCGAGCACCACCTACCACTGCACCACTTCAGCTTTTATCCGGAGGGAAGCGCGCTGTCGGGCTTGCTCGTTGAGGTTGTCTCAGAGGAAAATGATAAATCTTGTCCGACACACGGTTCGGTCGATTGTAGCCCGGGTTCTTGCGGTGGATCCACTTCCGGATCTTGCGGCGCTGAAAATCCATCCCCACGGATGATGAAAACTATGAGCGTGGACGTCGAAAGCAGCTTCGTGTTTGTGCCACCAGTAGAACCTTCGCAAGAGATGACGTTTGTCGGAAATAATAGCCGGATTGTTGGTGAAGATTCGAAACGAAATACGCCATACAGAATAGAAACGTGCGCCGCGAGGCCTGGGTTACTTCTACAACTTCCTGAGTCTTTGTCTGGAGATGCCACAATTAGAACCTCCGGGACTGCGCATTATGCACAGCTGCGGGATGGAGCGTCAGCACGTGCATGTGAAGAAGAAGAAGCACGGAAAAGGGACACGAATCCAGAAGATGCGAATGCAGAATACTATCTGGATGCAACGCCGTCGAGACCACGACCTCGTCCCGCAGAGATGAAAATCATGCGTAGAGGAAATAAATCCCACCAGGAGCAGCAGGAGGCAAGTGCGGCACGAAATAATGCGTGCGGTTCATCTGGCAGCAGCATACCGAACCGAGTGGCACAACCCAACTACCGACGGCCCGCGCGGGCGCGAAGACGCGGGATAAAGGACGCGGATAAAAAACCGCAGCGGAAGGGCGGCGGAGCAACTGGGGTTTCTGAAGGCGACGGCGAGGACTTGTGACGGCAGCGACGTGAGTTTCTAAAAGTAAAGACGATGTAAAAAATGCATTCGTGACGGGTGCAGCGCCATTGCGTCGTGCAAAAACGCACCGGAAAGAGCATTTTTGTGCGGTCTGCTATGTCCTTTAATGGCATTCGCATTTTTTACATTTTTGCACGTCTCCCTTTTGTTCTCTCGTCGCTTCAATTTCCAGTTTGCTCTAGCTTTTCCGTACCGCATTTCGATGGAGGAGTCACTTCTTTTCTTCATTGTATCAAATTGTTTTTTTTTTGTATTTCTATTTTCCCATTTCTTCTTTTATCCTTGTTCCCCACAAGTTACTAATTCTGAGTCTTATACTTTTTGTTAAACCAATAAGAAAAAATAAAAAACTACCATGAAATGAAGAATGGTACGATGAGATGACAGTAGTTGCAGGGCCTTTCGGGTTGTATTTCTCGGGAATCCCACTGTTTCTATTTGTATTTGCTCTGTACCATCTCAGGCAACATTATAGGTCCTCGAATGCCCGTTCCCGAGTTGTGTTGAAGCTAAACCTGCTTCTTCACGACCTGCGGAGAGAGGTGCCGAACCAGATATGAAAGTGAAACCGAAGAAATCTTTTTGAATTTTCTATCATTTTTTTTCTTGACGTCGTGGAGGTGTTGCTGGAAAGCTGGTTCCATCATATGCAACCGTGTTCACATCACAGAGAATCGAAAGTGCTGCTGTTGGTGCTGTGTGTGGTCGGTAAATGAAACATCGAATGATCTCGGTATGGACAGTGATTTTTCCATCGGTTTTTCTGTGCCTGTTTTGCGAGAATATCAATTGCAGCAATTTTCATTTTGTTCGTTTATCTGAAAGAAGAACAACAACCGCATGAGCGTGCCTCTAGGACGAATCGGTCTTTTTTCTATGCCATCGGGAGAAAAGAAATTTCGTTCTCGCCATCAGGATTTCGAATTTCTTTCGGTATTCCGGAAGCCTTTTTTTTTATATCGTATGCCTAGGTCTGAGCCTCCTAGTTTTTATCTGCCAGTTGATTTCGGTCCTGTGATAAAGGGAAGCGAAACAATAAGGCTTCGGCTTTTTTTTTTCTACATCTGTCTTGGCGCACAGACACAGGCCGAGACACAACCTGTGGTGAAGCAGCGCTCGTGTGAGCGTTGCATCGTGCTTACTATCTATGTGGCACTGGTCTGCATCATTCCCCTCAATTGCAGATATTGACCGGTTGTTGCTTGTGATTGATTTTACCTCTTGCATTCCAACAGGGTACTACAGCAGATTCACATTCTGTCTGCGCTCCCCTCCTGCGCCCAATGTGAGTATTGCTCCCTACTTTTTTGTCCCTCTTTGTGTTTTCATCTTTTGGAAACTCGCATTTTTTTCTAGGCTGCTGTGGCAGCTAGAGTAAGTACTACCTCGGTATCGTCTACTTCGCGAGGACGTAGTTTCAAGAACAACTTTTTCACCTTTGAAACAACACCATGGGTCACCCTGCTTCCGGCAGCTCAACGGCTCGGGCCACTTCCGCTCCGCCGAAGCAGCGCTACACACCGTACCCCCTCGGGGAAAACTCCAATTTGATTCCCTACATCGACCACATGGGGCGGATGTGCATCCCGCACGCGCACGGAACCGGCTGGTGCACCTGGCACGACGGGGGCTTTCACAAATTCGATCCAAATTTTACCACAGTGAAAAAAATTCAATAGGAAATTCATCTGCTTTTGCTTTATCATCCGGGTCTTCACTGGAGTTGCACACTTGCAGTGCCATTCAGTGACTTGAGTTTCAATCGTCGCAAATTTGTTGTGTTGCATGAATCTCGCTCCCCAGAACATCTCTAGTGCTCGAGGAAACACGGTCATTGTCCTGACGAATCCAGCATCCGCAACATGACAAATGTTGTTCGAGTGAACAAAGAACTCAGTCCTTAGGTCCGGAAGCAAGGAAAAAGATGAATTTCGAAGTTGAAAATGTCCATAAGTTCGAACGTGCCCCACTCTGTTCCGAGCCACTGCAACACGTCTGCTTACTTGCGAAGCATACGCGACAACAGGTACTATGCTTACAACTTAGAAGAGTTAGAAATATGCCTGCAATTGAAAATATGTGTTTCACTTTTGCTTTCCTTGAATCGATTTCGCCCTTTTTTTGCTCATGCGAGTACCAGTACTTGCAAAGCAAAGAAATCCTCGTTCAAAAATTGCCATCAGGTTATTTCGGGAAGAGAAGAAAAAAGCAGCGTTTGCCGAGACTTTCCACTCGTATCCTACTGAAAAGTGCACCTCGACTACATGAAGATTGCGTGATATTAACAGCCAATAAAATATGAGCACCTGGTTTCATCGCTAGGCATTCAGCAATTACTTTCACGAAATTTGAATTTTAGTATGCATAGTTAGATGATCTAGATCATGATCTTCATCAAGTTCTAGTTCATCGATGAAAGCAGGCAGAGATCACGGCTCTCTTTGTGTGATTGGTGGACTTTGCCCCATCGGGATAAGCGCTGCCGGGAAGACAAAGCGAATTTGCGGGAAAGCAACAAACGATACGGGTCTATGATGGGGAAGGTATGAATATATGGTGCTCTTTGTCGTGTTTGTCATGCACTTGCTGGCATGCTTACGTTTTTGTTTTGTCGCGCACACTACATGCATGAGCATGACTGCTGGTATAGGACTAGGACAACATGTCTCAAAGAATAAAAATAAAATAGAGTAAAAATGCACCTAACTCAGATCCTGATCCCGGAGGCGCCTCTGATCGAGCGGATAAAAGCCGCTGACCGTGCGCCGAAGGCCAATCTGAAGGAAATCCTGAAGGAGCTACATGACCGAAATCGGGCCGAAAAGCAGGCCATCAAGGAAAAAATCAAGGCGGCAACGATGTGAGAATGAAAGTCGGTGGCGTCACGCTCACGTCGCGTCGTGTAGGATAACACAAGGAGTACAGTCGCATTTTTGTACAAAAAAAATTGACCACACTGCGTGCACGGCACAAAACAACAAAAATGAGCTGCAGGATTCACCACGGGCGCTGATGTGATCCGAAAATGCTGGGCGATTGTTGAGAAACAAAGTGAGTCATGTTTCTGCAATGCACTGCAGTATGTTGTATGCGTTATTTTACAATACTATTTGTAACTCAATCTGGGGGTAGGAGTAGACAAGTGTTTTCAGTCGATAGCCTTTTCTCGCCTCCCTAATAAATTAGTATACCAACTCTTCCATTTCCAATTCAAATTCTTACGCTACTAACGACCGTCAATATGATTCGATTCCAGTAGTAAAAAAAATTGACGACTTCATCCATTTGCATCTGCGTGTCACTTCCTCTCCATCGTGACATGATCCTCTCCACGTATAATTTTAATTTAATCTTGTCATGATTCTGTTTTTTGCGTTCCTGAATTTCATCGGTCAGATTGATAGTATAACATTTGTGTGGTGTATCTTTACATTCATATACAGGGCGAATAAGCATGATGAACCATGGCCAAAATTGATAGAATCCCTCCTGTAACATTACGATTGCTATTGCATATGATGCCGTCGTGTGCTTCACCATCGTCAGCACGCTGCGCGTTCACACGACACAATCTACAGATGGAGGTGGCTCCCGCATGCATGGTACTTGTACAAGACTTTTGGAAAGAGAAAACACACACGCACATATACATGGTATCTATTTCAGCAACCAGCACGGCGGTTCGGTTGACGCCCGCAAGCTGTCAACGGGAGCCCGCATTGTGAGGCGGGAACGCGTTCTCCAGTTGCACTTACTATATATCGATGCGAATTGTTTATACTACTCGACTCACTACGCAAAGAAGTAAAAATTGCGGCAATGTCCATGTCGGTCATGAAGGATGCTTGTGGGTGCGGCTCTGTTTTTTGAAAAAGAGGTGGATTGCTTGGCGTCTCCTCTGTCGGTCCATGCGACTAGTAAGGGCATGAAGAGGTAGGATTTTTGAGTAAGTAAGTGGCATAGGTGCTGCAGCATGCCACTACCTGATAAAAATTCCGAGTCGGTGTTTTTTCGGCCTTTTTTTAGGCCCGTTCGGGTCCATCGATTTTTTCTTCTTTTTTGAGAGACGCAAGATGAGCGGCACTACCAGTAGTACAGGAGGCTATTCCGAATAACGATCGTGACCTGGAGCCGGTGTTAATACTATTAAATAGTACGGTTGCTGCCTGAGTAGAAGACGAGTGATATAATTTTGGTTTTTCTGAGGCACTAGACACAGGACCCCGGTCGGTCCCTGAGAAGTCAATTCAGCTTTTTGATAGACGTTTTTTCCAAAAAAAAAACAAAGCCTATCACCCTCCAAAGCTCGTGCAGAAAAAGTACGGAAGCAAGTTCGCGTATTTCTTGTTCCTCCTTTTTTTGCACCTCTTTCTTCGATCTACCCGACATCGGAGATTCGCCTTGATATCGCTTGCCATCACAATAACAACTACAGATTTATTGCGATAATCAACTGCAAGGAAAAAGAATTGTTGCACCGATAGATCAGTACTGAATACCAACGAACGTCAGAGGAGAACTGAGATAACGTTTCTCGGTCGCGGCGAAGCAGAATGGCCACCACGCAGTGCATGGTGCGGCCAGACGGCGTGGCCGTCATCACGCTGGACAACCCGCCCGTGAATTCCCTTGCGTCTGGTCTGGTCAAGTCCTTCAATGAAAATTTGGCGAAGGTGTCCAAGGTATCCTGAGTAAAAACGTACCCACACCAGAGTCAGGATGGGGATTTTGCAACACAAACCTAGGAGTTTTGTGAGTCACGCATGACAAGTTGCACTCTACAGTGTAGTGCAGGTTAGCAAGTGCAGCCGCATCGCAGATTCATCTGCTCATCCTGTTCACAGCATCACAAATTCCAAAACACGATTGGAAATGGCTCTCATGGGGATGCGCATTACAAGTCTTCCTGTCTTTGCAAATCTGCATGACAGCTCTGGTGTGGGTACGTTTTTACTCAGGATACAAGGACCCGGCAGTCAAGGCGGTGGTTGTCACGGGGAAGGTATCCACTGCAAAGATATGATGTCTGGGTCCGGAATAAAGTTGTGTTTTGGTCTGTGCTGCACAAACACACCACATTGCCTGGCCGAGCATGACAGCTGACCAGCCCAGCGTTGCTTGTTGATCTGAGGCACAGGAGCTGGCTGCTTCATTCTTTCTGCAGAGACGAGGGAATTATTGTTATTGTTTTTACGCAACGAACATGCGTGTACCAGTGCAGCTACAGATACAGAGTCCTTGGGGCGTCCCAGGCACACACTCAATCTTGCACACTCAGACATCGTATTTGCAGTTGATAGCACGGCGCGCTTTTTTGCGGCGGTTTTGCCATAGAGGAATTTGCGACCGCGGGACCGCAGGCGGTAAGAAGTACTTCTTGCTCTACTTATGCATCGTTCATTGCGGCACCGGAAATGATACTTCAATAACAGTAAAAAAATGCATGTCGGAATCGCATTCGTTTTGTGCACACGTCATAAGGGAATAAGAGCCTCCGGATTCTGATTTTCCTTGCACTAGATAAAAATGAAGAGAGATTCGTATCTATGCCAACAAACACCCAAAATTACAGATCATGAACCTGCACAACATGATCAACGGCCTGGACGCCTGTCCGAAAACCACGGTGGCTGCCATCAACGGCCAAGCTTTGGGCGGCGGCGGCGAAGTTGCGCTGGCCTGCCACTACCGGGTCGCCGTGGACAACGCGCAGATCGGGTTCCCAGAGGTGCTTCTCGGCCTGCTCCCCGGGGGCCAGGGCACACAAAGGTTGCCGCGGGTGGCTCCCTTCGACGTCGCCCTGCAGATGGTCATGACAGGGCAGAATCTGAACATGATGAAAGCCAACAAAGCCGGGATCGTCGATAAAGTTGAGCCGAAGGGTAGAAGAAGTGCTGGTTTGTACTGGTTTATAATTGTATCCTCTCTCTTCAACGCGGGTGCGGGACAGTAGATGCATAAAAGTTTCTTGCTGACAACTCGTAGAAAACAAACAAGTTCCTGCACGACGCAAAAATGAAAACAATGAATCTCAGGTTCGCCCCTCCTGGACGCCGCTGCGGCCTTTGCGCTGAGCAAGCCTCCCCGGCCGATCTCCAAGATGAAGGTGCCGATCGGGAATAAGGTGATGGCCAAGGCCGGGGGGCTCGACATGGCCCGGCTGACCGCGAGCAAGACCGCTCGCGGCATGATCGCGCCAGACGCGATAGTCGAGTGCTTCCAGGTATCAAATGTAAAAATGTCTGGGTCTGGAAGAGTCATGCTGTTTTTGCATGACACAGAAGGTCTGGCATGGAAGCGCTAGCATCACAGGTTTCGAGAAGTTCCGCAATGCCGAATCCGCATGACAAGTCCCCTCCTTTGCTGACAGAAAGTGGGCAGCTTTTGCTACGTATGCATGAGAGACTTTTCTGTGTTCTGAAATACGCATTACAAGTTGCATTCTTCCAGACCCAGACATTTTTACTTTTGATACCAGGCGGCCTGCCTCGGCCCGTCGTTCGAGGCCGGGGTCTATCAAATGCAAATATGTCTGGGTCTGGAAGAGTGTGATGCTTCTTGTGCAGGGCACAGAAGGTCTGGCATGCAAGTCCTGGCAACACAGGTTTTGAACAGGTTAGGCGATGCCTAATCCGCATGACAAGTTCCTCTTTTGGTGACAAGAAATGGACAACTTTTGCAGTCCATGCGTGACAGATTCTTCTCTGGTCTCAAATGCGCATCAGAAGTTTACATGTTTCCAGACCCAGACATATTTGCAATGCATAAGGTCGCGGTGGAGATGGAGCAGTTCGGCAAATTGGTCATGTCCCCTGAGTCGGCGTCCCTGCGCAACATTTTCTTCGCGGAGCGCCAGGCGTTGAAGGTGAAGGGCAACACCGCGAAGCCCACGGCCATTAAGAAGGTGGGGATCATCGGCGCCGGGCTCATGGGCGGGGGCATCGCCATGAACTTTCTAAAGAAAAACATCCCCGTCGTCATCAAGGACGCAAAGAAGGAGTGGCTCGACGCCGGCGTGGGGACGATCAAGAAAAATTACGACATCACGGTATAGTTAGTAGTTTGTAACAAGGAGGCAATGGCAACATTCATCATTCAGCTGCACGCTTGCTGTAGGTGTTTGGATTTTTCTCTGCTTCATCCCTCGGACTTGTTCATATGCAGCTTCGTTTCTCACGTATTTGCAGCTGTATTTTGGCGAAGGTTTGATGTCTTTGTCGTACTCCCACGTGAAAGTTTCTTCACAGATAAGAAGAACCTTTTGTATGAAACTTTTTGATGTCGATGTCCATGTTCAGCTAATCCTCGTTGCTCGAAGCAAGTGACGAAACAAAAAAAAACAGGTCGCCAAGGGCAAGATGAAGCCGGAGCAGGCGAAGAAGCTGATGTCGCTGCTGCACCCGACGCTGGACTACAAGGATTTGAAGGATGTAGACATCATCATCGAGGCGGTTCCGGAGATTATGCCGCTGAAGAAGGAGGTTTTCAAGGAGCTCGGCAAGGTGTGCAAGAAGGACTGCCTCGTCTTATCAAAATGAAAAATCCCCCCACCCCATACTCGAACTAGGAATTTGTGATGCAGATTTGTGGTCACGAATCAGCTTTGTCATGCTAGAACGGAAAAGATGCGGACTGTAGTGCTGGTTGGCGTGGGAAAGCCTTGCAGCTTCAGCAAGACAGGCGGCAGCTGGAAGTGGGAAGCAGCATGACGAATTGCCTGCAAACGAGGCCACAGCTGCGTCTCTTGGCCTTCTAGCATTACAAGTCGATTTGTGTACTCAAATACAGCGCCACAAATTTCGTTTTCGATATGGGGAGGGGGGAGTTTTCCTCTTGATACGTCTGCACCAACACCTCCGGATTGGACATCGACGAGATCGCGGCCGCCTACTCGTACCCAGAAAAGGTGATGGGTACCCACTTTTTCTCCCCCGCCAACGTGATGCAGCTCCTGGAAAACGTGCGCACCAAGAAGGCCGACGCGGTCACGCTCGCGAGCTGCATGGCCATGGGCAAGCTGATCGGCAAAAAAGCGGTGTTAGTCGGAAATTGCGACGGCTTCGTCGGAAACAGGATGATGGGTATAGTTAGAGGACTACTTCTGTAATATGACTAGAAAAAATTCATAACGCGAAAGAGAATAGCATTTGACTTCTGTTGTTCAGTATGTTGGATGTGACGAAATTGCAAGGATTTCTTCAGTTGACAACTACCTACATTCATTCACGAAGCGTTTATGCAGCACTTGCATTGTTCCTGAAGAAGAAGATGAAGATGGTTAAAAAATAAAAAAGAATGCGTCCTGTTGAAATCAACATTTTGAGGTCCCTACGGTGCGGAAGCTCGCATGATGGTCGAACAGGGCGCAGACATGTCCTTGGTGGATTCCGCGGCCTTTAAGTTTGGCATGCCCATGGGCCCGCTCACCCTTGCGGACCTGGTCGGCTTGGAACTCTTTTGGAAGCAGCGCAAGGCAGCGGGGAATATGCAGATGGAGACGAAAGTTTCGATTGGGCCGTATGAAATGTGCGATTGGCTCTGCGAGCAGAACAGGTGGGGCGTGAAGACGGGAAGAGGTAATATATAAAACTGGCGTTTCCACATCCACTTCTACTAGAATGTTCTTCGTGCGGCCAAATTTTTCTTGACCCTGCTGTTTTTTGAGTAATTTTTTCCAACAGCATTCGTTTTCTCCTGAAATAAACGAAAAGGTATTTTCCTGTACGACGCAAAGACCCGAAAGAAGCTGAAGCTAGACCCGGAGCTGCCCCCAAAAGTCGCCGAAATCCAGAAGTCAAAAGGCGTCACCCCGCGGTCGTTTGACGAGAAGGAGGTGTGCGAGCGACTGTTTTTCCCGTTGGTAAACGAGGGCTTCAAGATTCTCGAGGAGAACATGGCACAGCGACCATCAGACATCGATATTGTCTACGTTTACGGGTACTATATTGAAATTGGAGCGCTATGAGATTTTTCTTTCATGGCGTTTTTTCTCCCGTCCACTGGTGCCCATTAGTGTTCGTGAACAAAATAAGTTGTAGAGATTCGATACACGACCATTTCGACTCTCTGTCTTGATCCCAAACAAAAACTTCCCTCGACCTCCCGCGCAGGTACGGCTTTCCCCCTTACAAGGGCGGTCCGATGCACTGGGCAGACAACATTGTGGGGCTGGACAACATTCTTGCGGGACTGAAGAAATACGGCAAGGAAAGAACGGAGCTGGTGTCGAAAAACAAGAATTACCGACAGGTTTCTATCGCAAGGAAAAATCCCCCGTCCCCATATTGAAGAGGTAAGTTTTCGAAAATTTGTGTTGCTGATTTGAGGTCACAAGTCACGTTTGTGTTGCAAGAAGACAAGGGCAGCAGCTTCCGTCCCATTATGGAGGCGGTTTGTCATGCTGTTGAGCCAACATCACGGACGCCTTTCATGCTAGGCGCCTAAGTCAAAGCCTCTCTACTCGGGCTTGGTATGGGTCTGCAGTCCTCTCCAGCAACACAAATGCGATTTGTGTAAGTACTCAAATACAGCAGCACAAGTTTCGCTTTCGATATGGGGAGGGGGGATTTTTCCTCACAATAGTGTCCTACTGGGAGCCATCAAAGCTGCTCGAGGAGTGCGTGTCCAAGGGAAAATCCCTCACTCAAGTGTGGAAGGAGAGGGAGAAGGCAAGTATGTCCAAGATGTAAGTAATTATCGACTTCTTCGCACAGGACAGCGACAGGGAATACAATACGTAGCGAATCTAAATAAACTTCTCGCCGTTCGAAAAATTTTCTCGAAAATATTCAGGATAATATTCGTAGTACGAATTTTTGTCAATGTCTCCGGTTTTTTTTTGCCGGAATCAAGCTGCACCCGCAGCTGCAAACGTAGACGTTCTTTTTTACGGTTCTTACAGTTACAAATTTTAGCAGCAAGAAAAAGCTCAAGCAGCTGTAAATACTAAACCCAAATAAATCATATGATACGCAAACAATATTGGCAATCGTAAGCAATACTTTCAACGCAATAAATAAGAGCATCTAGGCGGAATCCCTGCCGCAGCTCCAAAGCTCAGCGAAGTAGTTTTTGCAGATAAGAGCAAATGTCACCGAGGTTTTTGCATATGGGAAATTAAGGACAACGACAAGTCACAACAAGAGAGACTCTCAGAAGGGTTGTTCTTTAGCGCATAAAATAAGATGAAGTCTACTTCTAAGATTTTACGGGGGAGGAACAGGTGACAAGATTCAATTGCAATTTATTACATGGCGGGTACTAGTACTTGTGGCACAATCACAAAAGACATTTTTTTCATTTTTCATACACGCTTTTTCACACATACTTTAATCGCATACGTTTCCATCAGCCCGGTGCCTGATCTTCCGTAAAAATGCGAAAGCAGATTCACCCTCTATACCCGTATACCACCAACATTTTCCTTGTGTATTCATTTTTGCAGCCGAAATAAACAGGCGACGACAAACAGTCCAGAACCTACTGCGTGCAAAAATCTGGCAGGCTGCTGTCATTGAGTTGCAAAAGACTCAACGCTCTTGTATCAAATATGTCAATTGGTGGAAAAACTATAAAGGCACAAAATTTTCGCCCTGGAGGCGTATTTGAAACACGACACTCAGATTTGCGCGCAACTCTTAAATACTTAGTATACTCAGTATTGGATGCAAACGCAAGGGACACGTCGTGTGTCTGATTTGATTTGTCATATTGTCATGGTTCTTGCAGCACAACCGGCTGGGTAAATAGGGCGCAAAAAATATTCGAAGTCGGGAACTGCGCCCTTTCAAGGGGTTGCTCGTCTCGAAAAGCTTTTGCAGTGGATTGTGGTGTTCTTGTGCTGTTGTTGTGAACAGTATCTTCATTTAGTTGTTGGGACTGCGAGCGTGTACCTTTCATCTTCCTTAATCTGCTCTGGTTTGTTTTTAATCGCTGCATGGTTGTTTTTGAATTTGATTCGCGGCTGTATGTGATGGCCACGTGAGTACGAGTTCCAATTTCGCGTCCTCGCAACACGCAGCGTAGCGCATAGACAGATCACCGACCGATGTCCTTGAAAAAACGTGAAAATAATTTCTCAATTCGGGAGACTGCACTAATATTGAAAAAATCGATAAGGAGATCCTCATTTCACAATGATTTCACACCTATATTGATCAACTTCTTCGAAAGAATTCCTCTGGTACTTAGGTTCTGGCGCGAGCAAGACATAGCGTTTTCCTTTTTTTAAAGACATAGCGTGATCAGAGGTCACAGCTTTTCTTTTTCGGCTGAGCGCCCGGCGAGGATCCTCTATGTATAGTCATCCAGTAGCTCTAGTTTCCTCATTGGTGTCCGTGTCGTTGGCGCCACTGCGCTAACAACTGTCTGACTCCACGAAGTCGCGGATATCAATGTCAATTGATTTGCAACGTCAAATTTTTCGGTGTAGGTTTTTCTTATCAAGAAAACCAACCAGTTTGGGGTACTTACTACTTTTACACAAAGAACCGCTCCCCGTAGAAGTTCTCCTGCAAGCATTTTACTAGTAAGCTGTCTTACTAGTAATCTTATCGTGACAAGCAAGCAAAAAAACTACTAGTAAGACTACTAGTAGAGAGTTTACTAGGAAGAAGCTTACTAGTGGAAAATTGCCTCGCGGGCCGGATCGCCCCGAGCTTGCGCCAAACAGCTCGCCCGCGCTGCTTGCTTCCCTTGCCCCCTGTGGAGAAACTAGCGCCGAGCAACTAGTACCTGTGTGGTAGCGCGGGGCGTGGCGCTCGTTCCCGGGAAAAGGGGGCGCAGCCATGGGAGGGAAAGGACTTATTTGTCTGACTGAGGGTGGCGCGCTACGCGCTGGTGCGCCCGCAGGTTCAGGCGAACTAGCTCCGGCCCCGCCACGGTGCCGGTAGGGGGTTTGCGCTTTGTTTGGGTGGCCACGTTTTGCCTCGCGGGGGCGGCCCCCTCTTGGTGTGGATGCTCCCGCCGCCCTGCACGAAGAAAAAAGCGCCTTTTCTCAGTGCCCTAGGTGGTTATTCCACACAGCGCGCCCAGTCCCATTGTGCTGGTTGCACCTGCCTGGCCGGCCAGGTTCTTTGTCGCGCAGCTTTCGCAGCTGCGGCCCTGTGGTTGTCGCGCAGCTTCCGCAGCTGCGGCCCTGTGGCCTCCGTCGAAAGCAGCCCCATCGCCTTGGGGGCGTAACTAGAATGACGAGCAGCCGCCCGTGAGGCTCGCAACTTGGGGGGGTGCTCGCAAATTGGGAACATCCCGGACGGCTCGCCCCCTCCCAGGTTGGGGTCGTGCCCCCGGGTGTCTGTTCTTTGTGTTTCCCGGACCCCTGTTGCTCGTGAGGCCTGGGGCGGGCCGCTGTCACGCCTTTGTCTTTGTCTAGGGGCCTCAGGCGCCCGGAAAAGCCCTGCGCCTGTAGGGTTCTCGCCCCCCCCCTCCCCTTCCCCGCGCCTGCAAATTTCCTCGTAGGAAATCGGGTCCATCGCTTTCTTGTCTACTCCATACCTCTCCGGCGGTCGCGGAGCGACCGCCCGTGCTAGATACTTCTACACAAAGAACCGCTCCCCGTAGAAGTTCTCCTGCAAGCGACAACCAGAAACAACACCTAGACAGCACTGAAAGTCTGTGATCATCTGCTGGTACTACTAGTCCACCAAAACTACTGCTCTATTGCCGGTGCAGCAAACATGGTTCTGGAGCTCGTTCGTCTGTTTCAGCACCCGGGGCTGGCCGCCGCGACATCCACCGCCCTGGCAATTTTTATCACGTTCAACCAGCATGTCAGTCCCTTGGTTCTGCTCACCATCTTTTTCCAGTTTTTCACGCACCTCTTCATCTACCCCTGGGGCTGGGTGTACCCCGAGCTGTGGAGAAAATCATTCGGCGAAAAATCCGTCGCGTGGATGTGCGGCTTGGTGACCGCACAGAAGACCCTGCTCACCGTGTTCCTCTTGCCCTTCTTGCAGGTACGTATAGGGGTGGTGGTGGTGGGGGGTTTTGTTACCGGGAAGTTCAATTTTGTGCGTTGTCGTACATAAAAACAATGAACACTGCTAATAAAAAAGAAACACCGCATGATGATAGCTACAGACGAGACGTACCTAGTGCGCCGCTGGTGTCGTGCGTGTAACTATGACAAACACAAAGCTAAAGCTGCGCATCGTACTTGAGCATGAAAAAATGCCGTGTCAACATCTTCTACTTTGCAGGTTCCCAACCTTGGGCAGTTCACCTCTAACACAATTCTGATCGCGCTCAGCTACTGCATCGCAGCGGGCCTGATCACATTTGGGATCTGGTTGCAATCCCACGTGTACGCCAAGCTCGGCCGCGACGGGGTCTACTACGGATTCAAGTTCGGTAATATCGAAGTTTTTCCAACATAATTTTGATTCTATCTGTGTCAGGGCGGAGGCGGTCTTCCTCTGTTTTTCCCCCCCCGGCATGACTTCTGATGTTGCTTCTCATGTTCGCTTTGCAATTCGGAGGTTCAGCATCAGCAGTGCGCGTTTGATGTTCGGTGACACGCTTTCCACATGCGTGTTGAACCGAGTCAAATACTTGCATCAAATTCAAAAACCACACATCACATGAAATCAGGAAAGTCCATCCCATGGGTCTCCGACTTCCCCTTCGATACCTTCCGCCACCCGCAGTACACCGGGGCCTACAGCATCTGCCTTGGCGTCTACATCATTTTGGGGCCGAGCATCCCGGTCTTCCTCATTGGCACGGCACAAGCGTGGGGTTACATTTTCACCTCCCACATGGAAAGCTCTTCGGACCAGGACAACGGGGACGAGAAGGCGGCCTTGAAGGAGGAAGGGAAAAAGGAAAACTGATACAACCCTTATTATTTCTTGGATGCTTCACAAAAAAAGAAAAACATGTGTCACCTTTGTTGTGCACTCCTTGGACTTCTTTCTGTTGAGTCATACTACCTTAAATTTCCTAGAAGCGAGCTACCGCGACAAACTTTGCCCCCGGGCCCGGAAATATATAAGATGAGAGCAAAATCCTATATAATTAACACATACTACCAACGACCTTAATTCTACCGCCCTTGCAGCCGAAACTCTTCGCACCTCGGACGAACCTCTTTCGCGACGAACAACACTGTACCCGCAGCCGGAATGCAAGCATCACGACTTCGACAAGCACCCTCGACAAGCAGTTACAGAAAGATACGCAAGTACTTAGATGGATGTTTTTATAGTTGTTACTCTCGCTCGGGCTCTGGCAGTATTCATTCTCGCTGCCTTTAATAGAGCTGCAACGCGCACCAGTCAGTTGTAATAAAGTCACGACAGATGATGAGAACAAAGTTGATGAGGTCACGACAGTGCAGTACCCTGAAGATGGACGGGTTGCAATTATTGGTAGGGTCATCGCACTAGATTGAAACGGATTTGAAGAGAATCGCCACGCATTTCGAAGAGATTTGCGTTTGCTAAGTATGGTAGGTCCCTCGCAGACGAGCAGAGGGATTTAGTCTATACAAATCAAGAGTTCCCTCATACTCATTGGACTACGGCGACGTACAGGACAGCGCCACCGTACTCGGACTCTGCTCGTCTTGATGACCGTTGCTATGTCGTAGATTGAAAATCGGGTGGGCTTTTTCAGTTTTTTGATCATTTTTGCACTTCCACCTCCACGCATGCGTTTTTGATCGATCATTTTTGCACTTCTTGTTCATCTGTCATAGGCAACTAATGCGCTGACTCTGGGTTGATTTTTCTGTTGCATGGTCAAGAAGATCAAGCTCGATGTATGTACATGAAGAGAATCTTTTGAGGGGTGAGTTCCAGATCCCGTTCAGCACAATGATCCATGGATCCTCTGCAGCTCATTCATGCGCTTGTTTTCCGATGCAGATGCTGATGTTGAGTTCAGTTTTTGACTTTCTTTTATTCCCTGGTATATATAGATCATATCTTCTGTTCTTGTTTTGTTAGGAAAAAGGAAAAATGATGTCGCTTAGTTCTGTTTTCGTAGTAGAGTTGCTGGTCTTCTTCATTGCTAGTATTCCGCAGCCACATTTATTTGTTCGTTTTTCGGTGCAAGCTGCAACTGTTCAACACGAGCGAAGCGAAAATTTTGATGCGTCGCAAAATGAAGATCTGCCTTCATCACAGAATGATCATTATGTGCATTCCGCTTCCACCCGCACCCCGTCTTTGCCAAAGTTGGAGCGCTTCAAGGTGAACGGTTTTTTAGCCGCGGTAGCGCGGAAGTATTTGCGTTGGGAAACCGTTACGGAAGAGCAAATTGGCGATATACTGCTGGAACAACGTGGTGACAGTGGTCATGATCACAACAGAAACCACGCATCTGTCTCTGCAAGTTCATCTCCATCCAGTTCTTTTTACCCCGCATCAACCACCACTAGCGAAGAGTTCCTGGAAGTCCTGGCCGACGCAATCACAGACGAAATTCTCGCGAAAAACGGCGTCGCGCGAAAAGCTAGACTGGCAGAAATAAAAACGCAAAACACGGCCAAGGAGAAAGAACGAGACCTATTATCGTCGTCGCACAACTTGGCCATCGAGGAGCAGAAATGGTGCGAAGTGATCCGCACGACCGAGGAGCCGGACGTGCTGCTCTGGCCCGCGCCGCCGCGGACCGGCAGCACCAGCAGTCACAGCGCAATCATCCAGGGCCCGCCGCGGCGGAAATTGGGGGTGAACTGGACCATTCTGCCGACGGAATTCCGATTCGGGGGCATGTGGTTCTGGCGACAGAACGAGGAGCACACAGATATTCATCATGGAGGGAGCAGGGAAAGTGGAAAGAAACAGGCACGCCAGATGTCCGAGAAGGAGAAATTCCCGCTCTTGCTCACGGAATTCGCCCGGATCTTGCGGATGGGCGTGTGGGGACACGACGAACAGGAAGTAGACATCGTCACACACCAACAGAGCACCAAAGAGCATGAGGCGATGGCCACTCCGACTTCGCTTACGGACGGCGCACAAGCACTGTTGGAGTCGGACGAGTCGTCTGCTGTTAAGAATGCAGTGTCCTCTGGTCGCCCCCCTGGTCTTAGAAGAGAGGTGGTGGGAAACCTGATTGAGCGCGTGGCCCCGGAGCTGTACGACGAAGATCCAGATGGCTTCAACGTGACGGAATATTGGCGCTGGGCGGTGTCGCAGAAGTTGGCTCCGACGAGGAAGAAAGGCAAAGCGTTTCTGCTGGAGCACTACGAGCACGTGGACCTGGAGAGAGTCTTCGACGACCTCAGCGCAAGGTCGAACAACTACCGCTTTCGGTTTCGGAACGGGCTCGCGTTGCGGGGTCGCAGTGAAAGAAGTAGAAGTGGGCTCGTGCAGCTGCCCTCACCGGCTGTAGCGGGGCATGTTTTTGAACAGAAGCAGGAACACCAGGAGCTGCATCATCAGGGTGGTACAGAAGAAGATGGGAGCAGTAAGAACGCTATCACCTATCAATACGTTTCGAACCTGCGCGAATGCAGCTCGCAGTCCGTGTCCACTTTTCGCCAGATCACGCACCACCACGAACAGGGCGCTTTCGCCGACATTCTGCACAACCAGCGGGAGTTGTTTGGACATCAATTCGAAAGCACGACTCCTGATGTTGTTGAACAGCGAGGAGACTTATACCCCTACGAGTACCGGCATCTGTTTCCGGCCTTGGACGACGCTTTTTTTCTCGACGGCCACGATGTGTTGAACGCCGCCATGCACCAGGAATTTCTGCGCAGAAGGCTGCTGAACACGGCAGCACAGGAACAGCGGAAAAATGACGACAAAAATGATTATGGCGCAGCAGAAGCAATAACCAATCGAACGCTCGAGGAGCTTCCGTTCTCCCATCCGGAAAAGCGGCAGTCACTGATGACCAATGTGGAGCGGTTTTTTTACGGCGCCAGCAAAGTGAAGCAGGCGGGTCCGCTGCCGTTCACGTTCGGCCAGAAAGTGTCCACCGCTTTGCACGGGGAAAATGTGTTTCTTTCCCCTCTGCAAGAGCACCTCGTGTATGCATTTTTGCAAAGATGGCGTCGTCTCTGGAAAGATGTAGTGTTTAGGAAAGATGTTGAGGTGTAGTTGAGAGTTCGCGGATGAAAAGCAACCTCCATCAATACGGAGCCGCGCATGGCAAGTTTTTGGCCCACTTCGTCTTGATGCGCCAACCACATGACAAATCGTGCATCTCCATCTTCCAGACCCAGACATGATTGCATTTGATAGCTTTGGGATGGAGGAATTCGAACAGATGGTGGACTCCGACGCGCGGGTCTGGGAGGTGTATGAATTGCAAATCTGTCGGGATCTGGAAAGTATAGAACTTGTGATGGTGGTCTTACATTCCTGTGAAATCTGTATTGCATATCGACCAACTAAAATGGCAGCCTGTTCTATGACAGAAAGAACGCAGCTTCTTCGTGCGGCCTGAGTATGAGAAAGCGTTCTGCGAATTGCAAATTTGTCATGCTTGGCTGCATTCCGAGGCGTTTTCATCATCCACAGGTCAGCATCGCAACTTTCCGGACCACGTCCACGGATTTTTGCACTTCATAAGGTACCGCACGAGACCATTCAGGCTGGCGAGTTCGCCGTTCTGAAGAGATCAAAGAAGGAGAGGGTGGAGGATGTTGGCGCTCTTCCGACGCAGGACCACGACGAACAAGAGAGAAATTATAGCCGCGACCCGGACCCGACTACTCTCGACGGGAAGATGGACACTGGTCCAGTACAGCAGCACGACCCTATGCATTGCAAGTATCCCTGGATCTGGTCTGGAAGGATGCAACTTGTGACGCTGCCCTTGGATTCCAAAAGAATCTGTAGTGCGTGAGCAGCAAGAGGAGCCCGGTTTTTGCTCTCATGCGGGATAAACATATGCAAAGGAGCGCCCTCAGAAAACTTGTGATGCTACGACATGCATCTTCACAGACACTATCAGGCATGGTAATTATGCAACACAAGTTTGCATCCTTCCAGACCCAGATCGATATTTGCACTGGATAGACCCCGATCAAGTACAACTTGAACTTCCCGATAATTTTCAGCCCGCCGTGGACTTGGACTTCGATAGACACAGCAAGTACGAACAGTACACGAATTTGAAAAAGCAAATGCTGGCCGCAGACCGGGAGCTGCAGTTGCAGCAAAAATTGCGCGGCGCGCCGTTCCCGAAGCACTTGCTGCAAATGCACGAGACCAAGACGACACGGGTGCTCGGCGCTGCTACAGCGGAAGCAGGTCGGGACCAGAGTGGTGCGGTTTTGAAAAGTGCTAGTGGGTTGAAAGTGAAAAACTTCTGCTCCGCCAACTCCATGCTGCGGTTCTTTGGTTGCAGTCTGACTTCTTCGCGTTTCGGAGGGGGTGCTCCTGGCAACTCCACGTGGTTCAACGCGAGCTTCCACGCGGAGGCGGGCAACTTAGTCACGGACTTAGCCACACAGTTTGGGAAGTTTTCCTTGCAGACAAACTTGATCAGTGGCAGAACCGGCGAGGTGTTTGCGGAAAACGAGAAGGCAAGAGGCTCATCTTTGGGTGGTGAGTATGAAGGAGATCAAGGCGAAGGTAGTCGTGCAACTATGGAGACTCATCCTCGAACAGAATCCACAGTTCCCAAGACCGTCGCATCAGCTGCTCCACCGAAAGATGAATCACAAGTTCTTCAACATCGTGAAGATCATCCGCGACAGGGACTACAGCCTGGTGTTGACCTGCGTCGGCAGCTATCCACTGCAAATATGTCCGAGCCTGGAAAGGCCGTGCAGCAAATTTGTCTTGCTGAGTCTTGCATCACACAGCGGTCGCTCATACGGCAGTAAGTACGGCACGGCAAGTTTTATTTACGCGGCTTTTCGCTGATTCTTTCGCACATCGCATGACAAACTGGTTCCCGGTACCAGTACGACAAAAATTCTCGCCACTCTTTTCCATGCATTATACAGATCGTGTTTCCCTTCGAATCGCGCATGAAAAACGACATATTTTCAATGCATAGCAGCGTATTTCTGGTGGGAAGCTGACGCCGCAGTCTCCGGTGCATGATACCTTCGGAAAAGGGTACTCGCACTTCAAAGACTTGTCTGTTGCAGAAGACGTAAAGACGTTCGAAAAAGCAGTGGAGCACGTCCTGCTGGAGGCAAAGATGAACTCAAGGCCGGACGATGACAAGACCGCACGTCCCAGCGAAGATGAGTTTGGCCGCGGGGGTGCACGACGGACACCAGCGACGACCGGTGGCGGTTTCGCCATCATCGGCGTTCTCGATGAGTACGAGAAGCTAATGGAGTATGGAGCTGTCAGGTTTGAAATCGTCAAAGTTGAAATAGTTTGTCATGCATAAAATGCATGACCCGAGGCGCGTGTGTTGCAGAGCAGGCAAGTGAGGCCGATTGTAAGCCTGTTTGGGGTTACAGCTCGAGCTGCTAAAGTAACATGAGAAAATCGCTCTTATTTGCCTAAACAGCATGTCATGCGCCACTTGGAAACTGGGTTCCAAGAACTGGCATCCATTTTATGCATGACAAACTATTTCAACTTTGACGATTTCAAACCTGACACATCCATATGGAGATGCTGGAGTGCGTTTTCCCGACCTTTTTCCGCGACGGGCGGCAAACCCTGAAAGCCGGGAAACTCGCCTCGAACTCTTATCGAGGCGGGGCGTATGCATTGCAAATATGTCTGGGTCTGGAAGGATGCAAGGTTTGTCATGCTTGTCTGGCATGAGTGAAGAGTTTGTGATGCGTGTCCAGGAAGAGACCCTTTTGCTTGTCATGCAAAGCGCAGTTTGTCATTCGGAGAGCGCAACACTAAGCGACGCGAATATTTTTCATGCATGGCTGTGCATTACAGAGAATTCACGATTCACAACTCAGCATTACAAGTTTCTAGGCCCAGATATATTTGCATTTGATAGGGCCGGCGAGTACTTTCGCGACCGGGGCATTGTGGCGGAGGTGCGCAAGAAGGGAAGCGACGACGTCGGGGATCAGGGAGAAGGGGTAGATGAAGTAGAAAATGAAAAGAATAAGAATGAGAATCCCGACGAAGTTCCGCATCAACAGGCGCCTTCCGCCTTAGCGGCGGGCAGGCGGAAGCGCTACAAGCGGCTGGATTTTCTGCTGGACTTCGTCTTCGGAAAGTTCAGTGCGGAAGCGACGGTTTCGGAGTTTCTGAAGTTGGCAAGGAAATTTCTGACAGAAAGCATAGCAGCAAGCACGGAGCTGCACGACTCGCAGAAGGTGCGTGGAGGAACTCCTGGGAGTGCTGTTGTAGAGCAAGAAGACCTTGTTCAGCTTCAAACCGCAACCAGCAGAGCTTCGGACGTCCACACACAGGCAGTTCTTACAACCGGATCTCCTCCGAGTAGTCTCGCTGGGAAAGAGCAGCGCAAACTTCTTCTGTTGCGGGATCGCGTGGAGAAATTACAAGAAGTTCTGTCTACCTCACAGCACCAGCCACAGAGGACCTTGGAAGAAGTTTTCCAAGCGGCGCATGAGCAAGTAGAGGAACATGGTCAGCATGGTCAACATGCTGTTGCTGGGGCTGTCGCGATGAACATACTGCCCGGGGGTAGTTTTTCTGCCCGAAATGACACAGCCCTGCTCAACCTGCGGTACCAGCTTGTGTCGCTCTGGAATGAAGTGTTCCCGGAAATTCTCCAGCTTGGGCCAAAGTTCCCGCTGGCCCGGGTCCGCACGTTTCACCCGTTTCTGGACAGTAACGCGATGCGGTACATATCGAATCTGGAAAATCATAAAACCGCACAGGAGCAGCTGTTTTCGAAGTTCATGCGGAAACTCTTTGGCGGTTGGTGCAGGGGCAGTCCGGACGATTTGCTGTACCGAATCGCGAAAAAAAGGTTTCTGAGGCTGTATGAACACGCGCGAAGTCAAATTTCTACCGCAGGCACAGATGGTGACAAGAAGGCGAGTCGCAGTCAGGACATTTTAAACAGTCCGTGTTGTAGGAAATTCGTTGCGTGACCAAGAACAACACAGTTTCACGTTCAGAGGAGAGCTGTTGGCTCCGACTTTGTTTTCTGCAGCTGGTACTTGTTTCATTCTCTCCACTGCCTGCAGACTTTTACTGTGTTGGCCATTTTTGTTGATACGGTAAACCCACTTTAATATCTACTACTAGCTCCACTACTTTTACCGTACGACGAGCAGATAACAAAAATCAAATGCATCTCTGTCATCAATGTCTGCAAGTAGACCATCGGTCGTGCGATACGTACTGCGATTGTCACACTGCGACACTTTGCAGATGACTGAGGAATAAACTCATTCTGCTGTGAGTAAGCTGCTTCTCGTCCGTCCACATTGGCACTCGTACTATCGTGACTCCGTGCATTGGTCGCAGAGATGATGAAAATACGAATGTCGGTTTTGTATGTTCTTCTACTTCTCTGCTACTAGCTGCCTCGTCCACGACCGCACTGAATAATTCATTACTTTTTTTGTTTCCACGTCGGTGACTGTCGTACCTGTATTTCGTGAGCATATTAGACTTACGTCACGTACCTACTAGGTCGCTTCGGTGCCGAGCAACTAGTATGCTCTCAGGTTTCTTCGGTTTTTCTCGCTCGCCTTGCTGATTTTGCTCGTTCTTCGTACTGCAATCGGTGCATAGTAAGTTTTTGCATGCGCGAGTTCCTTCGAACAAGCGTCAACTTTGCTTGTTTCGTTTTTGCACTGCCTCTACTTAAAGATTATGACCATTTTTGAATTAGAATTTCCAGAAAGAACCTATCTTCTCCTGCTTTTGTAAAATTGTGACAGTGCAAAGGTTTCTAATTTTTGCAACCAACGGCGATGAGGTAGCCCCTTTTTTTACATTATTATCGAACTTCTCCTTTATCAACTTTAACTTTGCTTTCCCCCCTCTGTCTTCTGTAAAATTAATTACCATCGAAATCTCCACAATTAAACCAGAATCTCTCTCACATTCCCTAAGGACGGTCGGAAAGGTGTTTTGTTGTTTCTTTCACGTGCAACTTCTTACCTAGCGTCAGTTCTGCGTGCGTCGGTGAAGTCTTTCCGGCGCCTTTTGCTTTGTTTTTACACCACTACAATTAAGAGAAGGCGGTTTTGTAAATTTGATTTTCTTTATTTGACAGACTTCAAGAACTTTTCACGAAACACAAACAAGAAGAAACAAAATCTACTGGACGACTTTCAACTTTCAAAAGCAACGAATTTGAGTACTACAAACCATGAGTGCAACTTTTCAAAATACAAACAAGAGAGGAGGAGCTATGCCGCTCGGGTTCTCCCGCGGAGTTCTGGCATCGACAATTGTGTACGGTGGCCTGATATCAATCGCAAAGATGTCTGCTAAGTCTGCAAGGTTGCATTTGCAAGCCTACTTCATGTAATGCTGAGGCTAGTCCGGTATAGATACACATGTAAAACGCAGCACCAGCAGCTCAGATGCGTCGCGCTTGACTGCGCAAGCGCATTCACAACCCCATATCGTGTACACTTTGAACGGGACTGGCGAGAACTCTCCAGACTCAGAGCAGACATTTTTGCATTGGATGCCTCACGCCAGAGGGTGCTCGAGCAGTCAAGGTCCCGATCGGGATATGAAACGCCAGAAGTGCATGTTGTCAAGCAACTACGCAGGATCAACTCGTCATCCTCGTTGGGGAAAAAAAAAGACACAAACAAAATGAAGATGAAAATAGAGTCGTGCTGTGATGCTCATGATGTGCCCTGAAGAATTAATTTCCAGCTGTATGTAATGACCACCACATGATCTTTCTTAGTCTTCCATATAATTTTCGCGTGATTGCGGTGTATTTCCACTTTTGGCGTTCCATACGCAGAAGGTTCTGCTGCCACAGCTACGCTGGAGGACTCGGCGAGCGCCAGCTCCGCGGCAGAAGATGGCCCCGACGGTACCCGCAGCGGTGGGGATATCCCTGGAATCCATAGCGGCCCCGGGCATTTTTGAGGGGACGGGAGGGAAGTGCGGCGCTTCAGTCTTGATGACCTGATCCAATGAAGTACTATACTCGTTTTCAGTATTTCTGGTTTTTTCGCAATAACAAAAAAGAACAAAAAGCGCATCAGCAAGGAGCTCTTTGCATATTTTTCCACAACGACCGCACGCCAGCATGTCTGAGCTGCGCGTCCTTGTTTTCCCATAAGACTCCCGGGGTCACTTCGGGGCAATACGTCGCGTGTTGGGACAAGGTCGCTCGCCATCCGGCACGAAAACCGGGAACTTGCGCGGAGCCCGAGCTGTTACTTCCGACCAAGACGCTTTGACACAAAAATCCGTGGCAGGCTCGTGTGAAGGAGGTACTTACCCCACGACTACGGACTGTGCTTGCACAGCGTAGAAACTTTTAGTCGCGTTTTGTTATTATTTATTGCACTCTGTTACTGTTTGAGGTTGCGCGCGCTGATTTTGAATTGGTTTGGAGACCCTGTTTGACATGTTATTTTTGGCTTTGACAAAGCCAAAGGCAAAGCCAACGAGCCGAGGAGTGGTCCTCATGAATATTGTTGTACTTTTTATCCCTCTTTTAGATTTTGATACTCGGAAAAAAATAAGGTAAAAGTCATTCCCTGATGAAACACAGGCACTAGCGGCTGCAGTCACCAGGCGAACAAGAATGCTTGGCCCGGGTTGGACCAGTTTTCGTTACCCGAAGTGGGTTTCTCCATGCCCTGGTCCTTTTTCGGCTTCTCCACTGCTCCGCCGAAGGACCGCAAGTCTCCGACGTTTCTCCGGGAGGAGCCCCGGGGGGAGGAAAAACTTGGTGCTGGCACGGCTGCCACTGCTCGCGAAAAGGAAGCTCCCGGGAATGACGTCGATGTCGGCGAGGGGCCCTCTATATGCGTTGCAAATCTGTCGGGGCCTGGATGAAAATCAAAGTTGCAATTTTAGAAGTTCTTGTCTCCTGCATGAGAAGTGCTGGGTATGGCGCGCTTAAAGTCGCGTTTTTAAAAGTCATAGTTTTTTTTTTTGAAAGGTGGCGCAAAAACTGGGCACGCGGGTAGTTCAGTTAAATGCCGGCAGGCGAAACGCCGCACGCCTTGCCTTGGGTGTGTCGCCAAGAAATCTTTGCCATGCGCCAGAATTGGCACCGTCGGGAGGCTGGACGCCGCGACGCTACTGCCGCCTTTAGCAAGCTTGCCAGCAAGTGCACGCGATCCATTTTCACATCTCGCCGCATCCCCGGAAGTGAAGCAACACTCGTAGCGCAAGGCCGCGGGCGCTGCGCCTGTTGCCTCAGCTTGCATCGCTGCGACCCCACAACGGCGCCACCACGCTGGCCTCCCAACCAGCCGTAACAACAGACCTAGTGACCGCGCCACCCCTCGCGCCTCTACTATTTTGGTCGCCTTCCAACCACGGCAAGGCCATTGCCGCGCCTCTCCGCCGAGACAGGCTGCTGCCACGCGTGCGGTGTTTTCCCTGTTGCGGCGTGGCCCCTGTGGTCTAGCATCGGAGGCGCGGCCCCAAGGCTAGGCCGCCCCAAAATCCTTCCGAACCGCCCCGCCCGCCCGAACCAGCCAGGGCCGCCGGCCTAAAAAGCCCCCCTTCAAGCCCCGGCTCGCCAGCGCCCCAAATTGGGCGCCCATTCGAAGCGCCATTCTGAAGCCCTCTCATTGGGGCCGCTTTCGGAGGCCTTTTGGGCAACCCTTGGTGGGCCACAATGGCGGCCCGGATGGCCTCCGGATCACCCCCCCTGGATTTCATGCAATCCCGAGCTAACTAGGCCCCCCAAGGAGGCCTCTGAAGAGGCCTCCGGAATGGGGTCGGCGGAGGTTGCCCCGGAAGGACACCAGCGAAGGTCGTCGGGGCCACATAATCTCGGGCCCCGGGTCGATTGGGGTGGCTTGCTGGCTTATTGGTCTTCCGCCGGTTGCTTGGCGGCATTCGGAATATTCGCCGAACGGAAGGCGCCGCCGCTACTTGGCGCAGCCGGGCTGTGCGCTTCCTGTTTAAAGGGTGTCGCCGCCGTGGCCTTCTGCGGCCCGCCACGAAGGAAGGGGCCGGCCCCGCCTTGCCGGCGCGCCTGGCTCATGAGGCGGCCGCGAAGCGCATCTTGCCGGTGGGGCGCGTGGCGGCATTGGTATCCGCCCTCATGCAGGCCGCAGCGCCCCGGCTGACAAGCAGAACCAAGCTGAGCGGCGCATGAGGGGCGGCCGGGCCTTGCCTCGGTGGGACTACATGTAAGCGCGCCAGATTGTGGCGGGGCTCGGCTATTAAGCCGCGACGCGTCGCCTTTCCTTTGCTCAGAACTTTGGGCGGCGGGGGGAGGCGAAGCGGACCCGGGGTTTTCGAAATTGCATCGCGGAATGCGCCACGAAGGATCGCGGCGAGGCATTCTTTTGCGCGCCGTCCGAATTGCCTTCCTGGGGCCCAGTGCTATCGCATTTATGCGCGCCAGCTCGGGCGACCCTATTCTCATATCGGCAGGGCATTAAAATCGGCGGCAGTGCCTGAAGACTAGCAAAAAAAAAAAACTATGACTTTTGAAAACGCGACTTTAAGCGCGCCATACTGGGCTTCAATATTCCCCAGCCAGGTATGGTGTGTTCATCTTTGAACGGTAGGTACGCAATGCTGCGGAAGCGCAACTACCTAGCTCGAGAAGTCGCACCATTTTGTCTTCGTAGCTGGAAGTAGAGATGCGTCTCTGTGGGCTTACTGCATCGAAGTTTGGAATGTGTAATACTGCTTCGCGTTCGTCCAGGCTGCTCAGACATGTTTGCATGGGATAAGGTACCAACGCCAACATCATCAAGGACCAGGACGAGTCTTTTGCCGAAAGCAGCACGCACCTGCGCTCGGAACAACTGGAAACGGAACCGGTTTTATCCTGTGTAGAAATAGCCACGGCCCCATAATCAAGATGGAAACTTTTTAACACTGATCCAGAAGCTTTGGGAATCTAATATCATGCATCATAAGATTCTGCCCGTGCCGCACCAGTGCTCCTGGCTAACAAGGAAGTGCAGCCGCACCACAAAGCCATCTGCTTGTGTGTTTACAGCTTTTTTACTGGTACCAAAGCAAAAGGCTACATGCCTCTTATGAAAAAATATTGATTTACTTTTACATTTACGAAGAGCAAACGTTCCTCTACATGACTGAGAATCTGCATGGTAAGAGCTCGGGAGCCGAGAGCTTTTTACCCAGGATAGCAATTGGAACCGCCGAAGGTGATTCTGTGGCGGGAGGAAGATTCGGAAGATTCGGTGATTCCTTCGGAAAGCATTCATCTTTCTGACTCGGAGACGCTTTCCCTGTCTACCTCTTCTGCACCGCCGGAAGAGGGAGGCAAGGTGCCCGACCGGCCGCCCGCGTCGTTTGCGCAAGGGGGAGGTGGAACTGGTGCCCGGGGAACTGGTGCTAGTAGGGAAAGAAAAAAGCTGCCCATGACAAGCGAGCAGTAGCATTGTTTGCATCAGACCCTACATATGTTTAGGTCAAGTCCTATAAAAACGTTATCAAAAAGCATCCAGCGAGGAAGCTAGTAAGTCTGTTTGTGGCACGACAAACGCATCAAATTTCCGCACTTGAAGTTCATCCGAGCACCAGAATCATGTACGAAACTAGACGTAGTGATTTAGGTTTTGGGAGCGCAACTTTTTTCCTTCGATACGAAAGAAAGCGTCTGCAGATGAGAAAGAGGAATGCTGCCCCAGTGCCTGTGAAGAAGAAGAAGACGACGCCAACAAGCGCAAGACGCGTTCGGGGGCTGCTCCGCCACCGGCGGGAGGAGTAGCAGACGCGGTTTCGGAAGCGCCGGAAGGTGGAGAGCCTCCCGCTGGTCCGCCCTCTGTTACTTCGTCGAAACCTCCGGGCGGACGAGCTGGTCTGCTGGCGCCACACCTGGCTTCCGGTGCGAACCCCAATGGTGGCGGCGACCCATCTGCCGCAGCGGCCGCTGCAGCCATGCTGCCTGGAGGTGGAGGAACTCCCGCTGGCGATGCGGGCGCCACGGGTCAAGATGAAGCTTCACTCGTTCCCCGTGTTGGTGGCGCAAACCTTGCCGCAGCGGCCGCTACAGACCTGCCGCCGGGACGAGAAGCTGCTGCTGCTGCTGCGGCCGCTTCCGCGTCGGCAGGGGGAATGGATGCTAGCGCTGTTGGCCCGTCCGGACCTCCTGCGGGGCCTCCCGCCGAGCCTGGAACGCTCCCTGGTGCTGGCGGTGGCGGCCGGCCTCCCGCATCGGCCGCTTCCACCGCAACGACTCCGACAACTGGATTGGTGTGCACTACTGGCGGTGGCGACCGACCTGCTTCGCCGGCTGCTGCCGCGCATGCCGGAACTCCTCCTGTCGTCGCTGCCCCAGGGACTGGCGGGTCTCCTGCTCCGGAAACTGCTGCAGCGGTCCAACAAGGTGGAAGTACCGATCCGACGGCCGCGGACGCGAGAATGAAAGCGGATGAGTATTTGTTTTGTGCACTTTTTCTGGGACTTCGCATGCCATTTATATTGATATACTGCCGCAGAGATTTATATAAGCAATGCGACTCGCATTGATCGCAAAACCGGCCGCGGTTTGTCGCATCGCTCGCATTGCTCGCATTGCTCGCAAATCATCGGCGCCCGCCAGCAGTTAGGTGCGTGGCGATAGAGTAAGGGCCTAACCGTCGGGACTCGCGAATTGCCTGATGGGAGGCTGGCCTGCATATTCAGGCTGTAGTGGTCTTGCCCTCGTTCTCTCCTTTGGAAGAATAGTGCTGAGGGTTAAGCCTTTTGCTCTTTCTCGAGCGAAGAAACAAAAACAAACTCAATAAATACAAGTGACGGCCTTTGCGCGGCCCGTTTGGGCTCTAGCTCCGTAGGTTAGGATTAGGGGTAGCCCGCTGAAGTGCGCCCCAATAGTGGGCATACGCTCACGAAGTCGCGAGGAGTTGTCGCAAGACTTGCGACAGATCCGCGCTCTCGCGACTCGCAAGCCGTCGCATCCGTGTCGCATTGCTCGCATTGCTCGCATTGCTCGCAAATCATTGGGATTGCGTTCGGGTGAGCCCGGAACGAGAGGGGCGACGGCGTCCCCATGTCCCCGAGGTTCCCATCGCGCCCCGCCCCTCTCTCGCCCGCTGCATTTTCCTGCAAGACAGCCTGACTTCATCGCTGCGTAATGAACAAGAGCAGCCACGCTCATGCACCAAGGCGGGGGCGGACGTGTACGTGTACGTGGAGGTTGTTGCCGGGCGCGCATTTGGCGTTTGTCGTTAGCGGCACCTTGGTAGCCCACCCGCTGGGTGCTCTCTCGGTAGTCGCAGAAGACCCTGAGCAGGTGCTGGCCCAATCGGGCTCAGTCACCAGTGCCACGTGTTAGTTTGCTTAGGGTGGCTCTGAGGTCACGAGGCACTGTAGTACGAAGTCTGGGCGCGCTTGCCTCACTAGCGACGCTGCGCTCCACTAGGTAAATTGGCCGGGGCACGGACGATGACGTAAAACGTTGACGCAAGCGACCCGAAACACTAAACGCCTCAGGGCAGATAGCTGGCTGTTGAGAGGATCCAAATGTCTACTTACGTCATACTTAGCTGACGAATTGCCGGAACAGTATCTATATTAAAGCCGGGCGGTTCGTCCACTTGGTGGGGGAGCGGGGCGAGCCCACTTTCCGTGTGTGTTGATTACGCAGCTGCAGCACAGAGCGCGACACGACATTGGTGTACTGCAAAGAAGATTCGGTTGCCGTTGCAGCCATAGCGCGTTGCGTTTTTTTTGAAATGAAATAAAAGAAAAAAGCAGTGAAGCAAATATAAAACAGAATCGAACGCGCTTTCGGGAAACGTGTCTCGCAGTACCGTCTCGGCCACGGGACTTCTTTTGAGAGGGGCTTTACCACGAATATTTTCCAAGCTATCCTCGACCGCCAGACTATCCGAGGAGCAGGAGTGTGTGCGATCCCATCACACAAAACGGAATTCGATCTTGCAGCAGGGAACTCCATAATAATTTTGATTTTATGCCGTCTTGTTCTATCTTGTACTTTAGGTTTAGCTAGAGCTCAACATTCTGATGAAATGTTGAATGTGATTTATGACCACTGGTCCTCGTGCGCGGAGTTCTACTAGATGACCATGTTCGTCATACCCAGTTTCAGTGTGTGTGCAGTTCTTTATGAAAATGTATGCTTTTTAAGAATTTCGATGGCAGAATGCCGCGGCTGGGTCGCTGCGCCTGTTTTGTTGCATAATTGCTGCGCAACTGGTGAAGGCTTGCGAACAGAGCCCGAAGACTCTTGTGGATTTGCTCCGTCAGTATCAAAATGAAACTGGCTGTCGTCGGATATGAGTTTTTGCAACTGGTGCAAGCAACAGTTGCTTCTCACATGCGCAGAGACATGTGAGAAGCAACTGTTTTGCAACAGTTGCACATGCGCACAGACATGTGAGAAGCAGCTGTCTCACATGCGCATTAAAAAGCAACAGTTTTTGCAACTGGTGCAAGCAACGTTGGCATGCGCAGAGACAGCGCAAGCGTCGGAGTTTTAGGGCTCACAGCCACAGTGAAGCGCCACGATAATTCATAGGACCACTATATTGAGAGTTGACACTTATTGACAAACTTCGAATTTATGTCGGGGCGGTATTTGCTTTTGCGATGTTCGCCTTTGCACTGCGAAACCAATCGAACTCCCACTTCTGTTTTGATGCACGAGCAGGCCAGTAGCTGCAAAAACGGTACTATGAATGCATCAGCGCCTCCTTTAATTCCAAACGATGGCAAAGCAAGGTCATGTGCTTCGGTGTAATAAAGAGCTATACACTCATTTAACCCAGTTGATTCACGACGCTACGCGACTTTCATTTTGATACTCCGGAAGAACCGGGCGAGGACGCGTTGGGTTGCGCGCACAGAATTGACATCCACCAGCTGTGCCCGTGCACAAAAATCGACTTCGAAGATTGGATCAGGCAGTTCGTGTATGCAGGAAGACTCGTCGAGTACAGCGCGTGGTTATCCCAGGAATCGAATCAGATCACTTCTGTGAAAGATCAACAGAGTTCGTCCCAGCTGAAAAATGGTGCGAGGACCCTTGGTCAGACGATCGATATCGTGACTGATGTCCCTGTTGATTTTTTAAATCCAAGTTTGGACATCCGTCCAAACCAACGAGTTTGGGGCGATTGGACAGCCACGCCAGAATCGAATCTTTCTATGTTTAGTTCCAGTACTCACCGGCGCATTGCGGATGACAAGTTTGATCAGGTGGTGAAGAATGTGCTATGGCTATGCAGGTGAGTTGGTGTTCCAAACGTCCCCCGAAGCGTTTGTCGTGGCCGGTGAAGAAAGACATTTTACCTCGAGATCAAAGCGCGTAGCGTGGCGCCAAACGAAATGCGCATGCCTCACTTGGCAGCAGCGCCTCTGCTGCTAGGAAATTTTTTTCTGTATGAGGTGCCCCACACCTTCTGGTGCAAGCGCAGCCATTGCAGTAGGATGCAACCGAAGCAAGCGCTGCTACTAATGGAGGCGCTTCCCGAGGACAAACGCCGGCCCGGACAGTAGGGCGCCACTCACCGTCATAAGGAAGAGGGGTCGTGGGGGGTGCTGCCGCTGTCCGGTTCCAGCAGTATATGCAGCATTTTTTGGCGCGAGCGCGTGCGTTCTTTACTTTGGAGTGATGATTTTTTTTTGCACAAACCAGGGCCGCGGGATTTTTACCCTTGCTGCTTGTTGAATTTATTTGTATCGGTATCGGACAACAGCATCAGCAGTATAAGTGTCTGTATGAAGATGAACCAAGATGGCGCTGCGTGCAATTTTACCTCTCATGCGCGAGCAGTGTATGTCGCAGGCGCACCTACATGAAGCGACCCAGACACGCGGACTCGGTTTGTTTTTCTTGTCCTTTGAGATTCTTGAAAATTAATTGAAGTACGTAGCGCATCCTCGCGCGGCTTTGGCATTTCGGCTGTACCGGGTGACAGTATCCCATATTTACCGGACCTTTTTATACTTTTCCTGCAAACTGGAAAAACTGGAGGCGTTCGAGCAGTGTCTGGCCGAAGCAGCCGATGAGATTTTGTTCAATTTGCTTCTCAGCCATGGGCGTCTCGACGTGCGAGACTGTGTCGCCCAAGTGCCACGCGTCATCGTGTCCCAGGTAAAGGACCAACGCAACTTGCTCCGGCAGAGCAACTGGGTTCACAAGGAGGACATTCGCATTACGTTTTTCGTCGAACGCGTGCTTCCGCCGGTGTGGATTGACCAAATCGGCCTCCATGAAAATGCAGATGCCTATGTGGAGGGCGTTCACCGATGCTTGCAAAAATTTTCTCGCGTTGGTATTGTTCTGAATGGGCTCACGCCCGAAAGCGTGGGAGTTCCGTTTTCTGATGAAGTTTCTCCTTCGACTGGATAAGCCCGGGCAAAATTGTACACAGAATTTTGCACACAAAATTGCACACAATTTGAGTTGTCGATCACCGCTCTCGGCTCCCCATCGTCGAGAGTAGGGGCGGCAAGGGGGAATGGGTTTTCGAGAGCGTTGGCGATGTTTCCCATCGACTATTGCATCGAGATGCTTCTTGATGAGGGGTGGCGTCCGCTGTCGCTACTACCTACTCCAAACGCAGGAGAAGAGGTAGGACCTACGGATTTCGCCTGGACGAGCATGGGCGACGCAGTGAAGAGCATTTTTGGTAGCTAGTGCCCCAAATCTTTATGTCGGCGGTGGTGAGCACAGGCCCAGCCGTTTTGCCCGCAGAGAATCTGACCCAGGGGTCGCAGTAGCCAGCGGCCAAGGCGTCTGCGGCGGGCCGACAGAACTCCGGACCACCTATCCGACCACCTTTGTAACCACCTTGCCGACCACCTTCTCAACCACCCCCAACGATTTTTCGGTATCGAAAAAAAGCTGCCACAATTTACTGCCACAATTGGTGTCACAATTGTGGCAAGCAAAAATCAGAAACAAGATTTCGTGCCACAATTGTGACAGCAATTGTGGCAGCAAATTGTGTGCAGAATTTTTTTTTCCAACCCGGCCTGATTGGTGGTCGAAACAAAAGGTGGTCGCGCGGACCCATTGTGACAGCAATTGTGGCAGCCATTTCAGGAAATTGTGGCAGCCATTTCAGAAAATTGTGGCGGCCTCGGAAAGGGCAACAGCCCGGCGCGAGAGGTCTCGCTGGCCACGGGGGGCGGCAGCGCTGGTCGCGCGAGCCACGCGCGCGGGCGCTGCGCTAGTGCTAGCTCCCTTGTGTCGGGGCTTCGGAACTTGGGTGCGGCGCTTCCGGCGTTGGCACCAGGCAGAGGAGCCTGTAGGCGCGGGGAGAATCTATGTCTGATGTGATCTGGGACCCATCGAGTCTGCCTGATGATCTTCAAACTCGATGGGGCCGAATTTGAATCCATTCAGATGGCTCGATGGGCGTTCGTTTCATGGCTAAAACTATGAATTGTGTGCAATTATTTTGTGGCAATTTTCTGGCAGCTCTGTCCGCCTGGATAGATCCAAACAATCTCTTTCATTCGGAACGCCAAAGATGTTTGATTTGGGTTCGTCGTCGCTTGTCGACATGCACCGGGAAGGCGCCGGATTCTTTCCGGTGGTTTTGGGGAAGCGCGTTGTCGTCACACGGCATAACGGTGAGCAGGGTGTGCGGTTATGGGCAACAGTTCAGCCGGACTTCTTTGCAAGCCCGGCACTTGGGGCGCAGGGCTGTCAATTTCTCTCGGGCGCGGGTGATGATGCTCTTAGCGAGATCTTGGACGGGCGACGCGAACTCGACAAAGAAATTGGAGAAGCGGAGGGGCTGGCGCTTCGTTATCCGAGGCGCCACGGTTCTCGGTCTGTCCTGTTTGCTGCTAGCCAGACTCTTCTGTCCCAGCTGGTGCTGCCCAAACCGGTAACGGGCCCATGGCTTGGCCTCGCACACATTATGGGCCCAGGATACGGCCACGCGCCCCTCTGTTCCTTGCTTCATAGTAGCATGCCTATCGGATTTCTGCATTTTCCATTGGTGTAAAGTTGAAACATGACCCCGTCAAGTTATTGCACTCTCCTCCCCAAACTTCATGATGGATGACGGCGATGCTGATGATGATGTTCAAAGCATAGGCCGCAAAGTCCAGGTTTTTCGCACGCTGCGGCCTTTTGTACGGTCGCCACCCTTTCATCGCCAGTGCACTTTTTACAGTTTTTGCCGCGTTCTGTCTCTACGCTGAGCCCAGGCAGCGGGTGCCGCTGCGTGTCGCAAGATGAAGCCGAGCATCCAGTGCGCCGGGACTATTTCCAGGATGTGTGGGGGCCCTGCCATTCCTGAGAAATGGCACGGCCCCCGCCCTGGGCTTGCTAATTTCCCTGCTTCCAACGGTGCGCGGGCACGCTCGCGCGGTGTTTTGTCGTAGGTGCGAAGGGGAAGCAAGAGATTTGGATCTCCTGCTGCAGGTGGGCAGTCTACTTTTGAAGCAGATCCGCGTCCGCTTGTTCGGCGAACTATGATGATCTGACATTGCTCATCCATTTCATTCTGTGAAAGAGGATCTGCTTCTGCCCGGGCCCTTCTTTGTAGAGAAAGTCGCTGTTCTCAAAATACTTAAACGACAGAAGCGCTTCTGCAGCAAGCGAAGGCCTTTATTTCTGGCAGGATTCCCTGGTGGTAGAGGGCCTGCGTTTTCTTTTGCGCCGAGGATCAGAAACGTTGGCCCACCGCTCCACTGGAAAGGATCAACTCCTCCGTCCCCAGTAGGGTTGTCCTATACTCCTCTGCAAGAAAGGAGTTAGTTCGGTAGTTGTTTAATTCTTTGCGCTCCCACTCTGCTACGCCAGAGCCAGAGGGCCTGTGTACCTCTATGGTCTTTGTTCTAGAGGACGCCAATCCTCCTGTTCTGATTGATTATGCTCTTATCCTTCTCTGTGAGAGAATACGCCTTGAGAGAAAAGCTTTTGTCGTGCTCAGGTATGTGGATTGCGTCCTCTACGGTTGCAGGCTCTCTGTCTGCCCTCTCTCATTGAGGCGGTTTGGTATGGCCTCCGCTTGTGACAGCACAGCTCGGGTTTGCAACCGGGAGTGCCCCTAAGTGCCGAGCGGTCCTGCACAAAGCGTGCAAAAACGTTTCTTCCTTTCTTTCTCCTAGTACTATTCTGTTGGCGCTAGGTAGATGAAGGGGAAGGAGGAATATGAGCCCTCCAGCAGGAACCTAAGCGACGCTAGGTATGGAATAGAACGCCTGAGTTGACACGAGACGAGAGAGCCAGGGCCTTCGCTCGAATTCGTTTGACGAAAGCAGCTGCGCCCCCATGGCAAGCAATAAGGTGGCTAGCCACATTCGGTGGGGCCGTTGGTCGTCTTCGAGTTGGGGGAGGGGGAAGCTCGTTGCAGATCGCGAAAGGCGAAGGCCTCTTGTGCCACATTGGTTGCCATTGATTTGGAAAACGGTGCTTGGTAGCGAATGGCACTGGCCAAAGTTTCACGGCTAGCAAATTAAGTAAAACAGCCACAATAGATTGCAACCTGGCGTCAAAAGCTAGAAGGCCCACCAGGCATCAAAAGATAGAGACGGGGCTTCCAGTTGTGTTCTACAATCAGTAGAAGAGAGACGTTGCGGGCATGGGGCGCGCGGACCCATTTTACCTTGCTAGTGCGTTGCCCAACAATTGGAAAGTCACGCGCCTCGCGAGCAGAGTTCGTCCTTGGGCAACAATTAGCGAAGACGTTGACGTTCCGCCGGACGAGAAGATGATTGAGCAGGCGTTTCCACGCTGCGACGCGGAGCAAGGAGTGCACAATCTTCTTGCCGGCAACATGATTTTTACCAGTCAAAAACTCCACGAGCGGGCGCGCGAGGTGCGGGGCTTGCCGCGGTGTTCAGACACGGAGGCGCCGGAGGGCCAGGACCATCAAATCGCATGTTTGCCGTTGGAGCAAAAGAACGTTCTATGCAGTTGAACCAAGAAGGGCGGCGAGGCAGCAACAAGTAGAGCAGGCTACTGCGATATGTCGGTTGGCGTGCAGCCGACCTCCATCCAAGGCCTGCGGCCGGGGTTTCCGTGCCGCCAGACCTCCCCACCAGACATCTTTCCTGCAGGCAACTGCGCCCTATCGTTCGCAGCGCCATAGCTAAGGCGCCGGCAGAGATAGCGAGCCAGAGCTAAAGCAAGGGCACCAGCTGCATTGCATGCCATAACTGGCGCTGGCCGCATGTTTTGCTCCTTTTCGTTGCTGCTCTGAAGCTGCCCGCTGGGGTACAGTGCGTCGCACGTGGCTCGTATTTGTATTTCTATTTGTTGCTGCCGCTGCGCTTTCCCTACCACTGGATACAAGGACTTGCTCGCGCAGCACATCAGACTGGCGAATGCGCCGGAATGTGACTCGCATGAGCTGCTCGCAGGTTCAGTGCAGGACAGAGCATGCGAAAAGCAGGGCGAGTGGCCAAAAAAGCCTCAACTCCCGGGACTGCCGTGATCGTCGCAGGCGCCGGAGTTAGGTTCCGGCGGGATTCAAGAGGCAAGAGCCGGTGCGCAAGGCTTATCGCCCAGATTTCCAACTATTCTTTGTTTTCGTTATCTGTGAAGCCGGTTTTGGGCTGCACAAGGAGAGGTGCGCACTTCGGAGGCGTGCCCAAACAAAACGCATGAGGTTCGCCTTGTGTACTCCATTTTTCAACATTTGATTCATTGCGCCGGCAGTCCTTTTTTTTTTACTCAGTATCTCCGCAGCGCCGGCGCCGCTGTATCTATTTTCGCCCTTCGCTATCTTTTTTTTTGTTTTCTGCGCGCCGTGCGTATTCTTAAAATCCCATGAAGGAAAAACGCGCGCCATTTGGGGTGCCTGCGCGTCTCGTAGTCATTGCGCAGCAACTGACCGCGGCCGCAAAGTCGCCAGCGTGTGCGGTTCGTACGTACGTAGAGGAGTATGTGGTAGTGCCTTGAGTTTTCGCTTTTGTTTTTCAACAGCAGTGATTTTCGGACTAGAAAAGAGGCCTTTTTTGGAGGTTGGTTGGTGCGATGTATATGGGTTTTTTATTTTTTCAGGTCAGGATAATTCGGGTTTCAGGATAAAAAAAGGCGATGATCGACGAGATTTCTTGCATGATGAACATGCGCAGAGAAATGCACCGCATGAGGGATTCTGGTCGAGGTCGACAGCGCAACACCTTGACTTTAGCGAACATGGTGCGAGAGTTGTTTGCCACAGTGTTTCCCATTCTGGCGTAGTTCATTTGCTTTTATCCAAATAAGTATCTGATAAGACATTATCTAATTCTCGGTTTATGATTAAGACATACACGAATTTTATCCAACTAAGTATCTAAAAATGCGCACAAGTCTAAGTTTAAGCTCAAGTATAACTATTTTTTCGCAAATAATAATCATGAAGAAACAGAAGGAACAGTCTCGTTGTAAGATTTCGCATTGTTATGTATCAGAACAGCTCTGCTTTCGACTCACTCCGGCGCAGCAGATGGCTGTGCACGAGAGTCTGCAGCTATTGTTCCCTCATCGTACGCTTGTCGTTTTGTTCGTTCTGTACAAAAGACAAAGCGACGACCCTGCTTTTGCGAAATCATGACGCCGCCCGTTCGTGACCCAGGTTCCGTTTGATGCGAAAATGGCCCGTGCGTTTGATTTTTGCACATATTTGCGATACGAAGAAGATCACATTCGTCTGATCAGTTTTTGTCAGGGTCGAGTGGCAGGGGCAGGCAGGATCGATGGTTGTTTATTTCTATCGATTCAGTTACAGTTTCGATGATGCGGATGCCGGAAAAGAAACTCCACCATTACAGGAAGAGACTTACTTTGGTGAAGTAGGAGCAAGTTCAACTTGCTTTGTCGTGTATCCTGTTCCTTGGCTTTATTGTTCTTGTGAAATATTGAGAAGGAAGAAAGTGCTAACATATAATCCACTCATTGGATGCCTATCGAAGAAAAATCAAAGACGGGCAAAAAGGCGAGTAAGGATTAATATGTCCGCCGAAGAGTTCGATGCCGCCGCCAAGTGGGTCCAAAGTCTTCCCAAAGACGGCCCGGCACAGCCGACCAACGACGAGAAACTGATCACGTACGGGCTCTATGCATTACAAAAAGAGAAAGTGACGCTGTGAGACCCAGAAATCAATGGACTCCGCCCGTGCGGACTCGTTTCAGGTTTCCCGGGAAACCTTCGGTTTAGCTCGTGCTAAAGTGTGTTGCAACGCAACTTAAAACGCGGCGCGCGCATGGACTCCGCTGCTGTTTGTGGGCACAACCGCGCCGCGTCTGTGTTGCAGTCTCTTGTGCCCAAAGCGCCGCAGTCGGCTGCGGATTGCGAGCAACCTGGCGGCCCCGGCAAACCGGCGCACATTTTCGCCTGGCCTAACTTGGGCCGCTTCAGACGATCTTCCGCCGGTGGCACGGCCTCGCTTTGCCGTTTTCGGAAGAGGATTCCTCAGAGGATTCCAAAATCCTCTCAGGAATCCTCTGGCCCAATTTGGGCCGTCTTCCGCGCCCTTCCCCCGATGGCACTGCCCCGATTTCGGGAGAGGTTTCCACAGAGGATTCCTCAGAGGATTCCTCAGAGGATTCCAAAATCCTCTCAGGAATCCTCTGGCCCAATTTGGGCCGTCTTCCGCGCCCTTCCCCCGATGGCACTGCCCCGAATTCGGGAGAGGATTCCACAGAGGATTCCGGAGAGGATTCCGAAATCCCCTCCGGAATCCTCTGACCGGATTGGCGCCGTCCTTCGCGGTCTTTCCCCGGCGGCACAACGTCGATTTCGGGAGGGGATTCCGGAGAGGACTCCTCCGGAGCCCTTTCTCCCGTGGTACGCACTACCTCATCCGGGAGGATTTCCCCGGGGACAGGGCGGACCCCCCGAAGCGAGGGCGGACCCCCCGGGGGCGAGGGTGGATCCCCCGGGGAGCGGGCGGATCCCCCGGAGAACGGGCGGATCCCCCGGAGGGCGGGCGGATCCCCCGGGCAACGGGTGGATCCCCGGGGGCGAGGGCGGATCCCCCGGGCGGATTCCCGGGGGCGCGCCGGCCACTCTGATGCGGCGCCACGGGCACCGCGGCAAACCGGCGCACATTTTGAAAGATTTTGGAACGCACCCGAGTGCAGGGCATCGCGGCAAACCGGCGCACATTCTCTCGGTTCTCAAGGCCTCTGGCGGTTGTGCGAACGGCCCTTGCTTCTGTGTGGTTGTCACATCTTGACTCTTTGGCTGTCAAGTTGTCTAGCTGCTGCTGTGCTGTTGTGTGGTTGTCACAACGCCGTTGGTTGTCAAAACGCCGCTTTGACAACCATGACAAGCTGTAAGTAGATTATTACCAAGCCGAAGCAAGAAATGTGCGCCGGTTTGCCGGTGACCGTGCTCACCGCCAACGCGACAAGGGCAGGGACCCCTAGCTAAGGCCGGAGCCTCTGGCGCAAGGGCGCACCCGCCCCGGGCCGCCCGGGCGCCCGTCGAAGGGGGAGTGAAGCCCCGCAACGCCGGCGCAGTCCGAGGGGCTGGCACGAATATCGGACCCCCCCTGGCAAGCGGAGATCCCCGGAGGCTGGAGCGAACGCACCGGGGCGAGGGCGGATCCCCCGAACTGAGGAGGACCCACCCAAAGAAAGTTCGTAGGCTTATTAACCCCCCGGGCAAAGGTGCGACCAAGGGCGCGCGGATCCGCGGGAGGCGGACCGGCCCTCCGGGGCGAGGGCGGATCCCCCGAAGACCAGGCGGATCCACCGAGGCGAGGGCGGATCCCCCGGGCGAGGGCGGATCCCCCGAAGAGCCGGCGGACCCCCCGGGGCGCGGGCGGATCCCCCGGAAAGCAGGCGGATCCCCGGGGAGCGGGCGGATCCCCCGGAGAACAGGTGGATCCCGCGGGAAGCCGGCGGATCCCCGGGGAACGGGCGGATCCCCGGAGAGCGGGCGGGTCCCCGGGGAGCGGGCGGATCCCCGGGGGGCGGGCGGATCCCCGAGTAGCAGGCGGATCCCCTGGGCGAAGGCGGATCCCCTGGGCGAAGGCGGATCCCCAGGGAGCGGGCGTATCCTCGGGGCGCGGGCGGATCCCCGGGGGGCGGGCGGATCCTCGGGGCGCGGGCGGATCCCCAGGGAGCGGGCGGATCCCCGGGGAACGGGCGGCTCCCCTGGGCGAAGGCGGATCCCCGGGGAGCGGGCGGATCCCCGGGAAACGGGCGGCTCCCCTGGGCGAAGGCGGATCCCCGGGAAGCGGGCGGATCCTCGGGGCGCGGGCGGATCCCCGGGGAGCGGGCGGATCCTCGGGGAGCGGGCGGATCCCCGGGGAGCGGGCGGATCCCCTGGGCCAAGGCGGATCCTCGGGGAGCGGGCGGATCCCCGGGGAGCGGGCAGATCCCCTGCGTGAACCCGGTTCCCCGGGGAATGGGCGGGCTCCTGGGCGAAGGCGGATCCCCGGGGGACGGGCGGATCCCCGGGGAACGGGCGGATCCCCCGGGAGCCGGCGGATCCCCTGCCTGCGGGCGGATCCCCTGGGGGAAGGCGGATCCCCTGGGGGAAGGCGGATCCCCTGGGGGAAGGCGGATCCCCGGGGCGAAGGCGGATCCCCGGGGAGCGGGCGGATCCCCTGGGGGAAGGCGGATCCCCGGGGAGCGGGCGGATCCCCTGGGGGAAGGCGGATCCCCGGGGAGCGGGCGGATCCCCCAAAAAAACACACAAATCGAAATCGCGACGGTGTGCTTATTTTTTTCCCATCATTCGAAACACAAACAAACCACGCTGCCGTCGTGTTTCGCTGGTTTGGGTCTCACAGCGTCAGGGTCTCTACAAAAAATCAGATTAAGAATGTCTGGGTCTGGAACCTGACAACTTCTTCTGACGCTACACGAGGAGGTCGGTGTGCTGCAGAGCGGATCTGTCATGGAGCATGGACATGAAAAAGAATATACGGCTAAATTGCCAAACAGCATCAACTTTTGCACGAGGCCAAAAGAATAGGCTAGCTGCCGTCCCCCGCCCTGGGGGATTCGAGCATGTAGCGCAGGGGAAAGTGGCCACTCAAGGATGATGATCATAACGATGATGATGATGATGATGATGATGATAAATTGCTCCCGCTCAGCCATGCATGATCACCTTGGCCGCAACCATCCTGTGCAATCAGCTATTTGCATGACAATTCCAGACCTGGAACAATAAATATTTGCATTGGATAGGCTCTACAAGCAAGTCACCGTCGGCGACAACACGACCGCAAAACCAGGTATGCTCTCCGGGTTTGAAGCAAAATACAAGTGGGACGCATGGGATATGATCGGCCAGAAAAGTACACTCTTTCATGCCAGAAAAGAAAAGATCGCCTAGTTGCGGCTTTTGGTTTGACAGACAAGGAATCCTCTGTGGCTATTGAGCATGTTCAGCATGGCAAACGTTCTGCTTTTCTGGCGGGGGTGTTCCTTTCCTTAGCATGCAGGAAAAGAACAAGGGAAAATCGACGGACGAGGCGAGAAAAGAGTACGTTGCGCACATAGAGGACCTGAAAAAAAAGTACAGTTGAAGATAGAGCAGGGACACCGTTCCAACTTTTACATTGTGTGCGAAAATGAATCCTCCAAAGCAGCGACTGACAGAGGAACACAACAAGTGAAGTCGTTCTACTACTTATTAATGCAAAAAAATGAAAGCTTAAGCCACGGCCACCAGCCTTAGCTTTTCTTTGCATTTGAACCCGAGAAGCCAAAATAATAATGAACCGTCGTGCCCGGGCGTGGTCTCGCTGGCGTTTTTGTGTGAGGCACTTTTAAAGTGCCTGACTGTTCTCATGAAAAGTCTTTAGACGAGCTGACTGTTCTCATGATACATGATTTCCTATGCGTTGTTTTCGTGTTTCCCGGAACATAGCGGGTTATTTAAGTATTTGAATTTTAGGGCGTTTCAAAAAAGGCGTTTCTGATTGAGGACACGTCATGGCTCCCTCGTAAGGAGGAAAGCCGCTCTTCACGTACTTAATGAAGTTCAGCCTTTTATTGACGACGATCCAGAATACAATATGCTTACTGCTTTTTTGGCTGATTCATGTTTATCCACTTTTGCTGCCTTGAAAGATGATTCAAGCTAGATCTGCGCAGTTCTTACCCTGAGCTTACATCTCTCGGCAAAGCTCGGTCACCAGGGTTTTTTTTTCCAAAGACGCCTGTTTTATGTTGCTTGTTGATACGATCTTCTTGTCGTGATTGCCTTTTCAAAATTTGATGGTTTCCAGGACGAGCTGCTAGGAATAAGGATTCGAGTCGCATTGTAAAACGAAACTCGTCTCGTAGAAAGATGCTATTGAGGCGAAAATGTTGTGTCCGGATAATTTTCAGTACAAAGCCACGAAGATAAAGTTGTAAAAAGTATATGACGGAGTCGGAGAGGCCCTGACTGTTTTCTGATTCTGACCAAGGGAGTAGGGTAAGCATGTAGCTACCTTCACATGGCGACAATGAAAGCGCAGCGCTCGCAGAGGACGATGAAGAAGCTGAAGCTCCCCCTGCTTCGGAGGCTCTACTAGTGTACTTAGAAGAGATACTTCTTGTCTCCACTCGTCCGCCGGTCCTAAAAAGCGCTTCCTCCCACTGATTTTCTGGACGACACAGCCACTCGCGTCTACTTCTGCAACTAGTACAACTGGCCGCAACGAGAATGACCGGCTACCAGCGCGGCCACCCGCACAGCGCCAGCCTGGGCAGCGGCGGCGGCACGAACGTGGGCTCCTTCTCCCAGCTTCTGGGGGACCAGGGCATGGAGAACTACGACAAGGATGTCCGATTCATGGCGGCCAGTGATCTGACGCAACAAATCACGACCCAGCAGAATCAGCCGTTGGAGGTTAACATGCAAAAGAGAATTTCCAACGCGTTTCTTCACCAGTTGGAAGATGCAAGCATTGAGGTGCAGGGCAACGCTGTCAAGTGCCTGGCGAAGATCGTGTGCAAGTTCCAGGAGCCTCTGATCGGCGAAGCGGCCGGGCGCCTGGCGCACCTGGTTTTGGAGGGAAACGAGAAGGTGCGCGACATCTACGCCACCTGCCTGAAGGGCCTATTACTGGAGCTGAATCCACAGACCTCGGGGCAGGTGGTCTGCCAGAACGTGCTGCCCAGGATGTTGTCCGGCATTTTGTATAAGAGTGCACAACACCCGCCTCGCGTCCAACTCATTTGTATGGGATAACGATAAACATTTATTTTCAGGAAAGCAGATGCAGAAACAGCAGCACACATGGAGCATGTGCGCGACATCAAGTTCATGCGCCGAGTTTCATGCTACTTTTTCGGGTGATTCAGAAATTTGTCATCCATTTTAGAGTGACGCAAGGGTGGGAACAGTTTAGTGTTTTGCATGACAAATGACGACGAAGGGGAACAATTGTGCACTCCAATACTTGGTCGGCGAACTTCAAGGCAGAGGTGAAGGAGGAATGCTTGGACGTGCTATGTGAGGTAAAGGAATATCATACGTTTTTTTGCGACATAGAAGATAGCGATGCTCCATTGGATTAAAGTACGTATTTAGAACTCACAGCAAGCCTTGAATAGCGAAGAAAAACCAAAATCCACTTAATTGCTCCACGAGGTTCTCCGTCGGTTCGGCGACAGCAGCCGGGTGCACGCGGAAAAGATGACCCCCGGTTTGCTGAACTTGTTGCAATCCCCCGTGACGAAGCTTTCCATCCGGAAGAAGTGCGCCCAGTGCTTCGGGATCCTCTCCACCGTTTTGCTCGAGAACCAGCTGGAAGCGCTGCTGATCACGTTCCTGAACCTGACGAAGCCCAAGCCGGACAACGGCAACGGCGGGAGCAGCCAAACGCCAGAGTCGCTGCTGGCCGACCGCATGCTGTGCTTGCAGTCGATCGCCGCGATCGGGAAAAATGCGTGCAACCCGCGGGTGTTTGCGCGCCACATCCCGGAGATCATCCCCCTGTTTCTCCAAATCTGCCGGGAAAACACGATTAACCTGAACCACGACCACTCCTCCTCCAGCAGTCAATTGTCCGCCAAGCACAGCACCGAGATCGTGGAGAACTGTCTGCTGACGTTTCAGGCGTTTTGCTCCTGGAATAATGGCTCCGGGATGAAAGAAATGGCGGAGCCGGAGTTTTTCGAACCAATACTTGAACTCGTTTTGGATCTCATCGCCTACGTAACACTCGCAAATTACAGCTGTCTGCTGGGACGAGATCTCCTGAAAGATGAATCATGCACAGCTGGAATTCTTTTTCCGCATTTGCATTTCGTGTGATCGCGATGAAGAAAGTCTGTATTGATATAATGTCAGATATTTCATCATGAGCGCCGCACCGACGAGTGCGGCATGTTGCAAAAATTTCTCATCTGACTGGTGGTACTTGTGCATCATCGTGTATTTTTGTTTCTCTGAAAAAGATGATAACATGACTGCTCGGCCGGTAGTACTTACTTACAATATAAGCGGGTGGTGTCGACAGCATTAAATACACGTTTCAGACAGGAGATTGACCCAGACGGCGATTTGCAGTGGATAAGACGACCCCAATTACTACGGTGGCGGTGACGAGGACGAAGATATGGGCGGCAGCGGAGGGGACTCCGATTACAGTGATCAGAGCGAGTATGGATGTGTCAGGTTTGAAATCGTCAAAGTTGAAATAGTTTGCCATGCATAAAACGGATACCAGTTAGACCTGCAGTCTGTAGTCGGTGCATGACAAATTTTCCCGGTCCTGGAAGCGAGTCTGTCATGCGGTTTAGGGCAAAAGAGCTGCCTCCTGTCATGGTAGTTAGCAGTCCAACTTTTGACCCTTACCAGGTCTATAATCTGCCTCCCGTGGGTCCTCTGCAATAGAGTCACTTTTTGTGTCGCATTTTATGCATTACAAATTATTTCAACTTTGACGATTTCAACTCTGACGCTCCCATAGCGAGTACGACTCCGACGAGGAAGACGACCAGGAGTCCTGGTATAACCTGCTCAGGTGTTACAATCTCAACCGTTACAATGCTGGAGTCTGGAATTTGTGTTGCAAAATGCGCAACATCTGGCCTGCTCCCACAGGATTGCGCATGACAAGTTTCGGACCCCCAAACCGCACTAGAATCTGTGGAAATTTGTGTTGCAGAAAGTGGAATGCTCTGGGATTCTGTCATGCTCATCACGCAAGACAAATTCCAGATTCTATTGTAACGTTTCAGATTGTAACACCTGAGCGGGTTATACCTGGAAGGTGCGACGAGCAGCCTTCAAACTCGCGACGGCGATGATTACAGGGCTGCCGTTCTATCCCCGGTAAGAGCCTCGCCCAGGTTGAGCAATATTATTGCAATTATACTGGGTGCTGACAGTGACAGATCCATGTGATTTACATTTACGAGGCAATAAGTCTGTCAGCATTTTGAATACATCCTTGGATGCCGAGCAATGCAAATTTTTTCTGTTGCGAGCTTTACTACAATAGGAGGCTTTTGCAATGCATAGTTCCAAACTGGAGACCATCCTGGAGAAGTTCGCCAACCCCTGCATCCAGCGCTTTACGAACGAGCGGGACGCAAACGTGAAACTGGACGCCTTCTGCACCATTGAATGCCTCGCAAAAGTTATCAGAGGAGGAAACTGTTTTACTGTTTCATTGTCGACTGGAGATTTTGCATGAATCGAGAAAATAGAAAGTTGTTGCCTGCTACACATGCAAGATGGTAGTTTGGTTTCGAGCAGCTGTGATGTTATTCCTTGTGGAAAATTGTTTTTTGCGTTGCAACTTCGATCGTATGCAGTGAAACACGTAGTTTTTCGTAAGGATGAAAGTGACCTGCTCCTTTCACCAGTCGGGCGGCGCGGTGTCCGGTGGTTTGCGGGGCGGCGCCAGCACTATTGGGACGAGGCAGCCGACGAATGAAAGCACTTTTCTTTCGGGATTGCACCCCGAGATGGCCGGAGCGATGAACAATATGCTGGTACAGCTACCAGGAAATTTCTTGCCGCCGTCGAGAACTCCGACCGGGCAGTCGAGCGACGGGGGTGGAGCACCGGCAAGTTCTACTTCCGGTGGCGGTACTAACAGCACTACAACCCCCGGAGCGATGAAGCGGACGGCCTCGGCGATAAAAACCGAGTCGCTGCAGAAATTCGTCGGCTTGATTCCCAAAACCCTGGTGCCAGCCCTGGCGAAGCAGTTGAATGGCAAGTCGAAGCAGGGTGCTTTTCAGTTGTTGAAGACGCTGTCGCAACTGCTCCCCACGCAACTGGAGCAGCCGCTGCTCGCGAACAGCAATTCGAGTATCACCGCGAACTTTCTGTCCGGGCTGACCCCGGCGACGTCCGACAGTATTTCTGTGCAGATTTTGCTGGACACCCTGATCATTTTGAAAAACCTGATCAGTCACTACGTAGACGCCGCGGTGTATTTGAAACTGTCCTCGGACATCCTTTATGCTTTGCAAAAGTACTTACTAAAATAACTGCACATGATGTTGACGGATCCCATTGTTAAGCAACAGTAGCATATGTTACAATTTGGGCTTTTATTCATCTACAGCAACTTGGGCAAATTGAAATTTGTCGTGCAATAACTAACTAGTACGGTTCTTTTGCAATGCATGGCCTCCCGAAGCTGTTCAAACTGATCAGCGCCAACGAGCGATCGAAGCAGGAATACCGGGGGTACAAGGCGGTTGCGGAAGCGCTGCGCGTGGTCTCCGTCTACCTCTACCCGTTGTTGCTGAGCAATCTCACGAAGAGCGGCAACGACCAGAGTGGGGATGCGATTATGGGCGACAGCGACTCACTGGCGAAGTCCCGCACGATAATACAGCCTTTGTTTCCGATCTTGCAAGAGAAGCTCCAGAAAACCGATTTGGACCAGGACGTGAAGGAAGCGAGTTTAGACTGTTTCGCGCACGCCCTGGCCTGCACGGGGGACAGCTTTCTGGAAGAAGCTGGGAAATGCTTGCCTGCGTTTGGTATAGCATTACAGAAGAGCTATTTTTATTTGCATAGCGCCGCTCTTGCGCTTTATTTTGTGCGCGGCTTGTGGTCGTCATCTTGGAATGCAACGTCGGTCCACCTACGCAAGCTGTCATGCTTGGCGGATGCACTTGGACTTGTTCTTGACTTAAGATGAAAGAAAGTACTAGAAGGTAGCGCATCTAAGTAAAAAATCACACAGTGGAAAGAATGCGGAACGAGCTGACCCGCATGCGCGCGATGCTCGCACTGAAGGTGATCTGCAGTTCGCACCTGGAGGTAACGGTTTCCGAGGACTTGCTCCACCAGATGTGCACGTTCCTGGTGAACTACCTGGCGCAAAACCAGCGGGCGATCCGGCAGCAGGCACTGGACTGTCTGGGGGCGTTGTTATCAAATGTAAAAATGTCTGGGTCTGGAAGAATGCAACTTGTGATGCTGCGTTTCGATGTCTAAAAAATTTGTGTTGCATGAGCAGCAAAAGGAATCTAATTTTTGCTACGCGGAGAGGGCATTTGTCATGCGGAATGGGCATCAAGAATCCCTCAGAAAACCTGTGATGCTAGGGCATGCATTACAGGCATCATGGGTCATGAGAAATATGCATGACAAATCTTGCATTCTTCCAGACCCAGACATTTTTACATTTGATAGTTGTTGCGGAAATACAAAAACCTGCCAGAGAAAACGCAGCTGCTCTGCGTCTCGGCCACCTCGGCGTTCTTCACGGACACGGACCTGTATCGTCGAAACAGATTACTTATCAACGAGTTGATGATTTTCGCATATTCACAATAGAATCGCATTTTTTTCTGGACTTGAAACAGCCGAGCATCTCTCTCCCAGAACTTTTCTGCTGCGCGGATTAGGTTTTTTTCAAATTGTATATGTATGATCTCTAGTGCACGGCGGTTATTGTCGTTTCATTTGGTCTGCTATTGCTGACTCTGACATCGAGCGTCACAAATATCAATTCAAATTTGTGCCCTAGGTACCTTACCGATCTTGCCGTTCAAGTGGTCATAAACTCGCTGAATTCCACCACCGGCGGGTCCGTTGCGGTTTCCGAAGTCATCGCGCAAAAATGCCTCCCGAATATTCTGAACTGCACCCGTTCTCCCCTGCTGCAGGGCGGGGCGCTGGTGTCCATCCTGACCTTTCTGAACACAATTTCTTACCAGGAAGAGGAGGTCGGCACCAACGGGCAGCCGGCGAAAAAGACGAAGTTGACCGGCGTGACGTCGAGTGCGGCAAACAGCAACAGCAGTCCTGTGGGCTCCATGCTCTGTCTGTACACAAACAGCACTACTCAACAGGCCAGTCACAGCAACTCTGTGTACCGACAACTCACCCTGGTGGAGCCGGTGATCGAGCGGGCGCCCACCACACAGGCGGCGCGAAACACGATCGCCAATCTGGCGAAGTGCGTCGCGGCTCTGGCCATCGTGTCCCCGCATTTGCACGAAATCGTGCTGGAGAACTGTGCGAATTTGACGGAGATCGGGTCCACCTCCGCGGACCACCAAACCGCGGACGAGGTGACGAAGTTTCAAACCGAGCTGGCCCTGCTTTCCCTCGGGGAAATTGGCAAGCACGTCGACTTGACCACGATCGCGAACAACCAGAGCCAGCAGGGCTGCAAAATGAGCATTCAGGAGCTGCTGCTGTCCTTCCTCAACTCGGAGGACGACGAGATCACGCACGCGGCGGCTCTGACGCTGGGCTACAGTTGCATGGGCGGCCAGTCGACGTTCCTGACCCTGCTGGTCGACTGCATCATTCGGGAAACGGAGAACTTGAGCAGCAGCTCCGTCGTGTCCGCCACCACGAGGAAAAAGCAGTACCTGCTTTTGACCGGCTTTCGCGAGGTCATCTCCATGGAGTGCGAGAACAGCAACGTGGTGGGGGCTGCAGTAGGTGTGCACCCGTCGTCGAATGTTATCCAGGAAAAAAACTGTGTAAGTGTAAGTTTCTTTGAGGTTTAGCATCACAAGTTTGCTCTGCATGACACAGAAAACCTGTCATGCGTAGCTAGTAAGGGAAAACAGGCACGAAAATTGCCTCTGATGCATGTCCAGCATGACAAGTGTATACAGTTTTGCATTTTCTGCAACACAAAGTTACACTTACACAGTTTTTTTCTTGGATAAATGTTGCTGGTGGTGTAGTGTCATCAGCCAATAATTCCGCACCGAACATCACCTCCTCTACTTCATCTTCGTCCAAGATTGTGGAGTTGCTGCAAGAAAACGACGGGTTCCTGAGGAAGAAGATTTGCGCCATCCTCGAGAACTCGTTAGCGAAATCCACCGAGGAGGGGGTCCGCGTGATAGCTGCGGAATGTCTCGGGTTCTTGATTCATCTACTTGACCACAGTTCAACATCTAGTGCAGGAGGCGCTGTGGGGGACCAACTTGTCTTAGCCACCGTCCTGCGGATGATGGGCAATGGAGAGTGCGCGAAAACCCGCGCCTGCGCCGTTTCGGCCGTGCGGTACGCGCACAGCAAGAGACAAACGGTGCAGCTTTCGAACAACCAGCAGCAAGTTGAAGCCGCGAACAACCAGCAGCCGATATTGAGAGGAAAAATCCCCCCTCCCCATATCGAAAAGGTATGTTTCCGAAAATTTGTGTTGCTGATTTGAGGTCACAAATCACATCTCTCATGCAAGAAGACAAGGGCAGAAGCTTCCGCCCCATTATGGAAGCGATTTGTCATGCTGTTGGGCCTAAAGGTCAGCCGTTTGCCATGCTGAGCAACTAGGCCCATACGTCCCTACCTAGCCTGGGGATCTGGCCGCAAAGCCTCTCTGCAATACAAAGCTGACTCGTGTACGCAAATCCAGCATCAGAAATTCCGTTTTGATATGGGGAGGGGGGATGTTTCCTTTCGATAGCCGAAAAAGCAGTTGATGCAGCCGTTCATCAACGCCTTGGAGGATCCGGACGTGTTGCACGTGCGAAAAGCGGTATTGCAGTCGATTTCCGCGATTCTGCACAGCAATCCGGTCTGCCTGAGCCCGAACGTTATCGACTACGTCGCGCGCCGGTGCAACGACGAGGGAAAGGTGAAGCTGGAATTCATCCGGGAAGTGGATCTCGGGCCGTTCAAACACAAGGTGGACGACGGCATTCCGGTCCGGAAAAGCGCGTTCGTCGTGCTGCTGGACCTCTTGCAGACCTTTCCGCAGGAGGTACGACGGTTTTATACGTGCTGATGCCATTTAGAAGGATTTTTACCTCCGATGTGCTGCATTCATTTTTGCATGAGAAATATCGGTTCGTTACCTTAACATAAACATTCCACCAGCTGATACTAATCGGGATTGGCATGGCAAAATTAACCAAGTAGAGGCACGGTGCGCCGCTTATGAAATCAAATTATCAAACTCTATCAGATGGTCCCGATGGCGGAGGAAGGACAAATTTTGGAGCTGCTCGCTAACGGCTTTCAAGACTCTGTTATGGAATGAAGGAAGCCTTTGTGTTTGTGCTGCTTCTAAGCTACATGCGTTGTATGCCTATTGCACTGATCTGGTAACCAAATGCGTGCGCGCGCGCGCGCAGAGCGCGCGCCGGCCCACGAAGCCGGCGCGCGCGCTCTGCGCGCTTGCGATATTGCTTTAGCAAACGCAGCGCGAAGGCAGTTGCCGTTACCATATAGGGCAACCGCCGGGAGGCGTGAAGGTCCGGGAAATGGCCAGAAATGAAGCGGGAGAAGGGAAAAAAAGCGGACCAGATGGGAAAATGGGCAGGAGGTCAAAAATGTCGCAAAAACGGCAGAAACCAAGCGGGAGGAGGTGGAAAAAGAGCATTTTTGCAGTCTGGCCCACTTAGTATCTGCAAAAGAGACGGACTATTTTTTGCTTCGCCCGCTGGGCAACTACGTTGGAGAAGCAGGTCCGCGACCTGTCCGGAAGCCTTGGGCCGCTTCGTAACTGGAAAAAGTTGGAAAAAAATGGCAAAAATTTGCTTCATAACGTGGGTGGAAGCAATCGTCGGATTTTGTCCAGGTCGCCCGGGCCACTTGAAAAATGAAAAAAGATGAAAAATTGCGCAAAAGCGCACTCCCTCCGCAGGCTTCAAAACTGCCACCCAGGTGGGGGCGGCGAAAATGCGCAGGTCGCCCGGGCCACTTGGAAACCAGAAAAAGATGAAAAATTGCGCAAAAGCGCATTCCCTCCGCAGGCTTCAAAATTGCCACCCAGGTGGGGGCGGCGAAAATGTCCGGAGCCCTTCGGCCACCTAGAAACTTGAAAAAAAAGCAAAAATAGGCGAAAGTCGAGAACCCTCGGCAGGCTTACAAATTGGCCGCCAAGGGCGGTCCGGCGGGCGCGCGCTTGCGCCATACCATCGCGATTGGGGAAAAAAAATCGGACTAGAAGCAGGCGGAGGCATGTCCCAAAGTCCGCATTTGCTCTGGGTTGTGGGCACAAATTCGGCACCTCCGCCGCGTCTGAAATGCCCGATTTTGGTTGCCCGGAAGGGTTTTCGGATTTTCGGCTTTCAGCATATTTTCCGGGCCAGGTGGCCAGTTGAGTTTGTCAGGCAGGGGCTAGAAAGGATGCCCCGCTGCCACATAGCCGGATTTCGCCTTCAATGCTTATCGCAGGAGCCTGAGGGCCGCCGCGGGCGACAGTAGTTGTCCGCGGCCCTTTAGGGCCGCGGGGAAGTGGTGGAGCCCGCGGCGGCCCGCAGGCTCCTGCGATAAGCTTTGAATGCGAATCCGGAAGCCCCCGATGACCCAGATACCTTCCCGGCCAGGGGGCCAGTTTCTCATGGAGGGGACTTGAAGAAGAAGGAGTGGGACTGTAATCAAAAATAAATAGCGCCAAAGCGCGGCCCGCAGGGTCGCGCTTTCGCCGCGCGGCTGGTTAGGCTTTCGCGCTGGTTAGGTTTTCGCGCACGCATTTGGTTACCAATATCGCCCTCCGGGCGCGACCTTCATACTGATTTCGATGAATGTACGGAGGAGCCCTAAGCAAAAAATCATTCAAATCTCTGAAAACTTTTCGTGCCAGACTTCGATTGGTAGATCGAAATCCACTAGTGAGCCCACCCTTTAGATGCTGACAAGCACATTTTTTCCTTCTCTTTCCATACCGCACGACATTCAAGTTCTCGCTTGTTCCCTTCTTGCCGAAGCCGCGAATTCCTTCTGGCTGGGGCCGACCTTCGGCACCGGCATTACCCCGATAGCGGCGCAGCAGGGGGCCCCGAATGCGATGCTGTCCAACCCGAACAATCCCATGAACAACACTTCTGCCGCGACGTTCAATTTCATCGAGCCCCTCGAGCGGGCGATCCAGAAGAACATCAAAATCATCCAGTCGAAACAGCAGAATTCCATGCAGAAAGCCCAAGACATGCTGCGGTGCTTCGTCCGGTGTCTGCGGCAGATTTTCAATTTTTCAAACGGCAACGAGCAAACCGTAACGCTGCGCGACGCGAACAAGAACTTTATCGACTTTTTCGCGCGGCTGCAGCGGGACCCAATTTTCCTGCAGTACTGGGAAATTTGCGCCAAGGAGAACCAGGCGAACGGTGCGGCATGATGAGGGGTTTGGGATGGATGTTTTCGTACGTACCCGCTCTGATTTTATTTTCGAAGTGAAGGTAGATTACTGATACTGATTACTGTTTACTAGATAAGTACATTGCAGGTCGAGGCACATGAACCTAAAGCGAGTGGCTCGATGGCATGAGCAAGGGTACTTGGGTTGCTTTATGTAAAACTTTTTGAAGGAGGACAGAGTTACGAGTATTTCTCTACGTTTTGGTTGTAGCTTTTGCTTTACGTCAAGCTGCTCAAGCTGTAGTCTAGCAAACACGCTCTGCTAGTACTAGTCGCTCCGCTAGCTCAAGTCCAAGACAAGTATTCGAATTCAGCGTAAAAGAAAAGATGTACGTAGGCGGAGGTTATCTGACTGACGACCATAAAGAGACCCTGGAAATAACTGCAGTGCCCAGCAGAGATGAAAGGTACGGAACAGCAGCACAAAAGTGTATGCTCTCTAGAGCTGATGGTTCTCAGGGACTTCGGGAAAGTAGCGAACCGAAATGAAAGCGTCCTCGTGTTCTTACCTCTCGCGCGTTAGTGCGGCTGGTGAAGATAGGCGTTCTCGAAACTTGTGGACAAAGTAAACAAAGGTTCAATGGCATCAGCTTCGATTCTGATTTTTTTTTCCAACGTCAGAATCGATGAAGGCGTCGATAAGTCTGGTTCTTTGTGAAGCATAAGGAGTTTCAATTTGCCTTTGTTTTCCAGATGCGAGTTATGAAGTAAGTACTGATTAGATATCGACGAAATATAAAAATGCCTTCTGCAGCACGAAAGCTCCCACCGAAGCCCGATCCGAACGTTCCGTCGTGGATAGCGAAGGGACCGCCGGCTTTAGGGTCTTTGATGGAAATAGCAGATGGGCCAGGATTTGGGAATTCTCTGCCTTTTTCGACTGCAGCTGGCCGTCAACTTCTGGAAGAAGAGGACTGTGGTTCTAATGGATGGCATCCACACCTCTCGACCTCCACACCGAGAACTTCCCCCTATGATTCGCAGCTGACTGGTGCACTAGGAGAAGTTGGAAAAGGTTACAATGGTCTGATCGGCATTTTTTTTGCAGCTACCAACACCAACGCAGTGTTCACAGAGCGACAGCTGAGCACAGTGCTTCTAATTACTTCTGCGCTTTCCGGAGTTCTGCTGCTGCTGCCTCTTGGGGCGTACTTTTTACTGCTAAGGCGAAGTACCGGAAGGAAGACGCGGTTGGGAGGTACGCGGAGTGCGGATGGGGTTTTCTCGGAACCTTCCGCGGAGACACCGGCCGAAAAAGAGGATGTCAGCCGAGCACACGGTGGTTCCGTAACTGCATCAGCTGGCGGTGTTGATCATGCAGAAGGGGAAAGAGCTACAGCGAATCAGCAACAACTGCGTGCGACCTGGGTTCTTGTCCTCACAAAAAAAGTATTGGCCACTCTATCTCGTCTCACCCTCGGTCTGGTTTGCCCCTTCCTGCTGCTGCTGTGCCTCGACCGGTGGAGGGAGCAGCAATGCCACAAGTACCCTTTTTTGTCTGAGCTCCAGCACGGCGAGGGGAAGGATATTGCCCGGCTAATGTTCAGATTAGCCGCAATTTCCTTCGCGGGGGTGCATGTGTTTTCGTGGGGCGGGGGTGCAGAGCAGGTTGAGGTTGCAAAAGAACGCGATCGGTGCTGGAAAAACAGAGACGAGCTGAGTTTTTATTTTAAGAAAAGCCTTGACCTCCCGCGGCGCCTGGTGGCTTGGCTCGAGTTCCTCACCGCTCTGACCGTCGCAACGTGTGCCTTGTTGATCGGAGAGCACCCATGGGCGCTGCACCTGGAACTTCATGTGCAGCTGGTGACGATCTTTTTTACAGCGGCGGGTCTGCTGGTACTGATTTTCGTTCTGCGGCGGCTGTGCGGTTTCGTTGAGGGTTTCATCTTGATCGACTCCAGGGAAAAAATATCAACATCCCGTTCGTCGTCGACTAGAGAAGCACCAACAGGTAGCGGCTCTGACAGACAACCGCTATTGCACTTTTCTACGAAGACGGCTATCCTAATCAAGCACTGCATCTACGCTGTGGCTTGCGTCCTTCTCGCAGGCGGGGTTGTCCGCGGTTTTCTCACACTGCGAGAAGGCCTTGACGCCTTAGTGGCATCGTCTACTTCTTCGGACGTGGAACGAGCAACAGCTTCTCACACAGAAGGCAACGAGGAGATTACGTCCGTTTGCCAATCGTACCACGGTGGCGGCATTTACGTGGCGCAACGGCAGATTGCAGAGGGGAACTTTCGGAAACAGTGTTTGTTCCCCCTACTGATCGGGTGTGACGAGGTGCTGGAAAAACTGGCTCTCAGTCAGTACCAGATCGTGTTTGGGCTGTGGTTTCAAGCAGTGGCGTTGACTTGGTGACTTGATTACTGTAGAAGCTTTTGCTTAAGAAAAGCTTCCACAAGTCGTATTCATGTGGTCGGTGAAATCTGTGATTCCAATTAGTTACCCCGGGTGGAGCCCACGGAGGAGTTTTGGCTGTGTTCGTCTTGTTCGCGCATTGTTGCTCGGGCTGAACGTGCCGGTGCACCACCTTGTTCGGCGCCCTCTGTCCTCATCTGGTGGCGTCGCGTTTTCCGTTCTACGACCTGCTAAGCCTTTCACTTACTTTGAGGGAAGACTATGGTGATTTTTTTCTTCGTGCTATGATAGTTTAGAATCAACTCAGACAAAGTTGTAAGTCGAAGACCGGGCCGGCGCGGGTAGGTAGCTGGCCGGCGCGAAATCTCGATCGCAGCACCAGGTTTGTTCTTTATTTGAGCGAGCAAATTAGCCACATCTTGGTCTTGCCTCCAGCAAAGTCCGCGAAACAAGTAGGACAAACAATGCTCAATTTCATTCCGCGGACCCACCCTTCCGTGAGTCTTCTCTACGGCAAGCGACCGTTGCAGAGGATAGCCTGTGGCTCTTCGTCCCAGCACGTAGAGATACCATTGGAAGTCACTGATGAAGTCGTGAAAGCCGTTGACCCAGAGACAAGGTAGAACATATTATTTTTATTTGTGAGATCTTCATGGATTTTGCCGCTACTACCGCCGCAGCTAGCGAGAAGATTGGAAGCGATATGTCATCGGCTTCGTCGATGTGTGGCATTTTTACCGCATGGTTTGTTCAATTATCCCCATGGAAAAAGAAAAACGAACTAAGAAAGTACAACTTTTTTACTTGATACAAAAACTACAGCTACATCGGGAATAAATACAATGCGCTGCCATGGAAAAAGTTTGTGGACATCAAGCTGGACGCCTCAAATTTGATTGACAGTAACGTGAAATCTGCGCTCACGGAGCTGGATATCTTCAAGCCGGTTGCGGACATGTATTACAAATTCAAATGTTTACTTATCGTTCTTTTTGTCCACCACTGTATTGGCGATTTTCGGATGGCGAGTGTCGGGTTTGAAGTAGATGGTGTAGTATGCACTGGAAATTGCTGCGATGTGTTAATAGTTCGAAATCAAACCGACTGTCAGGTATGTCGGGGAGAAAGCGCTGGTAGAACGAACACTCGCCGTAAAAATGATGGCTGGCGCAAAGCCCTGCAAGCTTCCCATGGCACCGAAATAAACGCGCCCCTCATCGGACTTAACTTGCTGCACAAACAGAAACTGGGACTGCGTTCTTACTCCACCCTGCAAGGCCAGATAAAATACTTCTACGTGCTCGATCTTAGTACTTCGATTTGGCGAGGCGCCTAAAAAAACTCAATGCAACAGAAAAAACATCAGCGCATACATGAGGAGTGCCTTTCCTGCTCCGTGCTAAGTAGCAGTGTCGCGACTTTTCCGCATACTGAGCAGTGCGTTCTTTCTGTTGTGGTTAACACACAGTGCTGCCATTAGTGACTGCAAGATATCGTCACTCGACCACGATGGCCCGAGGTACGTACAACCAAGACAAAGATCCAAGTTGAAGAGACAACGATCGCGCGGCCCTAGCAGACAATGAATGAGGCCAGCCGGTGCGTCAGCTAAAGTAGAAGACCCCTCGTTGACAAGAAAATCGGTCTCCGAACTGTATGTAGCCAGTGTCCTTTTGTTCAGAATAGAATTCCTTACACACTCTTTCACACGGCAATAAAAAACCATGCCACTCTCGTCTTCTCTCAGCCACCTGCGCTCTGCTGGTGCATCCAATGCCAGACTTGCTTGCACGAGCGTTGCGGTCGCTCCCTCTGGGCTCCGAGCAGCCGCGGCCACTAGGATAAGCTTTTTGCCGCAGCACAACTACGGATCATCTTCCCAAAACCAGACGGGAAAAATGGATGCGACAGGAGGCCAGAGTTTTCGTATTGGAACCGGACACGGGTCAATGTGCGACTGCGGAGGGTGTTTGCAGGTTGGTGGTGTCAGGGCCTTTTCCTCCGCTCCGCAAGCAAATCCATTGGAAGCGTTGTTAGAGAAGGTATTCGTAAGTAATTGAACTTTGTGTTGCAGAAGATGATTAGCATAAAATGTCACTTCCTTCATGCCTCTCTAGAGCAAGCACGACTGGCCTGAACTTTGTAATGCACAATGCTGAAACAAAACAGGTTCCTGCAGGTGTAAAGCAAGTTTTGCACGAGCCGATGGAGCGGATGTCAAAACAGATGGACTCCTGTATGGAAATTATGTAAAGCAAAGGCGCAGTCTTGGGTGGCGCAACCAAATGTTTGTCATGCATAAAAATAGGCACACTTGGACTTGAAACAAAGAAAGTGTTAGTTCGTATTGGCAACAAGCGACATTGATGTACAGTGTGACAAAACTTCTAACGTGTCACTCCCAAGATCAAGCTCTTTTCTTCTCCATACTTGTGACAGACAAGAGCGTCGAGCACATCTCGGGCGTTGTGCATGCACTGATCTTGCTGTATTGAGGTCTTTTTGAAAATATTAATGCATCACAACGACCTTGTCGGCTTACTCACATACTAAGGACCTAGTTTCTGAACTACATGTAGTACTACGTACTGCAGCATGTTGTAAACACTGACAGATGTTCATGTTGCAGACTCCGACCGAAATATTAAAATCAAAACCTCCAACGACGTAAAAATGCTTATGCTGGCAGGTCTCGGTCCAACCTGATTTCCGAGCAAGAGTTGGACGAGAAGCTGGGAAAACTTCTCCCCGAACAAGCCGTGACGATTGTCAAGGAGCAGGCGAAACTGCTGCCAGCGGACCCGTACATGACAAAGTTAGACGAGCTGAACACGAAATTAGACGCGTTGACGAAGAAAGTGGACGGGATGGGAGCGGTAAAGAAGTGAACTGCTGGGCCGCTGTGCGTAGTAGGAGTGAACACAAAGATAGTACAAAGATACCTATCAGAAACTTGAACACCATCACGAGCAGAATGCTTTGTCTACGTGTGAGATGATATGACTTCAGTTTGTAGTTCCGCTTTGCTGTCATGACTTACCGTCTATGACCCTGTTCGTGGGGGCAGAGGCAGGACGGCATTGCGCTAGTCTGACACAATAAATGTAGATGGACGTCGGTGTACTTTTTTTTCCGTCTCCACCGTGGGTGCAAAGTTGTTGGAGCGCGGCTCGTTTTTTTGTACGTTTTGCTGTCTATGTACGTCAAAATGATGTGTGTCGGTCTTTCCACGCGTGCGTGTAAATACACATGGTCGGTTCGTTCATCCTTCTCCTTTTCGCGCCTTCCCATCTGCTTGAGTCGGTAGTAGTGGAAAATTTAGTTTTACAACCTCAAGCATTTTTGCATATATCAGCAGCAACTTTTCGTGCGCTGCCGGACTTCGGTTTTTTTTTGTAAATCGTTCACCTGGGAGGTTCTGACTTTTTCGTGCAACAAGTGAAACAACATACGCAAACTGCATCTCTCTGTCGTTCGGTCGTTTCTTGTTTCTTCGTGCGTTTTTTTCTCGTGCTGGTATCATTCCATTTTGGACAATAAGGCCGGGCCTTTTATTTTGTTATGCGCGTTTCTTCTCTTCAAAAACTTTCAGGAAAAAGCCCGCAGCCATACCCATTTTCCCCAAACTAGCACTCTAAAAATGAGTCCCCTCACCAATGTATGTAAAAGCAAACGTCTCTGCTCTAGCTCTTTGCCGCACGGCGTGGTATGGTTTAGAAGATGAGCAGCCTTATCCACAGCACATACATAGCGGCCTGTGAGTAGAACTACGCTTCCCCCCTAAGGTAGATAATGCAACCCCGCCTGTACAGTAAATTGAGCTTCGTTCTTCTTTCCCCTCCCTGTTACCCCCGCCCGACAGCAGTTTGCAGTCGTATTTCATTTTTCGTCCCCTCCATTCAATAAAAATAAACAACACTAGTATAATATGAACACGACCTCGACTTCCGCCCCGGCCACGATGACGGGCCCTCCGACGCTCGCTTCCACCACCCGAAACTCTTCGAAGCGGCAGCCCTTGACGCGCGTTTTTGACGACTTCGTGAACAACGAGTTCTTAAACGACCAACAATTCGCGGAGCAGCTTCCGTCGGAGCTCGCGGGGATGCTAGAAATCATGTCCGTCACACCCGATTCCATCCGCGGTACGAACGTCCAGCAGCAGTGGATCCCGGTTGGAAATTCCCCTCTGAACACGTCCGCCCACGCCTCCAGCCTGAACAGCAAGACGAGCCTGCTCGACCAATCCCTGATAGGGAATAGCCGATCGCCCAGTAGCATGATGCGCGGAGCTTCGCCCGGGGGTAGCAATAGCATCAAACCTCCAAAAAGAAAGCTTTCTCCGCAATCCAATCCAGGCCGAACCCTCGGCCCCAGCCATCTGCGCAGACTCACCGCGATGGACATTCACTGCATGAATTTGTATCTGCGCCAGAAGATGCAGCAACTCCGCAACGCGGTCTTGAAGCAGGAGGAGATCAACGCGATGCAGCTCGTCGACAAGGAGCGGCAGCTGATCGCGCGAGTGGAGGAGGAGGCGAATAAATTTCAACTGAACCTGCAGCAGCAAGCGACGGTGGACCGGGAGCAGGTGCTGCTGATGGAGAGGAAACTCGCGGAAAATGAAGTGGAGGTGAAGAAGGCGAAAATGCAGACGGAAACCATCATCGTGGAGTTGGAGGAGTCCAAGCACAAATTCGAAGAAGAGAAGCGGGAGATAGAAGAGCAGAATAAGAAGTTGCTCAGTTCGTGCGAAAAGGAGGCGATGAAGGAACTGGAGAAGCTGAAGCAGCAGTTTTTTGACGAGGACGAAAAGCACAAGGAAAAATTGAAGCAGTACTCCGTGAACGAACAGCAACTGCAGTCCATGCTCGACAAAATGGAAGCGGACAAGGCTTTCGCGGACAACCAAGCGAAGCGCAACATCGATTCGATGAAAAACTTGATTGGCCAGGACACCAGTGCGGATTTCCAGTGCCAAAAATACTTTTTCCTCCTCTGGCGGTTCGTGATGGAGTGCCAGCAGCACGAGCAGACCACCGTCGCGTACCAGCGGTTAGTCGAGCTGAACAACAAGCGGGTGGCGAACCTGCAGAACATGTTTTCTTCTTCTCTGGATAGCGGGAAGGACCCGAAGGACTGCTCGGACTTTTTTCAAAGGTGGAAAAACTACACGCAGAAGCACGCGGGGGAACGCAGACAGCTGCGGTTGACGGAAAAACAGAACCAACAGGTGTTGGAGTTGAAATTGGAGAAAAAGGAGAAGCAGGTCAAACTCGCGTTTTTCCAGTACATGAGCCGGAAGTTGAAACTATCGAAGTCGAGGCTGTTTGTGGAAAGGAACTACGACTTGAAGTGCGGGAAACTATTGACAAACGTTCTCAACAAGTGGAGGCAAACCACCGTCGCGGAGAAGTACGCCCTGGAGAAAGCGAATTTGAAGCAGACGATTTTCGAAAAGCTTCAGAACATTTTGCCGGAAGGCGGTTACGAGGCCTACCGCTATTCCATTCAATCCTGGTGCTTCCAGGTGTGGAAGTTCAGCAACTGCGACGACGAGAAGCAAAGGGTGACGCAGTCGTGGCAGCACCTGGTGGCGCTGAACGAGAAAAAACTGGAATCTTTGTCCGCGGTCTTCGCGACCACGGGCAAAGTGGACATCGGGCAGTCGTTCAGAAGATGGAGAAATTACACGAGGGAAAACTGGCGGGAAAGGTCCAAAGCAATGATCCAGATCGCGCAGAAACGGGTCAGCTACTCGCTCGTGTTTCACAACTGGAGATTTGCGGTGGAACGGGAAATGGAGGTACAATGTGTTTTCTGTTTTTGTCATGCGAACTACGCACATTACATTTTAGCTTTACAGATCTTTCCCCCCTTCCCCCGTAGGTACCGAAGTCTTGGAAATGATTTGATGTGATGTATCTAATCTATCATGAGTCGACTGCTATGTTGATCTTCTTTCTCTTCCAAAACTATACAAAAACTCGAACTAAACAAACTCCTATAACAGCAAATGATCCAGAACCAGCGGATAAAAGACTTGAAAGACCAGAACAAGCTGACGATTTCCTCGATGATTGGTACCCACTCCGAGGCGTACGAGAAGTCTTTACTCGCGCAATACTTCCATTCCTGGCTGAAAGAGGTGCAGAAGCAGCTGAAGGAAGATAACCAGAAAAAGCTCATCATGAAGACCGAACTGGCCAACAATCGGCTGAAGGCGTTCCAGCAGAAGGGCCTGAACGGGGTCCAGCAGATGCTGCTCTCCGGTTCCTTTCAGATGTGGAAGGAAACCATCAAGAACGACAAGCAGGCACAAAGTTTATCCGCGCAACTGTCGGAAAAGACGAAAATCCAGGAGTTCCTCGGCGAGTCCATGAAAAAGAACGCGAATCTGTTCATGCTGCGGACCTGCTTCCACTTTTGGCACGCGTTGGAGGTGGAAGCGAAGAAGGAGCAGCGGGAGAAAGAGAAAAAACTAGGGGCGCAGGCGCTGGAAAACCGGCAAAGATTGGCGTTCAAATTCACGCAACAGTCCAACACGAGCCAAATGCAGGTCATGTTCACAAATTGGTCGCGGTATTTGAGCGAGGAAAAGCAAAAACGGGAAAAACTGGCGTTCAAGGAAAAAGTCGGGAAAAACATGGCCACTGCGACAACAACCGGGCTGCTGTCGGAATGCTTCAAGGCTTGGGTAAGGGAAATGAATGATTTTTGTATAGGAGTTTTGAACTAGCAATAGCATTTAGTTTTGAGGTGAGTTCCTACCTTCCTTGCTGAACTGAACATTATTTAAAGATTTCGGGCAGAGGCTACATTTTCAGCGAGCCATTTCCATTCAAAACGCAACTACAACAAATTACAGTCCACCGACACCCGCGAGATCGTCCAGACGCGTCGGCGCGAGCAGATCGAGAAGGAGCACCAGGACATGCTGGACGAGCAGAGGAAAAAGCGGGAGGAGCGGGCCGACGAGCAAAAGAGAAAAGCCGCCCTCATATCAAATGTAAAAATGTCTGGGTCTGGAAGATTGCCAGGTTTGTCATGCACATTTTGCATGACTCCTGATACCTGTGACGCATGCCCTAGCATCACAGATTTTGTGAGGGCTTCCTGATGCCTATACCGCATGACAGATGCTCTTTCCGTGTAGCAAAACTTGGACTCTCTTTGCTGCTCATGCAATACAGATTTTTTTAGAATCCAAAATTAGCATGACAAGTCGGATTCTTCCAGACCCAGACATTTTTACAGTTGATACCTCATGGTCGGGAACCAGTGCGACGCGTACAATTCTGGCTTGATCAAGCAGTGTTTCACGGGCTGGGCCTACTACATCCAGAAAGTGGCGAAATTCAAGTCGAAGTCGCAGACGAAAACGTCCCAGTTGATGCAGCAGAACTTCCAACAGGGCTTAGTGCATTCCGCGTTCAACGCGTGGAAGATGTGGTACAAGAAGCAGAAAAACCTGAACAGCCGGGACTCCGCGGTTTCCATGATGCTGCAGACGCAGAAGTCGTACTTGACCAAGGAAGCATTGGAAGCGTGGCGGAAGATCACGGTGGCGGAGCGAACGATCACGGAGAAGCAGGCGCTGCTGATCAAGTACTCCGCGTCCTGCAAAAACATGTGCGGGCACTTCATGAAGAAGTACGACCAGGAGTTCGTTTTCCGCACCTGGATCTGGGCGGTGAAGAGGAGAAAGCGGAACAACGTCCTGCGGCAGCAGTTGGAAACCATCGGGACCTACAAGTCCGCCATCGCCGCGTACAAGTGTTTTGTGCATTGGAACCACCTGATCCACGAGAAGAAACAGAACCAGGTCTCCTTGCAGAACATGCAGAGCGAGATTCTCTGCCAGAAGTTCCGCAGGGACTTGGGCCGGGTTTTGGGCCGCAAGTGGGAGGACTTGCAGGACGGGTTCGTGCAGGACTGTTTCAAGGAGTGGAAACGGACCTTCGAGGTGCGGAAACGACAGAAGAAGATGCACTTGCACATCAGCCGGCAGTTCGAGAACAACGATAAGGAGTTCTTTTTGTACCCGAAGCTGATCGCATGGAAGCAGCTGACGCAGCAGATGAAAAAGATGCGGGACAAATTATTCATCCTTGTTTCCCGCGACGAGCGGAGAACGAAGAGACAGTACTTAAGGGAATGGCGCGCGCACTCGGTCGGGGTGTTCACCGAAATAGTGCCAAGGATAGAAATGGCCTACAGAGAAGAGCTAATACAAGGCGTGCCGGTAGGTGTAGGACCAGGTGGGGATAGTCCGGGTCTCAGAGTGCCAGGAGGTGCACAAGGTGGGCCAAATAGTCCTCCTGGAGCTCCTGCTGCGGATAATAGCCTCCGAACGAGGAAATCTTCCGGCAGCAATATGAGAACTCCAATGTCGACCACCGCCCCCATTGCCAATTTGGTTTCCAACTTAGACAGAGAGGACGACGAGCTCGCCGGTCCGGGTAGTTTTTTCCGGCGGAAGAGCCTGAGTCAGAACATTAGTAAGGAGGAACGCGAAGAGAAGCGAATCGTGCAACAAGAAATCCGCGCGAGACGAAGCAGCAGGCAGACCGTCAGTGGTGGTCAGGGGTATTATGCGAACGGGCTGTTCTACGGGGAAAATACCGGTGACGATAGAGGTACAAGTAGTAGCTCCTTCTGTAGTGACCAGGACCAGGAGCTGCAAGACACTAGTTCTCTGCGGTTAGAATCCGGATTCAACGCGAGGTCGTCGATAAGGAACGACAGAGCGCTGGGAGCCCCCGAAACAAGCTCGGACGATTTCCACTCGGCAAACAGCGGGTTACTTGAACAGATAGACTTGTCGGAAAATAAAAGCGGCTTCAAAACTAACAGTACGAGGAACTTGATTGAACGGTTTGAGACCGGGAATTCGAGAACCTCTCTCATAGGCGATAACAGTAGAGTAAGGTCCACCTCCGCACGACATCAAATAGCTGATGAAGAGGACAGTTTGGAGTACCATTTGAACAGCATAAACAGCCACGCGATGTTGAGCAACAGTATAAGGGCCGCGCCGACTCTTTTGGAAAGTAGGAGTCCAGGCAATGGAAATACCTCGAACGGCAAGCTTCTGAGCATCAAAGGGCCAGAGCGCAAGAACTCGGTCCTGTTCTACCAGGAAGACGATCGAGGTTTGGAAGATTCCAGTGAAGAAAGACAGCAGCAATTGTCGTTCAATTACCTGGACATAAACAGCTACAACAATTCCTCTTCTTCCAGGCAACTATCGAACAGAAACACCACTTCCCCCGGCGCACAACTATCCAGAAACAACAACTCCCGCGCCGCGTCCATCCGTCGCGCGTCCCTCGCGGGCCGGAACAGCCAGAACTCCCCGCTCGCGTTGCTCGACGGGAAAGTGGCGGTGACCCACGTCGCCTCGCGCTCCACCCTGATGATCCAGGCGTTCCATCAGAAAAAGCACGAGACCGGCGTTTGGTTCTACCGCTGGGCCATCAAAGTGCTGAAGTCAGGTCGGCAGGAGCGGCAGAAGCAGCTGGTGACGAAGTGGGGGAGTTATCTGCATAAGCTGTTCGAGAACAACCCCTGTCCGCAGTCCGCGATTCCGCTCCACGGCCAGAAGTACGCCCTGCAGAACACGTTCTACCGGTGGCAACTGCTGGTGTTCCGAACGCGGGAAAACAAAGCAGTTTTCGATCTGGAAACCACGGGGATGCTGAAGGCTATGAACTTTGCGGAGTACAATCTGCAGCACCGGATCCTCCACCTTTTCCAGACCGGAACCCTGAAGGCGCGGCACGAGAGGAAGGAAAAAGAGTTCCTCGAGGAGTGCCGGAAGGAGGAGGAGCTGATCAAGCAAAAGGAGCAGCACCGCCTCGCGGCGGAGGAAAGACGGTTGAAAGAGGAGGAAAGACTAGCGCAGGAGCGGGTGAAACAGCAGGAGCAGGAGTTGATTGAGATGAAAGCGATGGAGGAAGCCGCGGATCTGCGGCGGAAGGCGGAGTTGGAGCTGGAAGAGATGCGAAACCGCGAGCAGCACGCCGTACAGGAGCAGCGGCTGAAGGAGGTGCAAAAGCTGCTGAAGTTGAAAGAGGACGAGGTATTGCAGGAGATGTCGTTAGATAAATCTCTCCGACAGGAGGAGATCAATGGACGGATCCGACTGATGCGTGAGAAGATTGATTTGGACGACGAGGAACTACAGAGTCCGGTGTTTGCAGACGCGTATAGCAATTCCTTGAAGAACTCGCTGGGGATTGTGGTGCAGCAAGGCCCGCCCGGGTCAAATCGGTACAGGATATCGACGGGGAATAATATTTTGGGAAATAATATGAATGCCGCAAGGTCGATTTCCAGTCCCGCTGGGAGCTACAGGGGTGGAAATACTACACGGAGTTCAAGAAGCGCCAGCCCGAAGCAGAACAATTTTTACGGCAGTACCGGTGCGGGTGGGCGACGGTCGTCCGCGGGTGGAGCTGCAGACACAAGAGTTATTTCGCAGGGCAGGGGTTCGTCGTCTCGCGGGCCTACAGGTAGTAGTTCTCGTGCTGCACCCGCAACTACCACAAGTAGAGAAACCGCAAGAAGTAGAGTGACGAGCCGCGAACAGCAAAACAGTCTACTTCCTCCCGGCCCATCGCGCGGAAGACAAGGTAGTAAAAGAGGCGGAGGTTCAAGAACATCTACTATCTCTGCTCCGCGCGACCAGGAATTAGTGGATCTCGACTACATCTACCAGAAGACGCCGAAGCAACTGAACCGGCCGGACGTGGATGAGGTGTTTATGCAGAAGCACTCGATCGCGGAGTTGCGGCGGAACGAGGAGATCATCCAACTGCGAAAACAGGCGGACGAGGTGCTGCGCATGAAGAAGCACGAATTAGATTTGGAAAAACAGAAGTTGAAACAGGATTTAAGGGACCGGATTCTCGAGCAGGAGACGGAGAACGAGAGAACGAAATCCTCGGAGAGGGATCGGTATTTGTCCCTGTTGGAAATGTGCGCCAGTGCGAAGTCCGCGATCAGCACCAGCAGAAAGGAGGTGCGGCAGCTGCAACAGAGGGCAGACTTTTTGACCTCGGTGGCCGCTGCGGGGGAGGAACGCGAGCTGGAGGGATCATCTTCTTCAACACGGGGAAAGAACGAAATAGAAGAAGAGTACAACTACCAGACGGGGCAGCTTCTTCCCTTAACACAGGCGTTACTCGACCAACCGACAGCGAGGAACATGAGGCAGAACGATGTGGAGCAAGATGAGAACACTGGATCCGGGACAGCCACGCAACACTCCTTCCTGACCGAGGAGCAGAAGCGTTTCCTAGAGACGCCCCTGATGGAGACGAATCTTTCTGACCTCCGACCGGTCTCGGTACTGACCAACAGCAGTTCGAAAGGGTCTTTGCTAGATGGCGGTACTAACGCAACAGCAGCAACGTCCGGTAGGAGCGGAAGCTCCAACAACAAGCGGTCAGTCGCTTTTTCTCCGCCGGAAAGGGAAACTGGTTCATCTCCTCTCTCCGACAGAAATTTGAACATCACTGCCGAGGAAATCAGAACGGCTGTTGAGATGAGAAACGTCGACAACAATGCAGAAACTTTGCCATCGAGCGCTAGTAGCACCAGCAACCGCAAGAAGTCCCTTACCCTATCGACAGAGCGGCGCACTTCCGAGCTGAATATTGATCCGAAAAAGAGGCTGAGCACGCATTTCTCCACCGCGTCGCACATCGAGCCGACGGCAACGGCCAATGCCGAATCGGAAGCGTCGAAAGCCGCCCGGGCCACCACGGCCGCGGAAGAACTGGCGAGAATCCTTTCCCGACCGGTTCCAGCAACGTCTGAGCGGTTTGCGATTCCGAAAAACCGGGCGAGCATCACCTCGCCAACGACAACAATCTCCGCCTCCTCGACTCCCCAGCCACAACAGCAGCAGTTTTCCAGTTCCCTACCACCGCGCGCTCGACACCTGTCTCTATCTGCAGCAAACGGCAGTAGTAGTGCATTGGCAGGAGGAGCTTCATCATCCAGAGCTTCCAGAGTGAACAATGCTGCAGCAAGTCAGGCGACAGCGACCGCGAGTGCTGTGCAGAGAGAGGAAGAAGATAGGCTGCAACAGATGCGGACAGATAGAAGTAAAAAGGGGGACTTGACCATACTGGAAAAGACCCGAATAGTGGAACGGGAAAAGATGGCGGAGAAGGGGAAGGAAATCTTTCAGAAAAGGTTTAAGAAATAGGCCAAAATAAAGCCTGTAGAAGGACAAGAAATATGAAATTAAAACCGTAAAATTGCAAGCGTTTTTTTTGAAATTGAAAATGAAATTCGAAATACGACTCTCTTTTTTGTACCTACGTTGTACACTGCAATGTAACAGGAACACTAGTTGTAGTGACCCTGTACACGACGTTTCTGTACATAAGCATGAGCCTTTATCTACTTCTGGCTCTCCTGTACAGTACAAAGTAAAAAAATCTTGACCTACGTGCAATTTCCAATTCTATACAGTAATCCATCTACACTACGACAAGAGTCCATCCAGAGTCAACTTTTCCTTCTCATATAGCCTAGATGAAGATGCTTGCGATCCGGCCCTGCTACCAGAGGTAGGAGTGCTTTGGAATCCACATTAAATGTTTACGTTTCTGTATAGTCTTGCCTGATGGTACTCCTTTGTGTCGGTCGGAAGAGAAATCTCGACCGTGTTTGCTGTTCGCACAGGAATCGCGAAGATGAGAATGATCATGAGCGTCTGCGTTGGCATTAGCGCGAAACAAACGGTCGGTTTGCGGACTAAATCTTTCTGTGACCGCTACGAGAATACCAATACGTCGGTTGGTTGTGATGTTTTCATCTTACACAGGATGTCTCTGTTAGTCCTCGTAGCACTCAAGAACGCTCAGCATCAGCCCTGTACTCCACAACGCGTCGGACTGTGGCATGATCCTCGGTCAGCCTTCCCGCAATAAAAAGTTCGGTTGGACGAGGCCTGCTACAATTTGATGTCGTTCAGTACATACTTATCGGTCTTGTCGTGGTCTTTCGGTTGCGCGTTCTGTGCATAGTGGCGATTTCTGTTGTTCCAGATTTTTGAGGATTTTTACGTCATTTTCGTCGTGCCGTGTCGGTCTGAGTTTATTTTTGAAACTGCCAGAGTCCTCTCTATGTTTATCTGCTTTCTCTTTCTGTCTCTCTGTCCGATCGTAGCAGCTTCTTTCCATCAAAAATCCAGTGGTGAATGGCAATCTTTCTTTGACCAAAAGTCCCAAGATGTCTAGCACCCATTTTGAATTGTTACTCCAAATAACATGAGGATTGAATAAATACCTGTGCACTGTTTTCGTTTTCCCAATCTTGTTTTCTGCATTTCTTATTCCCTCGCAGTATCACATTCACAGGGAAGAGCATTCTCAGTTCTTCAGGTACACATCGACCAGCACGAGAACGTTTTTGATCCACCATGTCTGCGGCTGAAGACAAGGAAGTGAGTGCCGCCGCGGACGGACGCCTAAAAAACGCCTTTAACTCTGCGGAACTCTCCTCCCACACGCCAGAGCAGGTCGATTCCGGTCTTCATCTTGCCGACGAAACTCACCTCCCTGGGCCGGCGAGAAGGCCTACCGCGTTTTCCGGCGGCGGTGCGTCATCTGCGAGGATTTTGTCAAAAAAGCAAGATCCTCACGCTGAGACTTCTTCGGCGGACGAAGCAAGAACCGCTCAGCACTTTCATCCCGGCGAAGGTGACCGTGCAGATGATGACATTCGGCCTCGGAAGTTGGCGCGGCGCACCAGTCCGAGTTCCTGGATAAACTACTCAACAAAGGACCCGGCCTCCTTCCTAACGAAGGCCTTTGGTTTCGCACTCGGAGACGAAGCGCAGCCTCCCGTGTTACGTCCAGGTCTGCAAGAAGATGAACAAGAAACGACCCAAGCGCCTGTTTATTTGCCAGATCATGTTGACCGGGTCGATGCTGAGGACAACTCACTGGCAGGAGGACCTCAAGAGCGATCTTCACCAGGGCGGGGAGCAGATGAAGATCCTCAGCGCATGCAAATTTCAGGTGGTGAAGATTCTTTGAAGTCTATGTCTACCTCCGCCATCAACGGGATGGTGAAAAGAACCGTCTCGCACGACCAGCAGCAGCAGTTCTCCGTCGGCCAAGTCGTTTACTCTGGTGTCTCTGACCACATGTTGCTTTTCGGCGTTCTGGCGCTGTTTGTCTCCTTGTACGTTGTGCTTCGGAGAATGTTGAAAGTTTTCTGCACCCGAAAAATGCTGCAAACACCGCCGACAAACATCAAATTTGGCACGGCGGGCCCAAAGAGCAGGTTCGCGAAGTGTAAAAACCTGAACCCTATCAACTTCGGCCCGTGGAAGAAACGGCAAATAAATAAGTCGATCAGCTTGAGCGAATCCGGCTCGGACTCTGAGTACGACCTCTCTGAAGCGGAGCATTATTCGCCCGTGTAAGTTGTAGCAGCTTCTTCGTTGCGGCGTTTCTTGTTGATGTAGTGAAAAAAGATACAAAAGCTGCTCTGTAAAGTAATGCTGTTGCTGATGAATGTGTGTAGTTTCCAATTCCCTCCTTGATGTATCATTCACGAGCTGGAAGTGGAAATGAATTCGAAAACATCTATCGAATCATGCAGATATTTTGATTGTTGAAACTTTGCTTACACACAAAACTAACTAACAATCCACATGTAAATTCCTTGAAAAACAAATCTCGGTATCGCTTTCGTGCATTTTCTCTCTGTCGTATTGCTATTGGTATTCTCTCCTGCTTTACAAGCCCTATTTTGACATTTGTCAAGATACAAATGTGCAGGCGCAGCACATTCTAAGTGACGATGATCACAGAAATCATACGTCCAAATAGAAGTACAAGTATGTCGTTTACTTTTCTAAACAACTAATGAAGTACAAGCAACTCCATCACAACGTATGACACTAACAATCGTCGCACTACAATTTGTGAAAAAGTACAAACAAAAATATGTGATTTTTCGTGTAGCCAAGAATTGCAGCACCGAGGCCGTGCCTGTTGCTCTTGCTGCCTCAGCTAGAACGGCCTAGCTGGAGGCCCGATTGCTGGCGCGCTTTCGCATCTCCGAGCACTTCGGTCAGGAAGTAGTTTCGCGTTCGGTATGGACCATAACTGCAATAATTTCTTCGGTATGAATCCGGACCGAAATAGGCGTTACTGTTCGGTACGTACACAAAAATAGACTTAAGAACCTCACCATGCGCATGCAGCTTTGATGCTCGTCCAAGATTCTCGGTTTTATATCGTAATCGTGCAAAAGAGAAAGTACTTATCTCTCGGTGATAATTATCGTAAAAATAAACTCTTCGTCCCTTATTCGTGCCCAAACCGTGACACCGTCGTTTTTATCGTGGTTTTCTCTACTTCTAGTTTGAGTACAATATGGTCTATTCAAAAAAACACTCAACTCCAGTGATTGTCCTTTTGTGCGAAAGTTTTTCGTTGCAAAGGCATCAACCTCAACTAGCACTCCAACTTCCCTCCACCGCTTTCAAACAACAAACTCTCCAACCACGCGTACAAGTCTGTACTAACTCGAAATTTCAAAAACTAACGAACACTACTACGTTCACAAACCAAAGAACCTTCCGCAAGGAACAAACTACCTCACCAAAACTACAAACTTTTTGAAGTCTTTGATTTCAAAAAAAACCAACTCCTCTCTCCAAAATGGGTTGTGGTGCATCGACTGCCAACGGAGCGGCTCCGGCCTCTCCTTCCGCCGCGGCTCCGGCCCCGAAGGCCGCTGCTGCCCCCGCTGCGGGAGCGCCCCCGGCTGGTGCGGCGAAGACCCCGGCCCCGTGGACCAATGGAACCGGTATTTCTGGAATGTCAATGTTTCTGTTTTAGGGTTTTAGGATTTAGGGTTTTTGCCAATCTTATTCGTTTCTGTAAACAGAATGTGTTTATGTGTAGTCAACGCGCATGCAGATAGGGAATGTGCCAACGCAGCAAGATCTACTTGAAAGTTGTATAAAGATATGTCGTAAAATGAAGTAGCAATGAATTCCACTTTCAACATTCTCGACGTGAACAACGAAAAACAGGAATCCAATTCTGGTCGCCGTCCGCCTCCCACCGCGATCCCATCGCCATCTCGGGTGATGTGAAGTGCTCCAAGGCGAACCTGAAGAAGGTGGTGATCCTGTTCGACCCCCGCCACCTGGGCTTCAACAAGTCCTTCGTGACGAAAGTGCGTGAAACGCTGTTCAAGCACAAGGAGCGCACCCACGGCGCCGAGGACTGGAACGCAGTCGACACGGCTGCGGGCTACTCGGCGGATTTGAAGATCCGTACCCTGATGATCACGGCCACGCTGAACTCGAAGCCGGAGTTCTGCACCGCCATCGAGGCGGGGATCTTGGGTATAATAAAGTTTCTTCGTGCGACGGCGACAACGCTTTTTTTCTATATCTCTATCTCGTCACCCGAGAACTTCTTCTTCTACAACGTATTTCATGCGAATACAGCACAACCAGGGAGAGCCTACAATTTGTTACGTCGACGCTTGCCGTCCGCAACTCGTTCCTTTGAGTTCTTCTACCCATCATGCTGACAAAAATAAAAAACAGGTATGGGCTTTCTGAACACCCTGGTGGGTTCCGGGTGGAAGGGCGCCCCGACCATGCTGAAGATCGTCGCCGCCGACGACTTCTACCCGGATCCGGACGGTGTTCTGTACAAGCTGTACGGCCAGTACGACGCTGCGGGCAACGGTGGCAAGTCTTCCGCCTGGAAGGCCTTCGCCTCCGCCGGCAAGGCGGAGATCGACGCCATGTTTATCCTCCCGGCAGAAGTTGTGATGTCGCACTAGTAGTGGTAGGTACTAATTGAAAGCATGCTCCTGTGCAGATATTGACAGAATCACGTCGCGGTACTTGTGACCAAAAATCTGCATAACATCAAACAATCCCAGGAGGAATTATTTCATCTCCTTCTGAAATAAAAAAAAAATTTGTGATACGACAATTTATAGTACCACGCGTGCGAAGATCCCAACATCCTTTTGCAATGCATAGTGGCCATGTTGAAGGACAAGTACGAGAAGGACTGCGCGCCGCAGCAGGCGTTCGGGCACCTGGCGGGCGATGCGGGCCTGGACGAGAAGGAGTGCATGGGCGCGATGGGCGACTTGACCAACTTCATCTCCAAGTGCATCCCCTCGGACGCCAACGTGGCCACCAAGAAGTCGACCACCCGCGACGCCAAGACGGAGCTGCCGGCGGAAAACCTGGAGAACGTGATCAAGAACGTGACCTGGCCGTCCAACCGCCGCCCGGTCATGTTCACCATGTCCACCAGCAGCTTCGAGAACCACAAGGCCAAGTTCTCCTCCCAGTTCTTCGACCGCCCGGTGTTCGACCTGGAAGCCGAACTGCCCGATCCCACCGTGTATGCATTGCAAAAGTGTCTGGGTCTGGAAACTTGTGATGCTGGGTGGCGTCTCATGGTCATGATGAGGCTACAACTGCTGGCTTAGCATGACAAGTTTCTGAGCTTCTAGGTGTTGCCTAATCTGCATGACAAACTGCGTTTCTGCATCACAGAACAATGGAGCTCTTGGGTACAGTGCATGACAGATTTAAGAGTCATACCGGACAAGCATGACAAACATGCATTCTTCCAGACCCAGACACTTTTGCATTTTATACCGTGGACGCCGCCCGGACGATTGTCAAGGAGAAGATCATCAACAACCAGGAGGTATCAAATGTAAAAATGTCTGGGTCTGGAAGATTGCCGGGTTTGTCATGCACATTTTGCATGACTCCGCAAGTCTGTGATGCATGCCCTAGCGTCACAGATTTTTAGAGGGCTTCCTGATGCCTATTCCGCATGACAAATGCTCTTTCCGTGCTGCAAAATTTGGACTCTCTTTGCTGCTCATGGAATACAGATTTTTTTAGAATCCAAAATCAGCATGACAAGTTGGATTCTTCCAGACCCAGACATTTTTACATTTGATAGGAGGGTCACCACAAGCGCAAGCCGATCTTTCTGGTGGGCGTGGACGATTTGGACGAGGCTCGCATGACGCGGTTGATGGCCATGCTGAAGGCTTGCGAGGAGAGTGACGCTGATGATGGCATGCCAGAGGTCACCGGCGTCACCGTCCTGATCCACGGGTCCTCCTACGAGGCCTTCACCAACAACAAGCTGACCGGGCAGGCGATCTGCGGGGGCTTGCTGATGGCGCACCTGTGCGTGTTGGCGTTGTCCCCCATGCTGGACCGCCTGACCAACATGTTCCTCGCCCCCTCCAACGAGGCCGTGGTCGACGCGGTGCGCGCCGCCATGGTCCCCTTCTCGGGCATGCACCTGATGTGCACGCACAACGCGCTCGGCCAGGAGATCTCCGACGGGGGGATCATGACCACGGAGTACATGGTGGCCAACCCGGGCACGGGAAAAACCGGCAACCACATGAAGATGATCCAGGACCGCTTCATCAATCCGGTCAAGTTCCAGGCCACCCACAACCGGCAGCTGGTCCTGTCCGACGCCTCGGGCGCCAAGAAGCTGTACCGCCTGCGGTTCGCCACCAAGTACGACTACAACCTGAAGCCCTGCTCCCTGATCATGCCGGCCCGCATCATCGCGAAGCTGTGCCAGACCTGCGCCGAGGAGCCGGCCGCGGTGGGCGACATCACCGCCGACAAGATCACGGAGGTGCTCAACGATTACGCTACGGCCATCCTGCGCGTCGCTGACGGAGGGAAGTTCATCGGGTAAAAATGCACAGCTTCAGTGCCTGTTGTTTTCTGCGAAAATACCAATACGTAGAAACACCTACATGGTGGCACCGATCACTTGACAATAACAAATAACTTAAAAAGTCGAATAAGATTGTTGTACCGGCTTCTCTTGCTTCTTCGTTTTTCTCGCTGCTTGCGAAAGGACGAGGAGCATCAGGTCTGGTATGTGTAAAATATCAAATCTATCGAAGCAGCTTGAGCTTGCTGGTACGGTCGTGCGCGTCATCCCAGCCTGCTCGATGGTAGTATGCAAATTTCGAGGCGGTACAGATGTTTATGAGCACTAACAAGTTTGTCTGCGCTTGCAGATGTGGCTTTCAACAGATGTTTGGGTAAGGAGGAACAAGCATGTGTTAGTTGTTGGAAATCTTTATGGGGCGGAAAGGAATTATTGGGTTTAGGGATCAAGATTTAGCTGCTTAATTATAAGATTCTAGTAGTTTCTTTAAGTTCAGACGTTGCACCGGAACCTGTGGCATTCGCGCTGCCATGATCAAAATGTCTGTTCGATTTCAATGCAGTAATTAGTGTCACAAGTTGTTTATTTACTTTGCATAACATGATACGAGCTTTTTCTGGGAGTCCTGTCGAAGTAATATATTTAATTGAGCTGTACCGAATTTCTGGAGGCACGTATACGACTACGCTTAAATTAGCGAAAAAGACAGCTATCTTTTCATCTGTTTTAAAATTTTGTAAGGCAGAAAAATCTGCAGTACCGCATTAGACTAAGAGCCTCAAGAGCAAAAATTGCACTGCTCTGTAAGTCATGGAACCAGTGAACTAGTCATGCGCTGCTGTAGTGCTGCTCCTGCTACTGCCACCAAAGTGTCACATCAAGCAGTATGTAAAAGTAAAAGCGTAGCCTCTCTCTCAAATAAACCCAAGCGTAATAGTACCAGCAGAAGGTGAAAGAATGGATCTTCTGATGCGCAGGGGGCTTACCCAGCCCGCGCTGTGGACAGAGATTTTTATGCACGGTGATCCCGCGGGACAAGGACAAATTTTTGCTGGATAATTTCGCGATGGAGTCTTTCAAAGAAAAAACAAAGCGCTTGTGAATAGCGTCGAATTTGTAGTGGTTCCCCTCAGCAACAGCAACGGCATATTGCTGACGGCACACCGACACCGAGCAAGAAAACTGTTGCTATTGTCCCGCTCAGTCCGGAAGCGGAGCCAAATTTTTGTACAGTTGCAGCTGCAACTAGTGGGAAGGCTCGGTTAACTGATACTTAGTTGGAAAATGCTGCAGCACCCTCATCTACGAGGTACTTCATCTGATATGGAAAGCTCTTCGGTTTTACTGAAATAGTAAAAGATTTCTCTCGGTTTCGGAACTCTTTGCTCGGTTGATTCGGTAGCGATCTGCAGCCAGGTCGAAGAACCTGTGTGGCTGTCGTGGCTTGCAGCCCTGTGGAGAGATCTCACCGGTCGGCATAGCTTTTACATCGGTCGGCATTGCTTTCATCTTCAGTAGTTAACGTGATACGTGGTCATCTTCATCCATGCACGTTGTCATCTTCATGCATACACAGGATCAGGATGACCTACAACAAACCACCTCTATTTTTGCGATAAATGATGCACAAAATGAGCATTCCACACTAGAATAAAATTTTCTTCGCTCGCCTTGGTCTTTCTTTCTTTGCGCCCTAAATCTTCACTTCTCATTATGTTGCACTACGAAGACAAGCTTTTTCTATCTCCACCCCAAGCTGCAGTACCTACTATGCTTGATCACCACATTGCGGCACCGAGAATGAGATCCAGAGGCACGTGATTGATTATGTCTCAAACTTTTTTTTTGCATTTTGACATTCATCATGCTGATTTATTTCTAAGAACTACCCAAAGTTCGACCTCAAAATAAAACCGCCGAAGAAGGAGCTATGAAGCTAGGGAGTGCGCTCCAGCGTCAGATCCAGGGCAACGAGAAGGACACCCTGAAACCCGTGGCGGACAAGCTGGAGGCTACCCCCTCGGGCGGCGCCCGAATTTCCCCGAAGAATAGCTCGGCCTCCAGTGTGGCGTCCGACGGAGATATTGCGGAAAGCGACGTGACTTCCAAGAAAAAGAAGAAGAAGGAGGAGAAAGACGCTGCCGCTGCCGCTGCAGCTACAACCCCCGCCGGCCCGCGTGCGAGCGCGGCCATGGCTGAGCAACCGCCTGTTGCTGGCGGTGAAGGTACAACTGCACCAGCTGAGGATGCGGCCGTGGTCGTGGCAGACGAGGGGCCCCAGTTAGAGAGCAAGGGGGAGAAGATAGTAGCAAATCGCCCCTCGGCTGCGACTGCTGAACCAGCGGGAGACGGAGCTGCACCCGCAGATGAACAGCATCAAGATCCTGGCACAACTACAACACCGGAAGCTGCTGCTGCTGCCCCAAACAAGGTCCAGGTCCCGGAGGAACTGTTGGAAAACACGGCTCCGGACGGGAAGCGACTCCCTCCGGAAAAGGGCCCCAACACCACGCCCGAATACGTCTCGCAAGCGATGAAGCAGATCAACAATTTGAAGCACGTGAACGCGAGCATCCGGGGCTCCAACGGGCCGGGGGAAGACACGTTTGAGGCGGTCGCAACCGGAAACACCGAGGAAGCCATCAAAATCAACGTGGACAGAAAGTTATCCAACGACTGCATAAGTCTATCGTAGAAGTTGTACGAGGTAGTTGCGCCGTGCTGGAGAAAATGTGCAACGAACGTACTTAGTGCGGGCCCGGTTGATGCTACTTACTGGTGTTACAACATGTTGTTGACAAGATCGAGTCGTGTCATCTATGAATCAGTAGCAGTGCAAGCATTTTCATATATATGAAATTTTGATGTCGTGGCTTTGTGTTTGTTTGGTTGCACCCAGCCACCAGATTTAAAGTTATGTTAAACCCAAGATGAACAGACTTTCGATACTCGTTTTGCCTCGTTGGATAACATTCCATGAAGCGGACGGACACCCAGGAGGAGGATTATCAGGGTATGAAACCCGCCGCCGGGGCGGGGCAGGGAAGCCACCCCAGCGGTGCACCAGATATAAGCAAGAGTTTAACGAAGAGTCAGATCACCGAGGTTGTCACTGCGTCAAACCCGAAATCCAAACAGAACGTGTCCTACACGCAGACGTCCCTCTCAAAGTACCGCGAGGACGCCAACAGGTCGCACCAGTGGGCCCTGCCCGGCGCAGGGAAGGATATGCTGGACGAAGTGGCGCAAAAGTTGAAGACCCGGGACCCCGCCAAAATCCAGGAGTCGCTTAACAGGCTAAACGAGAAATTGCAGGAGACAAACCGCGACCAGGCCATCGACGCGCCGGCCGCGCCGTTAGGCAACGACCCCATTCAAAGCGACGCGCCGCCACCCTCGGGGAAGGGTGAAGAAGAGCCTGCTATCCTGTGGAAAAACGTACTACGACCCAGCTCAGATACATTGTCAGGCTGGGAAGTCTGCAAGACAAATCCAAGAGGTTTGTTCTTGAGAGGACTCACACATGACAACAAGTTTGATGATGGCCGCTATGCAGTCATATGCTTAGTCGTGCCTAGCTAGATTATTTGCTTCACGGAGCCACTGTTTTACCTTGATTATTAGCACGTGACGAACTTCTTTCGCAACCGTGGATAAGTAGAAAATTATGGCTCGCCTGCGGAGCCGCATGAGACGCATTCTGAGCATTCAGCTGTGCATGACAATGAATATGGGGCCGCGGTTACTAGTACGCTTTTCCACATGATATCTACCATACCATATCGCCCACCCACGACAATGCAGGACGAGCTCCCCGCGCCGGAGGTGTCGTATCAACCCCCGGACAAGCCGGCGCCGACGGGGCTGTCAGCCTACGACTCGGCGCCCGCGAAAACGGACTACTTGAAAAACCCCATAAACCGCAACGTGAACAACCCGGACGGCAAAATCGCGCTGGGCCCCGGGGGTCCCCTGAATGCGTATCCGACCAAGGCAGCCAATACGGACTACCTGAACCAGAAGAAGGCGAGCATTTCCCCGGTAGCCGTGACCCCGATGGGGACGAACACCGCTTACCCGACCAAAGCGGCGGATACCAATTATTTGAGCATGAACAAAAATACCGGCACCTCCGCGGGCGCGGTGACGCCGCTGGGAACAACGGGATATTATCCGACGAAAGCGGCGGACACGAACTATTTGGGGATGAACAAAGCCGCCGCGGGGGGAAACTCCGCAGCCGCCGTGACCCCGCTGGGAACGACGGGATATTACCCGACGAAAGCGGCGGACACCGGGTACTTGAGTACTATGAAGAACAAAGACGGGGGCACATCGGCGGGCGCGGTCGTCCCTCTGGGTACCGGAGGGACGGCGTACGCAACGAAACCTGCCGACATGGGCTATTTGGGCAAGCATGTCAACGCAGCGACGATTGCTGCACCGAGCAGCGGTACAACTGGTGGGCAGCAACAACAGATTGTCAGCAACTTTGCCGCAGATAATTCATCTCCGGGGGGAGTTGTTCGCGCTTCGGCCGCGGAGAAAATATTAAGTGGGCCGAGCACGACGACACCTGGGTATACTAGTAATCAGCCCGGCGCAGCAGGAGCCTCTGATCAGAGTATGGACTCATCTGCGGATAGCGGCGAAGAGGATACTACAACTACAGATGCAGCAGGGAGGCGAATCAAGAAGAAGAAAGAGAAAAAGGAACACAAGCACAAAAAAGAGAAAAAGGAACACCGCCACAAAAGTCCGCAGGTAACCACAACATCTGCGACGAAAAGCAGGGCGGAGCCGCAGCACTTCAACCGGACAGATTCGAATAGTGGTATGTCCTTGAAGGACCAAATCGCGAAGAACAAGCAGGCGAAAGTCAAGGCCTGGCCTCAGCCGAAGCCACCGAGTAGCAACGCCGTCGGGAACAACCGCATGCCCATGGGGTTGCCGACGAACAAAACCTTCACGCCTCTGGGGTTCAACAAGCCCCTGAAGGGGATAACGAACGGCGACGGCGCCGGCAACAAGCCCCAGAGACTCGACATCGAGGCGATCCGGGCCGGCATGAAAAATCCGGCGGTGAAGCAGGAGGGCCCGGAGGACTGGTCGGCGAAATTGAAGCCCTCGCAGCCGAACGAGAAGCCGAAGGACCGGCAGTGCAGTGTGCACGCGGACGAGGCGGGGCTGCAGGACGAGCAGCGGGTCAACAAGTTCCACGAGCCGCCACCGCAAGACAATCCGGTCTTCGCGAAGAAAAAGTTAAAAGTCGTCGCGAAAAACTACGACCTCGACGGATTCGGGAAAAAGGAAGAAACTTCGCAAGCCCCGGCTTTCGCGAAGTTTCAGCTGCGGACCGTGGAAAAGAAGCCGGAGGACCACAACGTCAAAGAGGAGCCGAAGTTGAATTCGATGCCGATCGCCCCGCCCAAAACCGGCTCGCCGGAGAAGACGAACAACTTTAGTCCCTTCCAAAAGCAGCTGGCGCGTGGGGCGGGAGGAGGAAACATTGTGATCCCTAGTAAGGGGTTTGAAGACGACAACGTTGAGGTGATTGTCAGCACAAATTCGTCCATGGGCGGAGCAGCAGCGATAAATGCCTCCCTGAACAACAATCAGCAAGAACAGCAGCTGCCGCCGACGAAGTCGGGCGTCCTGTTGCCAACGCCGACGTCCTCGGCGGGGACGGCGGGATTGCTGTCCCAAACGGCGAGTTTGAACAAGGACCAGGCAGCTGCTACTGCTGCTACAGAACAGGCGAAAATCACCGGCAGTATTGCGGAGGAGAAGCGCGCGCCCTTGAAATTCGGCAATTTGCAGGCGGATGCGCCGCTGGAGGGAATCAACGAGAGTTTTGCGAACAACAAAGCGCGGCCTGCGCCGCAGTCTGCGAGCCCGATCTTCCAGAAATCCGACTCGCCGCCCCGAAAGAGCGGCTCCAAAGCGAGCCTGGTGGATCCCAGCCAGGTTTTGAGCCCCGCACAGCCCCCGAACGAGATCCAATCACAAATAGCCGCCAATAAATTGGAATCCACCGGAAATCATGGCGGGAACAAAACTAAGCCACCAGCAGAAGCGGTGGCAGAACCGCAACCGGCGAAAGAAGTGGTGCAGCAGCAGCAAGCACCACCGCCGAAGGCCGCGGAGCCCCCAGCGCCCCCGGTAACGAAAACCCCGCCACCCTACATGGCGCCCGCGCCAACCGCAAATCCCGGCGACGGGTCGGACCCGCTACGGGATCACTTCATGGCTTTTTTCGAGTCGAACGAGGTCATGAAGGTGCTAGAGTCGTTTGACAACTTCCAGCAACACTGTGAGCAGCGGCTCCGGGAGAAGAACGTCGATCCGAAGTCCTTCGAAACGAAGGTGGCGATGCTCGCCGCCGCCGCGGAACTGTCGGGGCTGAGCTTTCGCATGAAAAAAGTGATTAATGATTTAGTCCCGATGATGAAGAAGCGCAAAGCGTCGAAGCCGCTCAAGGACCCGAACATGCAGGTCATTGTGTCCGGCGCGGGGCCCGTGGGCCTGCACACTGCTTTGGACATCTACATGCTCGGGTTTGCGAACGTCACGGTGGTCGAGAAGCGGAACACCTTCTCCAGACACAACATTCTCACGATGTGGGCCTGCACCGCGGAGCACGTGCAGGTGGTGTATAACTGCCGGGAATTTTTCCCGTTGTTCTCGCATAGAGACAAACTACCACATTTGGGGACAAGAGAACTGCAATTAACGTTATTGAAGTGCGGTTTGCTCGTCGGAGTGAAATACCTGTACAATTGGGAGACGATCGGGCTGGAAGCACCGCCGGTTTCCGGGAGTTCTGGAACGTGGACGGTCGGGCTGAAAAAACCCGCGGGAAGGGTAGAGCCCACCGGGGTGTTAGATTTGAAGGCCGGAAAGTTCGAAGATGCCAAGGCGAGGGCAGCAGACGGGGCGTGTGGGATGATTGAGGTATTTTTACAGAGCAGGATGCTTCACGACCGCATGGCATTATTGTTCGCTGCCTGGCACGATTCGGCTTCACTTCTATTAGCTTTTGTAATATTAAAGGAAGACAACTAGATAGTGTTGATGATGAGACCTACGTAGCGTATGTACTTGAATACTTACTTGACCCTAGCATCATTCAAATAAACCAATGAACTACGACGTGCCAAGAACCTTGTTCCCTCTACTCACAGGTAAACACGTTCGACCCGACCTTTGCGGTGTCGAATGGCAAGCTCGCCGCCTCCAAACCTGACATGACCATATCAGCGGACGTGCTAGTTCTCGCGGAGGGGGAGACTAGCGCGAACAGTAAGAAACTCGGGTTCACGAAGAAAATCCAGAAGTTTTCTCGCGCTATCGCGATCGTTCTCAACCTCTGGCGAGATGCGAAAAACAAGGCCGAGAATAAGGTGCAAGATTTCACTGTGCAGGGGGCGTTCAACAGCCCCGCGGCAACGGCGCTGAAAGCAGCTGGGATTGATTTCGAATTTATGGAATACCTACGGGGGACAACGCACTACGTCGCGATTTGCGTTATGAAAAAGACACTGCTCAGCAAGAAGGTCTGCAAGGAAGATATCGGCGGGAAGGATTTCATCGGACGGGACAACATCTCCGAAGAGAACCTGTTCAAACTCGGTAGGGAAATTGTCACGGCGATTGGACTTCCAACGACAGTGCCTTTCTGTGATTTCCACGGGGCGAAGATGTTTGACTTCGGCTCGAGAAGCTCTCTACCTTTGCCGTTTCGAATTCTTGGGGAGTCCACCGCAACACCGGGGAAAATATTATCCATGGACTACTCCGCGGAACCGCGACTCGCCTTTGTCGAGACAAACTTCCTCGAAAAGACCATCGCCTGGTTGGACCGGACGTGTTTAGAAAGGCGGCACGGCTTGCAATTCGTCTCGGACACGCAAAAAGCCAGGGAGACAACAACAATCGAGAAGTTTGAGGCGGAGAAACAAGAGCTAAAGGAGCAATTGAACGGTTTCAACGCCGACTTAGCGATGGTGAAGAAGGAGAACCTATCAAATGTAAAAATGTCTGGGTCTGGAAGAATGCAACTTGTGATGCTGCGTCTGCATTATCCAAAAATCTGTATTGCATGAACAGCAAAAGAGGTCTGGTTTTTGCCACGGCGAGAGGGCATTTCTCATGCGGTATAGGCATCAGGATGTCCTCAAAAAATCTGCGATGCTAGAGCATGCATCACCGACATCCGGAGTCATGCAAACTATGCATGACACACCTTGCGCCCTTCCAGACCCAGACATTTTTACATTTGATAGAACCCGAACCCGAAAAAACTGCTCCCAATTTTCCCCGTGGGTGACGCCTTGATGGAGCCCTTCTGGCCCCAGGGCACGGGCATAAACCGCGGGTTCCACACGGGAACCGACGCGAGTTTCTGCATACTACAGTACAACATGGATCAGGACTTATCCCAGGCGTTGCTCTCCGCCGACTTTTGCTACCGACAGAAATCCTGTTTACTGTTAGGGCCGGAGTTAAACCAGAAAGTGGAGGATTGGAACAGCCGGCCTTGGAGTCGGTACTTGAACCTCGCCGGGAATCTCCAGTCCTACACCATGACCGACCAGGAGCTTGCCACGGTGAAAACTGCGGCCATCGACCTGGACCAGAAAACCCGGCTGCAGTGCATCGAAAACCCCTGGCCGGTGATCCCCAATTACGTCGGAAAGCCTGGGCCGCTGCAGAAATTCGTGCTCACCGCGATAACGCCGGAGGAGGACCGGGAAAAGATACAGATTGCCTTTAAGGACGCATTATACATTCCGCGGCCGATAAAAGCGTTCGGCCGCAGCTGTTGTCCACGAGCGATCGAGAAAAAGGTGACGAAAAAGGAGCTGAAGGCGGACGCGAAGAACGCCATGAAGGAAGACAAAGCGGCCATGAAGGGGCAGGGGATGGGGTACAGGTAGCGACAGCTAGGTGTTTTGCTTTCTCGCAGCTACAGGTTTTTTTTTCTCTCACCCCCCTTTCGGTCTTTCGTCTTCTGAACTACAGCCTCATACGCCTTACCATTATTCTCATCGGCTGCTTCTACATTTTTTGTACCATAGTGACACACAACAGCTGGTGAAAATTGGATTGCTGGCTCTTATGACTGGAAACCCACCTCCTTTACAGCACTGTCTATGTCAGACTGTCTTTGGCAGTACTGAAGTCTACATTTCGGATTTTTGACTTACCGCGCTAGCTCCTCCTTCCTGCCTGGTGCAAGGGAGTAGAGAGATAGCTCGTGTAACTTTTTCTCTACACGCTTTCTCAGAGATTCTGGCTCTCTGCTTTCTACGGACCACGTCTATTATACTTCCATACATTAGGTCAAATTTAAATTTCTTTTTTGCAGGGGCTTACCTGCCAGGTAATACTTGGCCACATAGAGCGCAGCAGTATCGTCCCTAAATAGTCAATGTTCAACCGCGCCGCTGCAGAGTAAGGGAGCTATATCAACAGCACTACACGCCAATCAAGTGTACAAGCGGCCTGGCAGATCTGCTGAACAATCTCAAGTGTGGTTAAGTGCACCTACAGAACACAATGGCGCGCAGAAAGGCGTTTGCGCACATTTTGCCTTCTTCAGTAGTTCCAGGTATAACTACAGATGGGGTGTTGGTGTTCGAATGCGGCTGAGGCTGTAACGACCTTCCAGCAGGCCGTGCGGATGAGCAGAGAAAAAGGAAAGGGAGCATGATGAAGCTTGCTGCCAAGCGTCAAATTGAACACTTTTGAGCGACAAGGCAGAGTCAGAGATCATGCATCAAGAAGAGTTGTCGCCCTCTAGTAGTGCATGGAAAGAGAGTAGAGCGACACTGCGACGGTGGGAGAGATAGAGTGCAGACGGCGGCCGATGCCTGCGCTTCCATGTGTCCTTAACCGTTTTTGATCTAGCTTGCGCACCGGACCTACCTGTCCTGGTGCTGCGCCCGGTTGTTTCCGGCAGTTGATGTTTAGAGGCTGCCTGCCGGGGCCGCCTCGTTTCTTCCCGCGAAAAAGCCTCAGGGGCTAACGTTTGCCGGTCTGGTGATCAATCCGGGCGCTGGTGGCATCTCGAGAAGATAGGGCGGCCGCGCCGCGAAGCCACGGCCCCGAACGCCGGCGCGGAGCCCAAGCAAGGGGGCGCGGTCGTTCGTTGGATCATACCGCTACCCGCTGCGAAGTCACGCGAACGAGACCACTGCCCAACTCCTCCCGGCACCGACTACGACTGCGCACCACTTGAAAAAGAAAACTCAAACTGCAAAAAGTATTCCAATTCCGAAGAAAATGCAGCCAAAAAGTTACTAAGTCTGCCGAGCCTTGCCAGTACGACACAGATTTGGAGCACTCCGAGCGTCCCACATGCATCGCGCAGCACTCGCGGCAGCCAGGGAAGCGCTCGCGCCCGCGTTTTGGTTCGGCGGTTGGCTCCCCGCCCCCGGTGGGGGCGTCCTAGGTGTGCCAGAAAGTCCACAGCGGCCACGCTGGTGGTGCCTGGGCTGGGTCCGTGCCGCGAGGCGTTGGGGGTGCATCCTCGTGGCCGCGCCGTCTGTATAAGTTCTATCTCCGTTATCACCTCCGCTGGTGGCGCGTGCGTGCGCGCTCTCGTCTTGCGCTATTGGCTGGCGGTGCCGATGGCCGCGAGAGAATGCGTGCCATTTGCGCTTCGTCTTCGCGCGAGAGACCGGAGCGGCTATTTCTTCTTGCGCCAATCCATGTCCATCGGCGCGCGTTGGTGTTGTTGGAGAGTGATTTTCGAAGGAGCGTATTGCTTCGTTTGCGACTACTTTCTTACACTGCTCATGCGGCTCTGGTCGCTTCCTTTGTTCGCTTGCCGCTGTGCCTGAAACAAATGATCATGAGACGCATGCGAGGCAATGTCATCAAGATGTGTAGTCAAGGACAAGCTGTCTCTGATGAAAAACAAAAATAAACAGGAGCTCGGTTGTTTTCCCGTCGGTAGTGATATTAACAGGGATGCTCGGTGGATGGTTTAAAAACGTGTAGGGCTCCACTAGCAGTTGTAGCGCCAGGCGACAAAGAAGTACGGTTCTTCAATACTACCTAGATACAGTGATGATTGTTGTGAGCAACAGCAAGAGCTGTCGGTGAATGGCGATCTTGCTTATCGTAGTCGGCGTACTCATAGAGCGCTCTTGTGACCATCTCTCGTCGGTGTGCTCGAAAAGTGTCCAGCTACGTCATCGTGGTCTGTGAAAAGCGACATGTCGCGATCTTGCCTGTTGCTGTATTTTTTTTTGCAACTACGATTACGAAGGTGATCACGTACTTGATCTGCCTTAACATTCTTCTCGCAAAACGCCCTGCAGGATCATTTTTGTATGCCTACACTACGCTGGTGGGACCTGCTCTTGAACTTTTTTGTTGTTCGATGAGTCATTGCGCCACAAGAGATCAAAAGTATGTAAAAGCAACATCATCTTTATCTTTTCTACCGCACTTCTCGACTGCATCCCTCATCACTATTTCAAATTCAAGATGTTCCTAAAATCCTCAAAAGGGGTGACAAAAAAGAACCCTCACCGGGTGGACCTCGAGGGGGTGCGTGCCGGTCTCCAGTACAACGTCCGGATGCGTAACCCGTGGATGGTGCAGGAGGGCCCGGAGGACTGGTCCGCGAAGCTGCGCCCGGCGCAGACGAGTCGCATCACCGATACGGTGAACACCCGGGAGCTGGTGAATCACATTCGGGCTCTGGATAACGAGCTGCGGATGCTGGACGGCTACGAGATGCCGGGGTCGCAGGAGAAAGAAATAGACCACGATCAGCTGTACGAAGACGGGTTCTACGAGCACGTAAGGAAGGAATCCCTGAGAAGGAAAACCGCAGTGTATGCAAGAGAAAAACTGTGTCAGTGTAAATCTGTGATGCAGAACATGCAACAGAGTTACACCTGTCATGCCAGACAGCCATGCCGTCCTCTTTTCATGTGAGTGTGTTTTCCCTGGCTTACAAACCACGCATGACAGGTTTTCTCTGTCATGTAGAGCAAATTTGTGATGCTGCCAGCCAAAGAAAGTTACACGAAGAACGCAGTTTTTTTCGTGTATACAGTGTCGCGGACCTACAACTACGACCCGGAGTTTGGAAAAAGACAGAGTACTAGACGGGAAACGAGAACGACAAAAACGTTGCCCACCGAACAGGAGCAAGCAGCAAGGCCAACGAAGACAAACGTTGGTGATTTTCGATCGAGTGTTCCTGCTGCGGCGCTGGTGGGTGCGGATCATAAAGTTTCTGCTGCAGCACTTGCAGATACACTTACACAGCACCCGGCTGTTGAGAAGATGCTGAACAGTAGCAACAGCGCAAATGACAACTTCATTGACCTTGCATTGGCAGAAGATGGCAGCAGTAGTACGTCCAGAAAGGCTCTGGTTTTTTCCGAGCGTGAAACAGCTTTTCCGAGGGCAACAGCAAGCAAGGTTTTGCACCCGGCCCCGCCGCCGGCGGAGATCCAGACCCAGGTTGCAACAAACAAGTTGTTCCGGAAAACGCTATCCTTCGAGGGAGAAAACTGTTTTAACAAGTCCCCACTACTGGCGCCGTCCCCAGCGGTTCCTCCACGACCTCCTGCTGCCGCGACGCCAATAACGACCACGGGAGCTCAGCAACGACCGCACTCGCCGAACATCAATACGAGGCCACCGGCGGAACAGACGCAGATGGGATTGAATAATTACGCAACTCCTGCTCCAAGAACTGCACCCCCGACCGCACCGCCACCGAACACGACGGCGCCACCTGCTGCTGCAGCTGCTGCATCACAGCCACCTGCTCCTATTACTACAGCAGCCGCAGTTGTCGACGGTGGAGGAACTGGTGATCCTCTACGGGACCATTTCATGGCTTTTTTCGAATCCGACGAGGTAATGAAGGTGTTGGAATCGTTTGCGAATTTCAAGTACCACTGTGAGCAGAGGTTGAAGCAAAAAAACGTCGACCCTAGGTCTTTTGACACGTCTGTCGCCATGCTAGCCGCCGCAGCGGACTTGTCCGGGCTCTCGTTCCGCATGAAGAAGGTGATTAACGACCTGGTGCCGGTAATGAAGAAGCGCAAAGCGTCGAAGGGGCTGAAGGACCCAAATATGAAGATCGTGGTTTCCGGTGCTGGGCCCGTGGGGCTGCACACGGCTTTGGACATCTACATGCTCGGGTTTGCGAACGTCACGGTGGTGGAGAAGAGGAACAGCTTTTCCAGGCACAACATCTTGACTATGTGGCCGTGCACTGCGGAGCATGTGCAGGTGGTGTATAACTGCCGGGAATTCTTCCCGTTGTTCTCGCATAGAGACAAACTGCCGCATTTGGGGACGAGGGAACTGCAATTGACATTATTGAAGTGTGGTTTGCTCGTGGGCGTGAAATACCTGTACAATTGGGAGACGATCGGGCTGGAAGCGCCGCCGGTTTCTGGGACCACAAACGGAGGAACGTGGACTGTCGGCTTGAAGAAGCCCCAAGGCAGGGTAGAGCCAACTGGGGTGTTGGATTTGAAAGCCGGGAAATTCGAGGATGCGAAGGCGCGGGCGGCGGACGGAGCGTGTGGAATGATTGAAGTAAACACGTTCGACCCTACGTTTGCCGTGTCAAACGGAAAGCTTGCTGCTTCCAACCCTGACTTGACCATCGGTGCGGACGTGCTCGTCCTGGCCGAGGGCGAAACCAGTGCGAACAGTAAAAAGCTCGGGTTCACGAAGAAGATTCAGAAATTTTCCCGCGCGATAGCGATCGTGCTGAACCTGTGGCGGGATGCGAAAAACAAGGCGGAGAATAAGGTGCAAGACTTTACTGTTCAAGGTGCGTTCAATAGCCCCGCTGCAACGGCGTTGAAAGCGGCGGGGATTGACTTTGAGTTCATGGAATACTTACGGGGGACAACGCACTACGTCGCGATTTGTGTGATGAAGAAGACGCTGCTCAGCAAGAAGGTCTGTAAGGAGGATATTGGCGGGAAGGATTTCATTGGGAGGAATAACGTCAGCGAGGAGAACCTGTTCAAACTCGGCAGGGAAATTGTCACAGCGATTGGACTCCCGACGACCGTGCCCTTCTGTGATTTCCACGGGGCGAAGTTGTTTGACTTCGGGTCTAGAAGTTCCTTACCATTACCGTTTCGACTCCTTGGTGAGTCCACCGCAACACCGGGGAAAATATTATCCATGGACTACTCTGCCGAGCCGCGACTTGCTTTTGTGGAGACGAATTTCTTGGAAAAAACTATCGCTTGGCTGGACAGGACAGTCCTCGAAAGGAGGCACGGGCTGCGGTTTGTATCGGACACGCAGAAAGCCAGAGAGACGACGACGATCGAGAAATTCGAGGCGGAAAGGATGGAGTTGAAAGAGCAACTGAACAGTTTCAACACTGATCTCGCCATGGTGAAACGGGAAAAGCCAAATCCGAAAAAACTTTTACCCATCTTCCCCGTTGGCGACGCCTTGATGGAGCCCTTCTGGCCCCAGGGAACAGGGATCAACCGGGGCTTCCACACCGGTATGGACGCGAGTTTCTGCATTTTGCAGTACAACATGGACCAGGATTTGTCGCAGGCGTTACTGTCCGCGGACTTCTGCTACCGACAGAAATCCTGTTTACTGTTAGGGCCGGAATTGTCGCAGAAGGTGGACGAGTGGAACAGCCGGCCCTGGAGCCGGTATCTGAACCTCGCCGGGAAGCTGCAGTCTTACACTATGACCGATCAGGAACTGGCGGCGGTCAAACCCGCGGCAATCGACTTGGACCAGAAAACGCGATTGCAGTGCATCGAGAACCCCTGGCCAGTGATTCCGAACTTCGTGGGGAAGCCGGGGCCGCTGCAGAAATTCGTGTTAACGGCCATAACGCCGGAAGAAGACAAGGAGAAAATACAAGTCGCGTTCAAAGAGGCTTTGTACATCCCCCGGCCGATCAAAGCCTTTGGAAGGAGCTGCTGCCCAAAGGTGATTGAGAAAAAGGTGACAAAGAAGGATTTGAAGGCGGACGCGAAGAACGCGATGAAAGAGGCAAGGTGAAATGAGAAAGCCTTTGGTACGCGTAGGATTTCTGTCTACCTCTACATTAATTGGCAGCTTGATGGCAATTGTCCATGATCTGTTTTACGCACGTTGACCTCTCCTGCACACTGCCTCTTGGCACGCCATACACAGCTTGCACGTGAATGCGGAGGGAAACAGTGGTCCTGTAAAAAATCTTCAACGCCTGTTGCTGTCAAAGTACATAATGCAGCAGGCAACCTGATGCACGAAAAGCTAACCTGGTTAGCTTTATTTCGTTATGGTTGTTCTTTTGAATCGGTCGCGCGAATATGTTTAGCGATCTTGTTGCAGCAGCTGAGAAACCGAATGAGAAGAGTCTTTTGTTTGTGTAGATGTCATAGAGCCGAGCATGTTGAGCTTGAGCGTGACTAGTCCACCACTGACTGAGAGCGGGAGAAAAAGTGGATGAGGAAAGCAACGCTCAGAGAGGTGGATGATGAGAGCTGGTAGAAGAGGTAGGCTTGTCAATTTTCGTGCTCGGGTAGTTTCTTCAGTGCGTGCGATGTGGCACAGTTGTGGCTTTGCTGCATGGTGGGGCTCCCGTGGCCAACGCCGGGGGCCGTACGTGCCTGCAGTGACGCTCGCGCGACGGACGCGGAGACGGAGCTTGATGCTACGCGGGCGAGAGCGGGGGCGTCACGTGTGCGCTGTAAGTGACTGCCATCGGGCACAATGTTTCTCGGCGAAGACGTCGCCGGGGCGGCGCGGCCGGAGCGGCGAGCTGGTGCAGCAATGGTCTCGGGCGCCCTGTTTTCCTACGGCCGTTGTGCGAGATGCAGGAACAGAGGCGGAAGACGAAGGCGCCCGCGGGCGTCGGGGCGCCGTGATGGGTGATGAGCAGCGCCCCCCGGCGCCTACGTCGCTTCACAATTATTTCAATTACATCAAAAGGCAAAAGATGCTATACCGTAAGGCGGCCGGCTACTTGATCGGCGCGCGCAACAAAGGAGCGCGCCGCTATAATGTGTTGGCCCAGCCACTGCGCGCCCGCCCCCGCCGGCCGCTTCTGATCTAACTATCTGCGGGCGCCCCTCGAGGGGCGCGCAAAGGCGCCCGCGGCGACACGCTGCCGCGGCTTTCCGGGGTTTTGTTTCGACTCTGCCGGCGCGGCGCAAGGCTGGCTGCCCGTGAAGCCCTGCCATCGTATATGCCCTTTGTTGTTTCGCGGCTGCAAATTTTTGTTTGTCTCGCGATCGGTAGCTCGCGCGCCAGCAATCCACTACTTGGCTGGGGCCGGCCGCTTCATCCCTTGCTTTGGCGGGCGCCGCGGGCCATCAGCAGCCGGCGCGTAGATTTCGGCTTGTGGCGGACTAGTAAGCCTCCGTTGGTACTAGGTGTTAACGACTCGACTCACCCATAGCTCTGCTTTCGGGTTGACATGGTGCGCGTTGTGTTGTTCCTTGTTGTGTTGTTGTTACTACAGTGCCTAGTTTTAGCAGGAGGATTTCTTTGGTGGTCCACCCACTCGCATCTTCGCTCGTCACGTGAATGAGAGAAAACCAAACCGAGGCTGTATCTCGCATTTTCAATGACAAGATTGCGTGGAAACGCCCTAGGCGGGACCGCAGCCTACGAAATTAATATGCAATTCTTGGCAGCAACAGCATCCAGTTCCAGGCACAGTCAGGGATTCTTCTTCCGCCGTGGTTAGAGCTATGAGGAGAGACAAATTTGTTCGGCGCCGTTTCTACCGAGGGAACCAACCTCCGCTCGAAGCGATGCATATTTTTGATCTGACTCCACGAGAAGAACTTTCGTGGATACAATTTCAGCTTCTACTCTAGACCATAAGAACATAGGTTAGCTTTGAATCAGCGTCCGTTTCGTATGTGTTGAAAATCGGTTCCGCCTTTTTCAAGTTGCGAATCCACTACAAGTGCCAGCTCCTTGAGGCGAGGAATCATCACCGGACTTACCCGAAGTCGGAGACGGCTTTCGACTTGTGGAAGGAAGGACCCACAGCAGCAGAGTCACCACCTATCTCTCCCTGCGCGGCGTGTTGCGTCAAGCACGCCCTTGCGGGCTTCCTGCGCAGCGCGAGAGTTTGCAGAAAGCTGTACTGCTGCCGCAAGCACGCGCCAGTGCAATCTTCCGACGTCCTTCCAGTCTGGGGATCCGTTCACAGTCACAGTGCGTCCCTCTAGAGTTTCACTGCAGTGGGGCAGCAACGCTCTGAAGCGGTAGATAATTTGGACACGAGCTTGCAGTGGCGGCAAAGTAGCGCCTAGTGCGGAACTACCGGTATCACGACAATCGGAGAGCAACTGCTGGCGTCACCAGTTCGTGCGCTAGCAGCAAACTCCTTCTGCGGCTAGCTACCCGCCGGGCGACAGCTACTGGCTCTTTCCCACCTGCAGGGCGCCCCTGCTGATTCTGCAAGAAGAAGAGAAAGAGGCTGCACGAAGCTAGCTCGACCTTCACCGAAACAAAAAGCAAGTCGCTTTCGTCCACTTCCACAAAGGACGCCAAAAGTCGGAATTAGATAAAAGCACTTCCCTGTTGGCGTAGACAACGACGACTACTTCCCCAGGGCTGTAGATCGACTGAGTCGAAAAACACGCGTAGTTCCTGCGTGCGCGCACAAGAACTTCGGCGAGTCCTCGTAAAACCAGTTTACAACTACCATCCGAAGTCTGCGGTAAGAACAGCTCATTTCTCTCACGGCACAAACAGCCACCAAACGCAAAGATGTTGGCGGGTCGCAACAGCTCCTCGCTGGAGGACTTCGACTTCCTCATCCGGCAGACGGAAACCACCCTGATGCAAGTGCTCCGCGCGAACAAGCGGGAAGCGTACGAAAACACGGAGGAGTCCGCGCAAAAGGCGATGGCCATCACCATGCGGGCCCAGAAGTCCGCGAAGCTGCACGGGATATTTTCCGGGTGGTACCGCCAGTGCATGAGGGGAAAGTTGTCGGAAAGGGATCACTACTGGAAACTGCAGGTAAAGATGGAATTACTTATTTTGCGGCTAAGATGCGAAAATAATCTGTTGTAGGTGCAGCATGACAGAAATAAATCTCTTTCATGTTGTACATACAGGCAGGACAAATCTACCGAACAATGCAACAAATTCCAGGTCGCCAGCCTCAAAACGAAGACAAGTCTCGGGCTCCAGCGAGCTCTGGGTGCAATATCAGACAAGACAAGTAGTGCGGTGTTGAAGTTTGCGTTTGTATCCTGAGTAAAAACGTACCCACACCAGAGTCAGGATGGGGATTTTGCAACACAAACCTAGGAGTTTTGTGAGTCACGCATGACAAGTTTCAGTCCGTAAGGTAGTGCAAGTTAGCAAGGAAAGCCGCATCACAAATCGACCTTCTGATCCTGTTTACAGCATTACAAGTTCCCAAAAACGATTGAAAATGCCTGTCATGGGGTTGCGCATCACAAATGTTCCTGTCATGGCAAATCTGCATGACAACTCTGGGGTGGGTACGTTTTTACTCAGGATAGTTTGAAGCTTGGAAAGAGGAAAGGGCAAAATCTTTTCAGGAGAGATACCGCATGCTGCTCTACGAAGTGAAGCATAAGGTAGGAGAAATTCTTGTTTTTCATCGGCTGTTGTTTGTGTTTGTCATGTGTTTTCCCAATATTTATCAATATGCAGTTGCAGTATGTGATTTTTCGTGTACACATGGACATGAAACAACGCAAATGCATTCAACGTTTTTACCAGGGCGCCGCGCAAATGAAAAGGATACTGACGCACATGTGCGGAAACAACGATCTAGTTTTTGCCCGGACGATCTTTATCGGCTGGAAAGAATTTGTGCAGGAGCAGCTGACAAAAAGGAGAGAAAACAGCTGGAGGTACTTACTACACATAGTAGCACCGCTTACTTTGTTTATTGTGTTGCATGACTTCGTCCACTGGTAGTGCACACATTCACTCCAGAAGCACATGACAAATACACATTTTTCCATCACAACATTCTCTAGGTCTGCCGTGAACGAAATGAAGCAGCATTCGCGACACGCCCTGCTCCAGCGCACCATCGCCATGTTTGAACTGCAGGACGACTCGCTCCAGCGGGGCTACTTCCAGGCCTGGAAAGATCACTACGTAGAGGAGAAGTTGACAAAGCACAAAACCACCTGGCTCCAGAACAACTCGGAGCTGAAGGAACGCTTCCGCGACCAGATAAAACAGAGGATCTACATGCAGTGCTACACGCAACACAGTCTGCTGATGAAGCACGTGTATACCCTCTGGAAGGACTACGCCCTGCGAACAAGAATACACCGGATGGAAGAGGCTTTAAAAACCGCAAGATTCGATACGGACGACCTCGGGACCAAGTACTTACATTTTACAATTTGGTGTAGCCGCTTTGGTCCTTTTCTTGCGGCGTACTGGTAATACCGGACCGACATGAGAAACTTGCGTCGTCTGTGCGCCGCATTCTTGTTCATGCATCATTTCAAATTTACAGATTCAAATTCAATTTGAAACAAAACTACAACCCAGACTCGCCGAGCAGAAATTGAAAGCGAATTCCGCAGTGAAAAAATCTTTGGTGGCGATGCTGGGGTCGCAGACGGAACTGATAAGACAGTCGTCCTTCAACGGGTGGCAGAAAGTTTACGTGGACCAGAAGTTCCAGATATCCACAGTAAATGTCCCGTACACGTACAAATGCAGTCTCTGCATGACAAAACTTGCCTTGAGTCCTAGTCTAGCATGACAAGTTGGACACTGCAAGTTAGCGAAATTTGTCATGCATTTTGTACATGTACGGGAAATTTACATTGCATACCAGAAGCAAGCCGATCTAGCGAAAAAGTTCCAGGACTCGGAAAAGAAGTGGAAGCAGTCCATGTCCGGTTTATCAAATGTAGTAAAAATGTCTGGGTCTGGAAGATTGCAACTTGTCGTGCTAAATCTGCAGCATGCAAAAATCTGTGTTGCATGATTACCAAAAGTCGCCCAGTTTTGACCAAGTTGGGAGGGAGTTTCTCATGCAGGATAGGCATTAGAAAGGTCTCGCAGAATCTGTCATGCTAGGTCCTGCATTCCAGACCTCATGGGTCATGGAAAAGCAGCATGACAAATCGCGCACTCTTCCAGACCCAGACACTTTTACATTTGATACGGGCTGTTGAAAAACCACGACAGCCTGATCGGGAAGCACATCTTCGAGACCTGGAGGAGGATGACCAACGAGAACCACTGCATTCGCATGCGGGAGCGGATGCTGGAGCAGAAGATGAAGGAGTCAAAGCGGTTCCAGCACGCACTAATCTCGATGTTTGACTCGCAACAGCACCTGTACTTCCAGCAAATCTTCGCGAACTGGAAGGAACTCGGTATGGACCGGATGATGCGAAAAAAGGAACAAGCAGTCTACGAGCAGTCAAAACGGGAATACAAAATGGCCAACATGGATCGGATGAACGAGGTACTAGAAATATGCTAAAAATGAAAATCGGTTTTGTTACTGTTTATTTATCATGTTGATGTTGATGTTGGTACTGAGGCCGTGTCATGATTCATGTGTCGTTATCTTCTCTGCCTTGTGTTTTCGGATCGTGTGATGAACAACCGGCACTAGAAATGAAGCCGGTTAGTGAAAAATACACAGGTCGTCTCGCGCATGATCGGCGACAGGACGGGCCTGATGATACAGCATGTCTTCAAAAATTGGAACCGGTACGCCTTGACTCAGCAAGCAACGAAGTGGCTATCAGATGTAAAAGTGTCTGGGTCTGGAAGAATGCATGTTTGTCATGCTTGTCTGGCATGACTCTTAAATCTGTCATGCACGTTACCCAAGAGCCCCGTTTTTCTGTGATGCAGAAACGCAGTTTGTCATGCAGAATAGGCAACACCTAGAAGCTCAGAAACTTGCCATGCTGAGCCAGCACTTGTGGCTTCATCATGAGACGCCACCCAGCATCACAAGTTTTCAGACCCAGACACTTTTACATTTGATAGTGGCAGAGAAAATACCACGAAGACACCAGTAGGCTCAAGCAGAAAAGCCTGACAGCGGTATTTTATTGCCATGCTGCTAGTATTGTGATTCTGATTGTCCAGCAACGGGTATCCCTGTCATGCAGTTCTCGCATTCTTGATCTTGTGATGTTGATGTAGTTGTCATGCTCATGTGCGCACGAACAAAATCTCTCATGCAGCAAAAGAACCACTACTGTACACCACACAATTTTCCAGATAAAGAAGTCCATGCTGATGATGTTTGACGGCAAGCTGGAGCTCCTAGTCCGGCAGGTATTCAGCTCCTGGCAAGAATGCGCAGTGGAATACCGGAACAAGAAGAAACAGGAGGAGTCGAAGCAGAAGCTGAGAATACAAGCCTCGGAACGGTTGAAGGCGACCATGATGAACTTTTTGAAGTCCAGCGAGCACGTCTTGCAGCAAACCGTTTTCTCCGCTTGGAAAGACCGATGGGTATCACGGCAGTTGTCAAAAATCGACAAAATACGCTCGGCCTACGATGATATCAAGGAAAAAGCGGTGCTGAACGGTTGCCGGGCGTGTGAGGTACAACAGAACAAAATTATACAGGAGAACCATTCTGGTTTCGAGTTCTTTGTGATTCAAAAGCTGCACGGAACTAAACTTTGAGCTGTCATCCAAAAGCTTTCTCTCCATTTGGATTTACGTTAGCAGCAACGGTGAGGAGAGCCAGAGCATTCACTAATTTGAATAAATCGCTCTGCCCCATCTTCAGGTCACCGTGTTCTGGGAGAATAACTACATCGCCAAGTCCTACTTCACCGCGTGGAAAGACGCGTGCGTCAAGGAATCCTGGAGAAATTCGCTGGCGAAGTGGCGAGACACCTTCACGGCACTAGAGACGAAAGTACGGCAGGAAGCGCAGGCGAAACCCACCACCGTGGAACAGAAGCTTTCGTGCGCGGAGTTCGAAATCAAGGGGTTGCTCGACGCTCTGTTGAAGACGCACGGGATGACAAGTAAGGACTTCGGGGACAAGGAGACCATGAAGGAGTGGGTGGATGCACAGGTAGGAATTATCGCAAGAAAAAACTGTTTCACTGCGAACTTGTGATGCATAAAATGGAACGCAGAAGCATTTGTCTTGCTACACATGCAAGAAAATAGATTTTTAGCTGTGTTTCCCCTTAGGAAGCTTGCATGGCAAATTTTCTCTGTCATGTAGAACAAACTTGTGATGCAAATCTTGCAAAATCCTTACAGTGAAACAGTTTTTTCTTACGATAGGAATGTGTTCATGATCCTTGTCATTCGACGGTGCACATCAAGCAGTTAATGCTAAGCATGGGGGTGCTATCGCTAATATGTAAAGCGGCACAGAAAATACGCATTATCTATCGTATCATGCTAAAAGAATGGAATTGGAAATACTTCTTATCAGGTTGGCTTCAAGTCGCAGCTGATCGTGCCACCGGGCATGAAATCGCGCAAAGACAAGGAAAACAACGCGTATTACGGCATGGCGGTCGATCATCTGAGCCAAGTCGCCACGCAGCTCGGCTCCCCGGCGAAGACCAACAGCACGGTTTTCTCCACCCGCAGTCGGAAGCCGATGTACTAAAGAGCCACTCGCGGACTTCTGCTTCTCATCGTGTGTTGCTGGCGTGTGGACATGATAATTGTCAACACGTCCTCTGGGAACCCCAGAGAGCAGCCGAGCAGTATCATGTGACGCAGCACTTCTCGCGATGTCTATGTAAGAAAATCCCCACCTGATAAAGCTGATGTGGACAGCATGTAGCTCTCCCCGCCTTATCCACCTCGCGCCGCTGGACAACACCAGAACCAACTATGTTGAGGAGCTACGCCCCCATTTATTGCGCATGAGAAACTTTATACACTTGTAGTAACGGTAATATAAATATTACCATACCAGATCTGTTAATTCACACACTGAGATTCAATATATCGCTATCGCATAGATGTTAAAAATCAACGAAATCACGCAGCAAAAAGTAATGAACAAGGATAAATTCCCGATGCCGAAATTGGTTGTAACTTTGAACGACCGAACACACCGATTTTCTACGTAAGTTCTGCCGCAAAAAAATCAAGTCCTCTCGCCGCTACGTACTCAATATTTCCGAGCACCCCGCCGTTCCTTTCAGATAAACCGTGCCGCAAGCAACAACTCATATCTTTCGCGGACGCGGCGCTCAGCTGCCCTGGCTTCGCACAAGCCCTAGCCAGGAGTATGCTTTCTTGGAACTCTGTCTTCGACAGATCTGCGGAGAACGAGAACCAGCAGCCCATAATCCGTAAGTATGCATTTTTACCAAGAAATATTTACCTCGACCACGACCTTTTACGTTTAGTTTACCTCCGCTTCGTTGCTTTTTCAGATGCAGTACTATGCACGGTCGCAGCAACCAGAAAAGTGTCGTTTGCCGACATAGCAACTGACCTTTCATTTTTACTACGCGCGCGCAAAGATGAACGAGAACCCCAACCGAAAATGATGAAGAAAAAAAACCGAAAAATATCATAGGATCACGAGTAAAAATACTTGTGATCGAACAAAATCCACCGCCGGCCAGTCACGATGGCGTCTGGTGGGTGTAGTGCTGTCCCAGGTGCAGATGTTCGTTTGATTTGCAGCTGCAGTAGCAGTGAAGACAAGACGACCGGCGCAACAAAACAGCTTCACGCTTGTATATGGTACTAAGGTCGTTTTGACTAGTTGTATGTAGTGAGGTCACGAACGTTCTATCCTAGCGGTTTTTTTGACATGCAGCACGCAAAATGGCCGGCAGTTATCAAGCGGGCGAGAGTGTTTTTGGGCATAAAAAATTTTCAATTATCAAGCGGCCGGGGCCTTGCTGTCAAACAAGCGCGAGCGGATTCTATCGATTGCCGCTTGATAAAACGACGCAAGGGAGCCGCCAAAAGGGGCGCCCTTCTGAGGCGCCCACCGCCTTAGTTTCTGGCGGTTTGGGCCGCCCAAAAAGGGGCGCCCAAAAAGCAGCAGTCCCAAAAAAACAGCGAATCCGCATGGTATGGGCCTCATTTATACCCACACTCGGGGCCCGCAAAAAACGCCACCAAAGTCCGCCATTTCAGAGGCGGACTGAAGGCCAGAAGACGCGGCATTTTGACAAAAAAACAAAAAAAAACAAAGTCCGCCAAAAGCAAAAAGCCAACCCGCATGCTATGGGCCCGATTTGGGGCTCCCAAGGGGCCGGCCCTGGCGTGGCCATAGCATGCAGGGAAGGTTTTCCGATTCGAAACCAAATGGAGGCCAGCTCTGGATCGAGATTTCTAGCGACCGCCGTGCCGTCGTGCATAACATTACTCGCGACGGCATAATGGGCAGAGAATTCGCGTCTTTTTTCGGCGTGAGGACAAAAAAACCGCGATGACCTCACTACCCCCGCTGAGGCGGCTATTATTGGTACTAACTAGCAGCATGATCACACTAGCAGGAGTTCACCTTTCCATTTGGACTTCACGCGCACGGCCTTAGTTTCGTACCAGAGTTTGGTTATCGAATACGCGGCCTGCTCAACGACATAGCTGATGTTGATATTCAACAAAAGTTAAAGTGTTAGAGAATTATTGATAGTGCAAACACAGCAACTCTCCTCCCCGCTACAAGTACAACCTTTTGAGCAGTTTACAAACCTGACCGCGCACATAGTACAAATCCTTCGTAAAGAAAAGAGTCACTTCGTGTGATGACCTCAACAAAGACAAAGAAAGAGGACGAATACTTGGAAGAAAAAGCACTAGAAATAAAATAAGTGGAAAAAAAGCAAATTGAAATTTCATTTCTTTTTACTGCCTTTGGTGCTAGTCGACCTACAGTACACGCACTCTACTTCCGCTAACAAGTACACTTACCCTGAAATGAAAAAGCACTTACCCGTTCGGAAAGAAAACGATCAGGACAATAATTCTAGCTCTACTACCAATCGAAGTAGAGCAGGAGCTAGTACCACGACAAGAAAGAGTACTAGTTGTAACTACGGAAGTAGTAGCAGCATCATGCAACCCGCCGGTGGGCGCCGCGAGCGGAAGCGGCTCGAGAAGGAGCTGGCGGATATGCGGGAAAAAAACAAGGCGGGCGGAGGCGTGGTCGCGGACGCGATTGGTGAGAACATCCAAATTTGGGAAGGGGTGATTCAGGGACCGGAGGACACGCCCTACTTCGGCGGGGTATACAAAATCCAGATCGAGATTCCCGACGACTACCCCTACAATCCACCAAAAATGAAGTTCGTCACCAAAATATGGCACCCGAATATCAGGTACGGAAAAATAAAGCCGTTTTTGTTCATATTCCGGCACGATGTGGTTCAAAATGAAATTGCAAATAAGTGGGTGTTTTTCATTTTCTTGTTCTTGATACTAGTGAAGATTGTCGCACACGACAAGAAGTTCAACACCAGAAGATACAAAACTAAAAATACTTTCATATTCCAGCTCCCAAACCGGTGCAATCTGCCTGGACGTTTTGGGCAAAGAGTGGAGTCCGGCTTTGTCAATACGGACCGCGTTGCTGTCCATCCAGGCACTCTTGTCCGCCGCAGAACCGGACGACCCCCAGGACGCCGAGGTGGCGAAAATGTACAAGAGCAACCGGACACAGTTCAACGAAACGGCAAAATACTGGTGCGAAACGTATGCGCAGGAGAACGCGAACGCGAAGGAATCCAGCTACGCAAATCCGCACCAACCAAAAATCGACCAGATCATGGAGATACGGAGTGAGCAAAAGTATCGTACGACTACGTATGTAAAAAAGTTCCTCAGGCCCAAAAATGCAATGATAGGCGCTAGGCCTGTATAATATCGTGCATGTCTGCAATAGCAATTAGTTTGAGTACGAGCTAGTGCGATACTTTTGCACAGGATAGGAGATGGGATTTTCCGAAGAGCAGGCAAAAACGGCCCTAGCGAACAACGGGATGAAATTAGAAGAGGCGGTACAGAGTTTGCTTTCCTAAATGTAGAAGCTCGCCGCTGGTCGTGGGATAGGTACAACGCGGGATTCGTATTATAACGGTTTCCGAACAAGAGTTAGAGGTTTACTGGTTTTGTATTTTCGACGACTTTAATGTAGTGCGCGTGCGCCTTCTTTATCTTCTTTCTTTTGGAAATGTAGAGGGAGTGTAGCTTTATTGTCTGACGGGACAAATTTCTGAAAGATGATCCGGTATCTCCAATGAAGACAGACGCTTTGCCGTCGCGAAATTACCAGTGGTTGGCGTGGTTTACTCTGTACGTTTTTAATCGAGCTTTCTCAGGCGGCCCCGAATATACCAACACGACTCAAAAAAGAACCTGTACTCGTCATCACCGATGATACTGACTCTCAGCATTTTATTGTCTTGAGGTGAAACTATCCCTGAAACGAGCGACTTTGATGAACCCCCGCGACCATAGTGATCTGGCGATGAACTCCCGACCGCTAGTCCGAAGTTTATGGCAAGCAACAAGCACAGAAATTCTAAAGCAACTTTTGAAATAAAAAATCACGGCCACACGGTATCTTAGCTGTGGTGCGGAAATTTTGTGAAAGAAAAGGTTTTGTTTTCATGCAGGTTTTGTTGCGCGACCTGTGCCTGTCGCATCAGTTGCAGGCTTGAGAAGTTGACGTTGACTTCATGGATCGAGGAAAGGAAAACAAAAGCTAGGTGCGGACTTTTCCGCTTCGTTTTTGCGCTTTTTATCTTCTCGTCGTCGCAAGAACAGTTTTCGTTTCTATCGGAAACCGGACATCAAGAGTTGTGAGACCTTGAGTGACAGCACAACGGAGCGGTCCTCGGCTACTCGTCTTCTTTCAGCATCTTCAAAAGGTCTTACATGTTGTGTCGTTTGAAACACCCGCACTACAGCTTTTGTACTCTATCGACGAGTTGTGAGCGAACAACAGGACACTGTCTGTCCGTCGACCGTGTGGTCGTTGAGTCCCCTGTACCTGTTGTAGCAAGGGGAAATTAACATTACAGCGACCAGCCGATACTAGTAATGAATGTCCCAACAAGTTGTAGACGAATAATACAGCTCCAAATTAAAAATTCGAAGAACTTCACCACTATTCTGCGTTCAAGATCAAGTTTTCAAGAAAGTTCCATTGGGGAAAATCATGCTGCGCCAGAACAAGAACCAGCGTGGCAGGTCGCCACGGCCGCGGAGAGCAACACCATCTTGGTTTCAACATCCGGGTTGTTGTCTCCTCAGTGGCATTGTCATCGCAGGCGGAACAAGAAACCGACCGTCTGCAGTGATTTTGCAGTCCAAGTTGGTCTTCCTCGCAGGGCTAACAAGCGCTGTAGTAGAATCACGACACGATCATGTCCTGCTGGATGGTGGTGCACGAGTGCAAATAGCGAACCTGGAACACATGAATCTGCAACACACGACAGCCCAGACGCTGGAAATCTCTTCTACCGCTGCAGCTGCTTCAGTGGATACCACGACCGCAACAGATGAGCTCGCGATTGCAGGATCGAGGGTTCATGAAAATAGCGCAACATCTACATCTTCGAACAGAGAGGAATACGAACGCCATCATGCTGTGCTGACCGCGCCAGGGTCGCAGCTAGAAGAAACAACAACCACGTCGGACGGCGGACAGGACACGGGCACTAGTAATACAGAGTTCCAAGAACGACAGGAGGAGCAACACCAGCGCGACAGAGCTGTACTAAAAACCGCGGCCCGTGTAGTGAAAAATGAAGCAAAGAGTCCCGAGCAAATCTGGTTTCAGCAGAACGTGTTGGAGACCGTACGGAAACGGGAAACAGGGAGAAAAATCGAGTATAGTAGTAGGCCTGCGCCGTCGAGGACATCAACAAGAGCGAACTGGAATGAAATAAGAAAGGGCGCGCGAGGTTCTCGTACTGCAGCCCTGGATGTTGCCTCAGGAGGAACTACTACAACAAGCTGGAACCAGAAAGCACGGATCTACGACCGCGGTGCAGCAGGTCGACCTCTTCTGAAGCTGAACCAAACAAGCCTCCTCCAGACCGAAAGGAGCCAAGTAGTACAACAGACGAACAAGAGGAAAACACAAAATAAAGCGTCGTTCACCTCGACTTCGAACAGACACGCATATGAAATAAGCGACGAGCAGGCTGCAAATGCAAAAATAAGCACTTTCGCACAGGACCTCCTCGACCTGGACCTGACAGCCGGGGAAGGGAACGCGACGAACATGGGGACGGGAATCGTCCTCGGGTTTCAACCAGGGCAGATTCCGCTCTGGTACCACTGCTTACGGAACTGGGGCTGCAGCGGACTCATCGGGCGCGTGAAAAACACGGAAACCGGACTCTTCGGAGCGTTGCATCCGAGCCTGTTCCGGGAAATGATCGACCAGGAGCAGTTCGACTTTGACGGGGTCAACAACTCCGGGCTGAATGCGGCTCTGCCGGGGAACGTCTTTCGCGAAGGCGAAGAGTGGGACTTTCCCGACGAGGGCCAATGGGCCAGGTCCGCGCCCTTCAAGTTCCCAATCCAGCACACAATTCCGGACTGGTTGGGGGATGAGGGCCGAAACGGCACCTTCCACTTTTCCAAGTACAAAGTGCACATGCGCGTCGATCACGAGCCTAAAGTAACAAACCGAGACGAAGCGCGAGCAAAGAAATCGTTCGAGAACGGTATGGCTTGCTCAGATGTTACAATCTCAAACGTTACAACAGAATCTGGAATTTGTCTTGCATGAACAGCATGAGTACCATACAGAGACTTGGGCTTTTCGCAATACAAATTTCGTCAGAATCTCATGTGGTTTGGGGCTCCGAAACTTGTCATGCGCGCTCCTTTGGGAGTAGGCCAGATGTTGCGGATTTTGCAACACAAATTCCAAATTCTATTGCAACGTTTGAGATTGTAACACCTGAGCGGGTTATAAACGGTGGCGGTTTATTTTTGAAACTGTATTCCGACGACACGGTCCTGGAGAGCCTGACCAGCACTGGCGATTTGGACGATATGCTCACGTTCAATTACACCGAAGTGCTCCCGGAGCACCGCGAGGAGGAGAATCCGGATGATTCCATGTACCGGGATTATGTTGCGAAGTACGGCGAAAAGTCGTCCCTTCAGAAAACTTGCGGGGGTGTCGCCCCGGACGAGCGGATTACCAAAGAGAAGTACTGGCAACAGGACTTGGTGTGGACTTCCAGCGTCGAGGCCTTCCGCCGGTGCCAGACGGAGCCCTGCTACTTCGAATTTCGGGCCATGACCCCGGGAATTGCCTGCATGCAGCACATCATGCTGAAGGACATCCGGTTTTGCCTCGACTACATGATGGAAGCGTCCTCTACCGTGAAAATGTGGAATGATCCGGACATCCGGCATCTCTGGTGCGAAGGCGAGTTTCCGGCGCAAACCATCACTCATCCCGAGGAGCGGTTGGACCCGGACAACGACTACGAGCTCCCGCGAATGGAGCTCCGCGGTGCGTATGACGAGCAGACGATATTCTGTGACTGCGAAGAGGGCTACGGAATTTTCGACTGTATTTCTGATAACGCTGCAAAACCAGACTGCGAAACCTGCCATCTGAAAAAAGGTACTGATATCAATTTACTCACGTGGCAACTTCCTCTTTTAGTTTCCATGCAATATTTTGCCATAGAAACAAAATACTACTTATTAAACAAATCAGATTACCAAATAGTGCGGAGTAACGAAGCGGCGGGGTACTGTGAGTACGTCGGAGAGTATCCAAGGAGAAAAGTGCCACAGTCAGACATGTAGTAGTGATGCAAGTGCAACTTGAGCGGCACAGATTTGTATTTCTGCATCACAAAGTGCAAGTGGAAAACTTGTGATGGGCGCTAGTAACGGAAAAACGCACACTAACGTGAAACGATGTAGCTCGCGAGCACTTTGTTCGGCATGACGGAGGTTATCTTTCATCTTGCTTGCCCCGCAACACCATGTGTAACTGTAGCTGCGCTTTTTTCTCGCGATAGGGAGCTCCCGTCGTGGATGACGGCGACAACTTTGCTCGTGATGGCGCTCACCGCCGGTGGCTTGGGCGTGGGCATCTTTTGCACGTATGCGTATTACGAGACCATGATGGCAGACCCGCGGGGCGACAACGCGGAGCACGACGTGATGGACTACGTGGACGATGCGGCGTGGGCGGCCCAGTACGAAGACACCAGTCCGCTGGCCTACGGCGCGACCGCTGGTGGGCCGGAAAATCAGCAGTACATCGACTACGAAGGGGATATGGGTGGCGGCGTGGATCCAAACGCACCGCCCGGAGGGGGACCCTGGTAGGAGAGCCCTGTCTTGTACAAACGAACACCAAGAAATTATCCAAACCCTATACCTTGTTTCTCTTTTTGATCTCTTGATTGAGCTTCTTCTGACCTTAAAACCGAATGCACAACATCGCAGCTGTTCCGAACTACAGCCGACGAGGATCTTCGTGTACGATAAAAGTTTCAAATGGAAATGTCTCGATTTCTAGTCTGGGTATTAGCAAATGAAAATTGTGGAAAGAATAAGAACGAAAACCCAGGATGTAGAAATCTTGTGTCTACTTTGTTCAAGAAGCACAGTACTGGAACGTGACTTCAATTCCATCGCTCATAGTCTGTCGTGGTCGAACAAGTAGTTGAGCTGGGTCGTAATCGTTTTTCTCGTCTCTCTAGGAAAAAAAATGTTTGGGACGTGCTGCGTCGTCACTTACTGCTTCGTCTTAGACGCAAATCACTCGCTAATTTGATGAATCGTCTATAGCAAGTACTTAAGTAGCAAGAAAAAGAATAGCAATGCAGCCATGCGCCTTTACTTTTTCGTTTGATCTCAATCGCTCGTCCTGGGAGAAAGAAGCAGACGCAGATGGAATCGGTCCGAGTAGTTGTAGAAGAAGCTGCGCGACTCGTTTTTTTTTCCCCGTCGGTGCAACTCTTTTCGGTTTTTGACCTCCAAGTCCCGTACGTCGTTTCTATTGTGTTGGTCGTACGGATAAGTTTTTGTACATAGCTGGTACAGGCTCTTTGGAAAAGTCGTTGGAATTATGTTGTACTTCCTACATCGTAGAAAATTAGGTACTTCTGATTCGTCGTGCTTTTTTCATCTCTCTGGATTGCTGCCTGCTGTGCTCGCCTTCTTGAGTCAGACAATAGCGGTTTTGTGTATAATCAGACCACCTAGGAAAACAAAAACCGGATCCATAGTTACTTACGAATCCAAGATAGAGAAAAGGACCTTCCACCTCCTTAAATACAAAGAAAGTGAGTCGCCACCACTACACAAAAATGTCGTCGATCTATGCCTTGCAACGGCAACCGAAGCGACCACGTCGAGTGCTCACATTCGATCCGGAGGGAGCTACGAGCGAACGAGGATCAACAGCAGACAAAGTTACCGTGCAGCCCGGGAGTTATGCCACGACTACTACTAGCAGTGCTAAGCTGCTAACGCCGCCTTCTGTTGAGGATACCCCCGGAGGTAACGCGACCGGAGAGCAGAACGATGAAGGAACAACGAATGAGCAAAAGGAACAGCTTTTGACGGGCGCTCTCAAGATAGAAGAACTACAGCAGAAGAAGACCACATATGGTGTGCGCTACATGTACAAGGGGATCGTCTTTCCGAAAACAAGTAAAGCGAAAAATAAAGCAACCACGATGAAAGATCAGAAGACAACAACATCTTCAAGCCAGCTGCAGCTTCTCTCTGCTTCAACATCGAGCAGCACGGACGAGGGGAGCAGCAGTGGCAGTGCGTCTGCGTCCTCGTCATCCTCCTCTGCGCGTATGTCCTCGTCTTCGAGCAGCGCAAGCGGAACAACCGGCACAACTGCCACTGGCGAAAAAATGAGGAAGAAAACCAAATCTGATGAGAACGATAAACACGTGAAAATCATCGACGCCATTCCGGGCACGTCCTACGTGCCGATGTTCTACGCGAGCGCAGATGACTTTGACAACTTGTCGGAAAGCGAGATAGATGTTTTACATGGCGAGCAGGTTCTTGTACTAGAAGACGATGATGATGCGGAAGGAGCGAGACTGAGCTCGACCTCAAAGAACGAGGACGAGAAGTCCACAATGTCAGAAGTACAAGAGCAAGATCATACTTCTTCAGGTGTCCGACTGGTCGAGGAGTACTACGAGATCTCTGAAGTCACCAATACGGACGAGGAGAATGTTGAAAACGGCAGCGCGCTGGTGCAGCAAGGATTATTTGGTCCAACTAGCGGACCCCCGCACGGAAATTTTCACCAGTTTCACCCTACGTTCAACGCGGGTGCTGCAACAAATTACAATCCCTTCTCGTACAGCAACAACTCGGGATTGATGTATGGCGCTTCTTCATCTTCGATTTACGGCGCAGGCTTCGGTTCCGCTTCCGGCTTCGGCTTCGGTTTCGCCCCACCACCACCGCCTCCTCCGACCAACAATATGGGCAACATGAGCGCGCTTACTTTGCAACGAATGAACGAGTACGCGGAGAAACGGTTGAATAATAAAACCACAGGCGGAGGTCCGTTTAGCGGTGCGACGAACGGCAGCTACGGTAATATGTTGAGCGATGAAGAAGAAGAAGCAGAAGGGCAAATAGCAGGCGCTGCAAAAAAGCCGAAAGCTACCGTTGCGTTCAGTCTGCGCGCGTGCAAGACCACCAGCCAGCCGGTGTTTTACCCGGAGAAGGAAACAGACACGCGGAAACGGAAGCGGCCTTTCGGGCTGAAATACAACAAGAAGAACAAGGAAGACGACTTGAATGTGATCGCGTCATCCTCAAATCATGCTTTTTCTTCCTTCCGCGCAGCGGTTGCCGGCAATCCGGGTGGGGTCACCACTCTGGTCGCGGTGAAGAAAAACGACCCGAAGAAGGCCGGCTTAGGAGCTCCGGACGGCAGTGCAGCGCCGAAGCCACGGAAGCAACGGCCCAAGGGGCTGACGTACAAGATTAAGAACCAGCCGGACGGCGTCGCGGCCTCGCGGAAGCCGAAAGAGCGGAAGAAGTACCATTTGACTGAGGCGGGCATCGCGCAAAGACGGGTCGCGATTAAGAAAGCAGCGAAACTCTGGAGGAAGCGGACGCCAAAAAACAGTGATGACGAGGAATCGGACTCAGACGACGACAATATGGACGTTGACGAAGGAGATTAAGAATAAAAGTAAGGAAGTTCTAGACGTTTTCGGTTATGGTCTGTCGTCGACTTCGTTCGGCTTCGGCGGCCAAGGACGACTCCGAAAGAAATGTTTTCATTTTATTGGGGTGCTTGTCGAGCGGTGGGGTGCTGGTAGCTTTTCTTCTTTCGCAAAAATTGTACTAAGAACCAGGTGGTCTAAATGACCGATGTTGAACGAGAAGGCCGAGACCTTTCTACCAGCACGCCAGCAGGTGTATATAGTTTGCATTTTTACTTTTATTTCACTCATGCAGTGAGTAACATATTATTTAACGATAACACTTCTATACGCAAGAGCAAAAGCGGTGGCGCATTCACCATTGTGCCCCACCAGCAGGAGTATCTTCTGAAAAATATACAAATTTTCTTGGAATGTACACTTCTCATAAATTGAATTCGTATCCACATTTTTTCAACGTATGTCATCATTTCAAAATTTCTGTTTTGTATGTTAGTTCAAGTTTTCATGGTGTCGATCAGCGATCTCATGTCTTTACAACCCTTTCACGCGGTTTCACGACTTTTGTTATGCAAAGGATTGTTACGAACCACGTTGGCACAAGTTTCGTCGCTTTTCTACCAAGCATTTACAACAAAAATCGATGTCAAAGAAAGGAAGGAAGCGAAGAGCAGGCTGCTATGAAGCCGGTCTCAACACTCCTATTGCCACACAATAGCAATAGGAGGAGAAAGTGTTGAAGCTTTGGGAGAGCTGTAGGTCTTGCGCATGTTGCAAGAAACGTACCGGTGCACAGGGCCACGGCCTCCTTGGGAGAGGCCAGACGCAGACGGTATCATGATGCAGTGGAGTTTGAGAAGCAACAAGTTGTCCCGTATTAAACAGGAGCGTAAAGTCTGTGGGAGAGATCAACATCATGCTGAGTGAGTGGAGGATCTGACAGGACGCAAGGGAAATTCAAACATGCAGAGAGGCTGAGGTTATGATAAATGGAACGAATTCGTTTCACGATGATGTAGCAAGATTTCAAAAGTTCTACCTGGCCTTGTTTATTGAATTTGAAAAGCATACCGATACAACTTGCTCAACGGCAACGACCAATCGTCCTGTATTAAGAGAATAATGCCGACCGGCTCCGTTCTGGTCCGCGCCGTGCGCTTGGCGGTTCGCAACGCCGTCAAGCCGCGCAGCTCGCCAAGGTTTGCGTCAGGCGGAGGAAAATCTTGTGCGGTAGCGGAGGAGGACGAGGAGGAATTCTTGGAGCCGACACGACAGCATGGACGAGGGCGGCACCGCGCAACCAACAAGGGGACGAACGAGACTGAAACGGGATCTAGTGCTCCTTCACAGGGCGTACAACTACAGCGTGAACCGAACTCGTCGAGTACTCCTGCTCAAGGTGACAAAACCTATTGCAACTCAGGAGAAGCTGCATCTTCAGGTGGATCTGCATCATCAACGACAAGAGCAGGTGGAGCGTCATCGAGCGGAGGTGGAGCCTCTGCATCTTCTGCTCTCTCTTCTACTTCCTCCTCCTCTTCAATGACAATGACTAAACCTCACGATCCCTTTGTCCCATCCGATGACATGTTTTTAGCATTCCACGACGAAGATGAAAACGGATTCAAGCGCCCCCCTCGGTCCTGCGGACACAGCAGAATGAGCCGCAGCTGTGGAATGATCACAGATTCTATCTGTGGGGTTGAAGAACTACGGAGAAGCAAAATAAAGAAAAACAAGCTGCACGAGGTAGAAGATGAGCGTACTAGAGGTCACTCCTCATTCGCTGGAGGAGCCAATACAACAACGTCTGGAAAGAACAATTGGTTCCAGACTTTCTGCGAGGTCCTCGACTGTTGCTCCTGGTGGACCAATATCCTGTGCAGAAGTACTTAGTCAAAGCACTATCGTGGTGCCATTGAAAATTGCATTTAGAAATACGACGTGACAGACACATCTCAACTTTCTTTGCCTGTTCTTGTATGACAACGTGCACGACTGAAAAACCTGATAATTAATGTTAAATGCGATGATTTCCGTTAGTGCGATGATAGATACATTTGCAATGCATAAGCCATCTGGACAAGTCGTTTGTGATCCTCGGAAGTTTCTTTTCGTCCATTGTGCTGATGAATTCGACGAAATGGATCTACGTGTTCTGCGAGTTCCGCTACCCCTTCTTTGTCACGGCCCTGCACTCGGTGTTTTCCTACCTCATTGCGCTAGCCGTGACTTCCGGCATCTTTAATAAGGTTGGTGGGAGTGCTAGTATCTCCACCAAAAGTAGCCTTTCCGCCCGGGACTGGACTCCGAGACAGACCCATGTCTTCACACTGTCGGAGCAGGTGCGTGTTTATTTACGATACTGAATGATGAAATAGGTGTTGTTCCTTTCTCACGGTTGGCACTCAACTCGGCAGCTGAAACAGCCGTGCATCTTTTGGATAGCGGAAATCAACATGTGCATGGAGATGTAGATCTTTCTATGTATCTCTCATGCCTATGCTGGGAGAACGACCTCCACCTCGGCCTTCGCTGTGGCAGGCAACGCATTGCATTTTAAGACTTCAACCGTCTCCACCAAGCAATAATCCGAAAGAGATTTTCATTTTTTTGCCATGCATGCTGCAGCGAAGTTCAAGTTTGACAAAGTCAAAGCAGTCAGACACGGAATGCAAACATTTTTTCACGTGTATATTGAAAAAAAACAGGTCACGAAAATTCTTCCATTCAGCGTCTTCGGGGCCTTGTCCATTTGTTGTGCCAACGTAGCGCTGCTGTTCCTCTTTCCCAGTTTTCACACCATGCTGCAGAATACCACGCCGTTTTGGACCATGGTGGTCATGATTTCGTTCGGGAGCACCAGCTACAATACGTGGAGCTATTTGTCAATGATACCCAGTATGAGAGTGGAGGGCTAATACAGACTGATTTTTGGGGCGGGTCTTATTTTTGTCAACCGAGTCTCATGTAGGTCATGCGGTGGAAATGATGAAGCTTCCAGACCTGCCAGAGTCACTGGCTGTTGCAACTCATGCGGAAAAGAGATCCGACCCATTGACCGTTGCAGCATGTAGACATTCATCGTCACATAGGTCGTACAAGAACAAGAAAAGTCAGCATTTGAAACTCCATACGCTTTTGTGGTGGCGGTATTCTTTGCGGCTTCGGCGAAGTGAACTTCCATCTTTTCGGTATTCAGTTATCAGGTTTTCTTGTTACATGCGTAATCATGCAGCTAATGAGTTTCATGTTGCAGCCCCAGCCGTGCAAGTGAGTTTCTGGACTTTCCTGCATCAAGACAGAAGCGCGAAATGTAAATGGTCGAACTATCCAGAGGGTGGTGCTGTCAGCTAGATCTAGAAAGAAGTGAAGCAAGGGCCACCACCTCCACCAAGCAAACCACGATTCGATAATTACTCAAAACCCAGGTATCCTCCTGAGCATCGGGTGCGCAGTTTTTCGCGCCTTTCGAGTTCTGGTTCAGTCCCGCATGCTGTGCGACGAAGCGGAGCCGGTTTCTTCCATCACGTTACTCCTCTACGCCAGCCCGTGGAACGTGCTGCTGTACGTGACGACCGGGTCTGTGGTCGAGGGGATAACGCCCTACAGAGAGTTTTTCCTCGCCGAACTGCCCCTGGACACCTACGTCGCGCTGATTTTCTCCGCGCTCTGCGCCGCGTTTTTTAACTTGTTTGCGTTCCTGCTGGTGTCGCGCCTGGGGCCGTTGACTTCCGTGGTAGTGGGGAATTTCCAAAACATCGGGATCCTCTTTTCCTCGGTTTTGATCTTCGGCAACAAGTGCACGAATCTGCAAGTTCTCGGGTTCACGATCATGCTGTTTGGGATGTATCTGAAGCAGCAGTATGGAATGGAAATCAAGCAGGCCGAAGGTCCTCTTATTGGTACTGGAAATAAAGGAAAAGGAAAACAAGAACAACTTCTACAACAAGCGGCGTCAAAAGCAAACACGAATCTTCACGACGAAACTGCTGGCTCGACGCAATCACAACAGCATCTGGGGAGGCACACCAGGACGGCGAACAACTACAAGCAACGAACCACGACGAGCTACAAGAACACGCAGCAGCGGCAGTTGGACATAATCGTCGAGAATGATCCACATAGTTTGAATAGTAGTTCAACATCATCTCTCAGCAACAACTACTCCTGTACTAGGAGCCCAGGATCAATTGTGCCTAAAGAAAAAGATGATTATCAACATCATGGAGACCACACAGCGTCAGCATCTTCCTCGAAAATCCCCGGTGGGAAGGCATATTTACGCTCGCCACAATATCAACAAAGGAATAAGAGGCGCATAACTGGAGCAGGTACTAGTACTGGAGCTGGCGATGAAAATGTTGAAATCGGACAACTACTTGATATGGAAGACGAAAAGTCGCAGCCGCTGCTGCAGAATCACCAGCGCGATGACTTGTATGTGGAGCAGGGACGAGAAGAACCTCTCGGTAGTAGTGTGTTGCCACCACATCACCAGAGGATAAAACAACACCAACATCAAAACGACCTGCAAGATCCTGGAGAAGGCACTAGCACGACCGAAGACGCCGAAGGTATCACAATGAAAAATGCTCCCACCCCCGAACTTGAAAGCATTTGTATTGCAAACCTTTCCAAATGAAACATTCGCCCTCTTGCATGTATCGGCATCACAGAGTTCCGATCGTGAATAGCAAAAATTTGTATTGCAAAAGATCCCAGCAAGAGCGGTGCTTGTCATGCAAGCGATGCGCAACACGACGAGACTCTACATCAGAAAGATTCATACTCCTTTCATGCATGACAAAAAGGTTTCATTTGGAAACCTCGCATCACAAATTTTTGCAACTTTGGGGGTGGGGGGCACTTTTCACTGGAATAGAAGGTAGCCGGACTTCGGAGACGGAAAGCAGCAGTTGTGCGGCGACGAGCGTCGACGTTGGCGGGACACTGGACCTTCTGCAAGGAGGGGGAAATAATATTCCACCGCAGCCTGCGACGACTTCTTCTTCTTCGAGTGGAGATACTACGGCAGCAAAGTCGTTGAAGTTTAAGTTTGGAAGAAGGAGATAGGAAAAAACTCGGTGGACCCTGTTAGAAGTGCATTTAGTAGTAACTGGTAGGTTGCAAAAGCAAGCGTTTAGTAACTTCACTACAACTCGTACGGAAAATCTCTGATTATCAAAATGAAAGTTTAGCTTCCTGGTCCTGGAGGAACAGTTTTTAGTTTTACAGGAACAACATATCAATGTAACACTGTATAAAGTTGTCGCTTTGAGCCACTTTTTTTTTGAAAAGAGCTCCAGTGTGGGCGCTAAAAAACTGCTTCCAAGAAATGCAGTTAGTCTCAGTGTTAAGTTCATCACCGTCACCCCGGGGTCCAAACCAAACTAAAATTGAGACTACAACACGGCGAACAACTTCAGTGGAGGTCGCAACTTGGAAGCTGAGATCAGAATTTCAAAGCACGATGATTGACGCCATTCACAACACGGTTTCGGCGTAGAAGCCCGAGCAGGGGTTGTAAGCACGAGCAAAGTTATGAAAAGCAAAGCACAAAATCAGAAAGAAACACGTGGAAGCAATTTTTGGAGTATTAAGTGTAAGCATCTACAGATGATTGTCACTAAACGAATAACCTGCTGTAAAAATCGTGTGTATAGAAAGCAAATGAAGAAGCAATAGAAGAAGCCGGAGGGGGGACGAAGGTGCTGCTGGTGTGTTGCTGGAGCTGCAGCTGCTTCTATCCCTCTATCGATCAGCAACACAGCAGGCACGGCAACAGTTGCCTGCGCGTTGTTTCTACGACACTCCGTAGCGTTTATTCTTTTTTTGATACTGCTTTGCCTCGCCCTCGTCACTCCTCCTGTTCTCGAGCGCTGAAGAAAGGGAGCGGAGCTGCGAACTAGGACTATGATAATGATTTCGATGTTTCTTACTTTTCTTTAAAGCAAATGCAAAAGAGCGCTCGTGAGTCGTCACCCACACTCAAAATGGCATCGAGAAAGAGACGAGAGGGAGCAAGTGCCTGCATTTGTTGAACTTGCTTTTTCGCTTCAGCTGTTTGGCCGAGGAGTATGCATGAACATGGAGCGCCACAATGAATTTTCTTATGCATCATGACTATCGATCGTGGCGCGAGTAGATCTCTACGGTCCAGTGTTTTACGCTTGTTTCGTTTCTACTTTTCGTCTTGCGGTCCTCGTTTGTTTCCCAGTCAGGTGAATCAAAAAACTAACACCATGTACCCGATTTCGCGTGACCCGGCGGAGCTCGACGCCCGCAAAGCAGATGCGGACTCCGGGTACGAGCACAAAAAGAAGGAAAACGAGTCCAAGGAGCAACTGATCAAGGTCTTGTACAAAAAACCGCAGAAACTGACGGAGAAGCCCCCGATGGACCTGGGGTCTTTGAGCCTGGAAGACGAAAAGAAACTCGCTATGGCGCAGAAATTGGCGGAGTTGCGGGACAGAATGAAGGACACTCGTATTAGTGATTTATTTGATGAACAAAAAGACCTATATTTAGGAAGATTGCATATCTGTAGCACTGACTGTGGTGATACTACTAGTAGTGTAGAAAAAGAGCAGCCTCACCAGGTGGTTCAGCGTCGTATGATAGCAGTTTGTGGTTATGCATCACTACAAAACCTCTTCTCCATCTTCAGGTAAAAACATTGCTTGGAAGAAGAAAATTGCGGCGAAGAAGAAGGCTGCGCCCTACCCCTCCGGAACGCGGGTCCATTTCGGGCAGCGTTTTCCGGACCCAATTGCAGTGGACCCGGACCAGTACGGCGGCGGGCAAGGACCCCGGTCGCGGGGATTGGTTTCTGGGAGCAATGTAGCTGCGGGGGAAGAAGGACGACCACAACTCCGAGATCCTCGTGACTCCTCAATACTTCAGGTTTTTCCCGAGTTGGAGTACGCGAAACGGAAGAAGCAGTACATGGATAATACCACCAGCATCGCGAAAACGGTGGAGAAGTGGAGGTTTGTGGAGCGACAGGGTTTGCCGACGGTGGAGGACGTGCACAACGAAGTCGTGAACCTGAAGAAACAAGCGCGGTTCTTGCTCTCGAACATCAAAGCCTGCAAGGCGAAATGGTTTGACCACGAACAGAACGCGAAACTGTTGCAAGCGGAGATCGACGGCCTGGTCGCCCGGGACAGCACAAACGCTGTCATGAACTCCTTTTACGAGCAAACGGCGGCAGATACAACTTCTAGCGGCGCAGCGGACGCCGGCGGGGGAGCGGTTGTTCCTGGTACAACTGTGATCTACTCTGGATTCGCGCTGGGGACCGGCATGGAGAACAGTAAGAAGCCGCTGAAAACGTCCATCGTGCCCTATTCCTGCATCCCGGGGATGGATGTAGCGAACCGGAGAAGCGGAAAAAGTCGATTACCGGACTACGACTCCAGCGGAAAATTCCTCACTGTGGCCTCCAAAAACCACATTTTACTAACGCTCTCTGACGGAACGAAAGTGCTGACGGAGGGCTTGGATCCGGAGTCGCCGATATCAAATGCAAAAATGTCTGGGTCTGGAAGAGAAAGAGTCATGCTCCTGTTTTTGCATGAAACAAAAGGTCTGGAATGGAAGCTCTAGCATCACAGGTTTCGAGAAGCTTCCGCAACGCCGCATCCGCATGACAAGTCCCCCAATTTGGTGACAGAAAGTGGGCAGCTTTTGCTACCTATGCATGAGAGATTTTTCTGTGTTCTGAGATGCGCATCACAAGTTTGTATTCTACCAGACCCAGACATATTCGCAATCCATAGCCGAGTCGGAAGGTGGTGGATAGGAGCAGTAGGGTGGACGACGAGACGAGGGCGCAAATAGAAGCGGCTTCTGGTGCTCGAGAAACGGAAATATCCCGAGCAACTGTAGTTTCAGCATCCGGAGCCACCTCCACCACTTCCGGAATTGTTGCCGGGGATGCAAATGCTCCACCTCTTCAACCGCAGCCAGGACAACTAGTACCACCGGCAATAAATCCATCTTCGACGGCAGCAGGAGCAGTAGGCGCGGCTGGACCTCCAGCAGGCGCCGTTGTGGCAGCTCCTGGTATCGCTGGTACTACAGCACCACCCGCAACAGCACTCGCTGTTGGGACCACCGCGACGATGACTCCGGGTTCTGCAAGGATCTACCATCAAGCGGCTCCTGGGGCGGCCGCTCTTGGCGCCGCGACTATAGGATCTTCACTTTCACAACAACAGCCGCTTGCTCCAGGAACGCCTCCGCTTTCGGCAAGTGGGAATGCACCTCCAGCTGCATCTGCAATAGGGCCCGGCGTTGGCGTTAACAACGCGGGTGCATCAACATCGACCGCATCCACCTCGCTGTTACCTGCTCCTGCACCGTCCTCTGCGATGATAACAGCACCAAAGCCAACCCTGCCGCTTCCGAACGCCACCCCGGTGTTCGGCCACGCTCAACAGTACCAGCAGTCCGGTCCAGGCGGCGCGAATGTGCTCTCCCCCATGGCGCAGATGGCGCGGCCAGCGCCGGTAGTTGTATTACCCGGAGCAAGTAGCGCCTCTGCGGGAAGCAATTCTTTCTTGTCAGCAGCGGTTAATACTGGTGGACCAGGAGGAAGCATGATGAAACCGCAATATGGGTAACGTACTGAGGAGAACGGCAAGCAAGCAATAGGAGAAAGCAGCTTCATCACGGAGACGGACGAGGAGATACACTTTCCATAGGTGAAATAGTCACAACTAGAGTTGAAAGTCAAAACAGGCTCTTTTTTGCAAGCTTGGAAGAAAATCATGGCGAAGGGTTATTTGTCTTTGTACAATGAATGACATCAACGTCGCGGGTCATGGTAGTCCAAGTGTATTCTGGAAGACCGCCGCCGGCTACCTACTTAGCAGAGCTTCTGTTTTCGTTTTGATGTGGTGGCGATTACTGACATCACAGATGGAATATGACACCACGGCTGGCCGTGATGTATTTCAGGAGAGCTTCGCTGCTAGCGCTCGAGCTCGATAACACCTGTTGTTCTGTAGCTTCTGGACAGCAAATAGAATTAGAAATACACTGGAGCCCTATAGATACTGTCATTTTGTATTCCGGACAACAGTTTTTCTGGTCTGGTAGTGCAAATTATCGGTAGCTCGGGCAATTTTCAGTTCACGATAGATATTCGTCGTTACTTCAAACACCAACACTTCCAAGTAGGTCAACGCCCATGATATATTGAAAAATTTGTGTGCACGACCAAAGCTGCAGAAGAACGACATTCACATTTCTACAAGATGTCTGCATTGTCGGTGTCTTCTCTTTCGGCTTTTTGCCGTTCCAGCTCAAGCTCAAATCGAATGCGCGGTGCAAGAACGGTCGCGACATTTGCCACTGCAAATGGACCGAGACCTGGAGTGGTCACGAGAGGCAACAGCAGGCCATTTTCCACAGGAAACGAAGGAAGACCCGACGCATTAGCAGCGTTGCAGACACGGCCAGACGCTGCTGCTGCTGCTGCTCTCAATGCAGCCCCCGGATCCATGTTACAACTGGGTATCCCGCATGATGTTCCTGGCGTATCAGCATATGATTCCTCATCTTCGTCAAGAGCTGCTGCAATTGTTTCCAGTAGAGCCATCCCATCCAGCATCCTTTGCTCCTCCTATTTTTCCGAACGAAAGCCGGTACTATCACGACCGCCCAGTACCAGCAGGAGATTTTTCTCAACCTCTTCCTCCGACCAGACCGACAACTTAGTGATGACCGAAGTATTGGAAGACAAAGCTGTCGCGATCTGCTGCTTCAACCGTCCAAAAGCTTTGAACGCCCTGAACGATAGCATGGTATCGGCTTTGATTGGAAAACTGAAGGAATTCGACACCGACGACCGCGTGAGGGCAATCGTAGTGACTGGTTTTCACCCGACCTTGGGCGCAGGGACGGAGAAGGTAATTCTTTCTAGTCGATGGGAAAAATCGTAATCGCACTCAGAATTCTAGATTTTTCGTCTATCAAAAAAATTGAGCGCTTCGTATATCTTCAATATCAGGCCTTCGCCGCCGGCGCCGACATTAAACAGATGAACGAGAAGGATTATGGCGAAGTGAACAAATGTGACATGCTCGGCTTCTGGAACGACATCAAAACCGTCCGAAAACCCATCATCGCCTCCATCAACGGGTTCGCCCTGGGCGGCGGCTGCGAACTCGCGATGGCTTGTGACGTTTTGGTTGCCAGCGAAAGTGCGAAGTTCGGCCAGCCCGAGGTCAAACTCGGCACCATTCCGGGCGGGGGCGGCTCACAGCGGTTGACGCACGCGGTCGGGAAAAGTAACGCCATGTGGTGGATGCTCAGCGGGGAAATGTACTAGCTACGCCTGCAACTACTTGAACTTTTGCTTGTTGCTGATTTTTGTGATTGTCAATCCATCGTATCATGCATGATAGGTGCACTCTTTGAGTAAATCGGGGTTGTCATTGCAATGGACGCTGGCGGATTTCGATGAGGTAGGACCAGGACCAGTACTGCATTAAGCAAAATCATGTCCACGACTTATTCCGATTTCGACCATCAATAACAATAAGGTTTTCCGCCGAGGAAGCGTTAAAGTGCGGCCTGGTGACGAAGGTGTTCCCGAAGGAAGACCTTTTTGAGAAGACCGTCGAGATGGCGGCCAAGATCGCCGCGTTCAGTTCTCCGGTACTGAACATGGTGAAGGAATGCGTGAACCAGGCCGCGAACCTACCGCTGGACCAAGGCTTGCTGTTCGAGCGGCGGGTCTTTCACGCGACCTGGGGATTGCAGGACAGAAAGGAGGGTATGACGGCGTTCGCGGAAAAACGGGAGGCGAAGTTTGAACACAAGTGAGAAGTTGATGACGTGCTGAATCCTGCCTATGTTCTTGGTATGTCGTCTAGTATTAGTGAGTACGGTAGAAGTCCGAGGACGGACGTCGTTGTATTTATTGAAATACTCCTGGGCCTTACATGATCGGTCGTCAAAAAACAACTAAAACAAAAAGAGATCCGGAACGACCTTGCCCTGGGCTAAAAGCAAGAATCGTGATCTTCTTTGCGTTTCTGTTTCGCTTGCGCGTCGTCGGTTGAACAGAGGTGACGCTTGGTCTCATTGTCATTATTCATCCTCAGTATGCTCAGAGAAAGAAACCCTGCTTAAGGATCTGGACCGAAAATCAAAAAAATGAAACAGAAATGGAATCGCAGTGTGAGGATCGTGATTCCGGATCACTTCTAAAATTGCGAAATGCACCAGAAGTGGACAAATAGCACGGAAAGCACTAAGAGTAAGATCAACAGGTTGGACCACATCCCTAATTGTGTAAGAAGGATCATGGTGTCGTCGGTCCGGAAACGGAATCAAAGTGGAAAAATCTTGCTATTCGTCCAAATCTTTATCGATCTGTACGCCACGAGTGAAGCCGAAGTAGAAATAAATTCTTTGCCGAAGAAGAAAGGCAGGGTCCTCAAGATAAGACCCCGCACTCTTTGCCGAAGAAGAAAGGCAGGGTCCTCAAGATAAGACCCCGCACATCTTCATCTTGTTCCACATAGCCCTGCGCTCCACATGTATACTTAAATATACGAGGATCTTCATCATGGTAATGCAGCGTCTACGTCTCAACATCCCATCTGCAGTTTCTGTTCATTTTTGACTTTTCGTTTTTCCAACCTTGCAATCCAAAAATCTCTGCCACTGCGCACTGAAAACTTATAGGTATAGGTTCCTTGTAGTTGTTCACACATACTTAAACAGCAAAGTGAAACTCTAGTCCAGTCCGCCAGTAGCAGCAATTAAAAACTTCTGTAGCATTTTCATTTTCATCCCAATTGTAGTTCCTCCACGTAAACCGTAGTCCTCCAACTATATTGTCTCTGAAAGTCACAATGAAAAGATTTCATTTGGGCAGCTTCAGTACAGTGGCTACGGCGGTGGCCCTACTTTGTTCCGTGTTCGCTTTCGAGGGCGCTTTTGCCGTGGAGGGCAACTGTAAGATTACAAAGGAGCCCGCCGAGGAGGACCGCCCGCTTTCCCTCAACTGGGTGAAAAAGTTGTTTCCAGCAGGCGCGACGATTCAGATCCATAACACAAAGTACACGGTTAAAAAGGACGGAACGGAGGGACAGAACCACAGCGGAGACGGTGGCTGGTTCTCGGGACAGGTAACCCTGAGAAACGAGGCGACCAAAGCCGGTTACATATTGAAACTCTTCAAGACCGCAGTATTAAAAGGAAAAAAGCCAACTCAGGCCATGCTGTGCGAGTACTTATGAGAACCACAGGAAGAAGTTGCGCGACCCTCTGTTGTGCACGCTTAAAGCATGCATCTCTTCGTGCGCTTGCATTACAGCTTTTAAAGAGTATATGTATCTAATCATAATACTGTCGCTTTGCTTATTCTTATTCCGCCATGATGCAGAAGCAGATCCTGGCGCTATAGCTATTGTGCCGGTAGCCAGCACATCAATTTCGCCGCCTGCTTTGCCTCTGCGCGACACGCAGACAAATTTGTGTTTGTATGCAAATCCAGCAATGCGTGTAAGTGCTATGATAGCATGGAGAAGCTTTTTTCCTCACGATACGCAGAAGGGGACAAAGGAGAAGAGTTCAACACATGGCGAGAAAATATTTACAAAGGAGGTTCGTTGGTTGCGACAGAGATGAAGAAAGCAGAGCACCTAGGCAACCAGGCACACTTGTACTTCGAGTCCATTGGGGATGACGCTCTTGAGATGAATGCGCCTTGCTGGTTTGAGGGCGGGAAGGTGATGGGAGTCCTGATCAAAATTAGTTGCAGCGACGGAAAGCTTTCACAGCTTTTCGACATGAAGAGTTTGCCTTTGGAAGAACGCAAGAAAATGTGGCCGCAGATCAAGAAGTTGCTGGAGCACCTGGAAGCAAAGCGGCTGGTGCACTTCGACCTGCACTACGAGAATGTGATGGTGTGCGAGATCAAGACGGAGCGTTACACCGTTCGCCGCGCACTGATTGTGGACCTGAAAAGCGTTGAGCAACTGCCCGAGGAGGGCACTCTTTGGAACAGGCCAGGCTTGACGGTGAAAGAACTTCTGGAAATGAAGCAGGGGCACCTGATGGAACCTGACCAACGCTTGCTGCACAAACTACGCGACGATGGCATCACCTGGGGGAACACGGCCGCAAACTGGCAAGCGTTTGCGGGTTACATGGCGAGCTACGTGAAAAAATCTTGGTTAGAGCACGAAGGCGTCAAGGCGCCTGGGGCCGGACCGCAACAGGACGTCGCAGACGCAGGGAAAAAGACCGGGGCGCTTGTTGTTCAGCCTCTGACTGTGACTTTGAACAAGAAGTAGGTGTGATTGCATGTAAAAAAAGATGCTTAATGATATATCTGATCGGTTGTATGATGTTTTCTTGGTTCATCTTGTTGAGCTGAGTAAACCAGTAGTAAACCTACCAACATTAAGTGACGCGAGGCTCGCGTGCCTTTTTGTGAGTGGCAAGTACTTCCGTGCTTTGCTTCTAGTGACTTCCTCGAGCTGCAAACGCAAACTAAGCGCTCTTTACACATGTTTTTTTAGACGGAAATGCATGAACATCCTGCGACTTCTTGTTGGAGAGTACTATTCAACAGTCTTTGGATGTGCACCACTGACTTTGCGCTAGTAGAGCGAGTGACAGATGTACTCTAAAAGAAAAAGTGTATAATTTTTATCGCACAAGAGGCGTTCTCTTGCACATCTTACTTTCTCGTTCTCGTCTAAAAGTGTATGATTTTTTTTTCCGTACCCACTCACAACCGAATGCTGCGATAGACGATGATGATGATGATGATGAGGGATGACACAAGGTTGGGGTTTATCACACCTGAGTCGTTCTTTTTATTTTTAATTACGGAAGACAACTATTTGATGTTGTGGTTTTGGAGTACGTAGATGTTTACGGTTTTTTTGAATTTCATTGCGAATCGAAGCCCATACTCGACGGCGTCTTTACTTGTCTTTTTTCAGAGCAGGCTCTCAAAGCAGGAGGCTTTTTCTTGAAATAGCTCTAGAGAAAAAGGTGTGTAAACGCGTTCCCACCTTCTCGCATGAACACAAACAAACAAACAAGCCCATACTCTTGCTCTTGGAAACTACATCTTGTTTCGTATGTTGGAAGGTCGTCATCGTCGAGGAAGCAAGGACGATGCCCTCTTGTTTTGAACGTGAGTCGCGATAGACCACAGCAGCAGCGATACAATTGATGTTCCCGCCAAGATCTTGTTGTAACTACATAGTGCGGTGAAATAGACATGCATTGCAAAACCAACACTGTCTGACTACTACAGTATGGATTGCATATACGAACTTTCTCAACCGCCGGAAGAGTTGCAGCTTGTCAGGCTGAATCGGGCAACGTGAAGAAATAAGGAAAATCATCTGTAACGCATGACTGCAACGAGAACGAATTCGAATGCGCGGCGCTACCGATGCATACTACTTTCGCACAGGATAGGCCAACGCTTCAATCGGTTTCGGTTTTACGTCGTCGAGATTGAGCGGACCAAGAGGAAGATCATCACAAGTTCCTGTTGTGGTGCTTTTTTCTTTTTCGCACCTTGGCATACTGACGAAGCTGGCGAGGTACACGCACTAGTACATATATTTATTGACCACCAAGCGCGAATTATCGCTTCATTCTTTATTGATATCGATGAGGTTGCACTAATCTAGTGAGCCGCACGCAGCACAGCGCGTGTGTGCGTGTCCGTGCCCGCATGTATGAGTGTTTGTGGGCACAACAGGGCGTGTCTTTGTTTCACAGGGGCCTGTGGGCAGCTAGGAGGTCATCATAGTTTCGGCGCCCGATGAAGCGAGGTACTACGGCAGTGGGAGAGAGAGATTAGTTTTTCGTTTGAGCATGCAATCAAACGCATGAGAACGGAGGTGCCATTGCATTTGCAAGAAACTTCGACCATTTTGTAATTGTATACGGTTCCTTCAAGAAGAGCGAGCTAGGCCCGGCACTCGCACCAGTTGCAGTAAAGAGAAGCAAAATATGGCAGATGGGTTTTTGCTGAGCGGTGTGACCGACGATGGACATGCAGAGGAGCTGCACGATAGCAATGCCGAGGAGTTGGACCTTCTCGCGCTGGGTATCGGCGACATGCAGACGCGGGACCTGGTTTCCCTGCCGCCCCAGATTGTGCCATCTTCGTGTGGTGCGGAGGTAGTAGAGCAGCAATTCGGGTCCGCTAAGCAGGACGCTGGTTTGGACTCAACATCCAGAAGACGCGATCCTTTCTCGACTGGCTGGTGGTCCGCGTCGTGGGCTCCCTCCCGCCTTATCCCGTGTAAAAACGTCCCCACCCCATAGTTGTCATGCAATTCTGCATGCCAAAGCCAAAAAGGTTTCTCATGCGGAGCCCTATGAGGAGCTAGCATTTTCTAAATTCTATTCGTGTTTTGCTTTTGGAATCTGTAATGCTCTAATCAGCATGCTATGCAATGCTAGATCTGCGATGCTTCTGAACTAGCTAAACAGGACGACGCTACGAGGACAAACTTGTCATGCCAAACAACCAAAGCTTGTTGATTTGTCTAGCAGATTTCCCATCTTGACTCTGGTGTGGGGACGTTTTTAATCAGGACGCGGCTGCTGTTGTCGTCGCAATCCGCTCTGCAGTTGTGCGTTGGGACGGTAGCCACCTGTCGGGGCCTGTGCGTGTTCGGCCTCGTGGCGGGGATCTTTTGCGGCAGCCTGTTCCTGTTTCGCCGGTCGGCGACCGCGCCGACGGGGGACGAGGACAGGAGTAGTTCTTCAGATGCGTACTACTACGGGGTTCGGAACAACAACTCGCCAGTGCGCTACAAGGTTCGGCACTACGGAGGAGGGAACGCCGCGGTCGACGCGAATAAAGGAAGAGAAAGTAGAACAGGTGCTGCATCTTCTCGAACTGCGAACACGGAATCTTGGGCGGTCAACGAATTCGGAAATTTCGAAGGTGAGGCAGCACCGGCCTCGCCCGGAGGTGCGACGAGCAGTAGTACCGTTTGGAACGATCGTCCTGCACAAGAACAGGACGGTGTCCGCGATCTCCAGGGCTCTGCGCACAGTAGAACCGATCATGGCAAGGACGAGGAGAGCCAGGCGGTTTTTTCCCCAGCCGCTGCGGACGTCGATGCCACCGTGGGCGAGCAGGAGGGATTGGTAAGAAATAACGAAATAAATGCCGAGGGTCGCCGCGGGGGCGACGACCGTGGTGAGCAGGGGGATGAGGTAGGTACAACTGGCAGCCAAAGAAACACCGCAACATCGCGCCGTGATGCTGTTAAAAATGGTCGTCGCACCTACGGAAACAATTTTGATTTCATTTCCTCTGGTGAAGATGAGCAAGAGCAGGAGGCCCCTGCTGCTGAGGAGCAATAGAAAAATCTGCAGCAGCACGACGAGAGTACTACTTGACTGCTTCCTGTACGCAGGAGCAAACAGCGACAGCGTAAAATAAATTATCAACTTTTCGTCCTGAGAAATTGATTACGTGTGTTCATATTTCAGCGAGGAGCGTCAGTGCGGATATCTCTTCTCTGGGGCGATGTTGTTGCAAGTGCTATGCTTAACTGCTGCGGTCAGTCTGCAGCTTTACTCACGAAACACATGCGCGGCAGTGTCCTCGCAGCATTTCGGAGTTCTGGAGAGTCTCTATCTCGTGCAGCAGGTGCAGCATGAAAATTTTCTTTATGCAGACGCGTACTCAATAGCCTGAGACGAATACAGAGAGTAGGAGTAACTTCAACCAATTACTCCTGTGAATTATGGTCGTTAGTTGTCGTAAAGTGACGAGAGTTTGAGTTGTAGTTCTTTCTTTCATGAATGTATTCCGATAGCACTTCATCGTGGCTAGGCGCGGTTACGTGTAGATGATGTACCTGCAGCTCGAATCATGGCTATAGCGCTACGAAGGAAATAAAAGAAGAAGGGCAGCACCAACATGTCCGGTGACTACAGGGATGCGGCAGCGACGAGTGCGGAGGATAGCGCACTTACAAAAAATGCAGATATAACCCCCGCTGCACCAAAGACCAGTAGCTCGAACAACTACGGTGCGAATCATAAAGCGTCGAAACCTCCTGATCCAGACCACCATCAACCACAGCAGCCGCTCCAAAAGGATCTGGACCTGGATTCGAATCCCTCCCTGACGAGCCGCGAATCCAAGCGCACCGTCAATTCCAGCCTTTCGTTTCTGAATGCGCCGAGCCTCGAGGAAATGAAGCGCAAATACGCGGAAATGAAGAAGCGGCTGAAGCAGTCCGAGGAAAAAGCCGAGAAATTGGATCTGGAAAGGAAAAATTTGATCAAGAATCTCGGGCAGAAGGAAAGCTTAGGAAGTGACGCCGACGGGGAAGGTGGTGCAGCTGGTGCGGGGATGATGATCGGGAAAACGAAGTCCACCATGTCTTCGGTATCCTTTGCGACAAAGATGAGGTCGGAGTTAGACTTAGACGGTTCATCGGGATTTCCGTCCGGGTTTTTCGACCCGAGCGACCAGGAAGGCAGGGAGTCGTATTTCAACAGCAACGCGAAAATACGTAGACTAGAGAAGCAGCGGCGGTTTCTCGTTATGCTCTTCGCGTTTGCAATGATGCTGGGGTTGGCGCCACTCAGCTTTTTTCTCTTGCAGAATCGATTGAAGCCGTGACAAGAATAAGAAACTCAAATTCTTTTCGGACGAGAACTTAAGTGAACAGCTAGTCAAGTACAAAAAGTGCAGTCAGTTAACAATCAAATCTCGTGAGGACCAAAAATGTACACCTTTTGTCAATGTTGTATGTCGTTAATAAGCTCCCTGTCGGAAGCCTCGTTTCGCATTGCGTTTCAGAATATTCAACCTACTCTACAGTGCGCATTAGAAGTATCCAAGTAAAATCACATTCTCTCAAGAATTTGCGGGAGGAGTATGCACCAGCAGATGACATCTGCACTCCAACCTCTGCAGCGCATCGCAGGTGTCGCTCGCGTCGAGCAGCCTCTCGGTGTTCTGTACTTCTACCGCTTTCTTCTTGCCCCTCAGGAAGCTTGCTTGCTACGGTTTAGCCACACGTAAAGGTTACGATCTGACTTCAGATTTTTCATCGTGGCGGTGTATTCGTGTTTCGCGACTTGGTGGTTGACGGCGCAGTTGCTCCTGGGACCACTTTCCGGAAAAAGAAAGATAAAGCAAGGTGGGCCACCCCGGTCCTCGTCGTGTCTGATCTCGAGCGTTCGCCTTACGTCGACACCTGTTGCTTTCCTCGCAAGATCCACATCTACAACATGACAATGACTGATTTTTTTACGGATGTTGAACCCGAGGTAGTAGTTAGAGTTGTTGTAGCAGGAGAAGACGCATACTTAATTTATTCCGGTATGTAAGGACGGACCATACCGATGAGGTCGCCGGCGCTCAAAACATAGCAAGAAGCACACTGTAGTTGTAGATGAAGTCTGTAGAAGGTGATGTATGTGTATCGGTAATATCCCTATTCCAGCTTAATGACGTGTCCCTATTCTTTCCAGATCTAAGACTAACACCAAGCACTAAGCAGATCTGTCCTTATTTTTTGCCCGCGTCTTGACATTGATTGGATTTGTGCGTGCTTCCACGTTGCACTAGCAGATCTATTTGGAAATAATGAATAGTTCATCCTTCTTCTCTTTCCCGGCCGGCGGTGGGGAGAACAAAGGGAACAAAAATCCGCCCAACCAGGCTTTTCCTCCAAGCAAGAACGCGAAAGCGCCTGGAAAAGGGCAGGAGCAGCACCAAGGCTTTGGGAGCGCGGGAAAACCAGTTGCGTTTGGAGGCGGAGGAGGCAACACTAGCTTCAATACGGCACAGCAGCAGCACGTACCGGCGTCAAGCTTCGGATCATTTGGCCTAGGCTCATTCGCAGGGTTTGGAGGTGCTGCTGCTGTGCCGAAGCAGCAGCCACCCGTAGGAAGTGTAAGAACAGGTGGAGGACCTACAAGTAACGACGTCCATGCAAACTCACTTGTTGCTGCATCTGGTGTTGCACAAGCACAAGTCAAATCCCCGATGCTGTTCTACCAGCCCCCGCAAGTAGTACCTGGGCCCAAGAACGCAACATCTGCCGTATCGGTCGGTAGTACGGGAAATTGCAACAATCCGATATCTCCGGCTTTTGCAGGCGGTGGTCACGACGTGAACCACAGGGCCAGCGGCTTCGGTGCTGCCCAGCAGTCCTTCGTTCACCAACGAGACATCGATGTCACAGAAAAAACGCCGAAACATGAAGCTTTGGAGGTGAATCGCAATCAAGCACAGGCTGCTCAGGCCTCCACTTTGTCGGCTCAAAAAGGCGTTGCAGCAGCACAGAGTTTTTCGTCGGTGGGGCGGCAACCTCCGCCACCACAGCAGGTTTTTGCGACGGAAAGTACTGCCAATCATGAAGGTACACCACGAGCGCAGTCTCACGTTCAAGCGCCAGCTTCATTTGAGAGGCAGGAAAACGTTGGAACTCCTGCACCTGACGCGGCGCAAAGGCACCAAAGCTCGTCAAAAGGAGTCATAGCTGGATTCACGACAGTACTGACTGGCTTTAATGGAAGTGCGACTGGGTTTGGCACCACAGCAGACGCTCGCGCGACGTCGAGCGCGGCGAAGATGGCCACTGCTGCCGGCCCTGTTTCGTCCAGTTCTAAGCCGACGCCCGGCTTCGGATTTCAGCCGCAGCAAGGCCAAAGCCAGCCTTTTTCATCCAGAGGGTTCGGGGGGCTTGGCCACTTCGGAACAAATGCTCAGCCATCTTCGTCATTTTCAAAAGGAAGTTTCGGATTTGGTGCGAAACCACCCGCGGTGGCGGCGGTAGGGACGTCGGGGGCGCAACACACTGACCAAGCGAACAAGAACCAAGATGCCTCCAAGGACGACCCGGCTGTTGTTTCTGTCTCGTCAGCAAGAGCGCCGGTAGTTAGTAGCGCTCCACCTCCTGCTGCAGCTGCGCTTCCTTTTCAGGCGGCTGCCCACGTGGAGAGTGCACCAAAGAACGCTTTCGGAACAGCAGCCGCTGCTGGTTTCGGCTCCTCTTGCTCCACTGGCGGGGGCGGCTTCTTTAACTTGAATCAGCACAATGCTCCGGGCGCTGCGCCCAAAGTAGCTAATGCGGGTGGAAATGGAAATCGCGAACGCGGTGAGATGATCGGAAAAACTGCGCAGCCGCACATTTTTGCCGCTGGAGAAGGGCACAAAACTACGAGTGTCATCGGAGGCGGCCCGATCGATAGTGCTACCGCTGGAAAAGGCGCTGGGGACGCTTCTTCAAACGTGGCATTTCAAGGCGGGTTCAAAAATCGTCCGGCGCAAGGCTTCGCTTCCGGGTTTGCAGCCGCTTCACACAATTCCGGCGCATTTCAAAACCACAAACCATTAAGTAGCAGTACCGTGAACAACAACATCAGTGTGAAAGGTAAAGGTCCAGCTGTTGTACCTGTTTCTGTGCCTCCAGCGCCACTCCTTCAGCAGCCAGGAGCGGCGCAAGCGCAGCAACTACTTGGTGACGAGAGCCGCCATGTTATCAATACCGCATCTGCAGCACCCGCAGGCAGCGCACTTTTTCGGCCCAGTGCGGAGGAGCGGGAGCACCAAGTGCAAGTTTCGTCTCATAATATGGTGCAAACCAATAAAAATAATATTCACAATCCTGTAATTGCTGGTGCGGCGGATCCACGACCAAACAAGGAGCCTCCCCCGCAACACGACCAAGACCAAAAAACAATGACGAAAAGATCGTATGTTTCGGACCAGAAAGTACCGGCATTCACCCTAGCGCAGCCGGAAGTTGCAATAGAACAACGAGCACCACGAGCACCGCAACCCGATCCTCCTCCACCTCCACCCCAAGCCAAACCTCCGCTCCCCCCGGAAACGCTTTCCGTTCAAAATTACGGTCTTCCGTTCCAAATCGTCAAAGCTTACCAGGACGACAACAAGGGCCAGCTCTACGAGTGGCAGCGCGATTGTTTGTTCGCTGGGAAAGACCAGGAAGTGCTGCAAGGGAAAAAAAACTTGATTTACTGTGCTCCCACTTCCGGCGGCAAAACCTTCGTCGCCGAATTGTTGATGCTGCGAGCAGTGACCGGCTGCAGGGGAAAAGTTTTGGATATTGACGAAGATGACGCTCCGGGGGCGGATCATGATGCCGACGCAGTTGGTAGTTCTCCAAAGCGCAAATCCACAGTTTTCGCCGCAAAAGATCATGACCAGCAAGCCGACGGCGGCGAGGAACAAGCTGCACAGGCACACCAGGGCACTACCAAGAAGAAAAAGAAGAGAAAGAAACAAAAAATTCCCCACCACCAGCAGGTCGGCCCGGCGTTGCTCATCCTTCCCTACGTTTCGATTGTGAATGAAAAGGAGTACGATCTGAAGAAGTTGTGCGAGAAGACCGGCCTCATCGTCCGTGCCTTCCACGGTTCCTCGCAGGAAAAAATCACGGACTACTTCGACATCGGGATTTGCACCATCGAGAAGGCGAACTACGTGGTCAACCTGTTCGCGTCGACCGGGGACGAGGAGCTGAAAAAGTTTTCCATAATCGTCATCGACGAAATCCACTTGCTGCAGGAGCCCAGCCGCGGGTACATTTTGGAGGTGACGCTGGCGAAGCTGCGGTATTTGGCCCCGGAGATCCAGCTGGTGGGGATGTCCGCGACCATGCCCAATGTGCATGAAATCGCTACGGCGTTCTCAAATGTTACATTGTCAACTGTTACATGATTTGTCATGCAAAGTCACAATCAGAATCGATGCGATCAAGCTGCTCAGCATGACAAATTCTCAGAGGCCTAAGCAGGCTGATACTCTGTGCCAAATCTGTCATGCAAGACGCGCAAGGTCCCCCGTTTCACTTTTGCCATTCTTGCATTACAGATTCATGTAACAGTTGAGAATGTGACGTTTGAGAATTGAGAACCCCATAATCGCGAACTGGCTCGACGCGGAGCTGTTCATCACGGATTACCGCCCGGTCACGCTGTCGGAGTGGATCTGCTTCAACGAGAAAACGAAGGGAAAATTCGACCAGAAACTGCTCCAGGAAATGGACATCGGAAGGAAGACAAGTACGAAAAATGGCGAAAATCAACATCAAGACCAGCAAGAACTCCTCCCCGCAGATATCCGCGGCACATTGCTGAACTGCCACGGGGAAGTGGTGCGGAGCCACCAACTGCCGGCAAAGCTGGAGAACGATCCGGAGTTTCTGCACGCTTGCGTGCAGGACACACTCGCCGAGAACCACTCCGTCCTGGTCTTCTGCGCGTCGAAAAAAATGTGCGAAACCACGTGCCGTCAGTTGGCCGAGCGGCTCCCGGTTCGTACCGATCCGAATGACAAAACCGGGCAACGGCCGATCCGGTATGTCGGGAATAACAAAAACGAGATTCTCGAGTTTTCCGTCCCGCGGGGCATCGCGTACCACCATGCGGACTTGCCGAAAACCGACAAAGATTTGTTGATATGAATTGCAAAAGTATCGTACTCGTATAAATGCATTACAAATTTCCTCAGCATGAGAAATGAAATTTGTAATACAGATTTGCCTTGGGAACAAGATTTGTAATGCAAGACTTGCATTTATACGAGTGCGATACTTTTGCACAGGATAGTTGATCCGGCTGTACAAAAACTCGCTGATCAAAGTGCTGTGCTGCACCAGCTATCAACTGTAAAAATGTCTGGGTCTTCAAGAACAATTCATGTTTGTCATGCTTGTCTGGCATGACTCTTAAATCTTAACGCTGGACCAGGCGGTGTCAAATTGAATTCAAAACGAATTCAAAATGAATTCAAAAAGTGAGCACTTTTGAAATGAGCCACAATCCGCGATGCCCCGGACTCTCAGCGGTTGCTGCCCCGGCAGCTTTTGGCGACCTGGTAGCGCCGCTGCCTGCTGGCTCATTGGCTCGGGGGACGGGCTCAACCCGAAGAGCTGCTCCGCGCCGTACTAGCAGTGTTGCTGAATGATGACCGAGGGCCAGAGCGATGCGCTCTGATTCACTTTCCGGCATACACCCGCATCGCCTGCGAAGGGCGACGGCGCTCTGTCGTGGCTTAAAATTTCGCGCCACTATTGTGTAGCGCCTGTCTGACACGGGTGGCGGTCTAGTCATTTCCGCGGCCGGCGCTATTATTGGCTTTGGCACTTCAGGCAGGAACGCTACAAGTGGCCCGCACGAGCGCAGAAGGGGGCTGCGCTTTTTTGCGGCGCTAATTTGGGATCGGCGCAACAATTCTAAAGCTCATCGGGGAGTGGATCTCAATTTCAAACTCCATCCGAACGACCGGCCCCAATTCAAACTCCATCCGGACGACCGGCCCCAATTCAAAACCCATCCGGACGATCGGCCCCAATTCAAACTCCATCGGGGCCATCGGGGCAAATTCAAAACTCATCCGAATTCTGTCGGAATTCCGTCCGAATTTTGTCCCCTACTTGGCTTCTTGATTCGGACGGATTCTGACAGAATTCGGATGGATTTTGAATTGGTGGGGGATGGGATTTTGTGGTCCGGGCCACCAGAGTTGTGCCTCCAGTCGACTTCACCTACCGAGACCAGCCTGGGCGATCTTGGGTGGCTGACCGCATTGGGAATCGCGGCCGGGGATGGCCTCGCCCCTGGCGGCATTTTGTCCAGTAGCGTCACATGCAATATGCACAGGCTGACTTGCTTGGGCGCTCGCCGGGCCAAGCCGCGACCCCGACACCGAGGCCAGCCATGCTCCTAACCGCATGCGCCGGCCCCCGACGGTTCCCGGCATTTTTCCGTGGCTGGGCAGGGTCTTCTCTTATTACACCGGCAGCACCCCCCTGGCGCCGAGCCGGGTTTCAAGGATCGCAAGTTAAGGCATGATAACAAACTTCGGCCGCCGGTCGAACCAAAGCGCGCTCGCCCCATTTCCCGGAAGTTCCTTCGCATGGTTGGATCCAGTTGCCGTTTCGCGCCTGGTCCGCTGGACCAAGCACAGGGCGCAGCGTTCGTGTGAAAGCGGCTACAGGCCGTTTTCTATAGCTGTCGCGCGCCGCATTTGTTTCGCCCGATTCGCCCCCTCGGAGGGGCGTTTTTTTGAAAATGCCAACTTTTTGAATTCAGTTTGAATTCCGTTTGAATCACGATTACATTCCGAGCGGTCTAGAGTTAACTTAAATCTGTCATGCACGTTACCCAAGAGCTCCGTTTTTCTGTGATGCAGAAGCGCAGTTTGTCATGCAGAATAGGCAACACCGAGAAGCTCAGAAACTTGTCATGCTGAGCCAGCATTTGTAGCCTCATCATGAGACGCCACCCAGCATCACAAGTTTCCAGACCCAGACATTTTTGCATTTGATACCAGCACGTTGGCCGCCGGGGTGAATTTGCCCGCGCGGCGGGTGATTTTCCGCGGGATCAAGATCGGCTATCCTGAGTAAAAACGTCCCCACACCAGAGTCAAGATGGGGATTTTGCAACACAAACCTAAGAGCTTTGGGAGTCACGCATGACAACTTGCACTCCGTAGTGTAGTGCAGGTTAGCAAGTGCAGCCGCATCACAGATCCGTCTGCTTATCCTGTTCAGAGCATCACAAATTCCAAAACACGATTGGAAATGCCTACCATGGGTATGCGCATCACAAATGTTCTTGTCAATGCAAATCTGCATGACAACTCTGGGGTGGGGACGTTTTTCTTGAGGATATCGGCCAGGGGGAACTCACCGTTGCCCAGTACAAGCAGATGTGTGGCCGCGCTGGCAGGAAGGGCCAGGGCGTGCAGGGGGAGTCGATCATTTTGTGCAACGACTACCGGAAGGGCATGCGATTGATGAACGAGAAGATGACGCCTTTGAAATCATGCCTGGACGAAGTGGGTCTGAAACGCCTCGTGCTGGAAATGTTGGCGGTGAAGAGAACGAGTGGCGGAGGTGGGGCCACGAAAAAGAGCAAAAAGCGAAATCAGATAGACGGCGGTGGTGCAGCTACAACAACTACCGGGGGCCCGGTTAATAGCAATTATGGTCTGATAGAGCTCTCCAACTGCACTTTTCTCGTGCATAACAAGAGAAAGAAGGACTCGTCCACTTCTCTTGCAGAGGTGTTGGATGGTGGACAACAAGGTAGAAAGCACCAGGAAGTGGCAACCACAGGCGCACCTCCTGTAGCAGGCGCGAAGCAAGACATAGCGAAAGCGCGACAGGACGTCCGAAAGGAACATCCGGACTTGTACAACGCCATGTTGTATTTGATGGCACAGGACGTCGCTATCCCATCACAAAAATCCCAGCAACAGTCCGGTGCGGTCACTGTTGCTACAGCGCAGAAGCAGAACAATAGCAAGGGTGGTGGAGGAGCTTCATCAGCAAGCAACAATAGACACAACAACAAGCAGCCCTGTAGTTCATCTACCGCAGCCCCCGCGCCGGTGCAGGTAGCGCGCATGCCCTTGGTGGCGTACGACAAAACCCGAGATGCGTACCAGGCGACAAAGCTGGGCACGGCGATTGTGCGTTCCGGCATGGATATTGAGACGGGGTACCAAACCTACGACATGCTGATGGCGATGCGGAAGAAGCTTTTGACAGAGACGGATCTGCACGTGTGCTACATGTGCACTCCGTTCGCGAGCACGTACCATGCGAGTGATAAGAACAAAGCGGGCCACGTCGGCGGTCTGGTGGAAAACAAGGGGACGATACTGCACACAAACACGACGAGCAAGAACAGCAAGGGGGGAGGAGGTGCTGGGGCACCCGGAGCTGCCGGGGTAAATCTTGCAAAAGGAAAATCAAATAAGCACGCAGTACAGCATCAAGTCACTGTAGTCGGAGCTGCAGCAGGTGGATCCGATAGCCAAAATTATAAGCGAGGCGGTGACGGCTCAGCTCCAACAGCGGGAGCAGATAATACAGCTCCAGCCTTGATCACTCTCCAGCATGCGCAGATGCGGGAGGAAAAGAAACGACTGGAAGCGAGCCAGACCATCACGGCTGACAAAATTGATTGGGACACGTACCAGAAAATTTTGCTCCAGTCCTCGGTTCCGGAACTCAAGGTGGCGGAGGCCTGCAACGTGAATCTGGACCTGATCGAGAAAGTATCAAATGTAAAAATGTCTGGGTCTGGAAACTTGTGATGCTGGGTGGCGTCTCATGATGAGGCTAAAAATGCTGGCTCAGCATGACAAGTTTCTGAGCTCCTAGGTGTTACCTATTCTGCATGACAAACTGCGCTTCCGCATCACAGAAAAGCGGAGCTCTTGGGTGACGTGCATGACAGATTTAAGAGTCATGCCAGACAAGCATGACAAACATGAATTCTTCCAGACCCAGACATTTTTACATTTGATAGAAAGCCGAGCTGAACAACGGGATGCTGCCGAAACAGCCACAGATTTACCGGTTCTACGCGGCGTACTTGGTGTACATCCTATGCATTGCAAAAGTATCGTACTAGTATAAATCGCATGACAAATTCCCTCAGAATGGAAAATGGAATTTGTCATGCTGATTTACCTTGGGAACCAGATTTGTCATGCATATCTGCGATTAGTACGAGTGCGATGCTTTTGCATTTGATACATCCTGTTGCAGAACAACTTTTCCAAGGAGCACCTGTGTGCGATATGGATTGCAAAAATGTCTGGGTCTGGAAGATTGCAACTTGTCATGCTAATTCCGAAGAATGCAAAAATCTGTGTTGCATGAGTGCCAAAAGCAGTCCACTTCAGACCAAGTTGGGAGGCAGTTTCTCATGCAGGATAGGCATGATAGTGATAGAACTCTCACAGAATCTGTCATGCTATGTCCTACATACCAGACCTCATGGGTCATGGAAAACCTGCATGACAGGTCTTTCTTCGTAAAAGTAAGAAATTTAGCGACAACCTTGCCTTGGGTTACTAAGCGGGAGACTTTGTCTTTCGTAGGATTTCTCATCCAAATCCCAACATTTCTGAGTTCTCAGCATTACAAAGCGAAAAATAAAAACTAAAAACTACAGGTTCCAGATCTGCCTAGATCGGACAAGAAAGATGACAGCTGAAGGAGCCGTTGACGTGCACACAGTAAAGAAGATTTCGTTGGCGTGTGGTAGACACCCTACTTTGTAACTCCCTACTGCACGTATAGAGACGATTTGAGTAGATCGGTTGAGTGACAAGCGCTCGATAGATTAAAATTGTAACTATGCGCTCGGTAGATATAGAATATGCGCACTCTTCTGATCTACCCAGAGCTCCCCTCTATGGCAGATGATCCCCGATATAATATTTCGCACGCCAGCAATAACAGAAAGATCCGGAAATGATGTCGCGAGCTCCTTCATCTCAAAAAAAAAAAATCTTCAATGAAACCAAACAGGAAACAGGGCGATGGAAGGAAATTTTTGTTCGTATGTATCAGATTCAGGTAGTACATATTTAGATTCACCACTTAAAGGCTGAGGTAGGAGTAGTGACACACGCGGGCAGAGAAGCAGAGGCAAAAGAGATAGAGAACAATATGTAAGTTTGAGTTTTTATTCTTAAAAGGAAGCACAGCATTTAGAGTTAGACGAAATTAGTTTTACACAGCAACAGATGCATCATTACAAGTCGGCAGTTTTTGTCGCCACAGAGCCTCGATCAACGAGAATCGGGAAACCGAGAAAAAGGGAGAGGCTTGCAACCTAGGAAGCCCCGGCCACCTCTCTGGGCCCCGACGCGATAGGCTATGGGGCCGTAGGCCGGGGCCCCTAGGTGGGCGAGTGAGGCCAAGCAGGCCGAGGCCCCGGGGGCGAAGGAAGGAAGCGCCAGCGGCCAGGCGCGAAGGGAGGCCATTTGAGAAAGCTGGGGCCCAAATGCGAGAAAGCCAAGGCCGAAACAAAGCGACCGCGACA